TCACTCTCACTCTCACTCACTCTCACATGCTTCTTACAGAATCTCCACCAGTTCAAAGACCTGATCCTTCTGGCCGCTGCACTGCGCAGACTCCACCCGGTCAGCGCCAGCAACCAAGCAAGTCGTGTTGGTGGCCGACGCGGGAGTAAGGAGGATGTCGTTGCTGCCCGCCTTGAAGGGGAACAGCTGCGAAGTCGTGGTTTTGCCACCTGTTGGAGTTCATTGTTAGCATCTCGCAAATGTTCAACGGCACGCGATAATCGTGTGTGCCCTTGGATCGGGGGTGGATCTGGTGGATCGAGCAGATCACCGAGATGAAGGGGGGATGATGTCAATGACTTACTTCCGTCGGCGCGTCCACCGCAAGAAAACATAATCACCTGGTCGTTGGCGGCTCTGCGGCCATCAAAGTTGATGCAGCCGTTGGTGAGCACGCTAACAAGCAGCGCCTCGCCAGCCTGTGCGTCGTTGTGGACTCCCTTGGTGATCACGTCAAACTTCTGGCTGGCGTCTTCGCTGCAGGTGGCCAGTCCAACGGGGATCAGGTTCTCGCGGAAATCACCGGCCGTGGGGTTGACGAAGAAGCAGCGTCCATCGGCGGCTCGGATGTTGACGCTCTCCAGAGGTCGGACAGCGCTTTCATCAAAGGCCTGGGCCTCGGCCACGGCAGAGGGGTTCAGGGTGCCTCCGGCTCCGGAGACGGGCACGGGGGTGGTTGGGTTTCCGGTGATGACGGGAGGAGGAGGAGCCGCAGTGGTCTGGGAGCTGCCCTCACCTGGGTTGACAACAACTGCATCGCTTGTGGCGGCGGCGGCGGAAGCTGTGGTGGTAACAGCAGCATCGGAGCTGTCCGCAGTCTGAGTGGCATCAGCCGGAGGGGGAGCTCCCGCAGTGACAGTGGTAACGTCGGTGACGGTAACAATCTTGGGAGCAGAGCATTGGGCGTTCTCGTCATTCGCCGGGGCCGCAGAAGAAGCCGCGGGGGCAGCGCTCGTCACGGCCGCCGCCGCGGTAGAAGAGGCTTGAGTGGCAGCAGCCTCAGAAGTAGCAGCAGCCGAGCTGGCAGCGGCAGAGCTGTTGTTGTTGTTGTCACCACCCTTGCCACTGTCATTGCCAGAGCCTCCAGCAGCGTCACCAAAGGTAAACTTCTGAGCAGCGTCGTTGTCATTGCAGTCGGCAATGTCAATCACGTTGCCCTTGGCAGCAAAGCACTTTGTAGGATCGTTGCCAGGGGCGAAGCTCAGCGGGCCATTGCCTCCGGTAAAGGCAAAGAGCTGAGAGTTTGTGACTTGTCCGCCGCCATCAGCTCGTCCACCGCACGAAAAGAGCAAGACCTGGTTTCCGGCCGCACGTCGAGGGTCAAAGTTGAAGCAGGCCTGCGTCTTGGTGCTCACGATCAGAGCCTCGCCCTTTTGGTCGTTGTGGACGCCAGAGGTGATGACGTCCCAGCCCTGGGCATCGTTGCTGCCACAGTCGGTGATTTGGATGGGTGTCAAGTTGGCTCGGAAGTCTCCAGAGAGGGGGTCAACGCTCAGACACTTGCCATCAGAGGTCTTGATCTGGACGTTGGAAAAGGCGCGGGTGGCAGTGTCGTCTCTGGCATGGGCCTCAGCGGTGGCAGCTGGGTCCAGAGAGGCCACCGCTCGGAATTGGATGGGGCCAGCGGCTGCAAGGGCTGCAAAGAGCACGGTAAAAGTCGTCTTGGAAATCATTTTCGCTCAATAAAGAGTGTTGTATAATCAAAGAATGATATGATATCTCAAAGGACCGGGAAAGGAGAGGCTTAGAAGTAGAGAAGGATAGACTTTTCACGAAGAGAACGTTGTAAAAAAAAAAAAAAATCCGCACAGCAGATGGCCTCGTCAAAAGGCAAGAATCGAAAGGAACGAAGAGAAAAAGAGAAAGGGAAAAAAAAGAAGGAAGCGAGCACAGCACGCAAAAGTGAAGCTATTCAGAGCAACTGCCAGAACTCGAGAATCCCCTCCCAAGACTCGGCACCGCGCCGTCGCTTTATATATCTGTATCCATCTCTCTCATACTGCCCAGTCCAGTCCAGTCCAGGCCAGGCCAGGGTCGCATTCGCCAAGAACCACGCGAACCGCGGCTGCAGCATCGCCCTTTGTCGGCTCGATCCGACAAAGAGCGTATTTCCTTGATCCCCTTCATTTCGCGCCTCGGGGCCTTTGTCGGCGCCTGTGTGGCGGGCATGTGGCCGTTTGGGTGCCTTTGCCGCAAAGCCCATCCTGGCCCTTGAAAAACGAAACGCTTCGTCGGGGTGCCAATTGGACCGTCACCGTCCTTGTCCAACGCGAATCGTTTCAGCGGCCGCCATCTAGACGGACGTGAGACGACACGGGGGTTTGTTTCGGCGTTTTAGGTGTTTGGAGCCTCCAGGGGGGGGGAGCATCGCCTGAGCTGGGCTGGGCTGGGCTGGGCTGTAAATCCGGAGCCAGCCGGCCACTAAAGCAGTCGCTGGAGATTCGAAGCTTCTGGGGGAGCTTTAGCGCCCAGCCTGTTAAAACACCAGGTCGAACCACATCAAGCCACATCGCGAATAGCCGCTGAGGCTTCAGTTCCCTTTGTCTTTGACAGGCTCATTTCAGCTCAAGACGGGGATGCAGGAGTTGCTTGTGGCTTGAAAGCAGCCGCCGTTGGGGCGTGACAGCAGGACCTCGGCTTGCCGACGGCTTGCATATGCGCCAGAACTGAACAATGCGCAGCGCGGCAATTGGCCCCATGCAGCATCTCCAAGACAACAGAGCGCAGATGAAAAGTGTTTCCCTCTCGCCACGATCTGGATCCTGCATGACGTCGTGGGCCGCATGCAAAATGAGCCCCCCCGTGCAAAGTCTTTTTCTGAGCTTCTTTGCAATCGACTCGACATGAAACTGAAACAAGTCAGTCACTGCCAAAAAGGGGGTTTGTCGTCTCAGGGGTCATGCTAGCAAGGCACTTATATCTTGCAGTGACACTTGGCGTTGAGAGAGTTTCCAAACGCAGCAACTGAGCTCCGCAAAACGTCCTCAGATGCAAACACAACGGGTTTCCAGATGACAACTCGGGGGCTTTCTTCACTTTAATTTTCCTAAGTTCCATTGATTTCTTTGTTTGTCTTTCAGGGGGGCCGGGGGCTTAGTTATACCCCGGCCACGCAGCCGTCCTCTGCTCAGTTGGGCAGCGGTTCTCCCAAAACTGGTCGCAAAAGGCCGCTCTTTGAACCACAATCGTGTTATGCCACCACGGCCCGCATTCGTCGTCCATGTGGAAGGGCAGTTGGTTGAGCCCTTCCCCCTGCCAAGCCTCGGGTTCGTTGATTCGATGGATCTCGGACATGATCTGGGCACAGGAAGTGTGGCATGTAATGGACCCGAAGCATCCGCAGTGGTATAAGATCAAGATGTATGTGCACATGGTATGGATTGTCGAGACTGAAATGACGTCTTTCCTTTCCGAGGGGCGTTCATCTCTGGTCTTTATAGCTTGAGGCCGTACAATTCGTCGACTGAACGATGGCAACACGCACCGCTCTGCTTCCCGCAATCCGATTCAAACGTACGTGTTCGTGAACACCGTCAGTCGGGTTTGTCGTCGAAATGGGAGAAAACAACAGCGCACGCCACCAAGGTTTGCGTGTCTCGCGCGTCTTGCCCGGTCATGCTTCAGTCAAATGTCTTTCGGGGGTGAGATGGGGAGAGAGGAGGAGAGGAGGGCACAAGAGGTCGATATCGACAGTTTGTGAAATCGTGCCATGACTACAAACGCAGCTTCAACGAGGGCCTCGTGTGGTATTTGCTCGTAAGGGAACCTATCCCAGACCAGACGCTGCGTGTCGACAGCACATCTCCCTTCCCACAGCCGTAACACGCGGCATGCTTTGTCGTCTTTTCTTCCCGCAGGATGCCACACAAGGCGCCCTGGCAGTGCACAGGCTCTGGATGGCATGTTTGCACCACCTGGTTGCCCTGAGGCGGCGGGAAATAGGGAGGGCCAGAGTCGATCCATGTAACCGTGCAGTGATGCATGCACGCCTGCCTAATCACACACAGTCGCTCAGTTGCCTCGATTCTTGGTTCCAGGCTCATCCTAGAGTTTGAGCGTTGGTAAAACGTACATGAGTATATAACTCAATGAATAGAGAGATGGACAAACTTGCAGATTATATTATTAGTAATATCAGGATTGGCAGATGTATCATCTTGTGATGATCCTTGCGGCACACAATTCAGGTGTGGAGGAGAAGTCGAATCTTGGTCGGTTTGGTGTAGACTCCAAGATGCCTCATTATATGGGCATTTCTCCCTTTGTTCATCATGGCTCTTCTGTAAGCTGGACTAATAATAATTTAAAAGAACGGCCGGTGTTGTGCAGAGCAAGAATTGACTTGGGCTCCATCATAAGAGAGATACAGAATATGGCATCCCGCTCCACCAAGCATAAATGCCACCAAGTTTAACGGTTAGCATACCCAAGTATAGGCCCTACAACAATTCGCACAGCAACCAAGTCTACAAGCACGTCTTCTCATCCAACCTTCTCTGTCTCCTTTATTTTTTTTGGTTTTCCTTTTCTCTGCACCTCTTTTCGTGGATTTCGGATCTATTGAAGGTTGAAGCAAAACATCACCCCACAACCCCGCCATCAACACTTTTTCTTCTACGCCTTAAATGGAGATACCATAATACATGAGACAACTTACTGCCTTGACTCCGTGAACCGCCTCTCCCGTGACACCCAGTCCGCTTTAGTCTATCAGCGTGTTGTTGGCTGTCTCTTATTATAGAGAAGCTGTCGTAACATTCATTGTTTGCTTTTCGAGTCGCTAAAACACCAGGAATCAGGGTCACGTGATCGCAGCGCTAGGGTTGGATCGGAACAAAAGCGGAGCAAAGACTTTTGCTATTGAGACTTTTACAAGAGTGTGAAATTTTTGGCTTCTTCTTCCTGTATCGGAGCTACGACAAACTCGTTCACAATTCATCCATCAGGTCAATTAATCCAAGATGACGACCAAACCGAATGAACAGGGCTCCAAGGCGGAGGGCAGCTCGCCATTCGATGCCTATCAGACGTCTCTCACCACTCGCTACTGCAGCCCCGCCATGTCGAAGCTGTTCAGTCAGCGCTCAAGACACTCGACCTGGCGAAGGTTGTGGTTCCATCTTGCTGAGAGCGAAAAGGAGCTCGGAATTGAGACCATCACGCCGGAGGCCATTGAGCAGATGAAGGCCCACCTTGTGATTACGGATGACGAGTTTGAGACTGCTCGGATCGAAGAGAAGATTCGCAGACATGTGAGAAGGCCATTTCAAATGTTCTTATTGTAATTCATTGCTGATGAGCCATCTAGGATGTCATGGCGGTAAGCCATCTGCCGATAGCTGTCCAACGGCCTCTGGTGGCTCATATCTAATTCTGGAGTAGCATGTTCACGCCTTTGGTGTTGTTGCTCCGGCCGCGGCCGGCATCATCCACCTCGGTGCCACAAGCTGCTTCGTTACTGACAATGCTGAACTTATCCTTATGCGTGATGCCCTAGATCTACTTGCCAATAAACTGGCCAAGGTGATCTCAAACCTGTCATCCTTTGCGGTCAAGTGGAAGGGTGAGTGTTTGGAGTTCTGACATCCTCCGAGGGTGTGACCAAAACGACTCTCGCTAATTATAATTTAGCGGAACCTACTCTTGCATACACGCACCTTCAGGCAGCCCAGTTGATCACGGTTGGAAAGCGCGCGGCCCAGTGGGTGCAAGATCTTATGCTTGATCTCCACAGTATCGAGCAAGTCCGCAGCGAACTCAAGTTCCGAGGCGCACAAGGAACGACTGGTACTCAAGCCTCCTTCTTGGAAATCTTCAAGGGTGACTCTGCGAAATGCGACGAGCTGAATGTCCTTCTCTGCAAAAAGTTTGCATTTCCAGGCTGCTATGACGTGTCTACTCAGACCTACACCCGCAAGGTGGACTTGATCATCGCCAACGCCGTCGCTGGTCTTGGTGCGACAGCCCAGAAAATCGCGGGAGATTTGAGGCACTTGGCCACATGGAAGGAGATTGAAGAACCCCACGAGTCGTCTCAAATTGGATCTTCCGCCATGGCATACAAGGTTAACCCGATGCGGTCCGAGCGAGTATACAGCTTGGCGCGCGAGTTGATGTCTAAGCCGGCCAGCTTCGCCAACACTCTGTCCGACCAATGGATGGAAAGGACCCTCGATGATAGCGCAATCCGCCGAATCGACATCCCAGAGATGTTTCTGCTGGCCGATGCAATTCTCATTGGGCTTGATAACATTTCAAGTGGATTGGTGGTCTATCCTAACCGGATTGCCAGCCGGGTCCAAGAAGAGCTTCCCTTTATGATCACAGAGACCATTATCATGAGAATGGTTGCTCAAGGAGCATCGAGACAGGAGACACACGAGCAAATTCGCGTCCTCTCGAACCAAGCTGGCAGCGTGGTAAAGAACGATGGCAAGCCCAATGATCTCGTGTCACGCATCCAGAACACCGACTTCTTCAAGCCCATTTGGGGTGATATCCACGGCATGCTCAAGGCAGACCTTTACATTGGTCGCAGTGTGGAGATTGTCGAGAAGTATTGCGGTCCCGGGGGCGTTGTCGAGAAGCAGCTGGCGCCATATCAGGCGTACATCAAGGGCTCTAGCTCTGCGGAGCTTAGTGTTTGAGTATTAGTTTGTATCACTGGGTTTTAAAAAAAAAATAACAGTTGAAGGCATTAGAGAGTAAAATGTAACTTGTAAGAGTAATCCAGCACAGATGCAGTAATATGCCCCCCTTAGTAATGCTCACCAGCCAATCGTCGCCAGTCCAACTAGGAAATCGGCGGAAGTGCATACATGATGCAAGACCCGCCGACGTCCCGGAGTTTGATTGATCAAGAGCCCCATCAAGGCTTCATCCAAAGTCCATCAAATGTCATTCATTTTCCTCTCGCCCTCCAGGCAGATCGAGATGGGCGTGACCCGGCGGAAATCGAGTCACGGGACAGCTTACGACGCCTGATTCAACCGTCCCAGACCGCCCAACTCCTATTCCTCTACGGTGAGCCTTGTCCAAACCGTCTTCAAGCCACTCCCATCTGGCACGCGACCTCCGCCTGTCTTGGGCCGGCGGCAGCGCCCCACCGCACCCCGTGCAAGGGTTTAGCTGCAATTTATAGGGCCTTTGCCGCTAGCAACCCGCTATAACGCTGGGCCTGTGACGCATCTGATCCCGTCCCGCCCATTCAACTCCGTTCTCCTGCCTCGCCTTCAACCTGGAGATTGCATCGCAGCTCCAGCACAGCCCAAGAGCAAAAGCCGAGCCCATCAAACTCACCAGGCTGGACACAATGGTATGACATCGCTGCGTGCCGAACCCATCACAAGTGCTAACTCCAAGCGATGATGCAGCCGTCCGAACGCCATCCTCTCCTATCCAACCGCGGCGAGTCGGCCGAAGCCGCCCAGGCAAAGGCCGCCTTGCGCTCTTCACGCATCCGCGAGATTGCCTTCTTCGCCTGGGGCCTCCTGGCCACGGCCGCCTTCATCGTCGCCGCTGTTTGGATCCAGCATGACGCGCAGACCGGCCACGACGGCAACAACAACAAGAACAACACTGTCGCCCCGAAGCGCAACCTCGTCTTCATGGTGTCCGACGGCATGGGACCGGCCTCGCTCTCCTTGACTCGAGGCTACCGCCAGTACATCAACAACCTCCCCGAGAACGACACTCTCGTCCTGGACCAGCACTTTTGGGGCACCAGCCGCACTCGCTCCAGCAACTCCCTCGTCACCGATAGCGCTGCCGGCGCCACGGCCTTTGCCTGCGGCCTCAAGAGCTACAACGGCGCCATCTCGGTCCTGCCCGACTTTGAGCCATGCGGAACTGTCATGGAGGCGGCCAAGAGGGCTGGATACACAACGGGACTGGTCGTCACCACAGACATTACGGATGCCACGCCCGCCACTTTCGTCAGCCACGTCCTGAGGCGAGAGATGGAGGACTCGATTGCCCTGCAGGAAATCGGAGAGGGAGTCTTGGGCCGTTCAGTTGATCTCATGCTTGGTGGCGGCCGCTGCCATTTCCTTCCCAACAGCACCCAGGGTGGATGCCGTCAGGACGATCTGGATGTCACGCGCCTGGCTCAGGAGAAGCACGGCTGGACCTACACCGATAACCGCCAAGGTTTTGACGCTCTCGACGGCGGCGACAAGATCAAGCTTCCTTTCCTCGGCCTGTTCGCCGAGCGAGACGTTCCTTTCGAGATTGATAGACAGAAGCAGCACGACGTTTACCCCAGCTTGAGCGAGATGGCCACCACTGCGCTGCGAGCTCTCGAAAAGGCCACCAAGGACTCGGACAAGGGCTTCTTCCTCATGATTGAGGGCAGCCGCATCGACCACGCCGGTCACTTCAACGACCCTGCTGCTCAGGTCCGTGAGGTTCTCGAGTACGACAAGACGTTCAAGGCCGTCCTCGACTTCATCGCCGCCAGCGAGACGGAGACGGTGCTCGTGGCCACCAGCGACCACGAAACCGGCGGTCTCGCCACCGCCATCCAGGAGCCCGGCCATCTGCCAGTGTACAGCTGGTACCCTCGCGCCCTCGCCAGGGCCACCTCGTCGACCGAGTTCCTCGCCGCCAAGCTCCGTTCCCACGCCGCATCCGTCACGCCCGCTTCCAACGACAAGAAGAAGGAGAAGAGGGAAAAGGCCAAGGCCGACCTCAAGAAGTGGATCAACAAGGAGCTCGTCGTCCCCGGCCTCGGCATCTCCAACGCCTCCGAGGACGAACTCGACGTCCTGGCCGACAACGCCGAGGCTTCCCTCGAGATCCTCTCCGCCATGATTTCCCTGCGCGCCCACGTCGGCTGGAGCACCCACGGACACACCGCCGTCGACGTCAACATTTACTCGTCTGGAGGGCCCGGCACGGAAAAGATTCGTGGAAACGTCGAGAACACCGATGTCGGCAAGTTTTTGAGACGCTATCTCGACGTCGAGGGGGACGTTGAGGATATTACCAAGGAGTTGAGGGCCAAGACGGAGAAGCCCGGCGAGGATGCGCAGAGCATGGCAGTAGAGCAGATGAGCGGTGTAGAGCACTATCACGCGCAAGAGATTTGAGTGTAGAGATTTACGAATGCTGTTTCTTTTTTTGGTTAGAGTAGAAAGCTGGATAGCTTTGCTTGCTCTTTTTCTTGTTGATTTTTCTACTGTGGTATATGAGGTTTGGTTGTTTGGCTTTTGGCGTATTATTCAAACACACCATATAGATTGTTTCGCATATAGCAATGAGCATAGCATCTCTGTTCTCTCTTCTTTTAAGAATGACGGAGAAGGAGTTTTTTTGGTTTGGTAGCTAGTACAAATACACCCGGGACATCATGTTATATATCCTCCCAAATCTCATCCGCTAGACGCCTTGATTACCATTATCCCATATACCCTATTCCATCTATTCCATCCAATGCCCCCCCAAAAAAATCCAAATCCAAAACAAGAAGGGGGAGAGAGAAGAAAAAAGGTTTCAGTTCTCAACGGCCCTCTCCTCGAGATTATACCGCATATACAACTTATCCAAAAAGTGCGAGTGCCGAATCCCATTCGGCCTCGCCGTCTTAAACGCCTCAATCGCATCCGCCAACGCAAACCCGCACTTCTCCACCAGATAGCACACGACAAAGTACCCCGATCTGTTGTATCCGTAATGGCAGTGAACGCCCACGACGCACTGCTCCGGATCAGCCCACCCTTCTGCTACGGCGCGCTCACGCTGGGCTTCGCGGACGGAATCGACCAGTTTGATGAATTGGTCGACTGTATCTCCGTCAGGCGGGATTTTCGACACTGTAGGGAATTTGTGGTAATGAATACCGCGGCGCTCAAGACCGCGCGGGTCGTAAACAGGTTGGTCCTTGGAGATGTCAATGACGTCTTTGATGATGTTACCCCAGTTATCGGCAAATGCCGTCGGGCAGTGCACATCGTCTACTTCGCGGAGCGTCTTGATAACACGAAAGATGGGCTTGCCAGGAGGCCCGATGGGTTCGGAGACGGGCTTGACGCCCTGCCACTTGATGAGGTTCTTGACGTCCCATTTGCCCTCGCGCGAGAGGTGCTGGAGCTGCCAGGCGAGCGAAAGGCGCTGAGTGATGTGTTCGGCGAGAAAGTCCGACACGAGGCCGGCGAGAGCTCGGACGGTGCGCGGGGAGTAGAGGAGGGTGTGGTTAGCTGAGCCGTTGAGGACGATGGACCGCAGGGCTCTCATGGGGTGTTGCGACTGAGGTGGTAGGTCTGGCGGGTATTCGACTGGTGTTGAGGGACTGTTGCGGCCACTCTCGTCAGAGTCGGTGTCGTCGGCATCTTCTGCCGTCAAGCCGTTGCCGTTGGTATTCGCATCGAGCTGGGTTGAGCCGCTCAAAGACTCGGGCGAATCTGGTCCTAAAGCATCTGGTGCTTGCTCATTCCCATCCGACACCGCGGCATCATCCACCGAGTGAAACGCCCCTGCAATCTTGTCAATCTCCTTGGGCGACGTCACATTGTCCTTTTCGCCGCCGATGAGAAAGACGGGGATGTCGAGGCCAGCCCAAGCATCAAGTCCAGGAATGCCTCCGACAGCCTTGCCATCCTGGAACCGAGTCGGCAAGGCGCCGTATGCCATCCGCCTCCACACCGGTGTTTTGCTCTGTTTGTTGTATCGATACTGCATGAGCCTCAGCTCGGTAGGCGCGCCGTCTCCCACGAAACGTGAGACGCTCGTGCTGTTGAGTCCTCCCCTGGCATCCCACGCACGCCACAGTGCAAAGATCCAGCCGGGGATCCAGAAGAGCCTCTTGATCATTGTTGCTTTCGCTTCCTCCATCGGCCCAGATACAGGGCAAATCGCCACCAGGCCGACAATGTGCTTGGCAAGCGCCGTCTTGTGCGGGAGCTTCTTATTCGCCAAGCCAGCCGACAGTGCAGTTCCCATGCTGTGCCCGATCAACACCACGCCTTGGTCATGCTCCTTGTCGCGATGGTCCTCAATAATCACCTCCAACAGCTCCATCAGCGCCTCCGAAGTGTACGCCTCCCATTGCGTCGGCGCAAACTTGGACCTCCCGCCACCGGGCCAGTCAATTGCCAGACACGGCGCCAGATCAATCAAGCTCCTCAGCAGCGGGTAAAACTGCGCGACGGAGCCTCCCAGCCCCGGAACGCACACCAGCAAGGGCAGCGGCGCCGGCTTCCTGGGCAGCTGGTCGGCCTTGACGTGCTGGCGATGGAAGACGCGGATCTCGGGATACTCGAACCGGCTCGCCTTGTAAGACTTTATGTGCGAGTGATGCCGCAGCAGCGCAGGATCCGTCTCGTGAGGGTCCGCGGAGAGCGACTGCTCCGGCGGGGGCGAGTCTGGCGATGTCTTTGCCATTGGCGCAAAATAAAACAGCAATTGGGCTCGCAATCCGCGATGTGAGTGGCGATAACAGTTTTGGCGGTCGAACTTTGTCGGGCCCAATTCCTGGTGATGCCAGATCCAAGGCTACTAATGAATCGTCTAGAACCGGGATCAAATGCAGGAACGGCGCTCCACCTTTTTATATCGCGATACGCAGCCGATGAACAAGGGAAAACAGCTGCAGCACGGACAAAGAAGGCCGGGCGAGGTTTGGAAGAGGAATTCGGGACAGGGGGGGTCCGTCTGAGATGGCAAACAACGGCCGCTTGAAACGCTCCCGCTCAACAAGCAAACTCTGTCCCTTTTAAAAGAACGGGAAACGAAGAAAGAGGAATAAGAAGAAAGAGGGTGAGGGTGAGGGTGATTGATGGTCTCTCAATCAACAGCCGGTATCCGTCCAGTACAGAGAGAGAGAGAGAGAGAGAGAGGAAAAGAGTCAGGTGAGTCGGAGAATCCGCATCAAGGAAAAGATGTACAGCAGGATGGAGGGCAATCAAGTCGCCAGAGAATTGATTGGCGACAGCCGGGATTCATTGCAGTCCGAAAAGAAAAAGGAAGAAAAGAAAAAGAATTCCCGGGCGTGGCCTGTCGAACTTTGAGAAAATAAAAATAAAAACAACAATGACGATAAAAGGTTTAGAAGAAGAAAAAATCCAAGTGAGGCGGAGATGGGAATGGGATTTTTTAGTGACCAACCAATTGTCACGGGCTCCCACGACCGCTCGTCATTGCGCACTTTTTAGGGGAACAGCCGCCCTGCCAAGAGATGGTGACGGTTGGGTGGCTTACCCTGGAGCCGAGGCGATGGTTTTGCGGCGGGAGTGATGGACGAGAAATCGCCATGATTGGCTTGTTTATTGGAGATGTTGATCAAATGTATGATTCCTGGTGGGATTGGTAGGTGGTTTGTATATGTTGCGCGACTTTAAGAATGGGTTAATGGTGGCTGTGAAGGGGAATCGCTGTTTGTGTCGCCATGTGATACTCCGTTATGCCACGCCCGCGGCTTTGAGTTGAGCAGCTTTTATGCGGATAGATTAAGTCGACAGCAACATGGCATCATTTGTTGCCGGTATTGGTAAATCAAACCTGGAGATTCAGTTCTCGACCTTCTTGTTCAATTACGAATCACAGTAGAGACATGTGGTAAACACACCCTAAGCCTGGACATGTCCGTATCTCAAGTCCCAAATAATCATTTTCATACCACCGTCACAACTACGACCACAACCACAAGACATTTCAACAAAACCATGCTCGATTCCTTCTATTGGCCACATTCATATCGTACTCGTACAGCTGCTACAAATACTCCTCGTGCAACAATCATGAAACAACACCCGATCCTTCCTCCCAGCCAATGGGTATCAAAGCCGCCGCCACATCCGACACTCCTCGCTCCGTCGCCAGCAAGTTGAACTGCGCCGCCGCATTCCTCGTGTCCAGCATCTCTACCCTCACCCCCAGCTGCGTAAGATGCTGTCTCGTCCGGGGACTCAGCGGCAAGTTGGTCTTGCCCACCCCAATCACCAACAGATCTGTAAAACCACACACACACACATGCCATTAGCTTAAACTGCACACACATACACACAATTTCCGTCTGTTTCTCCCCAAGGAAACACAACGGGATCCCATCACATCACAAAGGTAAAAGAGAGAGAAATATACCGGGTCTTGGCCAGAGCACGTCAAGCAGCCCAAATGCCTCGGCCGGCAGCTCAAACTGCCCCTTCTCGTTGACCAGTTTCATCTTCCCGCTGGCCTCCCACGGCCGCCACGCAAACGCCTCGCCGTTGACAAGTAGAGCCCCGTCCCCTCCCGCTATTGTGATGCCGCTGTTCAGCTCGAAGCCATCGTGCATGCACACGTCCACCGACGTCGACGGCACCGGCACGCTGCCAAGCACGTCGAGCTCGCTGAAGCTGGTCCGATGTGAATTATCGGGGATCGCGTCTCGGTCTCGGCTTTTTGACAGGCTAGGGATTGTGTGGAAGGATTTGTATGAGGGATTGAGCGTGTGACTGCGTAGGATTGGGGCGGTTGTTGCTGTTTGCGACGGAGCGTTTGTTGAAGCTGCGAGTCGTGGAGGTAATGTCGAGGTGCTTCGTACGCTTGCGCGGGCAGCCCGGAGGCCATTCGGGAGTCGTAATGACCCGCGCATCGTCAATCTATTATACAGACGCTCTTTTCTCAAGGCGCGGTAGACAATTGCGGTTTGGCGAGGTTGATTTGTAAAAACGTGGTGCAGAGCTTGGGGTTTTTTTTTCTCCTGTCGCGGGGCAGCTGGGTGTGATAATTTACATGTGCGAACGTCATGGTGACTTACAGCCTCTACGATGGAAATCATATTCCCACGGCCAAGGTACGCCATCCTTATGACTGGCAGTTTACTAGCGCAAGGGGCTCAAGAATTCGCCCATCGACTTTATTGGATTGGCACTTGGAAGCCAGATTCTGCAATTCGGCTCTACAATTCTGACGAGTGCTGGAACATCCACTTGGTGCTCTCACGCATACATACACACATCACACCTGCAAAAAAAAAGGGCTGTTTCGTACCAACTTGATGTTCGTTTCCATTAGATCACCAAGAGGAAGCAGTCCTAAAGACAGCAGCAGACCGGCCATGGGTCGGCTCGGCCAATATGTATCATGCAGTCCGTTTTGCCCTAATGAACACCAAAGCAATGAACCAAACCCCCAAGAGTTCCTTGCCATCCCGCACAGAAAGCCAATTCCATCAGTCGAAATTTTTCCTCATAGTAGTGTAAAAACTTTGTTTATTTCTTCTTCTGGCTCGCCTCCTGCTCCTTCATCACCTTCTTGACGATCTTCTGCTCCTCGATCAGGAAGGCACGGACGATTCTGTCGCGGACGCAGCCGCCGCACCGGGAACCACCGTAGGCGCGCTGGACGGTCTTCTGGGGCTTGGAGATCTGGGCGTACTCGCGGGGGCGGAGAGCGGGAACCTGTGTGTCAATGCTGGTCAGCTGCTGATTTCTCGTGGTTGATCATGGTCGTCCGAATCTTGAGGATGGAGGATGGAGGATGAAGACGCGAGAAGAGGTCATCGGACGGAGAGGACAAGGATGAGCGGTTCGTTGTTTTCGCAGGTGTTCAGACGGTAGGTTTCCTCCAAGTCGACAATCTCTTCATCTCAACGAACACCCCCGAGTCCCGTCGTCCTCTTCCCTCGTCCCTCTCCAGTCGCTGGTCCTCCGTCGTGCGAAATTTCGTTCAAGAGCCACAACTTACACCAGGGAGCTTGGAGCCGCAGTCACCGCACTTGGGGGCAGTGCCGCGCTTCTTGATGTGCAGAACTCGGAGGTCACCGCCGGGAGTCTTGATGACTCGGGTCCGGTTGGAGCGAGTGTTGTAGCTGCAGAGATTTCGCCCGTCAGTATATTCCTATTCCGTCGCAAAGGCAGGGCAACGCAGGAACGGCACATGACGAGAGAGAATTCGATTCGATTCGCATTCGCCATGGCCGACGACAAGGAAAAAACTCACCCGTTACGGCGGCGGTAGGTGACTCGGTGGGACGCCATTGTATCTGGTGATGCTCGGTGGTTGTGCTGAGTATCTCACCAAAGAAGAGGAATTTCGAGATTTGGGGAAATTTTGTGTGGGCGGAACAACAGATTGTGCCCGCTAAGCTGGCGAATCAGAGAGCGACTAGCGTGCTGTGGACGGTCCACTTGGGGTGCACGTGACGACAGGTTTTCTCTCTTTTCAGATGACCCTCTAAGAAATGGTGCTTGCTGGACTAGAGCCGATGCCATAAGCAAACTGGGCATGCTTGAGCCATGGCCATGGAAATGATGAGTTGATGGTATGAGGCTACATGTCAATGCATCTCGTGAGTTGGGACTGATGGCTAACAATATTGTGACCATTTCTTTATCGATTGTGATGCCAAACCCACGAAGACCTTGTCTTTTCTACAGTTGATTAACACTACTAGAGCAAGATAGGTCGAGTCTCTCATACAGCTGGGATGTGTAAGGGCTGTCTGATATGTGCCATCATTTGCCATTATTTCTGCACCTTTTGACTTTTAATAATCAGTATAACTTTGATCCATTGCCTTCTTATATAAAACCAGGCCGCGAGAAAAGTATGGCTACAACTTGTCCTCAATACCTTAATGACAGAGACAATATAGAAGCCATTCGGCGTATTACCCCTATCTCATCGGCAAAGCCACTTGGTACGCAGCTCTCAACGTTCATGACCAATAATCATCATATTCAAGCCTTTGTAATTAAAATAGTATCCAACAATTAAAGTACCCATACCTGAATAAACGATATCAACCTTGTCTGTTCCAGAAACCAAAGCGCGCAACATCATCCGGGTATGGAGAGCTGGCAAAAGGAACACGGTCGCCGCAGCGCCTCTACTCCATTAAACCGATTCGCCAGCTTTCCCTGCATGAAGAGAAAAGGAAAAAAAAAGAATCGTGTGTACAAATGTGAAACATGATGGCGTCTATGCCGTCCAGGGCTTGTCCAAATCAAACCAGCCCGGGTAATCTCCGTGCCTCCAAGGCGTGATGCCCAGAGGTCTCTCCTCCTTGCTCTTGCTGGCGCGGGCGAAGACCTCGGTGCTGGTCTCGTCCCTCATGAGGGTTGTGAACTCGGTAATCTTTGCCTGTGCGTCATTGACGGCCTTCATGAAGGCGGCATACATGACATCTGCTGGAGGGGAGGGGTTAGCACAGCGCGCGCAACGAGGTGACATGATATGAACATGTGACGACAAAAGGAGGGCTCCTTACGCGATGGATGTTTCTGCACCAGAGGCTCCAGCATCGTGGGGATGGTGTCCCGGAGCATGCGTTCCTATATTTGGGGGCTCGGTTAGTCTCGCTTAGACACGATGCGCAAATGAATCAAAACGTGCCTTGATGTGTAGGAGCTTGAGCCGCTGCATCGCCAGATTAAGGGCCTGCTCCTCCTCAGCCAATTGCCTGGCTGCCTCCTTGTCGGCGGCCGTGGGCGCCTTGTTTTCCATTGCTTTTAGGGCGCGCAGGCAATCAGAATCAAGTAGAAGGATATCAAGATGTGATGCGACAAGAATGCGGAATCCGGCAAAGCGCACAAGCATTCGACAATATCACCCCCCACGCATACGTAGTAGCAGATCTGGGCGAGTGAGAGGCGATTCTAGAAGTTGGGGATGATGGGCTTCGCGCGACGTGGGGCGGCAACACAGGCAAAGACAGGCTTGACAGGGTTCGAAGCTTGAAAGTATGAGGCAAAGCAGGGCTTATCGGGCACCCAAGTACGTGTACCGGGTACATCAGGAAGAAGCCGCGGCAGTGCCCTGGCCATCTGAAACACCGCGTCACACAGCATTCGGCTGTTAGAGTTGACTTGGCGGAGGTATCTATATAAAGTACCGAGTACGGAGCACAGTGCTGATGCGACGTCTGACGGACTCGGGAGTTCACGGTACCAGGTACTGCTCGTGTGCAGCCCTTTCAGGTACCTACCCAAGGGACGCCATGGCCGAGACAAATTACCTTGACAGAATCGCGGCCTTGCATGCGCCATTGGCCCTGCTGGAAGGGTTGAAGGGCTCCTTGCATGCGGCGAGTTGGATTAGACATGCGAGGTCCGAAGGGCTGCATCGTGGACTCTGGGCCGTACATGTAGCATGTACCGCTTGTCACGTGGGCTGGAGCTACTTGTGGCAGCTTGGCCTGTCAAGTGCTTGTACAAGTATCGTGCGATCCCTGTTTGGGCGCAGTGAGAGCGAAAAATGCGTGGGTCGATGGGGTCAGGAATTCCTTCGGAAGGTATTCCGTACTTGTGCTGTATTTCGTTGATGTAATGGCACCTTTTACTTGTCTACAGCATGATGCTCTATTTGCCGAGGCATTGATTGGAATACTTGATTGGATTGATTTGAACTTGTATGAACTGGACCTTGCCCGAGGAAAGAGAGAGAAGAGGAGAGAGGCAGAGACAGAACAGACAGAAACAGACGCGCAATCAAGGGGCATCTCGGAACCGGTTTTGGCCCTGCTGCTGTAGGTACGAAATAGAGTTGTACCTTGGTTGCGCGGAAGTGCTAAAAACAGCCTGCTACCCTTGGGATATGCGCGCATCTCCAGAAAAAAATGACCAGACACCGATGTACTGTACATAGGTACCCAGTACAGGTACCTCACAACATGATATCGTCCCGAGCCACAGGCTGGAATACACATCAATACGGTGACATGGCGTGAGAAGGGTGTGATTCAACATGTTTCCATGGCAAGGACCCATGCCCGCCAATCTGTGCGTTTGTTTTTCCGAGAAATGATTTGTTTCCTGCCCTGCCCCTCGCATTCTCGCGCCCACGATTACGAGTGCCTCTACTACTAAGTACTAGTACCTGCAACTCGTAAAATCCTATGACTGTACGGCACTGATACAGACGGCCGTGACAGGTGCCTGTACGTAATGGCCGACGGCCAATCCCTGGCACAGGCCAAAAACAACCTGCAAAGGCGAGGGGGTTGGAGAAGAAATCCTTAGGGGAAAAAAGGGCAGACGGAGCGACATGCCGGTGACATGCAATGCTTCCTCAGCAGAGCCAACGTCAAACTCGGCATCTCAGCAGCAGCTTCTGCGCTAGCCTGGTCCCCCGTCATCCCTAACTCGACCCGGGTATAAGTTACGTAGCCCAGGCCCCAGCAGGCTGTACCTCTTGCCGTGGGTTTGCTCCTCTTTTCTGCCATTCTTGCTCATTTCTGCTCCCGGCAACGCCAAACGCAACAAGTACCGGCTCAGGTACCTGTACATCCGAGCCATCCCTCTGACTGGGCCCGCATCGCTCGGACCGGATCAACGCCAAACCTTGAAACTTGGCCAACAGTGCGGATTGGAAAAATCCTCACAGCCCGGCTTCTCTCTTTCTGCATTGCACTCTGTACTGTACCTTGACTTAATCCATCTACAGAACATCTCTAGACCAAAGCGCCCCACGCCCCCCAAACGCGATTCACTGCCGGCACCTCGTGCTTCTATCAAGGACCTTCGTCACTCGACTTCTTTTTCCGCAGCTTCCAACCGCCAGAGGAGAGACGCCGAAAGCTCCCTCTCTCTGCCCCTCGCCAACCCTCTCACCAAAGGCCCTTTTCCCCCCTCGTGCAAAAAAGGTCCGCGCCTTTCGCGTTCGCCACCGTGGCTCAACTCATCGCGATGCCGAATACCCCCCCGCCGGCGCTGCTGCCTCCGCCAGAGGGCATCTTCAGGACGTTTGACGACCTGATGGCCTCGGTCCAGCGCGTCGCAAAGGACCAGGGCTACGGCATTGTCAAGCTGCGCGCCTCCAACTATCGCGACGGCAAGCCCACCCGCTACGACCTCGTCTGCGACCGCGGCGGCGTCAAGTACAACAGCACCGCCAAGAAGCGCAACCCCTCGACGCGCAAGATTGACTGCCCTTTCCGTGCAAAGGCCGTCTGCGAGGTCCAGCTGGGCAACCAGTGGCGCTTCGCTCTGCAAGAACCAAGACACAACCACGAGCCGCGCGTCCCCTCCGGCACCCCCGGCCAGGAGAATGCTCCCTTGGCAACCTCCATCCGCTCCTTCACCAACAAGCTGGACCGCCTGAGCCACGACATGGCCCAGGGCCTGATGCGCATCGAACAGCGGCTCGACAACATTGAGAAGCGCATGGAGAACATCGAGGCCCGCGCCGGCGGCTACGAGCCTCGCTTCCAGGCAATAGAACAGCGGCTCCAGGGCATGGAGGGGCCTCGCATGGACGGAATGGGCATGGACGATGTCGAATCGCGCCTGTTGGCTTCCTCGGTCATGTAGTCCAACACCGGGCCTCAGTCACAGCTGGTGTCGTCTTCACAGCGAGCAACATCTTCGCAGTTGGGGCCGTCTTTGGACTCGATTTCCGGCTAAAAGCTTTCGACCCTCTATTGCAACCTGCTCTTCACAGCTGAATTAGGCCGCGAGGCCCTGCCGGAACAAAAAAGAAAACATATGATGTGCACGACAGACCACCTCATCACGAAACAATCGCCCTACCCTTTTTTCTTTCTCACTTCATTGGCTTGGCTCTGTTGAAATCTCTTCTTGCGCACTGAAAAAAACGGAAAACGACAAAAACAAAAACAAAATCGCGGGCTTGGCCGCATATGACTATGGGTATTACCAGCGCCTGTCACGGCCTGGTTTGGTTCTGTTTTTGATCAAAACAGCCCATGATGGCGGCAACAATCGGGGGAAACAAAGTTTACGGCTCACGGATGCGGGCTGTTACAAATCACAAGGATGGTTTTTGATGGAAATTTGGGGGTTTTACGGTGGCACACAAACAAAGGGTGAACGAAGGCGTTCCGGTCGGCTGCTTTATAGTCGTGTCTTTTTTTTTGTCGTATATCTCCTTTGATATACTATTCCTGGTTCTTTTTTTTTTCTGACTTCCCCACCCTCTACTTGACTTTGTTTTCCTTCCTTTCCTGGTTCTGTATTTTTTTTTTAAGATTGTTGCTACGCTCAGGGCGCGCGCAAAGGGAAATTTCTAGGGAGGAAGGGCGGCGGCGGACAGTTTCTGTATGGATGGCTGTGTTTCTTTTTTTTCGGAGGAATGCGCAGGGCAAGGAGCGCGGAAAACAGACCCCTAGGGAAATAACTTGAGCTATATGAATCCTTGCAATTTGTCTTTTTTCGTTGCCCTTGTTCTCCTTTTATGGCCTTGGCGACGATGTGGCTGATGGTGCTTGTTATATCGCCTTTTCGTCTTTGGCTTCGATGAGGCATATCATGATATGATGCCAAGCTTGTGAAGATGCCGCCATTGCTTTACCTTGACTCACGACTCCTCTTCTTCACAGACTCACACACCCCCCCCTCTTCCGCCCTTCATCTATTCCGTACGTGAGGCTGAGTGAGTGGCTGTCTCGTCTACATAACACGCCTCACTCAAACTAGCCCCCAAATTCCCAAATCCACCGATTGGCTATTCTCTTTGTGAGCGTCACGGCTCTTTGAACGCCTTGGCTAAAAAAGGACCGTAACGTTGTTTCCGCAATCCTTCATACTACTTCCTTTTTTCTAAGCCCCCAAGTTTACGCAATATATCCCCGCCGTTTTTTCTCTTTGAGCTACCTAGATCCCGCGGAATCCGCGTCGCACAGCATACCTCGGCTAGTTCTCTCTAAAGGAACGGAGGGGGGGCCGAAAAAAGAATCCCAAGGATATAACATAATATGCGAACGGCTGGCCGGTCTGTGTGTGTGTGTGGCAGTAAAGTGTCGCACATGTTTCCTCACGCTCTCAGCTCCGAGGCAAGGCTTTCCATTCCTTTTTCTTTTAGTTCATGCAGAGCCTCGTTTAATGCTTGGAGTAAGTGTTTTGATCCAATGAGGATGGGAGAAATGTGTGCGAGAAGTGTGCGAGCGTTGGACTCTTCTTCTTCTTTTTCGTTTAGGGGCGCTTTGGCCAGGTTTTTGAGGAGATAGACTTTTCGGCGGCTTTTCTCTTTTTGTTTAGGTGAATGAATGGGTGAGGTGTGTGTATTTGGCCACCAACAGCATTAGGTTGGCATTGCAATGGCTTCTTTGGGGAAGGGGGAGAGTTTGTATGTGCTGGGATGGATGATAAGAGGGTGTTGTTGATGCACTTGGGAGAGGTTAAAATCGCTGTGAAGATAATTTAGTACTAAACAGGTAAGCTGAAGGCTATGTTACTGTCTGGATGGCCTTGGGGGAGGTTAAAAATGCTGTGAAAGAGTTTATTTACCCTTGCCAAAGGTTATGCAGCATTGAACACCATGTAGGAATGGCAGCAATAGCCTTGGGAGGAGTTAAAAATGCTGTGAATATTACTTTCGAGTCGTATTTGGTAACCCTCATCTTGGTTCCTCGGGGAGAGAAAAAAAAGCTGTGAAATCTGGTACGCCATGTTCTCTAAACTCAGCGGAACATGCCAAGCGACTGGGGTGCAGTTAAAATGTCATGAGATGCCACACGCCCGCGCGAAGCAATTCCGCTTTGGAGAACTCAGTCAGATTGAAGACCAATTTAGAAGGCTTTGGACGGCGCTCACATTGCTGTGGATGCAATGGAGGGTGGTGAACGGAAGCCGACGAGGAACCTGAAAATACAATATGACCTGGTCATGACAAGATGATCCGGTGTGCTGTACTCGTACCTTTCTCTTCGGCTTGGAGACGATGCTATTGTTTTCGTGTAGACACGTGATACTACCCTTCATTCCTTGGAGAGATTACTTACTAGGTATTTAACTCCCCTGCGTAATGACAGGCGCATATATTTGTTGTATAACATCCTTTGTCTGTGAATGGAATGACCACATACCGATTGAGACAATTTTGATACACCTCGAGGATCCGACATAAAGACGGGTAGTATGCTGACTCCGTGTGTATATGCAGCTATCAGATATAGGCATTACTTTAATAAACCCAGTAAAAATAGTGTGGTTGACAAGGGATCTTCAGCTAAGAGGGTTGTTTTTATAGGTTTATTTCGAGGTTTCTCTGACTGGCTCCATCTAAAATCTGTTCAGAACTGGATCACATTAATGGGCTGACATATCACCCTTCCTTAAATAACAATAAGTCGGGGGCCGGATTATATGATGTTGCCGTTGCAGAGAACCGGCCTGCCTTGGGGAATATGGGCTTCTAATTGGAGCAGGGCCCTCGTATTGGCGTTTTTCGAACTTGTCAAACAGTCAATATCCCGTCTTGTAGCATATGTTACTGCTAGCTTTCATGAACCCCAGTGAAAGATTACGTCAAAGCATAGGACATCATACCAAATATGATGCATAACCTATTTGAATACGGCGGATAATGTCCAAAACACAACTGTGCGTATCTGGGAATGCAAACCGCAACAGAATACAAAATGAGAATGTGTTTTGAGAGAGAAACGCTTCCAATCCCCATACCATATACTCCGGCTCCTGAACAAAGTGTAAACAAACGAACCATTTAACCGTAGGGAGCCTGTGTTCCCCTATCCCCTGAGCTAAACTCTGCAGCTTTTTTCGCCCCTCTTCTTCTTCGCCGAGCGGTCTGTCTGGTGATTGCGTCTACTACCACTAATTATGCCTACTACCACTAATCCAGACAGAAACATGAGCGCTAGAAGGTTCTCAGTGCACTCTACATGAACCTCCAACCTCTTCCGTTTCCAGTTCAAGGCGTGGGCTTTGAGCCACGCCAAAGGCCTTCCCGTATGGTCGACTAGCTCCAGCGACAGTTCTGTTGGATGGGAGACACTCATCCACCTGAGCTCGCCCGCATCGTAGCCTTGCAGACTGAAGCTACATGTATTGTTACTGGCATCAGTGGTGACGGTGTATTCTCGGCCGCTCAACGTAAGGCGTATGTCTGATGTCCGGCGGCAAGATAAGGGTATAGTTCAAGAAAGGGCTGGTCGTATGCATGCAGCTTAACAGCATATATGGGTGGGTGGCCCCGAATGCAGGGCTCTGGGTAGATCAGGATCGTCAAATTTTCTGTCTCGCTGCGTCGGATGCTAAGAACCCGCTTGAGGCGTGAAGCGCACCTCAGAATGCCCATGTATTGTTCCATAGCTTTAAAAGAGGATTGTAGTAGATGAATAGAAACACGGAACATCAAGAGGAACTTTGTTTGACGGGGTAGACTCGAGTCAAGCACGAAGGACTTACATAGGTAGGGATGTAAGTCCGTTATGAACACATCTCTTGTCTGCTAGTTGACCTCCCAGGCGGGCCCTTGGGTAAGAACATCTATTAATGAAAATTGTCATGTAATATTTCAATAGTCTACGCTGTAATAGTTGTTATTCTGGGGGTATGTGGATAGTTGTCGATGGTTAAAGGCTTGATGTCGACGGGCCATCTTTACATCGAGTCAATCTACTTGACCACTTGTGCTTACAGATACATGGGGATATGGCACTTCTTGAAGAGCATTTAGTAGCAAAGATACAAACCAACCCGAATCTTTCTCGAGAGACCATTAAGAGTATCAGCGACTCTTTGTCGTTCTTATATCACAACTCATCGAGACTGGTGTCTGTACGTACCTGCATGAGCCACAGCTGCCTCTTGCCCCAATCAAGGCGAGCGCCGCGCCACACCCGATATGGCTGTGATCGCCGCCACACAGCTGTCCAATCGGCGCCCCGAGTTGAGCTAATACAGTGGGCCAGTGACCTCCAGGCTGCCTCGAGCGCTGTGAGCGGAGGATCGTCTTGACATCATCACGAATCCATCAGGAGGGCAGATTCAGCCTTGCGATAAGCCTTGCCTTGCCTTGTCTTGTGAAGGATTCGATTCCTGTGGCTTTTTCAGTCGAATGGATTGATTGGACACTGCAGTCATCACGTCATCACGTCTGAAAGAGAGGAAAACAGGCGCTCCAACACCAATCCACAAGAGAGGCAGACATTGATGCCACCAAACAAGCAAGCAAAGCACCCAAACTGCATAACCAACACAACAAAATCATCTTGCCTGCCCACCTACTGGAGAATAGCACGGCAATCATCTTCCGACGGCGTCGTCTTTCCTCTCATCCCTCCCCACTGCCTGATTAGGCAATACGCAGCGCTCCCAATCAGCCGCCGCCATGCCAGGCGTGCCGACCTATCGCGGCTGCGATGCGTGCAGGAAGCAGAAGAAAAAGGTTCGTTTCAATTGCTCCATCTAGGCCTGCTGTCCCCAAAACGGAGTTGCAAGCCAATGGAAATGCTGGCCACATCACGTCTCTGCCATCCGTGCCGCTAAAGCACCCTCCAGTGCGACATGGCCTCGCCCGCCTGCTCCCGCTGTTCGCGCCTCAACATCCCGTGCATAGGGTGTGGCCAGCTGCGATACAAGTGGAAGGACCAGACCGATCTACAGGTCGAGAGATCGTCCAAAAAGGCCCAAAGTAGGGCGTCTGGGAGCGGGAGCGGGAGCCCATCGTCCATCGCCAGCCTCGTGTCGAACAGGGATACTGCTCGATCTGGGGCCTTTGCCTCGCTGCTGGATATCAACGACCCGAGCTATGACCTCGCCTGCTATGGCCCTTGGTTCAAGGAGCTCCCGCGGCGTCTGGGCACCAATGCAGCGCTGGATGCTGCGGTAGAGGCCATGGTAGGCTTCTACCCACACCTCCGCAGGCATGACCAGTCGTCGCTATCCCGGGGGTCTGTGGTGAAATACGTAAACGCGCTGCAGGCTCTCAGGACCTGTTTGAATGACCCGCAGAGCGCAAACAAGCCGGAGACGCTGTGTGCCGTATACGTGCTGATGATTTGTCAAGTAAGATGTGCCCAAGTGACCCGCATCCTTAAGCATGCACACTGACATGGATGTGTTTCCATCTTAAAGGGGTGGACGGGAAGAGACAGTGATCAAAAGATGAGCCATGGAGAGGGACTTGCACATTTGCTCGATGCAGCTGGGTCCAAGAGTAATCCGGACCCATTCGAAAAAAGTATTCGTGATACCCTTTGTGTGCCTGTCGTAAGTGTCACTGCCTCTTCATGTATAACAGTCGCTTACTTTATGGATGCCAGATCCTAGAAGCCATCTTCAATCCAAAGATACGACTGAGTCCCTGGTTCCTGAACCTCAAGAAACGCGCATTGGGCCCGGCTGCACCTCTTAGTAGCAGTGCCAAAAACTTCCTTAGTCTGGAACTAAGAAATCTTGCCCGGATCCCAGATTTGATCCGAGAGCCTGCCAAGTACAAGGACGACATTGCCGTGGCATATGAACGCGTGCGCTATGAAATACCGTTGTTGAAAGGCGGCCTAGCAATGGCTGACACTCTCGCCTCTGAAACACCAACGCGCGCGGCAACAAAGCTCCGTATTCAGTACCAAGTCTCTTTGGGTCTGCTGATGGGATGCGCCCTGATATATAATGGGTATCTACGTGCCTTTGGAATAGATGATGGGAGCATGGCTGAAGAGGCAGACGCAATGACCAACGACGCCATCAAGTTGGCGCACGACGCTTCGCAATACAGGCCTCTAGGAGCCAGCTTCATACCGCTTTGCCTGATTCCAGGGTGGGCGGCTGCAGGCAGTGTTGAGATTCAGCAGAGAGTGGTTCAGGCACTGGAGGTTTACCAGGACGATTTCACACCTCTCACAAGCAGGAGTTGGTACATCATGGCTTACTGGCTGAGGGGCGAAATGGACCTGATACGGAGCGGGTTGTGGACGTCGCCCATGGAGAATTATAATGATAGACAGTGGGGGACGTTGATGCTCGATGAGAAGGGGGATGTGATTTGCGGCGATGAATCAAGAAGTTGGTTTTAGCCTTAGAGGTGATTCTGGGCATCGTGAGCTGCGTGGTGGATAGACTTGATGGTTTGGCTTGTACACGAGATGAATGATAGACTGGATAGATGGCTGCCATTGGATGGGCATATACACGAAGCTATGAATGAAGCGAAATGCCGAGAATCATTATTCTATGCCCTTCCAGTCTCATACTTTATAAAACTCTAGCTAGCAAAGCCACTCGGGAAGTTATAGCCAATAATTGTGTCGAGTCAAAAGGAACTTTGTGGATCATGGCAACGGAGGCTAACATTTGCCCGATACGGCAAGTTGCAGGGCTGCGTCATGGTTTCGAGTCCTCTCTCACGTTGATGCGATTTTATTACATCAAGCATCTTATTTCATTTTCCATGTTAACTTCATCAATATTTAACATGATACAACAGAAAAATCCTGCTGTTTCAACTGCTTCAAGATACAAGGACAGACCGCCGCTTCCGCAAACTCAGTGCAAAAACTCCTAGTTCCACTCAATCAGTCAGATGGAAGCTTAAACGCAAAGGCGGGCGCTAACTTGGCAGCCTCTTTGTTGCTTCATTCAGCCACTGAAATCTATCAAAAAGAGGCTCTGACGTGTAACAAACAGTCTGTACAAAGCATTGCCATTGTCCCCAGCAGAAAAGAGGCGGAGCACCTGCGGGGTCCTTGCAGCATCAGCATCAGCATCAGCAACAGATCAGCATCAGATCAGCATCAGCAGGACTCTAACCTACCCGATTCATCATCTCACGATAACTTCATCAAGCCTTGACTACTCATTTGGAGCTTGTCAAAATGGTTCCTCGTTCACGAGGCTGGTTCTGTCCATGCTCCTGCATAGGCGGGTCCTCAGACGACAACCAAGACCATCACCAGCAACAGCCTGATGACAATAATGAGTACGAGATCCGGCCTCCTCCTTTGAACCGGAGTTATATGAATGGCGTGTATTATCCCAATTGGCTGGTTTACAAGGGCAAGACGCCGGCAACTCTTGATGTGGACAATATTACGCACGTGTTTTATGCTTTTGTTGGGTGAGTCCTGAGATTTGTGTGAGTGTAAGGACAGGAGCTGATGATTACCTAGTGTTAATGAAGATGGATCCCTTCGTGTATGTTGATGGCCTGCAATAACAATCTGGACTGTGTTGACGCTGAGATAGTGGTTCGATGAGCACGCCGACATGGTCAAGGAAGTCGACGGAGAAAAAGGCGCTCTAGCTGCCCTCGCAAAGCTCAAACGCAATAACCCAAAGCTCAAAACCATTGTGTCTATTGGAGGAGGCACCGGCAGTAAAGAGTTTCCAGCCCTAGCTGCTAGCCGTGATGCTCGGGAGACGTTTGCGAGGCAAGTCCGCCAGTTTTGTGACCGTCACGAAATTGATGGTATTGATAGTAAGGCAATCTTCTCTCCCGCTGAAAACACGCTACTAACTGCTTTATAGTTGACTGGGAGCATCCAAAAGACGCCGAGCAAGGTCACAATTATGTGAGGCTTCTTCAGGAATGTCGCAATGCGTTGCCTGAGAATGACTATTTCCTCACGACAGCTCTTCCTGTTGGCCAGTATATTCTCAAGCACATCGACCTCGATGCTGTGTCGAAGCTTGTCAACTACATCAACCTCATGGCATACGACTTTACCGGCTCTTGGACCAACGTATGCGGCAATCACGCACAGCTTCACTCGCCTAGAGGCGACCTTCAATCTTCACACCCAGAGCTCAAACAATGCGCCACAGATGGTGTTGAATACGTTCTGTCTCGACGGTTTCCTAGCCGAAAGCTCGTTCTTGGGATCCCTGCCTACGCAAGGTTTTTCCCTCGCGCGGAAGGCCCTGGATGCTCTACGGAGAGGGCGGGAGAGATGGATTATTGTGATATTCCGGATCAGTGGGTGGAGAATGCCGTGGTGGACGAGAGAGCCGTGGCGGCGTGGTATGTCGACTCGGGTAGGGACAAGGGATACGTTACGTTTGATGTGCCGCAGACTGTGTACATGAAGGGGAGATATGCGGCTCATCAAGCGCTTGGGGGGTTGTTTTACTGGACTGGGACGGGGGATAAAGGAGGAGAGCTGAGTTTGGTGGCTGCTGGGAGGAGAGGTCTTGATTCTCCATGATGGACGCTTGGCTACTGTACCTAGCAGTCATGAGTAGTGTTTATAAAGTAGTGATACATGCAGTGTTGTTAGTACTTGTATGGCTGTGGTGTTGCGCGAGCTGAACTTTGCTGCGCTATGGAGAGGCAGTTTAGCGGATGCAGTGGCGGAAGATGGCGTCTCGATAATCCTTTGTTGATAGACTTGGCGGTGAAAGGGTCCGAGATGAACAATACTCTAATTTTAACTCTAAATCAAGGCTTAATTTCTTTGTTGCGTCATTGCGTAAGTGTCCAAGAGCGCATTAATGCCCGGATCAGGTGCCTCGCACAAACGAACAAAGAGATTCTGCGTGCCAAGAAGACCCTACGTCATCGAATGTAGATCAAGCAGCCATTCACTCGCTATAAGACAATTTGGAAGCAGCGCAACTCGAGACTTGGCACTTTCTTCACAACTTCACGATACTTTTTGTTTTTACATACCTTCTTTTAATGCTAAACACTTGAGCGTTTTGTTCAAATTACTGCAAAAAAGCCTCTGTGAGTCGCCTCCGAGTGCTAAAATCTGGAGACGCCAGCTGCTAACCACAGAAGCCTAGTAATACCCTTGAGTCTCGTTTTCCAGGAACAACGATAAACATCGACAATTTCCGCATAAAACATCACAAAATCTGCAAGCATGGGTCTGTTTTGGGCGAAACACTTTGGAGGTCGTCACTTTGGCACGAGCGTCCACGCCGATCGACATGGAGTGCGTCGTGGGCCGTGGAGGTTTTCGCTGGGGAAATTCTCCTGCTTCAAGAGTGGCTAAAGGGGGATGGCCGGAGAATATGCGTCGTGTTTTTGAGAGATTGATTTGATGTTGTAGTGCTTCTCTGGTTTGGGGATGGGATGGGCTTTGGCTTCGGTGTTTAATATGGAGGTTTCATTATGACGAGAACAGCAATGCTAATACTGCGTTCTTATTGCTAAAATATCAATCTTGTTAAGAAATCACCCTTCCTAGGACTCAGCCAATATCCACTTGTCCCATCATCGACGCAAGATCGTCGAAATCGTCCTCTGAACCATGCAGAGACCCCACGTCCCAGAGCGTCACTCGTGCAGAACGTGTGTTTGAGTCATCGTCCTTTATACCCGGAATGGCTTTCCTCCTCACAACATCAAATGCATCTTTACGCACCCGCTGTAGTATTCTGTCCACCATAACCTGTCTCTTCTCTGTCCCCTCCGGAATTTGGGATGGAAATACGTCGGGCACGCGCCAGCTGGGATACAGATTGCCATGGGAAGCCCGGTGTTTGACGTTTGACCTGTGCTCTTCGAAGTAATAGTCGCATAGCTTACACGTCGGCTTGCTGCTTCCGATATACATCCAGTCATTGAAGAATCTCGAGGGCACGATCTCGCCCTTGATCGAGATCCAGTTCAGCAAGAGGACTTCTGCATGGACGATTGGCCTGAAGGTGCTTCTGCTGTATTCCTTCTTGATACGGTCGTCAAGGTTGTAGAGCTGGAGATTTCGTACAAAGTCCTTGAATATCGCCATTTCTTTTTCCTTTCGCGTCATGCGGCCGACAATGCCTTCGGCGTAGAGGCTCTTGTTGCGAAAGGGCTTGGGCGCTGGGCGACTTGATGAGATGAAGGAGACGGTAAAGTTTTCAAAAAGGCCGGGCCACTTTTCCTTGGCTAGAAGAAAGAATCTGACCGAATGCAGGTAGGCAAGAATACGTCTGATGGTGTGGAAAAGATCAGCCCAGCATTCCATGCTTTTGTACCCTTCAACTCGATCTTCCAAGGCACGGTCTTCGATTATCTTTCCTTGTCTAGACATTTCGATTTTGGTGAGAAGCTTAATCGTCGTCTCGCACTTGTGAAAATCTGATCAAGTAAACATAGTCAGTCATCTTCTATGGCTAGTCTGTCTCCTAGGTATGGGGGATTTACAGTCAGCTTCCGTATGACCAACTTCCGAGCCAACGTAGGGAGAAGCGAGAATTTTCGCCAACTCCTCAGCAACTAATTCGTCTAAAATAACCGCCCAGAGTTAGTCGAATCAGGTAATCTCACAGCTGTAGCTTAGTGACATACCGTCGTCCCTCTTTCCTACCTCGCAACTTTTGAGACAAGACTTTGCATGCTCTTGGAGTTCACGCAAGTAAACCGAAACCCGAGGACGATTGAAACGCAAAATATAGCATAGCAGAGACTGCATCGCATCATGCTGATTTTCCTGGCCCTCAGGGGCTTGGGCGACTTTGCGCAGAAGGGTAGTGACATACGCCTTTGTGATTTGCAACTGGCCTTTATCTTGCTGGTTCACCGCGAAGACGTAGTGAGCCATGTCGGGGTTGTCTTCGTCTTTGAGGACGACGAAAGAGGTGACGTTGTCGCCCCCCTTTGCTCTATCACACGCATGGCTGAGTTTGTTGAGAAAGGCGTAGAATAGCTCCTTGGGATTCTTGACGTCGATGTTCTCCTCATGGGACCGCGGTGTGGCGATGTGGCTCACAGCTTCAGTCAGAGCCAAGAGGAGGATGACGGGCTCAAAGAATTTGTGGACGATGCGAGAACCTAGCTCGATCGGTTCCTCATTTGTTTGGTCCAAAGGTGATGATGGATCAACTGTGTTGCTGCGAGACAGAGACATGTTGAATGCTGGATTGATATTTTGTTTTGGTGTTTATTCAATTCAACTACGCATGCATGCTTCGAATGCCTCATTTTAGACGACACCCGAGCAGCTTGGCCAAGCTTGATTTATACGACACAAGCATCACGATAATTATGCCTTGTCCTCACAATCTGCACCGTTTCTGCCAGCACTTCTGCTCAATCCTTGCAACAACAATCCCTGAGTAGGTACATTGTCCCCATGTCGTCGACGCCTATTCGCCAGCCTCGTTTGAGTCACCCGCGGCCTCTTGCACAAGCCACCATGAAGTGAACCATTCAGAACCCCTGTAGATGCCAGAGGCCGCAGTTGATGAGACCCAAATCTGCCAGAGGCCCGGTCACGCTCCCCATATCACACACGTGCTGCTCCAATCAGAGGCCGCATCACGCAAGCAAGCTGCACGAAGAGTTGCTGCGTTGGCACGCTGAACCGCCCTTGTCTTACGCAGCCTTGTCCTCGCTTGGAGGGGAAAACAGAGAGATTTGCTCCTCATTTGGGCTAGTATTACTTACACATACCGTCAAGTATTGCATTTGTTTTGCTTGCGGATATCTAAGATACCGCGTTGGATGGGGGATGAAGAAAAATATCTATAATATCCGCCCTGCCTCTCCCTTTCCCCTTCGTTTCTGTGTCGGCTTCAAAGACCGCCGCGCAGGCCGTCGCTTGCGACATTAAAAGCAATTCAAAGAATTACATCCATCACTGCTCCGTCAAAATCGACATGAGAGTCCAGCGCAGGAAGAGACGCGGTTCAGTGCCAGCAATCGGTAGCCCTCAGAGGCACAAGGTGAACTTTTTTCCATGACCCAAGCCCACAGCGATAATGCTGAAGATCTTTGCAGCTTCGGGAACTGCGCAGCCGTGCCATCCTTGAACAAGTTACATGCAACGAGGCTGCAAATATGGCTGGTGTTTATCTCGGCGTTGAAGCCGAATCATACATGATTGATGTGCCTCATGTGGTATCCTGGGAGCAGCCCGACAATGACCCTGACTTACTATTTAATTCTGCGGAAATGGATCTATTCTTATATGATGTCAATATTGGCGCTATCGACCCATTGAATCAGATATACTGCCCTGGACCAACGCCTGAAATGTCGTCAGCCTGGGACAACAATCTAGAGGGTCTCGATGTTTCTGTTACTTGGGATAGCTCCGAGTATTCCGAGACGACATCGCCCTCGTCGCAAGCGGAGAGCAATGGTCCATCAGATGCGTATCTCTCTCATGACATTCCCATCTGTTCGACTTAGTTGAACCGATTGTCACATGAGTTCGGCCTTTACTCCCACACCCCTGGGTTGGCTGAACTTTGTCGGGCATTGATTGAGAACAGAGACCTTTCTGGTAGTGATTGGACCGCCAGGATTACAACAAACGACGAATTTGAAAATAAATTAACAGCATACTTGAACGAATTAACGGCGAATAACATGTCCGTGGATGAGTTGATGGCCATCTTGGAACACAATTTGGTAACGGAAACATTAACCAACGATATATCATACGACCAAACAACAGAGAGCATAACAAGAGACTTGACTATGAATCAGAATATATTAAACGATACAACAATGGATTATTACACGGCAAACTATCCTCAAGGCATGGATTGGGGCAGCAGCAATACGGAAATGAGTGCCGAGCTAACCCCTTCCAATATGGATGATGACAATTTTGACGATGAAGCGGGAAATTCTTCCACCGTCAGCTTCAATGATCCTTCATCAGACACGAGCCCCACCGGTAAGTGCCTCCTTTCAAGCGCTGGTCGTGATTGACGTCTAATGCCTTCTCAGGGGAACTTCGGCCTGGCTATAGATGGTGTTGCGACGAGTGGAAGAAGCACGACGGCAATTTCAAGTAAACAATTCCATCCATTACACGATACTACGGTATACAAAGTTAACTTGTAATCTCTCAACAGAAAGCACTTGAATACCCATAACAAACAGATACCATGCGAGGCAAGTAGCCCAGGGGGCTGCCTCAAACGATTTGCAGACAACAAGGCGCGAAATAGGCACTACTGGGTATCCCACAAGAAGTATGCAAAGGAGCACAATATCCCAAACGAGAAATGTTTTTGCAAGCCCTGTGACAAATCATTTAGTAGGCGAGATAACTTCCAAAGGCACGTTGACAAACACCATTCCAAAAGGGCCGAAAGGGGGAAGAAGCAGATGGTGATTGACGACGAACATGAGATAATTGAAGGCGAAGATGAGGAGTATGCACGGGTGTGTCGTCTCAAGGATACAGAATGAATATCACGAAGTAACGACAATATCATATTTTGAAGTTAATTTTGAATGCAGACAGCTTTTGATGAAGACAGTTGAGAGCGCGGAATCAAGATCGCGTTCGATGCATAATATTCATAAAGGCGGTAAATATGCGTCAATGCGGTTTACCCCGATATCCACAACCACCGCCCAGTGCATCTTCAGCAGTGGCTCGTGAACGACAAGCTCATTCAACACATCCACTTTCATGAGTCCGGCTTCATTCTCCATGAAGCAAACACGTGAAATCCCTTTCTTGTTCATAATGATGATTTGATTCTCCATTTTCAACGTCACGGGACGAATCAACCAATCGCAGCTCCCTCCATAATTTAATCTCATGCCGCCATGGCCGTCCTGACCTTCACCCTCAGCGAAGAGGGTGTCACGGCGTTTCGAGATGCCCTCAACTGCCTGAGCAAATTCAGCGAGGATGTATCCATCGAAGCGCGAAAGGATTCGGTAACGACAAATCACAAATCTCCTCTAGTTTTCCCGATATTCCACCAGCAGCTGCTAACCTTGTGGACAGTTCTTCCTCTCCACAATGAACACTTCCAAATCAGCCTACGCAAGCTTCCGGTTCGCGACCAGCCGCTTCTTTGGGCGCTACCAGTATCAGGGCACGGGGCAGTTTCAGGAGAAATTCTTCTGCTCCATGTACATCAGGGTGAGATTCTCTACTCTATCTGAGAACGACTTTCTCCAGCAAGCTAATCGTCGCTCCTAGGGCCTGGCCTCTCTCTTCCGCAGCAGATCTGGAGTAGAATCGCGAGGCGACGCGGACAAGCAGAGTATCATAGACCGCTGCGATGTCGCCATTGAAGATGGAGAAGGTGTCAAGAGCCGCTTCATTGCGCGAATCATCTTCCGAAATGGACTGACAGCTACGCACCGACTTCCGTTTGAAGTCAGCATGCCCGTGCATGCAAAGTTCAACAAAGAGGAGGCCCTTTACCACTGGAGCATCTCGTCGAGAACCTTGAAGCAGCTGGTGGACCACTTTGGGCCCGGAACCGAGTACCTCGACATCAACACGGATGGCGATCATGTCAATTTCACTTGCTTTAGCGAGAAGACCATCAGCGATGATGGTAAGAGCACCAGTCTCTACATTCTAACGGGATCAAGCTAACGTGTGAGAATAGCGGTTCTTAAGAAACCTCTGCATACCTCGATTGCTGTTGAGACCGACGAGTTTGACGATATTGACGTCGAAGATAAGCTTCAAATCGTCGTCTCCATCAAAGACGTTCGCGCAATCTCGCAGCACGCAGCCATTACCGGCAACGCCATTGTTGCCCGGTATTCCCTTCCTGCAAGGCCCATGCAAATTTCCTACTCCGGCGATGCCATATCATGTGAGTTTCTCATCATGACCGTTGGCGAGCGGGGAGGGAATCCCACAAAGAGGACCAAAAAGGTTCGCAAAGGGGCTGCGAACAAGGGCAGCAACAGCATTAGCAAGGCCATGCCGCATTTAGAAGAGACTTCTCGTCGCGCAACGCCATCACAATCCATGGCCGATATCCAGCGGAAGCAAGCCGCATCGCCTTCCATGCCGCCACCATCATCATCACGGCAGCCACCAAATGCAACTCCGCGACTGAGCGCTGCTAGAGCCAGTGCTTCGCGCATTGGGGCATTTGATTTCCGGTCCTCTCAGAGGCCGCCGCCGCCAACACTCAGGTCGGAGAGTCTTTTTGTCGAAGACGAGGCATGGGAGCCCGTGAGAGACGGCGACGAAGATGCCGATGAGGATGCCAGATTAGAATGGGACCACAGTGCAGATCCTGTAAGTTTCTCATTACAAATCGTCGAGATCATGACTGGAGGCTAACGTGAGGAAGAACCCTTCTGTTTCGCACATGGGACGCGGGGATGATGCTCGACCTAGTGGCTATGAACCAACAGAGGAGGCGCAGCCCACGGCAGCAGAGTCAACATTTCTGGATCCGACTCAGAGACTGTCCGATGTCCAAGGCCTGGCCTTGTTCCCCGACTGATCTTCGGACGAAGAACCGTGGTATGCGTTGGCTTCCAGTTAATTGTAGTTTCAGCTGGACGTGATGGATATCCAGCTAGTGGCACAGCCGGCACCTATGTTATCTATCCTACTTTCAGGGGGGATGAGCTTTGACGATGCAATCACGTTCCATCTTCCTTTGACGTCGTTATTCTCCACCTGTGGTCCGCAGTTGCCATGTTCTCCCCAGCCCCATGACAAGACGTCGCCGTCTGCTGTGAGAGCGACAACATGTTCACTGCCAACGGCCACCTTTTCGAGAGGGGGCAGATTTGATGGGGGGAGCTGGCCATGGTCGTCTCGTCCCCAAGCCGTCAGGCTTCCATCTTGGCCTAGGATGTAAAAGTTGCCCCAGCTAGCTCCGACATCTTTCCAAGCCGGGGCTGCTGAAGGGGCTGTCGAAATTAGACTCCATTTATCTGAGCCCAAGACTTGAAGGTTCCCGCTGTCTGGTTCTCCAAAAAGACATGTAGATTCTTTTGCACAAACCGCTCTGACCACCTTGAAGTTTACTCCCTCAATCTTCCGGGGCGTGAAGACTACTGCGCTGGGCTCGCCAATCTGAGACTTGCGGCAGTTGCCCCAGCCGTAAACTTCGCTGTTGTCCAATACAACAACGACATGTCCCATGCCGGCAGACAAGTCCACAATCTCTGTGTCGGCTGGGGGGAAGTTTTTGATCCTCGTTGCCGACGGTGTCCGTACAATCAACTCTCCCAGGCCCAGCTCTCCCTTCTGCCCTATGCCGAGGCTGAACACTTTGGTTCTCTTTCCTTGTTCATCCTTAGAAACAACGATAGAAGCCTCCCACGTAGCCGCAACAAGAGCAACTTGTCCAACTTGATCGTCACTCTCCTCCTTTGCGAGTCGAGCTTCCAGGAACACGGGGATATTTGGGAACGGCCGCAGTCCACATGCTCCACTGGCTGATTCTCCACTCCAGTACAGCTTTCCAGACTCCGTGAGAAGAAGAGTGTGATTCCCGCCAGCAGCGACTTTGACGATGCGAGAGCTGGGCTGCTCGGGGTGGAAGAGGACGGGCTTTGGTACGGAGACGTCTTCTTTGTGGCTGATGCCGAGTTGGCCGGATCCGTTGGACCCGATGGCGTATATTGCTTCCATTCCTGGGGGAAGAAAGGCCTAAAGAAAGAAGAAGAGAAGTGAAATAAATGAGTTGATGAAGCCTCCTCTCACGGTGAATGAATGACTTTGTAATCCGTGGATATTTGAAAGCTCGGATACTTGCATCTCCACTCTCGGCCCACGATATCGGACTATCAAGCTCCCCGACCCCACTAAGCCTCGCTTACTCATCTCTTTTTTTTTTCTCAACCACATAAAGCATCTTCTCGCAAATATTTTTTCTTCTTTTTCCCACTCCCACAAACCCAGCCCTGTTTTCTTCCTCGCCTTCCACCGAAGCGGGAAAAAACACACAAAAAAGACGAATCAAGTCTTTTGTTTCTGGGCGACAGCAATTGGAGAACCCTCTGCTTCAGGAATCCCCGTCGAGCAGCAGGGCCGCAATGGCTTCGGCACCGTCCAGCGTCCCGGCGGGGATGGAAAACTTCACCGTCGGGCTGATTGGCATGGGCGACATGGGCAAGATGTACGCCGACAGACTGTCGGAAGCTGGCTGGAGGTGAGTCTTTTGCGTCTTTGAGAATGGATGCTTTTTCTCCGCCTCTGGCAGATTTTCTCTCTTGCAGGTAAGCACACACTTTTTTCTTCTTCTTCTCTTCTTTGGCGCGTTGTTTCTACCCTTTTTTCGTGATGACATGAGCGCATTTGGCTCGAGTATTGCGCAGGGACGCCTGTCCCACCGTTATGGTGATCAGAACCGGACCTGTGCTTTCAGTGATGAAAATGCTAGCTACCTTACTTTTACCTGTCTGAAAAAAAAAACATCCCCTTTACCCTTTTTGTTGTTTTCGACTTGTCTTGAAAATTTTCACAAAGCGGAGAAAGCTAACAGTCGGAAAAGATAGTAGAGACAAACCTTGCAATTGGTGTCCCTTTTGTTTTCCACGTAGACGCTCGCCTCGCCCAAGACAACCGAGTAATTAACGGTGCAAGTTCAGAATCCTGGCGTGCGACAGAGAAGATAGATACGATAGCCTTAAAGAAAAATACAATGGCAAAGTACGCACTGCGCTGCCTCGTTCCACTGCAATGATGTTTCTTTTCCTTTCTCTTGTCGCCTTTCTTCCTTCCATCGTGACAAAGTCGGATGCTGAAGCCTGTCTCTCCCGTCTAGAAGAACATTGAGATTCTGCGCAACGGCCACTTCGTATCCCGCGCGAGCGACTACATCATCTATTCGGTCGAGGCGGCTTTTATTGATCGTGTGATTGCTCAATATGGACCCTGTATGCTATACCCATCATATCTCATGGTTCTTCCGTATACCAGCATGTCCAACTGACGCTCGCGATGTCGTCTAGCAACCAAGATGGGCGCCATCGTCGGCGGCCAAACCTCCTGCAAATCCCCCGAGATCGAGGCCTTTGAAGCTCATCTCCCATCAGACGTCTACATCGTCTCATGCCACTCCCTCCACGGCCCCGGCGTCGACCCCCAGAACCAGCCCCTGGTCCTCATCCAGCACCGCGCTCCCGACGAAGCTCTCCGTAAAGTTGAAATCGTGCTCAGCTGTCTCAAGTCGAAATACGTCCATCTCACAGCCCAGGAGCACGACCGCATCACGGCAGATACCCAGGCCGTCACACATGCTGCGTTTCTCTCCATGGGCAAGGCGTGGCACGCAAACAGGCAGTATCCCTGGGAGCTCAGCCGGTACGTCGGCGGTATTGAAAACGTCAAGATGAACATTATGCTGCGCATCTACTCGCAGAAATGGCACGTCTACGCCGGCCTGGCGATTCTCAACCCGGAAGCCCGCAAGCAGGTCGCCCAGTACGCAAAGTCCACCACGGAACTCTACAAGCTCATGCTCGAGGGCAACTTTGACGGCCTCAAGGACCGCATCTACGCCGCCCGCGACCGCGTCTTCGGCGCGTTCAAATCATGGGCCTCACGCCCACTCCTCGAGCCCTCCATCCTCACGGCCTTTTCCCTCGGCACACCCACCCCCGAAGAACCCGCCCGGCCAAACAACCACCTATCCCTCCTCGCAATGGTCGACTGCTGGGCGGCCCTCGGCATCGTGCCCTACGACCACATGCTCTGCAGCACGCCCCTCTTCCGGCTGCGCCTCGGCGTAACGGAGCATCTCTTCCGCAACACGGAGATGCTCGACGAGACGCTCCGGACGGCGGTGGACGACAAGCGGTACCGGAGCGATGACTTGGAGTTTACCTTTGCGGCGAGGGGGTGGGCGGAGTGTGTTACGCTGGGGCACTTTGAGACGTGGGAGAAGCGGTTTGTGAGCACGCAGGAGTTTTTCCAGCCGCGGTTTGCGGATGCGAAGAAGGTTGGGGATGAGATGATGAAGAAGGTGCAGGCGAGTATGGATGAGGCGTTGAAGATGGAGGATAAGTGAATGTAACGATGAGTTGCTACGGAGATGCAGTGTCATGAACATGGTTCGGAAGTTTAATATATTGAATCAATCTTATGGTTACTTCTACAAGCTATATATTGATTCTTGTGGACATGGTATATATTCCTCACAACTCTGTCCCATGTAGTGTATTGCAGGGCATTTAATGTTGTAGAACTATGCTATTTTAATTCTCTTATTACTCTGTTCTTCTCCATCGTCATCACTCCAATCTTCTGCATCATCTTCATCATTCCATTTCTTCTACATTATTATTGCTCCATTCTTCAACATATTTCAAAGACTCCAAAGTACCGGGATGTTGTGGGCCAAAGACTCGCCGGTAAGCCCCGAGAGCCTCCTTCATTAGCGCCAGAGCATCTTCATGTCGGCCTTGGTCCTTCCAGGTATATGCGAGTTTTTTCATGATGGTAAGTGTGTCTGGATGGTCGGTTCCAAGCTTGATCTTGGCACCCTCTAATGCTTGCACCTGTAGTTCCTCGGCTTCATTAAGTCGGTTTTGGGCCCGATAGGTTATTGCAAGGTTATTCATGAATCGAAGTGTTGTTGGATGGTCGGTTCCAAGTTCAGTCTTGCAAGCCTCCAATACTTGCAACCCTAGCTCTTCAGCTTTATCCCATCGGCCTTGCTCTCTGTATATGAATGCAACGTTGCTTAGACTTTGGAGTATAACTGGATGATTGGGTTCAAGCTTCATCTTGTAAGCCTCTAATGCCTGCACCTCTAGCATTTCAGCTTCATCCAACCGGCCTCGTTTCCTATACGTTGACGCAAGGCTGCTCATGCTTCTGAGTAACTGTGGATGGCCGGCCGCAAGCAGAGTCTTGCGAGCTTCCAATACTTGCAGTTGTAGCTTCTCGGCTTCATCTAATCGGCCTTGCTCAGAATATATTAATGTAAGGTTGTTTATGCTTGTCAGTGTATTTTCGTGGTCGGCTCCAAGTTTCGTCTTGAAGGACTCCATCACTTGCACTTGTAGCTCCTCAGCTTCATCCAATCGACCAATGTCTGCCAGCACCCATGCATATACCGTTAAAGTTGCCAAAGTCCAATGACCACTCTCTCCAAACTTCTTCTCAAAAATCTTCTTAGATTTAACCAGCATTCGCTCTGCAATGTTATATCTTCCTTGTGAATATGCATAGAACCCCCCGTTATAACACAGAGTTGCCCAGTTAGTTAGGGTATCTGCGTTCGGTTGGTAATCAAGGGCCACCTGAACATGTGCAAAGAGATCCTGGCACATTGCCCAGTTGTCATATCTCACTGTGGGAACCAACATTGCCATCCGCGTAATGTATTGCTGCATGAACGTCTCTTGCAGTGCAACAGCTTTCAGCCAGCTTTTAATTGACAGTTGCACAAGTCTGTGCATCTCAAATATGTCGCCTTTTTCGTTCATAGCAATAAGGCAGTAGTTCCTCAGAATCAATATGTCTTCTTCAAGCTTGCCATTTGTATCGCCATGAGAATCGTCGTCAGCCTCGGTTGAGTCAATGCTATCGTCGGACTCTATGTCCTCGGTGTCAGATTCCGAATCTTCACTGTCGCTTGGCGTCCTGAATTCGATAAGCACCCACTCGGGAATGCCTTGCCGATCGAAGAAACTCATGAGTGATAGAAGATCTGCCGCAGAGCGATGATGCGAGCGAATGTATTCAAACGATATTGTCCACGTTTTCAGGACTGCATTTGATGCCTCTTCCTCCCTTCCTGTATCATTTGCTTCATACTTTAAAAGTCTCATGCTTTCCCGCTCGCTCTTCCCAAACTCGACAAGGTATTTCTCAATCGAACTTCGCGGCTTCCTCGCTTGTATATAGGCAGCAGCCTGGCTAATAGCCAACGGTATACACTCCAGTGCCTTGACAAGATCTTCTGCCAAGCTTCTATCATCCAAAGGAGATCCCATCTTCCTCTCCAAGAGGGTAAGCGCATCCGTCTCTGACATTGTATCAACGTCAATAATGTGCTTGTACCCCCCGGTCAGTTTAGAAGCAATGCTTCTGTTGCGCGTGGTAAGGACAATGGATCCGTTTCGAGTCTTGGGAATGTATGCCGCCAATGGCCGTTTGCCATAGCCACTTTCGTCTATGCCATAGAGCACCTCGGTGTCATCGGCACTATCAAGGATGACAACCCATCTACCGTTATGTTCGATGGATAGCCAGTTTCGCACAAGAAGCGCTATATCAGCTTTAGGTTGCTTCCGCTCAGGCAATTTCACGGCGTCGGCAATCAACCTGAAGCCTTCTTGAACACGTGCCTGTGTAGCTGCATGAATCCAGAACACCCAGATGTTCTTATGCTCTTCAGCGAATCTGTGGGCGAATTCGATAGCCAGCTGCGATTTCCCAACACCACCAAGGCCTACCAGCGCCACTCGACCGGCTGGCTCCAAGCAGCGTGCAGAAATCCGTTCGAGAATGTCTCCTCGGTTGACGAAATCGGGATCGCGACTGAATGGGATCAGCGGGAAAGGCTGTGGTGGAGTTTCTCGTCTCTCTGTTAGACACACACAGTAATTAGCCTGGTTCGTCTCTGAATGGCGTCGATCTTAGTACCCTGGGGGTAGTTGAACACATTGTGAACATCGCCTTGATGGAGTGTAGTATTACCGCGAAAGTCGTTATTGCCGACATTGCGGGAGTGCGATGCAGTTGAGTTCATTATGATGAAAGCAAACTGAAACAAACAAGATCGAGGTGTTAAGATGGCATTGTTAGAGATGAGGAGTTGGGTACAGTTGGGCTCATAGTTGTTAAGAACTCGATTGACCCCTCACTTTACAAGGCGACCAATAAACAGCCTTGATTAGATGTCGCATAGTCTTTTACAAGAGATGTATAGGGAAAAAGTACTTTCCATGTGATGTTCCATTCAATTGTTTTAGTTTGCTACATCGAGATCCGGGAATCCATTCGTTGGTTCCGGATCAAAGTATGATCCGCCACTATCGCATGATGAACTGACGTCGAAACCGAAGCGCAAGTTATTGAAGCCAGGTACTCATACGTAGATTAATCATATAAAGGTAGTTGAATATACCGCTTCGATAATATTGAGCTGTGTACTTGGCAAGCCGAGGTCAGAAAAAGACCACAAGAGGAATAAGTGCATACATTCAGCAATCAAGTAGCCCATCCTTTTATGACGGAACACCTCTTCAGCCAGCACCCGAATTTGGCCATACAACTTAGTACCTAATAGTAGCAGTAATTAATAGAGAAATATACCTAGATATAGTAGCAGGTACTTCAAGAACAGGTGTATAATCCAACGCCTGGGTATTTGTCTTCTTCTCAGTCTCGGAGTTTCTGTCCTCCGCTTGCTTGGGTTGCTTCAAGAATAAAATAAGACGACAGCAAGACTCACCAAGTGCGAAAAGGGGGCGGACGAAGACAGCGATATACGGTGGTGGGACGAAATAAAAGGGGGCTCTTCGCTTTTATCATGTGGTAGAAGATGAAATAAATGGATAGGTGGTAGATATTGCCGGTATGCATTTTGGCTTTGTTTTGGTGTCGAATAGGGGCAGTACAGAGATTTGTCGAGGGAATGCGAATCATGTTTCTTACTGCCACAGTTGCTGCACCCAGAAGCAACACACTTGTTTCACGGACCAAATTCCATTCAGCGCATGTACAGAGGCAGCTGTCTCCGTCTCAGACCAAGCGGCGACAAAAAGAAACGTCGTTTTGACTCGACAAACGCCTCCTACCGAACCCACCAATGCGACATGACTCATACAAACGATCGCTGTCAACCTGCCAATGTCTATCACTAATAATACAAAAACGAAAGCGGGTGGATAAAATCCTCTAGAGAGCATGGGATCAAGCCTGCGTTATGACATCTGGAACCCCCAGTTCGACGCTCTCCTCTAGCATGGCTACCCCGTGCTGCACTTTGAGCGGAGATGGAGGAAATCGTTCACCCAATACAGGAGTCGATCCGGCACTTGTTGCTTCGTGGGGTGACTCGTCGACGCTCAACTCACGAAGGTGGCCACTTGCCGAAGTTTGCGAAACTGCCGATTCAGAGAGCAACATGTCAATCTGACTGGAAGAAGCCTGTTCCGAGGGAGTGGAACTACTTGTTTGTTAGCTGCTTCACAAGAATGAGATAGCGTTTTAAAATCTAGCTACTCACCAGCCGATATCATCGATGCGGTCATCAGTCTCATTCAAGTGAATCACTGGCGACGGCGGAGGTGTCCACTGCTGGGGATCAAACGTGCCGGATCCAGCAGCCTCTGCAAGCACATCCAGATTCTCGCACTTGGGAGAGTACTTTAAATGCACGACGTTTCCCGATCCTTTGGGAGTCAGAGACCAGTCAAAATCAGCATCGTACTCTTCGATCTCGGCGTCATCTCCCTGTCTTGTCCACAAACGGCGCCCACGAGCTATCTGGGCGTCGATCCAGTCCGTGGCACTCATAGTTGATGCGCGTGAATCGTGCGTAGATTGAGCGGGTGAAGATTGAGGCTGGCATAGTAATGTTAATCTCAACTGCAGTAAAGTGTTATTTATACGCCAAAGCAACTTACCAGAGGAACCGGACGGCAGCCAATATCCGTGAGCACGTTCGCATCAACGACAGGTCGCTGGCCAAGGAGGTGGAAGCTGTAGCCTGCTGCTGCAGTCGGCGGCACCTCGCCATCGGCAACGGCGTTGAGGCTTAGAAATGCGCGGTCTGCACAGCCAGGACGACAGCTTTGGCATACTCGGTACTGGCACTCTTCTTGCGGAGTGCACAACCACGGCTTCTGGAATCCAATGTTACATGAAGCGCTGTCTAGCCCATAAGGCTCAGCGAGGCGACTGAGTATCGCGGCGCTATTCTTGCGAACCTTGTCTCGCTGAATAACAAGCTGGACCTGGAATGCCAGTCAGTGCCTAGACAAACGACTTGAAAGGTCTCCAGGGGTAGTGCGGTGCGTACATTTTCACGCTGCCTGAGTATGTGAGCCACCTGGTCAGGGCGGTACTTTGAAAGCTGCTCCTGGTTGATCTCCTGAAAGAAGCTGAGCCGGTCCTCGCGAGCAGCAGGGCTCCTCTTTCGAATGCCCATCATTGGGGTCAACTGACTACCGACCTGGTCCATGCTAATCTAGTTGCGGTCACAGTTAGCATTTTCTCCGTGGTAGCTCGTCAGCACAAACGCCGAGTTTCGTCGCATCTTCGTTGCCATACAAAGTCTCCTCTCGCCACGGCGTGCTCTATCAAGTCCTCTCTATCCTGCGTGCACTGGTAGAGCCAGCCAGAAGGTCCGGGATAGTGACAGTTGGAACAGAGAAGACTTGGGCTGTAGATTCTCGTCATGGTGGCGTGGGTGCATTGCGGCTCGAAGACTGGGCGCCTGTGCAAACCCGGAGGAAAGCGGTGATACATGGTTGACGGGTGTTTGATCTCCTATTTGAAGCAGAGATGAGCTGTCGTGAAGCTGTTGTCGATTCCAAAACGGGATAAGCAGGCGATGCTCAGGCGATGCTCAGGCGCTGCTCAGGGGCTTGAATCCCGAGCTGGGTAAGTCCTAACGATGTTGGCGAAGAATGATGGCGAGATTTAGGACAATGGAGAGGCCAGATATTGGATTATTGGGGAGTGAAAAGATGAAGATTTTTTACCCTCGATCATTTTGGACGAGGCAGGCACTTGAAGGGGGGAATCTGAAAGTTTTGCAGGCAGGTGCCGGTGCGTGACTGACTGCCAGTGCCAAACAGCTGCCCGCCATTGCAGTGCTGGAGGCTCAACTGAGGCTGCCCTGTTGTTAGTGATTGACGCTCGTGATTTAGGTGCTGGCGAGCCTACTAATCCAGCCGATTGGAGGTTCCATCTGATGTGGAAGAATGGCATGAAGCCCTTGAAGTCGATCCATCAAATTGTTCAAACAAGACAAGGCCCTGAATGGGATTGGCACTTGCATGATGAGGCTTCATTGTCGAGTATTTGAAAGAGTGGATGGACAAGGCAGCTACCTATTATACTAGATGATGGTGACAATATGGCAATGAGAAAAGGCCGAAACATTCAAGACAATCGTGTGCCTGTTGTAGCAGTGTATCATAAGTCATCAATGTCGGGTATGTGAGCAGCCACCATTGTGTGTCAAACGGCAGAGACCGACGGCAGTATAACAACAGTCTCGCCATTGGCCAGCAGAATGCAAAAAACCACCACAGCCATTCATTATTCAATCAATCATATTATTCGATACAGGTGCCTACAGTATTGATCCAGCATGTATCACCTGTACGAGCGTGCACTTAGTAGCCTGCATAACAGCCAATATCGGCCAATGAACGCGCGCAAATTTCTCCTTGTTATCGGTCCTCCACACGACACCGCCCGCCGACCCAATAGGAACGCCAACAGCTGCAGCGCTCCCCAAAACAAACAAAAACCTGTGCACTGCATCTCACGGGAACAGCCCATGCCGCCACCCAGGCACGGCACGGTACGGCAGTGTATACGAGTACAGTGCAGTGCAGTACCTAGGGGGGGAAGAGGCGAACGAACCGGTTGATTGATTGATTGCTTGCTTGCTTGATTGATTGCTTACAGGCACAGGTACAGGCACAGGTACAGGCACAGGCACAGGAACGCGGGCAAACTTGGATCGGAAGTGAGGCGCTGCCACAGTCATCATCGCTCATCTCATCTGCACCATGCACGACAGACACGCGCGTGGCCACGGCACAGCCAGGCTTCAAGGTTAGCAGCAGCCAATCTCGGGTCCCCCAGCCTCCAGCCTCCATCCTCCATCTACATCGTATCAAAAAATCTTCGTGGTTGCTGTGGAGAAGGGAAATCAAACCAAAGACGGTGCCGTCAATAACCCTCGCAGGGGCCGCAAAAGCGCGCGACTCCAGCCAATGGCGGCCGCTGTTGAGCAACAACACCACGACAAAGCAAAGACAAACCTTGACCTTGCCAATGATGCTACCGCACGCCTTCGTACAACTAGCGGCGGCCGTGCCTTTGGGCTTGCAGCTTGCCCGGGGCCTGGCCTGGCAACCTCGCGACAGGCCTTGCCTCTCATCATCTCAACCCCCTGCCTCTCGTGCGTCTTAGCCTCGACCCAACACTCCAATCGCCAGCCCGGAGCCGCCCACATTTCGCCCACACTCGCCCACTTTCAGCCAGCAACGGGAGCTTCAGGTCGCGACTCGACTCGACCGAACGCTGCGCTGCCCGATCGTGCGACCCCATCCGTTTCCCAGCCTTTTGTTCTCACCTGCCCAGCTCCCCTCCCAGCTCCCAGCTCCGGGCTCCAGCTCAGCCCAAAAGCTTGCTTGCAGGTGCGGAAAACTGGAACCGCGCTGCCAGACGCGTCTCTTGATTCGGCCGCCGCGCACCCACCCGATGCCCAAAGCAGACACAAGTTTATTAGGTGCCATCGGTCGGATTACAGGAAATACGGGGGGATTCTCAGGTACGGAAGCTCTGACTCTGGCCGTCTGTCTGTCTGTGTTCGAGGGTCGAGGTCGAAGCTGTGCCTGTACTTGCACTCGTGGCTACGGAGCACGAGTAGGTACTTGTAGCGCCAGTCCAGTCCGATCCAGTCCAGTACAGCCCAGCATCCCGTATCGTACTCATCGGTACCTACCCTTTGCTCACGTACCTCGTCGTGGCACAAGTCCCCCCGTGTGGTCTCTCTGTACCTGCCTCATCTCATCTCTCTCGACCTAGACAGGTACGAGGTACCGGCGTCATCCTTCCCGCCCAGCCTCTCTCATTCAATCGCCTCTGCGCTTCTTCACTCTTCACTCTCACTCCCTCGCGCGCTCCCTCTCTCGCCTCTCTCCCTTCTTCCCACTCCCTTCGGGGCCGCTGAGAAGAATCGAAACGACAATCCCCCGGCACAATCGTCTCTGTCCCAGAACAAACCACGTCGAGCTCCCGCGAACGTTGCTGCTTGAACCGGTAAGTGTTGGCATTGAGGCCGCTTTTTGTTTGTTTGTTTGTTTTGTTTGCTTTGCTTCGCTGTGTGTTGCTGGTCTCGCCCGTCTCTCCCTGTCCCTCCCGCAGCTCCCCTCAGGTTCAGGATCGCTTCGTCTTCCCAAGCCGTCCGTCATCCTAGCGGACGCGACACGGTTGGCAAGGGGAGGCGGTTCAAGGGCCCTCCTCAAGTCCCCTTTGCCGAGGCAAGCAAGTCGCAAACTGTATGCACTTGCATGCTCAAGAGCTGGATCAGCAAGCCCGGCGGACTCCAGACATGTCCATGTCCAGGGCCCGGGGGGGTTGGGAGACCCACTCAGCGCATCAAGGCTCAGTGTCTCGTCGTGTAAACAAATCCATTGGCCAGGCCCTGTCACCACGACAGCCTCAATTGCTCCCCAATCTCTCCGCCGCCCGAAGCGTTTGCATCTGCTAATCATCCCGCCGTCGCGTCGTTGGACAGCCAGACCCTCTCCGCCCGTCTCATGACGACGTCTTATCCCTGACCTGCCCCACGAGAGCAAAGCTGCACGTCGATTGATCCTGCAACAACATCTCAAGTCGCTTGTCTCTACCACTGTTGTTGCCGCCGCCGCTCCCCGTCGCCGACGCCACGATCCCCGATCACGACCACGACCCGACCACAGCGACACCGCCAGCAAAACGAGCACCATGTCGGTCAAATTCGAGCGGGACACGATCCAGACCCTTCAAGATGCGACCTCGACCGCTCTTCAGCCCTTTCAAAGCGTCGCCGCCGACAATGGCCCCATAGTCCAGAGGTCCATCAAGACGGTCACCGAGAAGACGGTCGACGCGGCTGCCCAGCAGGCTGCTGAGCGCGCCGCCGCTCTCGCCGAGGGTCCCGGGCCTATTCGAAGGGCTTTCGAGGGCGCCGCTCCCCTTCCCGGTACCAGTGGAAAGCACCCGATCGCCGAGACCATCGGCACGGCATTGACTGGAGGAAAGGCCATGGCCGGCACCAAGGGTTATCTGGCGGTATGTTTTTTTATAACTCTGGCGCGCAAACCGAGCGAAGGAGAATGGAGGAGGAGGAGAAAAAGCCACCAGAAGTTGGCAGTAGGTTTGAATTTAGGTTTGGCTAACGGCTGTTTTAGGCCTACATCAAGGAGCTCGAGTCGAACCCTCTGCGCACCAAGATGCTCACGGCCGGTACCCTCGCCGGAGCTCAGGAATTCCTCGCCTCGTGGCTGGCCAAGGACCGCAACAAGCATGGCAACTACTTCACCTCGCGCGTGCCCAAGATGGCCGCGTACGGTGCCTTGGTCAGCGCTCCCCTGGGCCACTTTCTCATCTGGCTGCTCCAGAAGCTCTTCAAGGGTCGCGTTAGTCTCCGGGCCAAGATTATCCAGATCGTGGTCAGCAACCTGGTGGTATGTGCTCATCCAATCTTATAAGCGAATTGCTTGCTCTACTCCCTCATGACATCATTCATGCTAACTCGTTGATGATTAGATTGCGCCTATCCAGAACAGCATCTACCTGGTCGCCATGGCTCTCATTGCCGGCGCTCGTACGTTCCACCAGGTTCGCGCCACCGTCAAGGTCGGCTTCTGGAGAGTCATGCGCATCTCGTGGCTCACCTCGCCCATCTGCCTGGCCTTTGCCCAGCAGTTCCTCCCTGACGAGCTCTGGGTTCCCTTCTTCAACTTGGTCTCCTTTGTCATTGGCACTTACATCAACACCCTCACCAAGAAGAAGCGTCTCGCCGCCCTGCGCAAGAAGCACTACGGTGATAGCCGCGAGACCCGACCCCCTTACGGTGACAGCCGTGACAGCCGCGACAACCGTCCTCCTTATGGCGATAGCCGTGACAACCGCCCACCCTACGGTGACAGCCGTGATAACCGACCTGCCCAGATGGGTCGCCCCGGTCCCGAGGATTATCCCCCTCCCCCCACCAACATTGGCGGACACAATCCCCAATACTAAAGACAACTGGGACCTAAAGGCCTACAATGATACCCTGGCGGCGGACATGCGCTGGAGTACTCTCCCCTTCTAAGGCAGCCGGGTAATTTAAAAAAAAAACCATAATCTGAAGTGTGGCGGAAGACGTTGAGCCATTTGTTCCCTCGCGTAATGTTTGGCAAAGGACGCGAGAGAAGGGAGCACGAATTTTTCTAAATGAGAAAAATTGCCAGTGAGAGCTTTTTGTTTCGTCTCGACGACACGATTTTGTCTTGGAGGCTCCATGTGTCAAAATGACTGCTCCTCTTCTTCTCCGAGGAGAGATATGATGCAATGAATGGGAGGTATTTGAGTTGGAAAGGTGGCTTTTGGGGGGGAGGGCAACGCGATGTTTGTTAGTAATGACTTGGTTAGATGCTCCTTGTATAAATGTTTGATTTTTTTTGGACGTTTTTGTCTTTTTTTTTTTTTGTTCGCACATGTATCTGTCTTCTTTGTTGTTTTTACCCTGTTAATGTCATGTATCAAGGTAGATAGAGTCCGTCTTGGCGTGCCGTCTATATACTTTGACGTAAATTGAGGTGGTTGTACTGTTCTCGAGTCGTATGTGATGGCGTGTGTAGACGACGTGGAGCCAAATGTGATCATGTTGGGCGAGTCGGGTGTTGTTATTGGCTTCGCGATGCAAATGTGTATGAATAGAAGAGATGGTGTAGCCTCTTAGTTTGAAACAGCCAACTGTTGTGCCTTTGACTGGACATGGACTCGGCTGGTTCGACTCAGGAACATTGGCTCAGTGGCTGTTTGCACATCGTCTCTTAGGAGTTTGAGTAGTCATATCCTGGAGATATACTCCTTTACCAGCCTCCTCAAACACCCGCCTCGCCGTCCGTGCCGGCATCAGCCATGACGCCCGGGCTCCAGTACTCCCACTCGCCCTTGGTCTGCTTGTCCACCCACAGCATCCCGCCGGCCATCAGATCGTCGATGACCGTCTTGCATCTGGCCTCGTCCCAGCCGAGGTTGTCCCGCAACATGCCCACGCTCACGTAGCCCAGGACCTGCGCTGCCTCCACGACAGCGGCCTGGTCGGTGCTCAGCTCACGCGGCACGCTACGCACGTACTCCTTGCGGCCGACGGTGACAACAGCGTAGCTGCCAAGGGGCTTGAGCGTCTCGACGGCGCGGCGCACGTCGTCGTCACTGATCGAATCGGCGCCCTCCATCCGGCCCTTGGACACGCGCTCACGCAGCTCCGAAAGGCCCATCAAACCACCGTTCTCGCCTCGCGTCGCACCGCAGACCTCGACGATGCGCACCGCCAGCTCAAAGTAAAAGTCATTAACCGTCTTCCCGAGCAGCTGCGCCCAGACCGAGTTGCCGGAGCCGCCGCTGTGGTTGTTTGACGAGGCGAGGGGGTCGACGCCGATGGCGGAGCACATGCGGGCGAACTGGGCGCGGAACGAGGGGTCGGAGCGGATGTCCTTTGCGTGGGTGTGGGCGAACTGCTGGAGGAGGGAGCGGAAGACGGCGAGCTGGGTCTCGAGGGCTTGGGCGTTTGTGGCGCGGAGGGAGGAGCCGTGGGAGGCGAATTGGCGGGAGGTGATGCGGGAGCGGTCGAAGGCGGCGATGCCGACACCTTTGCGGGACATGGTTGTGATGGTTTATTTGATGGTGGATGATGATGATGATGACGTTGATGATGACGGAGAGGAGTTGTAGGTGGTTAGATGGAGGAAGATGGAGGAGGAATTTGTAAGAATAGATAGAGTGGTGGAGGAAGAAGGAGAGGGAGAATAAGTAAACAGATGGAAAAGTGATGATAAAAGGTTATAAAGAGGAGGAGGAGGAGAGAGAGAGAGAGAGAGAGAGAGAGAGAGAGAGAGAGAGAGAGAGAGAGAGAGAGAAAGGGTGAGGCTCAAGTTGAGGTTGAGAGTTTCAATAGGGAGGTTCCGGTTTGGAGGGGCGGCAGTTCAGCGGGGCTGCCAAGGCGGCGAGGGTGCCGAGAGAGCTGAAGGTACAGAGTACAGGTACATGCACCGCTACTGGGGGGTGCTGTGATTGAAATGTACAGCACAGCATAACGACCTGTAAATGACAGGTGATGGATTTGATAAGATATTTAAGTGGAATTTTGTGCTTGGGGATTAGTAGTGAAGTGATGGAGTTGTACACGTGTTAGTACCTGAAGCTGGAAGCAACTTGTATATACGACTTTAATGGGGTACTTTAGCTTCAGAGAGTTTGTCGTGGCGTGGCATAACTTCAATTGGTCTTGAAAGCATCACAGCAGAGTACGAAAATAGAAGTTTCATGGTTTGATGACTTGATACTGCCGTTTGGTAATACTCGAACACGGTAATAGCCATAGAAAAAAGGAGTTAAAAATACCTTGTTTGTATTGAAACAGGCAGCTGGTTTACACACAACCACAGCCTCGGATATGCAGGGTAACCACTCTCCTCATATCAACGCATCACCTAAGCCAACACCACAGCCATCATAAGCAAAATCATCAAATTTGATTCTACGCGGCTCACGTGCCGCTAAATGAAACAAAGGCATTGTTACCGGCCATTCCCTTCCCTATCCATTGTTCTCTTCATCCCGTAATGACCGTCATATTAAGCCCTCTATCCCAGCGTCCCATCATGGAGAATTTCAAAAAGATAAAAGAAAAAAATAATAAAAATAAAGTCGTAAGAGCCCACTCCCTGTGCGGCCAAGTTTCCGTTTCTTTTCAATAAACGGCGTCTAGTTTCTATCCTCAAGCAAAACAACAAATTGTGACATGTTTGACGTGTCGGATGAGTCTTCTTTTTTCCCCTTCCTTACTGTGTGGCGCATTGTGTCTGGCCTTCACCCTCGTCGTCGTCGTCCTCCCAATCGTTGCCGAATCGAGGATCGCCTTGATCAGCGCCCATCTGTGTTTCCGAGTTAGCTTCTCTCATGTTATAGCAACTGTGATGCAAAGTGTATGCTCACCTCTTCAATGTCAGCGCCGTCTTCATATTCGACCTCGTCAATCTCCTCAGCCTCCACGGCGGGCAGTGGTGGTGGCAGCATCTTTGCCAATGCCTCGTAGGCAGAGTCATCCTTCAGCCAGTCGTCCTCGGGGAACTCGACCTTGACCAGGAGATACAAGTCTCCCCTGGCGTCGCCCCTCTTCATGGGCATACCCTCGCCGGGGATCTTGATGCAGTCCACTGGCTTCAGGACCTTGCCCCGCGGTCGGTTGAGCTGGATACCCCGGCCGTCAAGGTGTTTCAGCACCACGCGGTTGAATCCGATGAGGGCCTCGCTCAGGGAAACAGTCAGCTCTGCGGAAAGGTCATTTCCAAGTCGGGAAAAGACATCGTGGGGCTCCTCGATAAGGGTGAAGACGATATCTCCGGGTATCTGGTCTGGATACTGATCTGCCTCGCCCTCCAGAACGATGCGCTCGCCCTGCATGGAACCCCGGGGAATGTAAATCTCCAGGGCCTTCTTCTCCTGCGTGGTTCGCTTGCCCTTGCACTTCTTGCACCTGTCCTTCTCCTTGTACACCTTGCCGGAGCCCGTGCAGTGGTCGCACAGGACGGTCTCGCGGCGCATCATGCCGGGGCCAATCTGTCGAATGGCCTCGACCATGCCGTGGCCCTTGCAGCGCTCGCAGGAAGTGGGCTTCGCCTTCTCCTTGCCACCGGAGCCCTTGCAGACACTGCAGACGACCTGCTTGTTGGCAGAGAACTTGACAGTCTTGCCCTTGTATAACTCTTCGAGCGTGACCTTGTATTCCTGCTCCTCGTCCGGTCCCTTTCGGGGTCTCATTGGGCCGCCAGGACCGCCGGGGCCACCGGGGCCGCCCATGTTGAATCCGAACATCTGGGACAGGATATCGTTGAGATCGACCTCGGGGCCGCCGGGGCCTCCTCGTGAGCCGTCAAAGGCAGCCATGCCGTGGGTGTCGTAGAGGTGGCGCTTGTCTTCATCGCTGAGGATTTCGTAGGCTCGGCTGGCCTCCTTGAACTTGACCTCTGACTCTTCGCGCTGTTCTTCGGGGACTTTGTCTGGGTGGTATCTCAGTGCAGCCTGTTCATGTTAGCTTGGGGTGAAGCGAGTGGGATTCGGAGTCGGTGTTGCCGTACCTTGCGATAGGCCTTTTTGATCTGGTCGGGCGTTGCACCTCTGTCGATTTCGAGGATCTCTGGAAACGGCGAGGTTAGATCTAGAAACAAGAAGAGGAGACAAGACAGCAGATGCGTCCAATCGCTCGCACATACCATAGAGATCAACTTCCGCTTCGGAAGCCATAGTGACGGCTGATTGTCGTTTTGCTGGAGAAAATGCAGATTTTCAAGGCGATGGCAGAGTTGGAATCCAGAAAATCTTTTGGCGCGGCGCGGGGTCGATGCTGGAGCCTGCAAACGTACGGAATCCAGCTGCTGCCTTGGCAATGGAAGACGTTGCTATATGCAAGGCTGATGGAACAGAGAAAAGGCCAAAGAAGAACCAAAGGCGATGAAATCTCCGTTTGGCCGTATCGGAGTTGGAGATTGGGCAAACAAATGGGAGGGCAGCTAGATCGAATTACTCGCAAAAAGATTTGCCGGCTCTTTGCATCTGCCGCTCGCCCGCCAAACTCAGCGCCAGGCGGCTCTGGTAGTGACTTGCGGGACGTGGATCAGGTACCCCGAATTTGCTTGGCCGTGCATAGGTCGGGGCGTGTATCACACAAGTACAGGCATGATTTTTGATGGAAGTCTTAATCCGATATCATGGAGGCCTCTAGAGTGTTTGGTTCAACTGTCCCCTCAATTTACAGTTCTCGTCACACTCTTACACTCTGAATGTCTTATAACTGATAGAGGTACCTCTAGTACTTCGCCCCGCGATAGACCGTCATTTCTGCCTCTACTATCGTCGCTATCGGCCTTATCAGCAATCTCCATATCTAGCCGAACCTCGCGCCACATGTGGCGTCGCATCAAAATTTACGCCTCACATAGCAAAGTAAACGCACGATGCCTCTCATTATCCGATCCACACAAGATATGATGAATGAGGCCTCACACGATTGTGGCTAATTATCATGTCCTTATCCGTCCTTCGGCTGAGCTTAAAGAGATTGGGCAGCCGTTCAATATGTGAATCACGGATAGCCACCTCCAGTCATCAGCTGAGCCGGAATTTTGGCACATCTGCCTCTCCTCGTCGTGACAGACAAAATCTCTCTGTCCTATACACCACCAATTCAAAACGCTCAGTGGAGGAGAAAAGATGTCAATCCCAAAATAGAACTTATAGCTCGGGATTGAAAGGCCTACGAAGCAAGAATAAGAAACACAATGATGCCGCTTCTCTTCCATCGGATTCTCCCACAATTCTCGGCCAAAGCGCCGACCTCCCGATCCGCGCCCGATTTGCTCCGTCCCCAACGGGATACCTGCATCTTGGGTCCCTGAGAACAGCTTTGTTCAATAAGCTAGCTGTGCTTGCTTCCAATGGAGGAGCTTTCATTCTCCGTATTGAAGATACAGATCAGGTACGGAGGAGACACTCGCAATGAACAGGGACAGGTGCTAAATAAACCTATATAGAACCGTCTCGTAAAAGATGCCGAGGAACGATTAATGAAGGATCTTAAATGGGCAGGGCTATCATGGGATGAAGGGCCAGACTGCGGTGGACCATTTGGTCCATATAGACAAGTAAGTTGACATGACTCTCGGAAACCCTGTTCCATCTAACAGAGTGTAGTCTGAGAGGTTACCCGTTTATCACGAACACGTCCAAACACTCTTGGATCATGACCACGCCTACCGCTGCTTCTGCACTCCTGAACAGCTGGAGTCTCAGAAACGTAAACTCCACGAAGCCGGCAAGCCGACTATTTACCCGGGGACATGTCGCTCCGTAGATGCCGCCGAGTCGGACCGACGGGCAAAGGCCGGAGAGTCTCACGTAGTTCGCTTCAAGAGTGACAAGTTTGGCCGGCCTAAGCTTCACGATGCCATTTACGGGCGATTCCAGAAGAAGGACATGGAAGAAGATTTCATCCTAATGAAGACAGATGGATTCCCTACGTATCATTTGGCCAACGTGGTTGATGACCACTTGATGAAAATAACACATGTAATTCGCGGCGAGGTAAGTAACTCCATATTTCGGCTATTTACACGGCTACATGAGATTGACGATATCCGCAGGAATGGCTTATTTCAACACCGAAACATGTTGCCCTGTACGAAGCCTTCGGCTGGCAGCCTCCGACGTTTGCGCACCTTGGGTTGCTAGTGGATCTAGACGGCAGCAAGCTCAGCAAACGAAATGATAGCGTCAACATATCCAAGTACCAGACCGGGGGCACATTCCCTATGGCTCTGCTGTCCTGGCTGGCCAACCTCGGATCCTCATTCAAACGAGATGTGCAGCCGCCTCGGACGGTAGAGGATGTGGCCAATGCTGTACGTTTTGACCTCTCTCGGCCTCCCACAAACACTGCTAACATGGGATAGTTGACATTCAAATTCACACGAGGTGGTATTAAACTGAACCTATCAAAGCTTGAATACTTTAACAACAGGTACCGTGATGCGATGCTCTGGAAGCCTGTCCCGGACTTGGCAGACCAGGAAGCAAAGCTCATCGATCAACACCTGACGCAACCCATATTGAACGAACTCGAAGCAACCACAAACGGAAGCATCGAAAGCGCGGAGTTGACAGCGAGAGCATGGCGGCTACCACTTGAGCTCGTCCCGACATTAACCGATCCTACCAAGAAGAGCCAATACGTGTACAAGGCACTTATATCCAAACAGGGAGGCTTTCAATCGCCGAGCGATCTGATATCACAGCACCCGTATCTCTTTTGGCGTGTGCCGCTGGACGTTTACAAGACTTCTCTCGCAAAAGCAAAACCTGAGCCCAAGGTTCTCGATGCTCTCGAAGAGGCAATCTCACAAGAGGCTTCCTGGGATGGTGATTGCAGCCAGGTTATGCAGGCCATACAGTCGAAAGTAGAGCCCCAGGGAGTCGATCAGCTCACAATTCACAATGTATTGCGAGTGGTTGCTGCTGGCGGACAAGATGTTGTCTCTCAAAGCAGTTCCAGGATGTTTGCTCTCCTGGGACGAGACGAATGGGCACATCGGCTAAACGTTGTCAAGGGGCTTCTCAGCGAGCTGAACGAGGGCTAAATAAGCTCGATGGTGTTGCAGGCAGCATTCTCCAGCTGGATGGCGAAGATGTTACTGCTTCCTCGTTTCCCGCTCCAACTATCGCCACACGATAGACTGTACAATAACACAATATGAACTGTATAACATACTTTGCCCTGAGTCTGCCTTTGTCTTTGGATGTATATAGAGACGCCCCTGCAGAAATCCCTGACGCAGTTGTCGACCCACGATGCCACTCCCGCCAACTGATGGACAGCTGGCAGCCCCCTTTTTCGCATATTCGACCTACCGCACTGGCCTAGCATAAAAAGACGCAATGGTAATAGAGTGCCGAAATTTCGCAACTTTGCGTTTCAAACCCTTCCTCTTCCACCTCGCGCTCTTTCGCTTTGCCTTTCCGCATTGCTCCAGATTCACCACCAAAAAAAGGGGTGGAAGGACTCTCACTATACGAAAGCAAGTATCTACCGAACAATCGCTTTGCAAGAATGAATGATAATCCACGCCAAGATCAGTTTCACAATCCTCCGGGATTCCGCGCTGCCCTTGCTGAAGCCATCGCAGACAATGACGAGGACATGATGGACGAGGACCTGATGGACGAGGACATGATGGACGAGGACATGATGGCTCTGGAGGAGGCAACACTCCACGACGGTTCCTCCACCGAGACTCTCGATCATGATGCTGATGACATTGCCACAGAGAGACAGGAGCTGGCAGACCATGTGAATATGCGCGCCGCGATGCTTCAAAATGAGCTTGATCGTGTGCGCGCCGAAGTGAGGAAACGCAACCGACCCATGACGCTTGACGACGTGATGACCGTTCTGGAGCTGTACCGACAATTGATCCGCATTGCCTGCCCTCACAACGATTTCGACAGAGAGAGATGGGTTCAATCTCGCGAGCGATGCTTGGGGTTGCAACGACGATTCCTCGAAAAGGGAGAAGTATACCGCCTCATCCAATCGAAATGCGAAGAAATGAGCGAGAAATGCGGCCGTCTCCGGGAAAAGTGCGTCTCCATCTGTGAGTACTACGACAAGTTCCAAGAACGAATCAACAGCCTCTTTGCGGAAGACGAGGAAGAAGACGAGGAGCTGTACGACATGATGCGAGGCTCGATGGGCGCAAACGAGCAGAGATTGGAAGGGTTCCTGGACGAGGGCACGGATTTGATGCAGATGATTGAGGAGCAGATGCTTTGGGCGTATAAGCTGGAGAGAAAGTCGGCGTATAACATTCATCAGCTGCGGTGCTTTGAGGGGATCCTTGATGATATTCTGCGGTCGTTTGATTATTGGTTTGGGGAGCTGTGAGGGTGGTTATATGGGGGTGATTTGGGTTGCTTGAGAGTACAGATCGTGGGATGTTGCGATTTTGACGCGTCAGGGGGATTATTTACGCAACGCCATGTAACTACACACGGGAGTAGTAGTGGGCAGATTCTAGTGAAGAGGGTATCGGTTCATTTAACTTGGAAGATTTGTTCCGGATTGTGTGCGTGAAGACTCTCCTTTCTATCAACATCTTCTCATCACAGGTAAGTATTCGTATTCGTAAAACTTCACTCGAGAGCAAATGAACAGTCCACCGAGAGGGAATTCACCTATCAGCTATACAGAACTCGCATCCAATCAGCCATGAAGCATTTTCATTTCTAAAAATTAAAAAACTATTCTAACGGGGAATCAGATCAACATCAAAAATATCCAATCATTCGCGTTTTCATCTCGGCAAATTATAAATCATAAGAATCAGGTCAACGGCATATCCCAACGGCGCATCGAAAAAAAGAAGTTTCAAAGCACCAAATCTCGTAGTCTCAAGTTTCGTCCATCATTTTTCGTCTAAGGGAATGAATCAGCTTCGAGCTCAAATCCACATCACGAGAAGATGAACTCACTGTTTGTTTAGTTGTATCCAGATGAGACATTAGACCACCGTCTTTCTCAGGGCTCGGAAACGACGGATCAACACAGGGGGAAGATGAGTCTCGTTTTGGTTCACCCAAGTGTTGTTGATGCCGATAGTAGTGTTGGGGTAATAAGGAACAGAAGGAGCAGAAGCCGCAACGTCAACTGTTGTGTTGACAGCAACAGTTCCGTTGGCAATGACGGTCGAGTTCCAGTTGATACCGGTAGTAGTGTTCCAGTTGGTGCCGGTGGTAGTGTTCCAGTTGGTAGGAGTTGATGTGTTCCAGTTAACGACGGTAGAGTTCCAGTTGCCGAAGCGATACGTGGGCACGGCTCCAGCAACAGCAGCGCAAGCAGCGACAATAACGGCAGACGTCTTCATCTTGGGGCTTTGGAAGTGTATCGACGGATGTTTTCCCTTGTGGCTTGGTGTTTATAAACGAATGATTTGCTTTGTTTAAAACGAGAGTGGACAGTCACGAAGCAAGCAACACACAGCTAGTATCACGACTTCAAGCAAGGGGACAAACGCAGGAAAAGAAAGGGAAGAAAAAAAAGAGAAGAAGGCCAAGCTGAGTGCATGGGGGGAGAGACTCCTTTAACTAAATAGTACTCGGGATCCATTCGAGGCAGCCTCGTCCACGTCGAATGTTGGCACTCTGTTCAGCCCGCTTTGCGTACTCGTACTTGCATTACTACGACTACGACTACGACTATCAGTACCCTTGGCCATTGGCTAGGGAACCTTGCACGGAGCCTCAGCCGAAGAGACGAGGTCATGTACCGACAGGAAGAAAAAAGACAACAGGTACAAGGCACTGCTGTATGGTCGGTGTGAGAGTCAGGCAGTCGGATAGGAGCAGAGATGGACGAAAGAGTTCGTCTGCACGGAAAACAAATGGATCACCGGTGGGACCGACGTTATGGGCCTAGTATTAAACGGTGGCATGTGAAAAGACGATGCCTGCTTTTGGATAGAAGTAGGCGGGGGGGCCGAGAAAGAAAAAAGAAATGAAGCTCGCTTGGTCTGTTCGTGATAGAGTCGTTCTAAGTTGACACTAAAGGTAATACCGAGATGATATCGTTCTCTTTTTAACACAATAATTGTTGTGCTGTGAACAATGACGGTGAGATGATTATTAAAAAGAAGGAAAAATATGAGATTATGGGATCGTCCGCCTTATCGACCCCCTTTTCCGCACATAAACTTGTCGTTATCTACGTCCATGCTAAAAAAGAGCCCCATCACCAACATTTTTTCGCGGCACGACCAGACAAGGATACGGTGGGACCCCCCCCCCAGAAGAGAAAGAATGTTCTCGCTTGATCAGTGAGGATCGCTCATCAGAGACGATAATCTTATATTTAAAGTGTTGTTGTAAAATAAAGCTGGAGAGCTTATAAACCCCTAATAACTCGAGTTTGTATGACTCCAAGGCCTTGTTTCGAGGCTTCACTCGCGATTGTCCTGTCTGGCGGTGTTGCTCCAGCACGTGCTTTTCTATGGATCTCAACGGCCCAGCTCCATAAATCTCGTCATTCTGCAGCAAAATACGATGGTTGATCGGATTGGTCTCTGTGTCTCTCTCTGTGTCCCACCGCAAGTCCAACAAGGGAGGCATATCGAAACACAAGAAACAAAAAAGAAACAAGAAGAAACAAGAAGAAGCAGAAGACAATCTCTCACAGCCACTCACTCACCTATTCAGTTCAACTCAATTCATCTGCAACACCATCGCAAATCTCGCAGATCATGCAACGCCTAATCTTGCACATCCGCAAACTAGCACAATAAGCGCCAACGTCTTGTATCAGCTGTAGTGCAAAATAAAGCACAATCCATCTACAACTACCTACAACACTATTTAGCACATGCAGCCCAATGCGGATAAAAAAGGGGGAGCAAAAGATAGATCGCCACGCTTCTTCCCGCCTCCAACTATGCCATGGTAGGTAGGTCAGTAAAAACAACCATCGACAACCACCAAAACAACTACACACGGCATAAGAAAATAGAAGAGAAATTACGGCACTCTGTAGATTGTCCGCAGCAAACGGTCTTTCTGCATCTCCCACGCTTTATATCCGATGCATCGCTTAAAAAAACAAACAGTCGAGAAACCCTTCCCACAGCACTAACTAACAACCCCCATGCTCATCCATCCCCCCGGCTTGCCTAGGTTAAAAAGCAGGTTTTTGATATGGACCCTTGCACAGCCTCTCAACAAAAAATTCATCACTTACCGACTCTTTTTTCTCTTTGCTCTGCTACAGTAAGCTCCGAGTTTAGTCCATTATCCGACATTGTTCCTCCTTGGTCCCCTGTCAGATACTGCATGTCGTCGATCCACCACCTGATTCGGTTTCTTTCTTCCCGGGCCCTGGTTCATCTCTTATCGACATCTGGCGAATCTGCAATCAACCTTATCACGTCTTCAGGGGCGCTGCCAGACTGAGAATCTGTATATATACTGTACGATGTATGGCTCTCACAGTTATAGAGTCACAGTATCACAGTGAAGTGGCTTCGTGAGTATGAAATAATTCAAGTCGTTGCACATAAGTAGCCTGAGACCAAGGCTCTCTAACTATCCCAAACATGTCCACCATCGTCTTCTTCCCCTAGACAGGGCCGCATAGCTCGTCTTTTTTCTATCAAGCATTCATCTTTCGCACTGCCCCTTTCCCCATCCCAGCATGAAGACAAGCGAGGAACCCCCGCATCCCCATACCAGGACCATGTTTCTCGCTCAACGAGGTCCATCTCCAACAGGGACAACTTCCATATATAAGAAAGAACAAAGACGACCAAAATAGAAACCCCCAACCAAGGGCCCATTACTCAACACTGCCTCCTGCGAGGCTCTTCTTCTGCTTCGGTTGCCCGCTACATCATATGCCAAGGAAAAAACAACGGCGCGACAAGAATACTTCATTCCATGTCCCAGTACACACGCACTAATAGAAAAAAGAAGATACGAGAGAAAGAAAGAAAAAAGAAAGAAAAAAGGTAAAGGGTAAAAATAGACGCTTTACAGTGTCGCAGTCGGTCTAAGCATCTGCAATCGAAGCATCTCGAGAGCAACAACGTTGAGAAAAACCGAACAAGAAAAAAAAACAGTAAGCTCTGTCGCTATTGTGTCGTAATCGGTATCGTGACCTAGGAAAATAGTCCGTTGTGTTCTGTCGAGAGCATCGGATAGGGTATAATTGCATCGTGCATATATATAAAGAGAAAAGAAAGAAACCCAATTTTAAACCTCGATGACCCAAACCTAGAGAGAAACAATGTTAGACCGATCACACTGACACCAAATCGCAGCATGCCAAAAGGGGAGGAGGGGTGTGTAATCCTCAAGGCAGCAGCGAGCTCCAGGCTCCAAAGGTCAAGCTTACCTCCATCTTGCCAACATCCAGCCTCTGTCTCTTTGCAAGGCTCTTTGCGCTCTGGATGGCCACGTCCAAGTCGTCTTGGTCGCCCATCGTAATCATGTCGTCTGGCACATCTTCGTCCTTCATCTTGATCTTGAACCGCTTTCGCAGCCCAAACTTGTCTCGGATGCGATCCACAAAGTCCGAAAACTCGATCGATGTACCAATCATGATGTACCTCACGTCGTCTGCGTGAACCTTGACCCGAATCTTGCGAATGTCGGGTCGTCGCGAAGCCGCACGGGATGGTCGAGATACGGATCCAGGGCCACGTCGCACATTGGACACCATCTCGAACTCGCCCTCGTCAAAAGACCCGTAGTCATAATCCGAGCCTTCGTCGTCATCGTCATATCGTCGAGACCGAGACTGTTTGCTTCCCCGCGAGCTCTCGCCATACCCATCATATGATTCATCGCCATATGGGGATTCTTCTTCAATAACCCGCTGTCTCCGAGAGGGCTCTCTTGTGGAGAAGCCTCTGGCAGGCGCAGCCGATACCGAACGCGAATGTTTCGGAACGCGGTCCTGCGGAGATGCAGCCTTCTCGTATCTCCTGCTACTCTCTTGTGTCTGGATGCTAAGCTTCGCGGCGTTCGCCCTTCCTCCAGAGTTCCGTACAGAAGCACCCCGAGATGGGAGGCGGTCGTTCTCCGGTGGAGGTGTGGGAGGAAAGTTATTGCGGTTGGTCGGCGGTTCAGACTGCTGTCTTCGGGATTGGATGCCTGGCTTGACCAGGTTCGTCGCCGCAAAAGACAAGTTTTCGGTCGGTCGGTCGTCCTTGGCTTCTGCTTTGGCCTAAGGACAGACAGATGAGCAAACGAAGTGCATGCCGGGGGATTTGAAGTACTCACATTCTTGATCTCGGAACCGGCGAACCCGGTGAATGCGTTGGATCGGTCTGAGGCTGCAACTAATCTGGCCTTGCCAAGATAGTCCTTGGTCTTCAGGTTGCGAACCTTGGCTTCGTTGGGTCGGTAGACGACACCCACAGGAATGGAAAACACGGTATAGCCCTATTGTCATTGTAAGCCAAGTGTTCCTCCCTCCAGACATGTTGGATAATGCTGACCTCGGCCTCCTCCCGAATAGCTTCGTCAATGACGTTGTGGTCTTCGACGACCTTTTCCTTAACGGCATACGCCAAATCTTGCATACCGGCCTCCTTCTGCTGCAGGTAGATGTAGCATAATCCTCGGTTGAATAGGACCTCGCACGAGTATAGCTTGAAGAGAAGACCCAGTTGGGCATAGTCGATCACGCTGTTGCCTCGCAGATACAGTAGGGTATCGTTGAAGTTGGCCAAAGCCTCTTCGAAATCGCCAAGCAAGAAGTTCGAGACGCCCTGCTGGAAGTAGGCAACAGCTAGGTACTGATCCAGTCGGATGGCTCGTTGGTAACACTCGACCTAGGGAGAGTACAAACGCATGGGTTAGCAGGGCAGGTGGAAGCGTTGTTTGGAAGAAAGGTGCAGCCTACTGCTTTCTCATGCTCGCCCAGAGTGGCATGGATGACACCCATGTTGAAGAGAATCTTGCTCGTGTCGGCGATCTTATCGAATTCTCCAAGAGCATCGTCGAACTCATTGTTGTCGTAACGACCTAGGGCCGCGACCCAGGTCTCAATCTCCTAGAACCCCACGATATCAGCATTCGCCACGTCGACAGCGACTACCTCTCTTACCTGTTTCAACGACATCGTGTCTGTCTATATGTGAGAGCACACTGATGGTGGCAGAGTGGCTGGCTGAATACCGGCGTGTAGACGAATATATATCCAATGCCCACAAAGGATTTGGCGCCTTAGAAAGCTGGGGCCTGAGTGAGACAAGGGACACCACGGCCTATCGGGCTTCGGCACTTGGAGGGGGCAAGGACCAGCTTTAATTGCAGCGTGCTATCTGGTCAGATCAGAGTCCAATGTCTTTTTGGGTTCCGGGATGTTCAGTTCCCCCGCCCTTGGCTGGTATTGGCTCAAGAGATTTGTGCGAGGCGGGTGTACCTTGGCGAGGTGTGGCGCGAGCCGAGGGAGATCCCGTGATAATCCTCGAGGCTATCGACTCCCAGAATCGACAGTCGGAGAGATGTTCTCAGGCCACCAAAGATGTGCTGTTTTCTTCTCCTCGGTTAAACGTCAATAGGCCTATTATTGTCTCTGCAAGTCCGGGACAACTCGAGTTGTGATTAGAAACCCCCGAAATTGAGCGAGCGTATACGAGTTGCTATTCCGTGCTCTGTGCGTCGACAGAAGGGGAAGCAGCAAATTCGTGGGGTATGTGTACAAGCGGTGCTGATCTGTAAGATGTCACCCGATTATTTTGGCGCTCCCTGCGTGTATCTTCTCTGTGTTGCAGTGCGAAGAATCCGGCCGGCCGAATGGTTGGAATTTTTATTTTTAGCTGTCCTGACCCCGGGAGCAATGAGTGAATTAAGTCGGGCTGACGATGAAAAGCAGAAAGAAAAACGATTGTAGTGTTCCCAAAGGTGGACGACGGGTTTTTGCGGCGCTATCGACAAGCCAAGGTGACGGGTCAAGTAGCGTGCATTTGGGCTGGGAAGTTGAACAGAAAAGAGTGAGTGACGAGTGGAGAGAGGACGAGGGGCAATGGGCGTGGCGTGCAGTAGTAAAATGGAAAATTGGGACTCGGAGCTTAGCATGGGATGGTGGAACTGGGAACTGACCTGCCGTTCTCTGGGGGGGTGCCACGGTTTTGGACATGGGCTGGTGAAGCTTCACCTTTGTTCCAAATCTCACGAGGGGGTCAGTGAGCGGCCAAACGCCGTGCCAGGGGGCAATCCGGGAAGGGGGTACGCAAGCCAGCCTGGACGGAGTGTACGGAGTAGAGTGCGAAGCTGTGCCCCAGCCTCGGCAATGGCCTTGAACCTTTGAAGACGCGTACGAGTGTCCGTACAAGTGCAGTGAAAATGTGACATGAGAGAGGTCGATGGTCGTCGTGGAACCAGGGGTGGCGGGTCTGCCTCCCTGTGTCGCAGGTCGATGCCAGGTCAATCGGGTGGCTTGCACCATCGTGTGCCAGCTGGATTTTCGTCTGGTTTCCTGCTACCGAGGGCTCCGTATTGGAGACGCTTCGCCTATTAGAGCCGCCCATCGTGTTTGGCTGGTTGTTTGGCCTCGTTTGGGCGCACAGGCAACTGTATCTGTCTGTACGGATATGTGAGGTTATTGCTTGCTTGCAGCGGACCAAGCGAGACGGCTTACCATTCCATTTCCAGCATCTTGGCCATCCCAGCCCTGCCCCAAAGCAGACTGCCTACCCGTACAAGCACAAGTCGGAGCAGATTTACCGGCAGCGTAGCGTCGTGTGTCCAGCAATCTGCTTACAGGTACAACCTCAGCTCTTGGCGGCGATGGATCAGGTAGGTCGCCAGCCCGTGTGTGTCGATACGGCAAGAGAGTCGACTCATGCCCATCCGCGCCGCCTGTTTAGCCGTGGTGATTCGTTTCTTTGTTTGATGTCGTAGTTTCGTTAGTGCTGGATCCCTTGGTTGGACGAAGTTGCTTCAATCCTTCCAGCCACGTGCCCTCAAAACGTGGAAGACGTCCATGCGCTCCCAAAGGGAAAGAGCAACGCCAACACGAGTTGCCAGACAATCTTATCAATCAGCCTCGTTTCTTATCCAGATAAGATGCAATAGTTATCATATCAACTTCCATCCTTCTCATCACCATCATTGCCTCTTTTCTATCTACCTACGCATCCAACTCTCGTACATCTTCTTCTTCTCATGCCCGTTGAAATTCATCTCGACATCCAGTACCTACGACACACACCAGTAGCTGATGTGATGCTTCCATAATTCGGCGCTCTTGCTGTCCACGGTCCCTCCTCCGCGCAGTCGATCGATGGGCCGCATATGCAACTGCAGAGAGCTAGCACACAGCACACAGGGTCCAATTTCCCAATGTCAACAGCTGTGCTATTCTGGGACACGGCGTTGCAGTTCCCGAATCGATGTGCCTGACAGGCTCCGCTCATTGGCTCTCGGGGATCAGAGCTCGCGGCCAGCGACGGCGCGTACCTTTTTGCTGACCCTTGCCGTCTGCTAGCCCCTGTTCAGCCACCTCCATACGGTAGAGGAGTGACAAGATGCTCGACGGACGGGCTGCCAGCCAGGCAACGCACTGCTCTCCCTTCGTGGCCAACGTGAGAGGAACGAAATGTCATGGCCAGGCCAGGTCCGGCTCTTTGGGCAGCGAGAGCCAGCGGCGTGGGTGGAAATGACTAGAGGCAGAGCTACTAAGCGCCCTGAACACTGTTGGCTTGTGCTCATCTGCAGGCTAGCTTGTTAGCTCCCTCAAGCCAATCTACTCATCACCCGATGCCGCGATGAGATTGGACAAGATGGTTACTTCGCGCTCGAATTTCTCCGTTCGACGCAGATGATGGTGTCATGACTGATGGGCTCTTATTCATCTCCCAGGCTATTTTTAACTACCAGTTGCATACCTATATCCCACGCATCCGACGGCGAGATGATAGAATCATCAACTTTCACCGCCGGATCACCGCGAGGACATGAGTGGGTAGCGGACCTGGTGCCTCGTTTTGGGTAGAAAAGCTGGGGTTCCCTTGACATTCCACGCTTTCATCACCACTAATGCCATGCATCACGGCCACTTGGCGTCGTCCTGTCGGTCATCCTGCGATGCAGCGGGCGGCAACAGTTGGCCGAGCGAAATGCGAGATAACCTCGTTAGACCTCCCTCACGTACCTATTGGCCTACTCGTGGCGTTGCTTCGCGTCATCCTTGGACAAAGTTCTCTTGAGCTATGCTGTTCCTATGCCCACAAGCACTAATACTCTGCTCGCTCTCCTGATGTGAAAGCCGATGCTTCATGCCAGCTAGCGAGTTCCATCACAGCATTTTCCCACACCCTTGGCCCGTGAAATCGTTCTTATTAGCTCTGTACGCGCCGAAGATGCTGTAACTAGGCCACGGAACCAATAGGTCTTTCAACACGGCAAGCTAAAACATTGACATCACCATCCCCCGCCCGCTGGCCAATGTGACGATGAGAGCTCTGCGAGAGCGGCCTCAGGATCGGGCCAACAGCCTTGCAGCTCTTGCAAAGAGGTGGTGCAATAGAAGGGGGGTGAAACTAAGGCGGACAAGACGTGGAATATTCGAAAAGAGATCCCCAGCCAGTGGTGCCACCGTCAAAGCTTTATCATCCGATCATCTGCTGAGGACAAGACACGGGGTGATCATTGTCACAATCTTGGCGTTTACTATGTTTATCACATCCAGCTACCCCAAGACTGCTGTATCTAGCTGTCAACCCCGCGTGCCGGGATATGACCTCATTACCCTTTACGGCAGTTTCACAACAAGCTGATAAAGCGCCTTGACACTTCTCGACGCACGCACATTATCATCGCCTGAGGTCTGGAGATATACGAGTACTTGAGTGTAAGCAATCGATCAGCCTGGCGCTTTGGCCCTTGGCACTCTGCCGTATGCCTAGCATGAGATGTCATGCGTACAGATGACTTCGTACATGTACAAGACGCCGCGGGAGACATCTCGCATGAACTGAAGCTGTTTCAGTGAGATTGAACTTGAGGACCGTGCTTCGGTATTCCCGCCTTGGGGTTGACGTTGTCGATCCTCCCCTGTGGCTTCCGCCGTTACAGCTTAGCAATACGCTGTTTCTGAATCCCTGCGCAGCATGAAACTGTCAACTGAGCTCGTTGCGATGATGCCCCGCTATCCTAGGGAAGATAGCTCGGGTAGTTTCAACTCTCAGGTGCCGGCTTATACAACCTCCTGGTGTTCTGGATTGATGAGATTTGTAGGAGATTGTGAGATAAGCTTAAAAGAACAAAGGAAGAGGAAGCAGAGAGTGGTGTCTTGGAGAGCTTGGCAGCAGAAAAGAAGTCGCTTTGCTCATTCATTCATTTTACTTGTTTATCCAAAATAGGTTGGCTGTGTTGCATCCTGTTACAGCATTCCCTTCTTGACCTCATCCTCTCTCTCTTCCCACAGCGTCTTGCCCGTGCAGGAGCAGACAGTCTTGTCGTTATCCCACATACCCGCGCTTCGCGCAATGACGCCGACTACAGTGTTGTCGTCGTTCTTGAGCGGCTGAGTCTCATCCTGTCTGGTGAGAACCATGGCATGGCCAATGACTTCCCAGATCTGAAAGGCGTGGTCCACAAACGCAGATCCGCGGCCGTCCTTGGATACCTGAACAATCCCAAGAGATCCCTTGGGCTCCTCCTTTTCGCCCCCAGCCCAGACCGGGCCAGTAGATTCAGCGCCGTCCTTGAGATCCCCATACTCACGAATAGTTGCCCGATACGTGCCGGGAGCAACGCCCCTTAATGTGAGATCGATCAATGTCCGGTCAGGGCTAACTTGGACCATTCTAGCGAGGCCTCTCACTTCCCGGCTGGTATCATCCTCGACGTGCTCCGTTTGGTCAGCAAACGTCTCCAAGATGCTCACAGCGGCGCCTGAATAAACAATGTTCGTGTTAGCCACCTGTTTCCTAGGCCAATCGATTGTTTTTTTTTTTTTTGGCGAAACATGTAAGGTACACTCCCCCGTGGAAAAGGGGGCCACTGTCACGGCAAAGCATGGAAGCGTAGGCCCAGCAGTCAAGATTTCTGAAACGTACTGTTGGAAGCGCCGGATCCGCGAAGGATGGCGTCTCTCCCCGTAGCTTGGATGGCCTCGACGATGGCCGAGGGTGCGACTGCGGCAGGGCCCGATGCGTTAGCAGATTGGCAGATGATGCCGTGAAGTGGCATGCTCATGATGCCATGCTCACCAGATCCCTCGACTGATACCAGCTGGTCCTTGAGGTTTCCCTCGACCTTGGAGATGCCATCGAGTTTGTAGAGAGAGTCTGAAACGGACTTGACGCAGCCGTCGCAGGATAGCGGGACGGCGAAGAGGGTCTGTTTGCCCAGTGTTTCATCAGCCTCTCAAACGCTCCGTGGACTGTGCACGTTTCTTTTTCTTTGTTTGTTTCGAGAAGAAGAGACAAAGACAAAGAAAAGAAAAGAAAAGAAAAAGAGAGAGACTCTTTCCAGAATCAAGACAGAAGCCATACCTGGAAGCTGTGCTTGACAGCCATGGTGCCTGGTTGGTTGACGGAACTGTCAGTCAGCACGCGGGGCAGTTCAAGTTGTAAACGAGCTGGAGTGAAGCTCGCCAAAGCGGCAATACGTACCGGGTGTCGGAGCACTACAGGTACCTGTAGGGCTGATAGAATGAGAAGCTCTGTATCGGTACGCTGAATAGCCAGCAAAGAGGCCAAATGAAGCTGCCAGAATCTTGGAAGACGCAGCGTTCCTAAGCGCCATTTATTTCAGGTCAAGTTCTGGACAAGTATTTCCTGGCGCAACGGAGCACCCAGTGCTTTGAAATCCACCGCAGTGATGCCATAACGCCGGGATTACACGGTCCCGTCCGGAGGGTGGAGCCGCAAACAGAGCTTCTGGATGGGAAATTTTAGCTTATCCAAAAAGAAACGATAACGGGGAAGAGGTCATGTGACCTGATATCGGTTGGATGAGTCAGCAATTGGATGTGCAAACTTTCGAGGGTCTATCGAGGTTCGTGATACTGCCCGCTTGTAGGTTGGTGAAGCGTCCACTCACGGTGACATTCTCACCGGTGCTTATCGCCTCGAGGCCTCAGTTCTTGCAGAGACTTGGAATTTCCTTTCTTTCTGCGAGCTACACAAGATGTCGCAGACCGTCGGCCTGGTAAGCCTTTCCAGCTTCTACAGCCAGCCAGCCAGCCAAATACTTGGGGTTTCTTCTTCTAACGATTGCTCCCACAGACGAGGCTCGCCTACTCTCGAGTATGGCACCAGGTTTCCGCCTCGACCCCTCACCCGACTCTCTCTACCCAGCCCAACGTCACTCCTCCTTCTCTCGGCCGTCTGGCGTCCCGAATTGCCGTCCTGCTCATGGGCAAGCACAAGCCCACCTTTGACCCTTCAACCGACTGCGGAGACTACGTTGTGGTGACGAATTGCGCCGCTCTACACACTACTGGCAACAAGAAATGGCGCAAAAACTACTACAGACACAACACACGGCCGGGTAGCCTCAGGACTGTGACAATGGATGTCCTCATGGAGAAGCACGGTGGCAGCGAGGTGCTGAGAAAGGCTGTTAGCGGCATGTTGCCCAAGAACAGGCTGCGGGACAAGAGACTGGCGAGGCTCAAGGCGTTTGAGGGCGAGGCACATCCGTACAAGCAGAATGTGATACGGTTTGGAGGAAAGGCTGTGGGGTCGGAAGGGTGGGATAAGATGGTGGAGGCGATACGGAACACGGATAAGGATAGGTTATGAGGCAGGAGAAGGGGGGAAATGATGATGATTATGATGGTAATCTTGTAAAGATTGGTGTTGCTACTTGTATTATATGTTTTGTGTGTTTGACGACTCTGGGATGAGCGATGTGGGTTGGAGGTCTCATAGGAAAGTAGAGGGTTGAGCTCGAGGGGGGAAATTGTAAAGTACATGTTACAAAACAAACACAAATCACGCAGCAGGTTTGAGATATAGTACGATGCAGCTACAAAGCAATACTTGTCAAAAATATGATCCAATTCAAAACAAAACGCTATAACCAAGCCATCTGCGCACGTTGTCGCAGCAGCTGTTCATGACTAAGGTATCATGATAATCCACCCATCTAATGTCCTTGATCCAACATTGTCGCAACCCAAGGCGCCATCATTCATTCAAACATGGAATTTATATCTCTTTTTTTTTGTGAATTTCTTGAATTATTTTACAGGTGCGAGTCACGGCCGGGAGCGGCGCCGCGGGCAACCTCGCATTTGATGAGGCCGTTGGGGTTTGACTGGGGGACGTAGACCTCGGCATCCTTGCCGGTGTTCTTGATGCCCTTGTGCCAGCTCAAGTCTGCAAGATTTAATGAGCAATTGCTATTTTCCGTATATATACCATATCAATGGGGAAAACTTACCGAGCTCGAAAAAGTGCTTGTTGGGCAGCGAGTAGGTGACCAGCTCCGTCTCCGGTACGGCCGCCAGGATCTGCTCGCACATCTTGTACATGGTGTTTTGCACACTGGCGCTCTCATCCTCGGCGAACCTCGTCAGGGTAATCTCGCGGGCCTGCTCCCACGCCGAATTGAACTTGGGCAGCGCCTCCCGGACGGCGGCAACATCTGCAAAGGCCTTCCACTTCCAGGTGGCATCAACATCGGTGGACAGGATGCGATCCCAGGTCTCGGGCAGAGTGGTGTACTCGTCCCGCACGAAGCCGTGGAATGCCGAGCCGGTGCTCTTGAGCACGGTCAGGCCCTCGATGCCGCTGTCGATGACGATGCCGCCCTTGCGGGTGACGCGGGCCTCGACGTTGCGCGTCTCCTGGCCGTCGCGCAGGAAGCTGTGAGGATGCGGTTTCCCGCGGACCTCCATGCGCGTCCAGCGGTGCGTGACGACCTTGACGTTGGCGGCGTGGATGTGGCTGTAGGTGTCGATGAAGTGGGAGCCGAGGATGGCGGCGAAGAGCTCCGGGGGGTTGACGGGGTTCAGCTTGGCGGTGATGAAGACGGTGTTCTTGATGGAGTCGGTGGCGACGACGACGCTGTTGTCGCCCTTTGTGTAGGAGACGTCGATGTCGCCCTCGAGGAGGCAGCTGACGGTCATTTCGGTGACGGTGTGGATGCCGGTGGCGGCGTCGCGGTCGGTCTTGAGCACGCGGACGTTGTCCTTGCCGTAGCGGGCGGCGGAGACGTGAGCGGTGGCCATGATTGAGATGAATTGAGTTGTTTGTGTGTGAATGTGAAGGTTGAAGCTGGTGATGTTTTTTTGTGGTTTGTTCGGGTGTCACTCGGGAGGAGGGGAGAGAGATCAGTGGAGGAGAGGGGAGGCTGTCACGGAGGATCAACAACGTCAACTATCAACACACTCAGCAATGAAGCTAGAGAAAGATGGATGCAAGTTGTGGTCTACAGCAGCGTGGCCTGAATATATATAGTATCACATGCCCGTTGGTTACATGTGCAACCCGGAGGACAGCATGAGATGATTCCATATCCACTTTCCTATCTGACACGCGCAGAAAGGTAGCTATCGGACATCGCCTCACATTGACTTTGGAACAATAAGCAGGCAAACAAAGTCCCCCGATCGACCATGCATGGCACCGGCTCGACTTTCCCGCAAGCGGCATCAGCGGCAAAAAGGGTGCAAAGCCTTTTTTTCGGGGCCATGGCGAGCAAGATGAGAGCACAAGACAACAAGCCTCCCAACTTTTGTTCGCTGGTGGGGTTGCGACACAAGAGCCCCGGAGCCCGCCGAATCCCAGACGCGGAGCCCCGGAGGCCCCAGGCAGCTGGATCCTGGTGGAAAGGCTTGGGTCGGGATCCGGGCTTTTTTGGTGCTGAGGAGATGGGCCGATGTTTTATGGAGGTACTTTGATGTTGGTGGTGCAGTTGGTGGGAAGGGGATGTATTTTGAATGACCTGATGGGAAGCATATTTGATGCCGAATCGAATGAGGGTTGTAGATATGGATGAATGGCTGGCTATCTGAGATGCTGGGGGAATCTACATGTCAAGATAAGCAAGGACTAATGTGAATTAGTCGTAGTGAATGTGAGCTTGCCAGTCGTTGGTAAGTTTGCCTCCCTTGTGATTTCATTAGATGGGCCTTGAACCAAGTGGGAAATCATGGATATTAGGGTTGTGTAGACAGACCCGTCGGCCACGGCTTGATGCCATCATGGATGCGATCGGGCTATTGCGCCCCGACATTTGGTCATTGACGTTACCATAGACGGGCTTTAGCTTGGGTTGCATTGATATCGGCCTGAAAGAATTAGCATTGCTATTACCTGTACATGGCAGATCCTTTCTTCTTCTTTCTTTATGCACTCTGTACATGGTATTTCGAAGAGTCCAAGTTCTAAATCGCCGACGATAGGGTAGATGTTCGCGCAGTAGAAATAGACAAGCAGGTACTTGCACTTTGCTGGCGAAATGGCCTACAGCGCCTGTACTGCTGTGCCACAGCTCTGCTGCTACAGTTAGTACTCGTACAGCCACCAAACCTCATTCACCCAGCCATGCGTGGATGCTTTCATCCCGGCCTTTGTGAAATCCTGACGGCTGGTAACGCTTCATCCAGTCCATCTGCCTCGTGCTCGATTTGCTGTGTCGCGGGCTCAGCCTCGTCCCCTCGCATGTCTTGACCAGCTTCGCAGCCGCGCCCGTCGAATCTGCGCAATTCGCTGTGCTCAGATTTTCGCTCGGCCTTGTGTCTTTTAGCTTGTCCTTCCCGCCGCGCCAAGTTTCCACCGCTCAGATCTGCGATCTACCCAGCGTTCCATTCGTTGTCCGCCAATAAGCACAGCTGCCCGTCCAGTTTCATGTGCTTTCGAGCCGGACGAGTCGACAATCCGAATCACAATCTTCTCCGACACTGCCTGGACACAGCGCGAGCGAGAACGAACGAACACGGATCCCCCGAACCCAGAGTCGCTGACACTCCTGGCCGCATAAACATACGAATGCTGAGGGCATAGTCCCTCCCCCCCCCTCGGTGGGCGTCGCCTGTCGCCATGCTGGCCAGCTCCTCGTCCAGCCAGAAGGGGTTTGCCACGTCCGGCCGGCCCTCGCAGAGCCTCGAGCGGTCCGACGTGCAGACCATCGGCCGGACCAGCATCGATCGCGAGGGCACTGGGCTGCAGATTCCCAATGGCGGGGCTTCCAGGAACCTATCGGCTTCGGCCGCCTCGTATGCTCCGCGAGCCAGCAGCCTCAATCCTGGCGCCGGCCCCGGCAGCTTCTCCTCCGAGCTGCGCAGCCAGATGATCCCCATCCGCTCAGGCAGCCGGACCGACGCGGGGCCTGTCTACCCAAGCAGCTTCGTGGACAAGGTCGAGGATGGCGAGATTGCCGAGCAGAATCTCTCAGCGTTGCGGGACAAGCTCAGCAGAGAAATGAAGATCAAGGAGGGCAGCGAAAACATGCTCGAGGCTCTCAACCTCAAGAAGCCAAAGCAGACAAAGGAGCAGCGCCAGAGGGTCGAGGCCGAGCTGACCGCCAGCCATTCGCGCATCAAGGTGCTGAAGCAGCAGATCTCGGATGCCCAGGCCACCAGAGCGGCACCGCCCAGCACGCCTCCCAGGACCAGAGCCCAGCAAGATGTTGCTCTCCATCGCTCACCGCATAGCGTCCGATCGGGCCCCGGCTCAGACGTCGAAGAATCTACCGAGAACCCAACATTTACCCTTGCCGAGCTCCTCCAAGCGCTGGAAGTTGGGGGGATGACGCCCGACTACTATGTGACTCGGGCGAATCTTCTGGTCGACCTGTTCAAGCGACATCCCACCCTGAAATACGACCTGGTGTGGTCGGTCTTTGGCCTCCGCATGCAGATGATGCTCCTCAGCGAAAGCCGAGAGGTTGTCGCGGCTGGCTATCGTGCGACCAGATATGCGATTTCGGATCGAAACTCTCTTAAGAAGATTAGGAGCTTGAATACCGACTTTCTAGTCATACGGTGGGCTTTCCAGAGTTTCGGGTATTTGGTGGAAATCAAGCTAACGTGCTTTTAGGTCATTGAACAACTATCGAAAGGCAGATGTCGAAAGAGAGCAGGCTCTCAAGTTTGTCCGAGCATTTCTTGACGTTAAAGACGGAGTTAAAGAGATCTCGCGTGCTGTTGTACGGACCATTGTAGCCGTTGCCGAGTACGGTGATGATCGGTCTGGATCAGCCCAGCCCATTGAACAAAACACAGATCGCCTACGGCCAATCTGCATCGAAACCTTGGCGGAGATTATGGTACGAGATCCCCGTCTGATCCTGGCGTCAGGTGGTCTTGGCCCGCTCTCTGAGGCTCTCTCCGAGGGAACTTACAAGGCCCCGGAGAGTCTGACGGCTGCCTTCCTCTATCTCCTGGACACGCCGCAAAGACGAAAATACATCCAACCGGGGTATGGTCTGGACGTGGTCTTCAACGCCTTTACAAGCCAGCTTGCTGGCAGCGAAGTCGTGCTGAAGCAGAACTGCAAAGCCATTTCCGTTGCTATGCGATCATGGTCTGGCCTCATGACGCTCTGCATGTACGACTTTCGGTCTATTCGATCTCTTATCATGAGTGTATCTCTCCCCAGTCCTGCCGTCCGAGAAACGATTTTGGACTTGCTCTTCTCACTCCTTCGCATTAAACCCCCTGCCTGGGCCGTGTCCTTTTTGGCAGGACGGAGGCTGACTACCTACGGAAGGGTGAACAGCCTGAACTTGAAAGCTGAGAGTAAAGATAGAGGGTATCTAGAAGAAGATATGGGAGAGCAAAACTTTGTGGACCATTACACGGCGCTCATCTTGGCGGTTCTCATCAGATCCGGACTCATCCAGACTCTGCTACATGTTGCGCGCTCCGAGAATGACACCATGCTTAAGCGCAAGACGACGCTGTTGATCGGCGAGGCGCTGAAGCTGGCGGCAAGGCTGCTTCCTCCCTCATGGAGCGCAGAGATACAACTCTTGCCGGAACTCTTTTCGGCGGCGGCCAAGTTTGGTGACCACCAGTCCTATATTGCGTCGGGCATTGTGTACCAGATGAGCAGCATCAACCGCACATTATACCGGAGCGCGCCGGCCGACTCCTTGGCTGGCATTCTACCATCGAGTGATAGCATGAATGATCTGGCCCTCCTTGATGATCAACGCAAGGCGGGTTCTACGGTGGCATTTGATGATGCCACATTCCGACAGCTTCTCATCGACACTGGCGTACTCAACAGCTCCAACTATTCCAAATGGAACTGGGAGAATATTATCAAGGTTATTGACGGTCCTCTGCAAGTCGGCAAGAGACTTGAAGAGGCCATCAAGGCTTCCAAATTCATGAAGAGAATCATGAGCTTTTACAGACCGTTCAAGTACAAGTTTGCCGACGTCCGAAATACACGAAACGCACAAAAGTACGTCAGGGCTGGATGTGCTCTGGTGCACTCCCTGTTACAATCGCCAGAGGGAGTCAGATTCTTGGCAGATAGCAAGCTGCTGAGGCAGATTGCGGAATGTCTGGCTCAGTGCGATCCGGTAAGCTTCATCTAAACAAGACCACTTGATAGTTTCTATGCTGACGTTTGGGCGACAGACTAGTGGATTAACCGCACAATATCCCATGTTTTCTAAGGACAGGCTAACGGATACCCTCTGCGCTGGTTACTTTCCGATGCTTGGAGTGCTTACTGGCGATCCAAAGGGGCTGGCCATGCTGGAGAGGTGGCGCATGTTCAACATGATGTACCATATTTACGAGCTGACCCAGCGCCCTGATCTTGTCAAGCTTCTTCTCTCTAGTTTTGACTATAGTCTTCAGGGCCACCACCGCATCTTGCTTTCGAAAGCGCTGACGGCGGGTACGAAAGAGATCCGAATACACGCCACAAATACACTTCGGAAATGCACTCTTCGGAGGGTACCGTCCATTGACGGCCGGGGCGAAGTGAGCGACTCGAAGTGGGCCATCCAACTATTAGTCACCCAGCTATACGATCCGGAGATTGAGGTTTGCTCTACCGCGGTCAAGATACTGGAGAAGGCCTGTAACAGAAAGGCTTACTTGGCGTACATTGTCGAATGTCGTCCGGCCCTGGATCATCTTGGCGAGATTGGAGCACCTCTCTTGCTACGATTCCTGTCCACATCCATTGGTTATCACTACCTAGATGGACTTGATTATATCAGCAACGAAATGGACGATTGGTTTCTGGGAAGAAACGATTCGTATGTCGGCCTTATCGAGGCTAGCTTGGCCAAGGCATTCTTGACGGATACGGACGAACAACATCACCGCCTCAGCGTGTTTGAGGAACATGAGGCGGAAACCGATTATCATGACAGCCATATACCGCCCCATTTCTACAGGGAGCTGACGAGAACCCAAGAGGGTTGCAGGCTGCTCAGTGACAAGGGCCATTTTGACGAGTTTGCCAATACAATTCGTGAACATGGCATGCAATCTGAGGACCCCGAGCTGATTACAAAGGTCAAGGGCTGCCTCTGGGCTGTGGGCAACGTGGGATCCATGGAGCTTGGTGCCCCATTCCTGGAGTCTACCGACATGGTTGAGCAGATTATCAAAATTGCAACACAACACGAGGTGATGAGTCTGCGTGGAACGGCCTTTTTCGTGCTCGGTCTCATTTCTCGATCGACACATGGTCTGGAAATTCTGTCTGAACACGGATGGGAAGCAAATACTACGCTCATGGGCACTTCTCTTGGTTTTTGTATCCCGTTTAACCTGTCGGCGCTGTTTTCACTCTCGCCGTGGCATCATGAGACGGCTGCTTCTATAACACTACCAGAGTCACAATGCACTATAAAGGAGCAGCCTCCACCTAGACCTGCTCGGCCACCGCTGGAGTTGTCGGAAATGCCACCCCTTCTCAACGACAGTGCCATTAGCGAGCGCATACTAGAGCTTATAGTAGACCTTGGGAACACTGTCCTATACCGGAAAGCAGTCACCGAGCTGCAGAAAATTAAAGCTCGCAAGCCAATGGCTTTCCGCAGCGCAGAATTCTTCAAGACGGTCATGGGGCTGATGGAGTGGAATCACTACCGACTCGGCGTCCGTAGAATGGTGATTGACCTGTTTGAAAAGACTGTCATGCGACAAATCGTATTTGAGGAAGAGGAGAGCGATAGCAGCGAGGAGGATGAGAGCAGTCAAGTGGAGGCGGATGATAGTCTTAGCTCTGGAGACGGAGACGACAGGGATGATAGGACGGAGAGGCAGAGGAGTATAAGTGAGCCTGCTGAGCCGCCGCTGGATTTGCTGCCGGCACCGTTGAGAGTACGACGGTGAAGAGAAGTTGGGGTTGTCGATTTATAACGAGTTGAGCCCCGGGAGGGCCAATTGGAGGAAGGGTATGCTTGAATGATGATGAGGAAGCAGGTTTGGTTTCAACGATTTGGAATGTCGATGCATTTGCCCTTTTGCTCTCAGATATATGCACACATTTACACACACACACACACACACACACACACACACACACACAACACGTTCACACATGCTCACACACATATATTATCTGTTTTTGAAGCGGCGAGAGTGTAGCTTTTGTTTATTCGGCGCGAAAAAGGGAAGGGGGTTCATTTTCATTCTGGCGCTGGGGGAGGGAAGGCGGAGGGGCTTTGGTAGGAAGCTTTTTAGGGGAGTGAGGACGGGGCGGTCTTTATTTTTTTGAGACTTTGATTTGCATTTTCCTTTTTTTGTGATTTGTGTGAGAGATTTTTAGCTTTGGGTTTTTGCTTGGCAATTAGATTTGAAATGGACAGGCTTGTGTGAAACTGAAGATGATTGTGCTGTGATGACTCTCTTGCGGTCGTGTATGGGGGTTATGTTAGAGTATTATGTGTTTTGTGAGGAGATGAGTTTGATTCAGATGAGAGAATTGGTCTCTACTGGTCTTCAACTATGTCTGGGGAGAAACTGGGGTATAGCTGTGCTTATTCTCAACGTTGGATCGGGGAATGCAGGACGAAGTAGGGATGACTCTGTTCGCATCCGACGGGATAAATGCCGCCAGTTTGCGGGTTACTCTTTATTTTGATATGGAATATCGATGTAGCTAGGATGGATTTCACGTTGTGCGTATTTCCATCAATTAGGATTCATCGAGCGGCTAAACAGTTGACTCCAAGTTGTATAATAAAGCATTGTATCGGGTAGGGAGTGACTGACGGGGAGTATCGTTCTACTACAAGGTATCATCTTTGTTAAGCTTTTTAGTTTATATGGAATCATCTTTATTAAGCTTTTCATTTCACTAGGAATCTTCGGGACATCGGCACACTATTTCATCCTGCGGAGCTTATTAACGATGACCTATGAAGACGGCTTCCTCATTAGCAATAGCAGCAAACAACAGAAGACATCTGACCCAAAAAAGGTAATTGGTATCAACTATGGTTGGCTGTTCTCGGGGCTTAAGATACAGTTCGTATCCATTATCTGTATGTGGCAGCCATTGGGCTGACGAGTACTATCACGAGGAGACCTTGCATAGTCGCTTTCAGACTGTATAAACTCATGCGCTGTTTGGTGCGAAAATAATAACCAGACTAGGTAGGTGACCTTCCCCTGGCCTCTCTATTTCTTGTCAGCAATATAATTCTCAGTTTCTAACCAAACTCGATAGGTCTAATAGAATGTCATAACCTTATTTGCTATTAGCCTAATGGTATACAAGCCTGATCAAGCCGTATGAGGAATCAGTCGAGCTGGGTAGATTATCAGCACACAAATTTAGATATTGCACACACAAAATGGCGACATCCTTGCTCTATAGTGTACGCACGTATTCATTTTGTGGTCTCTACTCTGATACTCACTTGCCGGCGGGAATCTGGGGTTAGCCCAACTAACACCTCATCCGAATGAACTACTACTACTACTACTTAAGCGAATGTGTATTTCTAGCTAATCCATGTTTTGAGAGATAGGCTGGTATTTATTAACTGATACCAGTATGGTGTAGTTGGTGAATGCAAGTATGAGATATACAGAGTATAAGAGTTCACCGCCGGCTTTCGTTATTCCATACTTTTATCCCGTACAAAGTAGTTTGACGGGATTTGGAATATCCTCGACAGGGCTCGAATAAATGTTGACTACATGACTGATTTATCGTACTGGCTAATTCATCAGTAAGCGTCGTGGCCAGGTACGGAGCAGTGTCAGTGTAATACGAATAGTATGCTGCAATCTCCTTAGCGAGAACAGACTACGGCAAGTAAGCAGCTGGACTATAACTCTTCTGTAACACATCTCTCTCAGTCAACGCGATTGGCGCCATAGCCGTTCGGCCGGGGTTATACGCAATAGTTTCAGGAAAGTAGAATGGGTTTTCTGTTATACTTGCTATAGAAGATGTTGGCAAATAGCTTGTTGTACGGTAAGTTGATAGGTTTTGGCAAGAGAGAAGGACGCTATACGATATGAGCGGACCTATACATAGAGCTACTCGGAACCATACATAGAGCTGCTCAGAAAGAACATGGCCATATCTCAATCCTTGTATGCTGCATTCAAGATGTCATTGACTGGCCATGTCAAATGTGCACGACCCCGGAAACACGAGCTCGACGTCGGACTCCGTTCACAGCCTGAATGGTTATGTCAGATAGTATCCCAGATAGTAACTCAGATAATAACCCAGATAATAGTCCGGATAATAGGCCAGATATTTGCCTAGATGATTGTGCTAGCTCATTCATCATCTTCTCAAGTTCCTCGACCCCTCGACATAGACCAAAAAAGGGGTGTATCTGCTAGAGTGGTTGGCCAGGAACCCTGCGATATACAACATATCACGTTCCACACCACTAGGACCATGTCGATTCGGTTTATGGAGAGGCAGCAGGACGTATATATAAGACACGTTCTTCTCTGTTATTTCGAATCCGTCTTCAGAGTACCCAAAGCACCAATACAATCACCAACATCATGCATTCCAACACCGCCGTTACCATCCTGATCGCCCTCGCTGGCATCGGCTCCGTCTCTGCAGAGGGCATCAACTGCGAAGGCGCAGCTGGTTGCAGTTTTGCAGGCACTGGGATTGCAAAGCAGCTCCAGACATACATCGACTCCGGTTTGTTCTTCTCGATCCTAGTGCTATGTAGTTCTGTACTAACCAAGTGGTGCACAGCGAGCGACAGTACTTGGTTCAACAATGGACAGCAAATCGCCTGCTCCAACGGCATTTGTGCATTCTTTCAAGGAACTGGCGGAGGCTGGGGGAGCGATGCTAAGAGATTGGCTGCCGATAGTACGTCATGTTTTCCTTGGGTGATCAAGCGCCCCATGTATATCTGAAGGACCTGGATTGTACTGGGCTTGTCTAGGCTGCGTAGACAAGGTGCTGACGAATGAACTAGTTGTTGGCCACGGGTGCGGAGTCTGTGGAAGTGCTCCTTTTTATTATCCTAACCCCAATGACATCTCGACGTATGGGGAGCTGACATTTAATGCTGTTACATTTGACTGCGGCCGTTGTTTATGCTCTGACCCGAACTGCTCTGATCCATAGAGGCTTGGAAATTTCGGAGCGGTTGACAGGTCGTCTCTTGGATATTGTTATGGTCTGAATCGACAGAGATGCGTACTTTGTGAAAAGTACGTACGAGTCAGCCAATTGATGCTCCAGAAGGACTGTGAGAATAAGCTTCATTTTCACGGCTATAAGTGGAAAGTTCTGAGTAGGAAGAAGGAAATGACTGGGTATACGAGTTTAATTCAAATCGCTCCTTAATTAGTTTTAGATCGCCAGTTGATCGTTCATTTTATATATTATCATACCTGCTTGATGCTACTTCCTGTCCAATGAGTACTATATATGAATTTCTCATTCCTCTTATAATGTGATAAACGATTTTCAGAATATAAGATAACTGATAAACATGACAATGAGAAACCTTTCATGTATGCTTAGAGTTGGATTGGACATATCAGATAATCTACTCGATTATTGAAGCACCTGATACTGGCAAGTGTAACCCTCTATTATGCCTACTTATCCCACGAGTATCTGTAAATGCTTTTTGAATTGCCACAGGATCGCGTTCCTGGTGGTGACTCTGGATATGGCCTTAAGGTCAAATGTAGATGCTTGAAAGCAAAGAGTCACTTGTAACGAACCGGGTCCTCTATGGCAGTATGGTTACATTAGCTGTATCCAAAGACAAACCTCTGGGCTCCAGGTCTATATTGGTGGATCAATCGGATCGGTTACCGGCGTTCTCTGTATTGGTCACACAGCTACTGGGTGTGGCATCTGAAATAAAGCTGATTGCCATGTCAAAAACTGGCTATCAAATTTGTCTGAATGATCGTAATAACGTAAGCTTATATACTAAGTTGAGTGGGCATCCTCGATATACTCGATCATCGAGTCCATTAAGTGTAGTCGATGTCCTTGACGGTCGATCTCGTCGAATAGTAGACAGAGGTTTGATAAAGAGATGTCCCATTACACCGTAGACCAAGGGAGGATGAATGATATCTCCAGATACACTTATATTAGGAATATTAACCGCAAAAACTTATTGAGAATCGAATTATGCCTGTGATGTTACGACAAGTTTGAATTGGGCGGAGACTATTTCTGGTATTGAAAGTATGGGCTTCTGGCGTAACGCCTACTAGGGGATGCTGTTCAAACAGTGTGTTGTAGTTCAACTGCATTCAATTTTGGGTGTGCTTACGTCCATTGATCAACACTCATACTTCCGGAATAATTCCAATAAGAGAATGCAACGAGATAAAAAGGGTAGACATTGTTCTTTCAATATATGCTGCAGGTGTTTACCAGGATTGCATTCTAGATCATCAATGTGGCTGGTTGATACGTAACGGATGTTGTATGAAGTTGTGTGTGTAAGTGACCCATGAGAGTAGCCAACTTTTTGACTCAAAGACGTATAATGAAGCACTGTATTGACTATGGAGGAACTGCAGGGAACCACTTGAGTTTTTATTATAGTTTCAGAGGCATTAGACCGTTATTTCATCCTACGGAGCTCGTTGAGTCTGGTCTACAAAGAAGGTCGTGAGGGCGCCCCTCTCACCCGCATTGCAGCACCCAACTACAAAAGACAGAATAACACACAACAGCGTCAATTTAATAGCAAAAAATGCAAAAAAGAAACAACATACAACAGCCGGTGTTCGCTAATGGTCACCCACTTAACTACTAATCTGCCGGTTAGTGGCTTGTCTCTGGGGGAGCAGACGGGACCCCGAATTTTCCACTACCTATGGTCGTATGTGCAGTGAGAGGCACCTAATACAATTGATTAGCAGAAGTATAACTCGATTTCTTTTCCGCTAGAATATATAAGTAAATAATAGGTATCGGGTGAGAGTATAATACTCCCGAAACATTTTGCTGCATCATTCTTACTTTATACTCTGTTGTCCCTTTTAATTCACCAAGACAAGAAACTCACCTAACTTAAACTTATAATTAAGTATATCTTTGTCGATTTGTGTAGTGCGGGTAGCAAGCGCAAGATTATGGAGGTACTGAATTGACGACCAGATGAGTTAAATACACACTATAATTGTAAGGTATCTAATATTATGATAAAACACAAAGGATTATCAATAAAGAAACCATTCAAGGACCTCCTCACTCTCATCATCGGAGTAACGCGTCCCTTCACCATGACGGTAGATTAATAATTCAAACTCATCCAGTCATCCTCCTTCACGACCAGCAATTAGGTGGTTCATACTCGGTGACCAAAACTTCTCCAGAGCCACCAACCGCTGCCTGCCAGGCAAGTCCCTGCCAAGATGTAGTACAGCCAGATGGTGAGAGAGCGTTTTACCATGTTCAGAAATATTTGTTCAGCGTTTTCGGCATCATTAGCTTTGGGGAACGGTTCGTTTGGGATAGGGCAGTCGAGGATCTTGCATAATGGCGCCCATCCGTCCTCCAGTCGTACAATGTGAAGTCGATCCTTGGGGACACTGTCGATTACTGATTGCATATGGCGTTCCATTGATTCTAAGTCGTTGTCAGTATACATTTCTTGTGTTCGAAAGAAGGCTAATGCTGCAGTGTTACCGGGATTTGGGATCTTGCCAGAGGTTGGATTGTAGGACTCTCGTTCCCTATATCATGTTAGTATTCTCAATACCTATATTTGTGAATACCGAGCACTCAGTCATACATCGCAGCCATGCCGTCGATAACGCCTATGCTCCATCTCCAACCGGGAACCGGCCAGAATAGCATGGACAGAAATTTGGTCTGTGCATTACTTGCGACGGCCCCCATACTCCTCCACCAGGTTTCTGGATCTCTCTTTACATAAATCACCTGCGCATCGGGATACAGCTCGCATAATTCAGGCACGAAACTGAAAAAGGGAATGTCGCTTGTAACAACAAACCCCTCTGTAAGCTCTTTCAACAGCTGTAGCACGTGGGGTTTATCGTGTCGATACTTGTAGAGCTCGTAGCATTTCCTGTTATACTCATCTTCACGAGCTAGCCCATGAGATCCTCCATGGAGACCTTGGCCGTTGAGCAGCTTCTCACAAGCAAGGACGAGTGTGGTTGTGCCCGTTCGAGGATAGCCGGCGCCAATGACCTTGACTCTCCGGCTACGATCGACTGGCTTTGAACCATTGGCGCCCATTTTCAATGGCTCAGGTAGTCAGAGCCTTGGAAGACTTGCAGTTAAATATAGAGGTTGTAATGATAATCAAGATGTGAGGGTCGATATGCCATGACACTTGGGTCGCAGTTACATGTATATATAAGTATGAAGAGCAGTGGTAATTGTACTTTTCAAAGCAATGGAGCAGCACGGCCCGCTTATGAGGCCCCCTAGGGGTACATGTAGATAGAAAACAGCGGTGCCATTCCCATACCAGTGTATCCATTTCACCGCAAGTCCGCTTAAACGTACAAGCAACTTCCCGCTCCCTATAATCTGACTGTAGTAAGAAACACTGTGAGTGATGAGGAATCGGCAATGCTTCATGACTAAGGGTTATAAATTGAGCGCCTTTTGTAAGATCTACAAGTAGCGGAAAATCTACGAGCAGGTAAGCTTCCGATTTGTAGGTACCTAAATGCCCAAAGAGGCATTTGCACAGAAAGAAAGAACCAATCATATCATAAGACTATCATAAAATTAGGTGAGGAACGCAATCCGTTTTGCTGACTGATGATTTCATTTCGCACACAATGCCTTGCTTCTCCATCACCGGATTCTTGCCCCAACGTGAACGGTCTAATCATCATCGACAACCGCCTGGCCCATTCCACAAGCTACGTGGCGCGGGGGTTGGCTGGCTGCCAAAAACGAAATCATGCGACTCCCAACTTTGGAGTCTTGGGACGCCAAAAACAGAAGACATGTAACACCAAAGAAGCTCTTGACGGGACCCCGAATTTTCCACTACCTAGTCGTATGTGTTCTGATAAGGAGCTTGGTGTTGAAGCTTAATTTGCTGGGTTGTTTATGGGGTAGCCGATGGCCCGATGATATAGCCAACCAGGATCTTATAAAACCGCCTTGTTTCCACTTGAAATTAGTGCTTACCGGCCGGAAACTCGGCATATCCATGGATATATATCGTATAGGTGGTGAGGTGAGAAAAAGCCACTTGTTCACGCGCCTTTCTGAGGTCTGACCGTTTTTATCAAGCCATATTTCTCCGAGATTTTATAATTCCATCTCAAAAATTCAGGTATGGAATCTTCGTCACTCACTGCTACGGATGCAGATAAGCGAGAAGTTGTCGACCTATGCGTTCGACTTCTCGAGACCTTGAAGCTGGGCGGTGCAGCAGGACGAGATCAATTTCTGGCTACTCTCGCCCCGTATGGAACTGCGTGCCACGCTCGAGCTATGGTAGGGACTTGATTCACTTCGTAATGACATTGCGAGACCATCTCCGCGCCCGAAACTACAACATACTCACAACTGTAAATGCAACAGTTAAACAAGGGCTTTGAACATGAGCAATTCCCGCACGGGTTTGCAGACCGCATGCCGTGGGACTCGATCGAGGATGGCGAGCTTGAAGAAGGGCTTGATGGCAGGCCTACGGTGTTAATTGACCACGACCTTGCCATGGTTTGGACGCCCTACTGGTTCACGCGCAATGGTGCTCTCACCCACCTGGGGACGAATTGCTTTACTCTTATCAAAGCGGCCTGGGATGAAAGCTTGCCGCAGAAGGTGGAGTGGAAGATTTGCGGCCTAACTGACACTGCCCGACCTCCGACAGAGGAAGATAGGAAACGGCTTGGGAAAGAGTAGAGAGAGTTAGTAATTCAAGCCCTTTCAAATGCATGTAAATTGTGATAGGCATGGGCTTCCCATTTGAAACATATTTTCCCCAGCTCAGATAGTTAAACCCCATGGTTACAATTCCGAGTTGGAGTCGCAATTACTCGGACCTGGGATCTGCTGCGTACATACTGTATGTATGATAGGTACCTTACCTACATGTAAGTTGGGCTGAGGCAACCCAGCATCTCATAACAGCCGCCATCCAGGGTCTGTCTACCTTGACGCCTGTATCTCTAAAGAGAGCCCTCAGCGACTACCAAGCTGCGCGGCTCAAGGCCTCCCTTGTGGGTATAAACGCCTTGCAAGTCTCCGACGGAGCGCCGAAGAATCCATTCTTCGGCTCGAATCTCCGGATCGCTCGTCTCACTGACAGGCTGCCCGTCGATTAGACCACCTTTTAGCCTTCTGAGGACAACACTATCCTCTGGCCGTGAAAAGTACACAAGGCTGTGTCTGCTTAGGCCATCTTGGGGTGGCAACGGAGGAACAACGCGATGTATGTTTGATCGCAGCAGGCCAGCCGTAAACTTGACGAGCGCATCGCCGAGATTCACCACGGCTGAGCCGGGTACGGGCCGAACGTAAACCCAGTCTTGTGTGTCCGGCAGGCGGATCTGCAGCCCAGCTAACCAGTTGAACAAGATGGTGAGCGTTCCAAAGTCTGTATGCTCACTCCGGCGTGCGGCTTCTTCCGAGTATGACTGGATTCCGCTTTTGTTGAATCGAATGTGATCACCAGACCGCTCGGTTATGCGATGGAGTCTGGCAATCATGCTAGAAGGTACTTGGAGATGCCTCTCGAGATGTACGATCAAGAGGTCGATGACCGCTCGGCAACTATAGACATACTCGCGAAGCAACTCCCAGTGTTGCTTTATCAGATCGGGACACGGCAGCGGCTCACAATTCCCAACAATGTCATCTTTGCGCATCTGAATTTGCGGTCAGTGCCATTTTCTAGGACGCTGGTAGACTTGAGCGATCTTACATTATATAGCTCGTTCCGATCACGCGTGCCGTCTTCTCTCATGGGGCCTATCTCGCTGTGACGATAGCCGAAGAAGGGATGCAACTTTTCACGGGCAAATTGATCCTTTTCTGCGAATGGCAAATCGTCAAACTTCTTTTGGAGAGCATTGAGCTCCTCTGCTAGTAAAACCATCTTTTCGCCCAAAGAAGAACCATACATTTTTAAGTAGAAGAAACCCAACTCTTTTGACGCTTTGAAAAGAGCTTCTGAGGCGGCGCCATCATCCGCTTCCAACTCGGCGAGTGAGATGGAGACCAGGGGGGCAGTTACCACGCCATCAGGGAAGGGCGGGTACAGATGATGCGATGTATTAGCTGGGGCCATGGGGAGGTCGTTTTCGATGGTTGCTGTAAACGGTGCTCTTTGTTGACCAAGATGAGTGTATTGTGCGATATAAGATGGAAGCTGAAAGTTGCACCCACCAGAATTGAATACACCAGCGGGCGCCTGAATTGGTTCCTGCTTACATGTACATACCTCGGCATCTCGGGTTCCGTTCATACCACTGCGCTGCTCTACAGTATAGGCTGATATTCATCGGCGAGAATCAGTCCGATTGTGATGGAGCTATTGACCCCGCTCGGTATACTCGTATTCTCCATGGATGTCTAAGAGTACAGACGATCTGCCCCAGATCTGTTCTTAGTGTAGAGTCGCATTTACTAAATCCTTATACTGGAGAACCTAATGGCTTTGCCAGGTACTGAAAGCGTAGGTTATGAGAATATTTCCAATGTCGGACTGCTGCTAGTACCGCATGCATTGTGTGTATGTGTAAAAACAGTGGCAGTGTCGACTTCAAATGCTTTAATTAGGTAGGTAGAAGTAGAGGACTATATGGTGACGGGCGTCTCAGCGCGGGGGTTGGTTAACCCATTAACCGCCAAAAACTGAATTCTATAGCTTCGGATTTGGAGACATGACATGTAAAAAATGGAAGACATCACACTTGAGAGAAGTGCTTGACGGGAGCCCGAATTCTCCACTACTTGGTATGGTCGTATGTGCTGGATATGCTACTGCGACAACTGATAACCATTAGGAACAGAGTGTGAGTATACGGCTAGACCTTTACGCAGTATGTGATAAAGGGGAACTCAAAAAGGATCGTAAGAGGGGACTTATTGTAAGAGAACCAACAATACGAACTTACAGCTGCGAACCGAGCAAGGGGATCCCTACCTATCTGCCTTAAAAATTACAGACCAGAGAGTTGAGTGTGGGAACGGCTGCATCAGGAGTCTCGACATTAGACGGGGCGAGTACATAGCGGCTCTCTGTGTGTTTTGTTCCTTAAGGGATCGTGGGGATTTGGCTTTGGCGTGCTCGATCGACGCGAGGATCTGGCAAAGTTCAGATACTCGGGAATTGGTGGTGCAGGTGTCGCGGGGCTTATTAAAGAAGGGCGCGGAAGAAAGACCCCTGAGACACTCAAGGCGAACCTTCGAGACAAGTCGTTCGCATTTCGAGCGGATAGAGGCACTTTTGTAAAAGGGGACAGGTGTCTTAGTGCCATCTAAAGAGATATCCATTCATGCTCGTTGCGGAGTGTCGGCTGGGAAGACTTGGTACATGTCACGGCGTGACAGAGAAACTTCTGTAACAGTGAAGGCCACTCGTGGTGCCTAGCTAGGTGTGTGAGATTGCAGAAGCAGTTTCTCGCAGATGCTATTTACCCAAGACGCTTGGTATATAAAGGGAGTGCGGAGCGGTTGGTGGGTGGGAGGCATGGAGGCTAAGACGATATCATCGACGAAGTTTAGCACCATGCAATTGGAGCAGTTGTACAACCGCCTCGTTCCTAAACTCCGCGGCGTATGATAGCGGCGTCCGGCCGTTATTATCAGCTGCTTCAATCTGCGCGCCCTGGTCAAGCAGTAGCCGTACAACAGCCTCTCCCCCATATCTTACGGCATACGATAGCGGCGTCCGGCCGTCTTTGTCGGCTACCTCGGTTTGTGCGCCCCGGTCAAGCAGCAGCTGTACAGCAGCCTCGTTCATATACTTCTTCACAGCATGTGATAGCGGCGTCCGGCCGTTATTATCAGCTGCCTCAGCTTGCGCGCCCCGGTCAAGCAGTAGCCGTATAGCGGTCTCGTTCTCGTAACAACATGCGGCATACGACAGCGGTGTCCGGCCGTCTTTATCAGCTGCCTCAGCTTGCGCGCCTCGGTCAAGCAGTAGCTGTATAGCGGCCTCATTCTTAGACATCTCCGCGGCGTGCGACAGCGGCGTCCGGCCGTCTTTATCAGCTGCCTCAGCTTGCGCGCCTCGGTCAAGCAGTAGCCGTATAGCGGCCTCATTCTTAGACATCCCCGCAGCGTGCGACAGCGGCGTCCGGCCGTCTTTATCAGCTGTCTCAGTTTGCGCGCCTCGGTCAAGCAGCAGTCGTACAGCAGTCTTTCTCCTATATCTCACGGCATATAATAGCGGCGTCAAGCCGTATTTATCAGCTGTCTCAGTTTGCGCGCCTTGGTCAAGCAGCAGCCGTACAACGGCCTTTTTCCCAGACTCCGCAGCGTACGATAGCGGCGTCCGGCCGTATTTATCAGCTGTCTCAGTTTGCGCGCCCCGGTCAAGCAGCAGCTGTACAACGGCCTCTTTCCGAAACTCCGCAGCGTACGATAGCAGCGTCCGGCCGTCCTTGTCGGCCGCCTCAATCTGCGCTCCCCAGTCAAGCAGCAACCGTATAGCTGCCTTGTTCCCAAACTCCGCGGCGTATACTAGCGGCGTCCGGCCGTCTTTATTGGCCGCCTCGATATTGGCACCGTAGGAGAGCAGCGCTCGTAAACAAGCTTCATTACCACTAGACACCGCATAACTCAAAGGAGTACGGCCCTGCCGCCTATCTTGTGCGTTAATTGTTGGTGTCATGAACCCGAGTAAGTGTGTTAAGAGTAATAGATCGCCGTATTCCGCAGCGTAATGGAGCACAGTTGTATTTCTTGGAATCGAGAACCCTTTATGGTAATCGTCTTGATCAATAATCTTGTCCGAGGCATTGTAATGAGGCTGGAGTGCCTTGTATACCTCTTCATGGCCGTTTTTCAAAGCAGCCAAAAGAGGGTATCTGTATCTCTCTCCTTTGGAATGAACATCGAATCCGTTGTTAATTGCAGATCGGACAAGAGACGGTAGGTTGTGCTCAACAAGGACGTAAACTAAAGAAGCCTCAGTTGTGTAACGACGAACTTCATACTGCTGAAAGAAGTTGTATAAATGAAGCCAGCGCTTTAATGCGAAGTTCTTTAGAAATGTAACCTGAGGAATAACCTCCCCCGTAGCATTGGCATGATGAAGAACATGTTGTGTCGCGTAGTCAAGAAATGGGAAGTCTTCTAAAACTCGAGTGCGTAACTCTTTGGCCTGCTCTTTGGCCTGCTCTTTGGCCTGCTCTTTGGCCTGCTCTTTGGCCCGCCTTGACAATGCTTTAGGCGGAGGCTCGCCCTGGGGTACTCTTTCGGAAATGTCAATGTTGCGGTAATAATTATCACAACATTGTTTCAATCGATCGTGGCTGTAGCTTTCAAAATTCGCTGCGTGATTGGGCCATAATTGGCCGATCCCGTTGTCCTTGATGAGAAAATCGCGTACCGATTCATGAATGAACTGCACAGTCCGCGCCTTCGACTTGACAAGTTCGGCAAGGCCTTTCGAAGAGCTAAGAAGATACAGCTCCATGGCTGCAGGTGTAGTGGATTTTTGATCGTAGTTCTCAGGGCTTGGGTCCAGTCCTGATACGAGGGCAAAGTAGTACTCCTCACACGTCAAGGGTCTTGCTGCATATAAGATCCACTGGATGCAAAGTAACAAATCGTCCATATTATGATTGTCCCGGCAAAGTATATCCTTGAAAAGGTTACTAAGCCCATCGGGCAGCTCCTTTAGTCGCCGCTTTACTGCAAACATGCGACCATCGCGGAACTCTCTGTTAAGTATGTCGACGACGAGTACCACCCACAAGAAAACTCCTGATGCTCTCTCTAAGATTTCGGTAGAGACTTCCTGAGACGCCTTGCTTTTGCCGGCTCGCAACTTGCTTCGAACATATTTCTCAAGGTCTTCGCCATGACCTGGCTGATCCTCTAAAGTGAGCTTCAATCCGTTGCGTATCTCGATATGCGGATAGTGACGACTGGAAAAACAGATGTAAATTTTGGTTTGGCTTTTGGCAGCTTGGTCTCCTAGGTCCTCGAAATACTCGACCATATTCTCAACCTCGGATATACCACATTCATCAAGAGCATCGATGAAGCAGATGATCTGTCGCTGGCTAAGTCTGGTAACCGCATGGGTAAAAAGAGCCTGGAGCGTTTCGATATCCCAAGTGGCCTGGTTGTGCCTGGCTTGGAAGATGTGGTCTGAATCGTGTAGGACGTCCGGGAATTTTTGAAAAATTTGAAAAAGCAGAGATCGATACATTCCTTCTGTCGACTTTTCTAGCTGAACGCCTCGGGCGTTGAAGAAAAAAGAGATGACGGTTGCGTCGGCTGTTGCTTTCCACCTGTTCTTCACGTAGGTGTAGGCAAACTTCATCAATGTTGACTTCCCAGCACCGGGCTTTCCATTGATCCACAGGAATCCATGATGACTAGTAAAATGGATTGGTTCAAGCCATTCGACGTATTTTGGGTGGCCAAGCAACCATTGGCAAGTTTGGGTATGTTGAGTCTTGATTGTCGCATGGCGCGAGTCGATTTGCTCAAACGTTAACGAGCTCAACATTGCCTCCGCTCGACTTTGGAGCAATACTGGGTCTGCAAAGAGATCAGCCAAGACTCCAACATTCGAAGATTCAGTACGTACCTGTTGTAGGATATGTCGCTTCAATATCCCTTCGTTGCTGTGTAGGTATGACAGACAGGAGTTCCTTGGCATATGCAGCGGCGACAGCAGCGGAATACTTCTGCCAGGCTTTGTTCTTGTGAGAATCTGAGTAGTCGCAGATGCCGCGAATGGTAAGGCAAGGAAACTCATGCAACCCTGCAGCCTCCATCTCAAAGCAGATGATGCCAAGTTCCTCCGCCATCCTAGAACGAGTTTCGCCATCCTTGACGACCTGGTTGCCAGATGCAATTTTGCCATAGTGAATTCTGGGTTCCGCGGTCTCCCGATGAGGTCGTTCTAGAGCCTCTGATAGGCTACAGCGCTCGCAGCTGTCCGTCTCTTGCGTGTGCTTGTATGTGTGACGGAACAGTCGATCTGGCAAGCTAGGTCGGGCGTATGAGGTCATTTGCTCGTTTCGGTCGAGCATGTCCAAGAGGATGCTGGGAATTCTGCTGGGCGCGCTCTCATGATCTGCTTTTAGCTTGGCTATAGCCGTCGTGATCGTGTGAGGGGGCGTGGTGGTGCGGCCTGTTCGCTGAAACTGGCCGTCGGGCAAGATCTTGCCCAAGTCGTACTGCATCACTTCGTTCCCGACTGCAACATCTCCTAATCGTATGTCGATCCCGCCATCGGGCACTCCACCGCCAATTCCAACCATCAATCGAATGGTGATGGAAGAGAAGCTTCGACTCATATTGCTGGCCACTATAGCGGCGTTGTTGGTGCCGTATTGGTTCGCTGGAAGGCATGCGATGACAACATTATGCTCAGCAACGCGGCCAAAGGTGTAGGTATTGATATCGCCTTCTTTGTTGGGTAAGGGGACGTGAATGCTATCTAGCATAGCTTTTGCTGCTGCCATCTCAATGGAGAGAGCACAAACCCATCCAACAGTGTAGTCGCAGTAGTTCAGCATTTGCCCGCCGCCATTGTCCGATTGGTGTCGTTTCGAGTGGATCGACACTGCACCATCGTCGTCTCGACTTCTCTTTCTGCTCTCGGGAGCCTCCATGATCTGCCGCTTTCATTAGGCTAGATGGACCCCGTCAAGTGCTTGTCTATGCCTCTTTGAACGAGCTCTAATCGAGTATACTGCCGAGAGGCTGCGACTTGTGTAGCAGAAGAGGCGGACTTTGGAGCAAGAGCGGAAGAAAATGAAGAACGAGGCTCAGCCGCAAGTCAGGCTGGCGGCTGGAGCCTGATTTTGACTGGTACTTCAATGAGACATCGTGATTCGTTGCTTTGCCGCCGTAGGCATTCAGCTGCCTGCAGGCTGTGCTGAAATTGTGCCTTGCCGAGATGCAGCATGTCTTGTCGAATAAGAAACTCGCCGTGCCTTCTGAGGCTTGGATGTACTTGTTACTTCAGTGAAAAGACCGTTGCTCGGTCAACCAACGACAGGATCCACAAATGCAAATGCTACCAGTTCGCCAAACTACACCACGCTTTATCCCCATTGCAAAAAGAGGATGCCATCTATGCTAATAAGGTTTGCAGATCTTTGGACTGGATGCAGGGAGAGGTTTAAGCTTGGGGAAAATGATACGCTGGCCGGATCGATTTCATCCCACTTCCAGGTTTCTCTGTCAGCGAACATATTTAGTTGGAGACAATCTATAGCATATCAACGCTTGTTGTGCTAATATATCCCACATGCGTGTTGGGGGAGCCTCTGAGACCTCTTGTTATTTCCTCCTCACTTCCGGATTGGATCAGCGGGCGCCTCTTTTATGATTAAGCCCTCATGGTCGTATGTCATGTAGTCTCGTCTTCACTGAACCCATAATCCAAGTATGTTTCGTAACCAGCTCTTTCACTCATTCATGTCTTGAGCTAAATTATCATAATCTCGCAGTGTTGTGCGCCATGTAGCCAGTCAATTCCATACCTTGATTCAAGGTGCTCAGTCAACTGAACAATACCGACTCTTTGGTAAACCTTCAATTCCCCCCTCCGCAGGCGCGTGTCCGACAAAACGAGACATACCCTCGGGAAGAGTGCAAAGAGATAGAGTGCCCCTCGCTCGCGCCCAATTCGATCATTGAGAAGATAATCTGCCGAGAATGGTAATCTTACGGATGGTACTTTGCACGAAGACGCTTCAGAAAGCTCTATCTCAAGTTCAAAGGTGGTCATGTCCCTGGGTGATAGGAAGGCTGGGTTGACAACTAGGCTGGCCGAGCGTAAAAGACCCGAGACAGCCAAGGTGACGGAAGAAATCTCGCCATAGTCGTTTCTCCCTTTGGCCTTGACTTGAATCGACCGAAGTATTGGTTGTCTATAAGATGACTTTTGCCACGAGTGGTCCGTATCATGGACGTAGCTCTGTTCAGGCGAGAGCCAAATATCTTCTGCGTTCAAATAGCGAACGCCTGCGTTTACAGACACCCATGACCAAGAGGGACCAATGTATTCCCGAGAGCGATTCAGATGACTTGAAGGTTTGTCGGCCGCCCAAGCAAGATCGAGAAAGAGGGATGACTTCCATAGTCCTGCGTGATAATCGCCGAGAAAAGGGGCCATGCGATGTGCAAGACCCGACAGCGCTGGAAGGCGATCAGTCTGCTTCGTCAACTTTAGCTTGGAGTAGTGCTCCACGAGACCATGCCACTGTTTGACGGGTACGAGTATCTCCTTCATTTGCAAATTGTAGGTCTTCATGACATCCTCCCTGGATGCTCTGAGCCTCTGCTCTCGAGTATCAAGTTGATCATTGACCTCATCAAAATCGGGATCGAGCCTTCCAATTGATTGCCGCTCATTCACTTGTGATATCACAGACTGTACAGCGTCCTCTCTGCTTGAGCTTTCACTTTCGCTTTCGGGTTGGTCATTGCTGATTTTCAGGTGTGAAGCAAGCGCGAATAATGATTTCAGATTGAGACTGTTCGATAGTCCTCCGCATTCGCATATTGTGTGTTCACAACACTCCCAAATCATCTCTCGTAGGCAAAAATGAAGGACTCTGGGCGACAGCACTCGTTCCTGGAATACCCAGGCTCTGGAGAGCAGCGGGTTGTCCCGTGTTGGCATCGCCGTTGGATCAGTGGCCCAATGGGGAAGCTTACGGCGAACCTTCAGTCGGAAGCTGTCTTGAGTCGAATTTGTAACTTCCAATGAGTGCTCGGCGTATTCATCTGCCTGGGTTGGGAAGCACCCAGTCGAGTTGGAATTAGACCAAGTTGCGGCCAGCGTGAGACATGACTGATGGTAAATGTCTGCCATTTTTGCGGATTGAAGCTCCCAATCCATGGGATCATCTTGAACAATGCAAAGAGCGTCAATCCAGAGGTAGGGTATGTCAAGCTCCAAGCAGAACCGAACGGCGTCCTGGAACGTTTTCGGAAGCTCTTCCCACGATATTCCTTCTTTTCTGTCACCGAGATTCTCGATGGTGGTGATGAAGTTGTGATCCGAGCTCCAACGGTGACTCAAAGTAGCGTATTTGCCTAGAGCTTTGTCTGGTTCGGTGAGCCTGACCGTGATGCTGCCTTCGGTGGAAGCTTCGAGTGAGAGGACCTTGTCTGGCAAGGGAGAGAGCTCTGAAGAATGACAAAGATGATCATTGTCACACTCTTCCATTTTTGTTTTCACCCACTCTATTGCTCGTTTGGATAGGGGATGGCCATTGCGGGTTGTCCTTGGCCAGAATACTTTCCGAAGCATCGGATCCGGGTCTGAATTGTTGATGAGCATAACGCGCAATTACATAGCTGAAATAGTCCTTACGAGATTTGTCAGTGAAGAACTCTATCACGACCCTTGGCTTTCGCTTTTCCCTAACGAAGGAGATCTCTAAGAAGAGTGTGTCGCCGGAGAAGGCATAGCCATTGACAGCAGAGACATCTGTCGCAAATGACCAAGTTTCATCTTGCATGAGAAGAATTCCCTGTCGCATAAGAGAACAGAATTGGCATTTTTTGACAAGTGCTGATTGCTCTAGTTCGCTAGATGTAAATTCAATTGCGAGTCTGACTCCCGATCTCTTTTGTTTGAGATCATTGCATACTTTACAGTTGTCCATCGAGTAGCAAAAATCCTTGTTGGGGAGGAAAGATGACAATAATAATAATAGACTGGTAGTGTTGTTATCATTTGATCTAATTATTGATCTGATCTCGGTGAGGTTGGACTGAGTCTAATATTCTTCTTCTCAGGCTTCTGCCTGGTTTGTATGTATGCCTTGCCTCTGTAATTAGTGGGCACCCTCGTATTGATTCAGCCTAACAGATTCAGAAGAACTTTAGCCTTCCTACCGGACGGCAACAGTCATTAATACGAGCATAGATGTATAAGCCACTCCCCGCAAAAGGCTTGCAGCAGTTTGGTAGATACAAGTACATGATTTTGATCACATGCGGCAAGGGCCGGGCCGCATCTCTACATGTAATAGATCGAGACGGGACGCTGAGCCTTCTCAAAGCAACCTTACATGTACTTATATTTTGTGTTGCTTGCCAGCCTGATTGCGGCCTAATAATCACTCCCTTGATTTTACGCGAATCAAAATTGAGATCAGAGTAGCACACTGAAGACCAGAATTTTAGACTATGGAACTTTTGGTGAAGACCGCAATACGCTTCTCAATATCTTATTCCCCATCTTAAAGTAGTTGGAGTCTCGTCTTCTCCTCCATCCAATACGATGACAAGAAAAACCTGGTTTCTCCCTCCCGATTTTACCTTTCTTCCAGATGGGCAATTTGCGCTCGGCAGTATCATCCCCAGCCCCCGGCAGCCAACCGCCACTCTTGCCTCTGTCGCCTCCTACCCAGCTATCATCCTGCCGGAGACAAAGTCCATTGTCGAGAAGAATGTTAGCTTCTCAGTCGAAAAGACTCGTTCTCTTGGGTTCGAGCTTTTTGCCAAGCTTCTTGATGCCAGAAACGCCAAGATCGACGTGTCATGGTACAAGAACAAGTCTTTTAGCGCCGTAGATCATGAGGTGCATACATACCACGGAGCCTTCGCTCCAGAGACCTTGAAAGCAATCCTGGCCCTCGACAATGTTAAGAAACACATCGAGAGTGGGCGTTTTGGTAGGCGCCGCGTGTACATTATCACGGGCTTGCGCGTGGTGCGACAGAGCTTTACGGCCACAGAAGAAAAGGGAAGGAATACGGTCTCTTCTGTCGCAGCAAAAGGATTTGTTCCCACTGGTGTTGTGCCTGTCGTCTTCGGAGCCCGTATTGCCGGAAATTCAGAGGATAGGACAAAGACTAGTTACGAGACAGCCCCGGGAATCGTTTTCGCATACCGTCTACATGTAATTCGGCCTAAGGATACAGGTGCGGATCAGGAGTTATTTTCTGATAGGACGGCGTTCTTTACTGGTGAAGCTGAAGCTGAAGAGGCCGAAATGGAGATAGTTGAGGTGGACGGTGCAGTTTATCGGGAGGATTTAGATGCAGAACAGGATGATTACGAAGAGAAGCGACTCGACGGGATAGACAATGACTCTTATATCGTTTTTCAAAGTCAGCCTCAGCAGTAACGGCGGGCTGCTAGAATGTAACATATAGCAGAAGGCATATCTTGAAAGACTAATCTCTAATTAAAGCCCATCCTATTCACCTACAATTAAAATCTTCGCTAGATATAATGGTGAACCAGGTTCGTTATAGATGATCCAGGTTATTGTAATAAAGGTTAAGCCACACAGCTACTCTTCGCCTTTCTCACAATCTTTTGTCAAGGTTCGACAAGGTATCAAAAATAGCCGCATATCGAGCAAGATCAGACGATTTCTTCCAGAACCAGATCGGGTTAACAGCCCTACGCCGTGGATGATCCTTATCTTCTGGTGCTAGTCGATCCAGCGCTGCCTCCATGCCTTTGGTAGTCCGGAGTCGTGGTAGCATATTGTCCGATGTGCTAGCCGCCTTCCCTTGCAGCGAAACCAACGAAGGCAACATCGTGGTATATATGAGCATCGTGGCACTTATGCCCGCCATTATTGCCGTGGCGACTGAGGACCCGGACTCGCACACCTTGGGGTATGTATTACTGAATTCTTCTTTGATTGAGCTCGGAATGTCGTCGCCGAATGTGCCGAGCACGGCGGCGCCGTTGGTAGAACTTCTTGCGTTTGATTGCAGAAAGATGCCGTTGCAGTTCGTAGCGAAGACCGATATCACAGCAGGGTGGCGGGCAGGGAAACTCTCATCGTCTGTAGACGAGTTCCCAGCACTAGCTAGAAAAATTATATCTTCTTGGCGGTCCTTCTGTACCTTCTCGATAGCCTCGCGCATCCCTGGGTCATCGTAAGGGAAGCCAAAAGACATGAAGATAATGTCGGCTTTGCCGGTCTGTCCGGCCCAGAGGATGGCCTTGTCAAACAGTATGTAAGTTTTATGAGCGAGAACGATGTAAACACACCACTGACCTTTTTGATATTTTCTCGACTGCTCTCAAGGTCATCAGTGTTTTTGGCAACACGCGCAACCATAATACCTGCTCCGGGAGCACACTCCATAATGAGCCTTGCCATCAAGGTTCCATGCCCAAAAGTATCCGTCATGGTTAGAGCGTCAGGATTAACAAAATCTCTTTCCTCGATGATGCTTTTCATCATTCTGCTCTTGGCTTGAAAGGAAGGAAATTCTCTATCCAAACCCGTATCCAGAATGGCAACACGTATCTCAGCTGTAACTCCACACTCACGTCGTTTGTGCTCTACCAGCTCACTAATTCTCTTTAGGTTGCTTAGCCACATCTGAGGAACTACAGTCGCGCTGTGGAATTTTGCTTCTGGTTCCAGTTTCCGAGGCTCGTCATGTGATATTCCTCGTGGGGGAGAATGAAGCTTCTTGTTGACATAGTTAATCTTCTCAGCTTGCGCTCTGAACCCCTTTTTTGCTAGCCATGCAAGTGGGCGGACCACATTTTCGTGGAACCTTCTCCGTATAATGATGTCTTCTTTCCCATTGAGTTTCTGTTGTCCCGATGAAGGAATGATGCCCTCGCTTTTGAGACAGAACTTCACAACACCATCAAAATACTTCTTGTTGCTCATGAAGCCATCCCGGTTCATCTTTTCAAGCTCGTCCAGCTCATCGAGTGCCCTCTTGTGGTTAAAGTTTGCCTGTGAGACTTGATTTTGACGACTTAGGGTTTGGAAAGGCTTGGAGAGGCCGATTTCTAGGAGTAATACGCCCATGTCAAATATCTGAGGATATTTATGCGTCAGCTGACTCTTGTCTGGAATACCAGGATCGATCACGCCATAATTGCCGGAAGGAAATGACAGGTAGGCGCATAGTGGCATTTGCTCGTTATTGCCCCTGTTGCCCTCCTCAGGCATGAACCAGATATTGTCGCTAGTCCACTTAGTCCGCATTAGTAGTTCTGAATTATAGTACTTCCAGAATGATCGTGCTAGGGCATATGAAAGGGTTACTTTATCTTTCGGCTCGAGGCTGTAATGGCGTAAGACCCTCTTTAGAGGTTCTCCGTCCCCGGCCTGAAAGATTTGGCGTAGGACTTGCGATTGGTTGAGTCGGAAGAGACCTTGACCGTCTTTGAATGAGAGAGGAATGATAGCATAGATCTGTTGATCGATGATATGGCAGAACCCTCCTCTACACAAAAGCTGGTCATCATCCGAGGGGCTGCTTGGTTGACTAAAGCTTTAGTTGTTAGTGAGACTCTGTACAATGAATTAATATGAACAGTAGTCAACTATCAATGAATCTAGTTGACCAAGTGAGGTGATGGGGCCGTAGATTGAGCCTCATAAGTTATATGTAGGCAATTGTTGTCACAACTTCATCCCTTATGGGTCACGGACATACTCACATAATTAAACTAAACTCTTGCCAAAGAGTCATATCCATAGCTGAAACGACAATCGTCATATCTCGTGCAACTGATTCTTGACTATGTTGATGTTCATGTAGACAGAGTCGTGCGGGATGCCTCCTGATTGCCGAGTCCTCTTCTATGGTCGATGCTGTTCGACAAGTTTGATGTATCATAGATTCGCACTCGGCGATTGATTGGAGAGCATTGAAAGCTTCATTATTGAGGCTGTCCAAAGATGTGTCCGGTGTGTCCAGATTTTGAGTCACGCCTTTGGGAAGTCCTTTTACGTCGTCTTCGCCCTTGGTCAGCTTGTCGATGAGGCTGATACAATCGCTCGCGACTTCTTGGCTTTTTTTCGTCTGCGTCTTGAAAAAATAGACAAGTTTTGTCTCTGCATCTGTAAAATATGTCCGCTTGAATGGAGATGAACGCGTTGGTCCCGTCGTTAGCCGAGAAATGACATCTAGGCTATGTAGAATCTTGTGGCAAAGTTGCTCGATATCAAGCTCAATCCAATAAGGCGGAAGAGATCTAAGAAATTCACTGATTACATGGAGTTTGGTGGCGACGTTGAGAGCTGCGCAGAAACTACCCAAGTCGGCAGGTTTCAAGCATCCCTTGTTAAGTGCATTGAAAATCTCTTGAGAGAACTCTGTCGCACGCGACGCTAGGCGAGCAGAAATGTCGGTTTCTTCAGCCATGTTGCTATAGGATCCGTTCATACCCAAGTGAGGTGTTTGATAATTCCATAGTGGAAGCCTGAAGGAAATGCGTGTTATCTGCACTCGCCATTGGATGATGGAAATTTCGTAATCTCCGCGCTTGATGCCTTATGTAAAAGAGGAGAAAACCTGCTAATTCGAAATGATTGTGTTGAGTTATCACGTGGGCCTGTGTGACCATGCTTTATGTCAAGCCTACTTTCTGTTTGCTGCTGTCTGCAGCTTTTCCCTCCTACATAGCATCGATAGATCAGCATAGCAAATCAGAGCATTTGCACCCTCAGATCAGATTGCAACTCCAGCCATCTCAACACGGGGATACTAGGTTCAACTCTACGTCGTCAATGCGGCATGGAGCCAACAGCGCCCTCAATCCTGGCGCTCACTCAGTCTTGCATTTCCAGATTCGAGCGGCTCTTGGACTCTCAGAGCTCTGAATACATCGGGCCATTAGAAAGCCGTCTGGCCGATTTCAATCTCTGGGCTGATGGACTTGGTGCCTTGGCAAAACCTGGAGCCTCGCTCGATTTCAGACTTCAAAGTCGAACAAATGACCTTAAATTAGTAAAAAATGTTCTTGTTATGTTGGCAGACTCGTTGGAATATCTTGAAAGTCTCCCTGATGCCGACACAAACGTTATCGAGGCCATCCATAACATTGATTCCGCTATCGAGAACTTAGCTCTGATCGGCGTAGCTATCCGCCGAACAGGAAAGGCGTCTCGAAATCGCAGAGCTAATCAATCGTTTAATCCAAGTGAACACCAGGAACTGAGGAAGCATCTTGAGTGCATAGTTCTTCTTCGTCCGACAGAAGAGGGTCTTTTCCGCAGAACAGAAAATGGGGATTTTATCACCAAATTAGATGCCTCTCAACTCTCCGACCTACAACAGCGTCTCATTCAGGCGAATCTGAGACGAAGGCACAACTTTCTTGTGGCGCAAAAACACTCTATAACCCAGAAGGCGCCGCAAGCACAGGCTTCAGCTGTACCGCGCTCTTTACCTATCAGAAGCCTCTTACAAACAGAACCTATCGCCAAAGTACAGAACGTGGTTCACTTCCAAGATTCAGCTCTATTTATAACGTCGGATCTGGCTATAAGAGACAAAAATACTGGAGCACCAACTATATCAGGGTATTCGCTTGCATCGACAGCTGAAGGAACTCTTAAGTTTGATCCAGCCACCGATAGATACGCTCCAGGGTTAGCAAAGACACAAATCACTTTCATAGCCTCCAATGCAGATTTCCCAAAAGCCCCATCTATCCAATTAGGTCAAAAGGTATCGAAATGTCCTTGTTGCTGCCAATCTATACCAAGTGAAATCTTCCGGCATCCAAAACAATGGAAGTAGGTACCTGCCCCATGACCTTCTTCTTTAACCTCCCAAGGTTGATCTAATAATCATATTCCAAGACAACATATAATCGAGGATATATGCCCCTATACTTGTATTGCCAATAATTGTCCTACTCCGAATCTTCTTTTCTCCACCAGAGATGAATGGGAAACCCACGTTAAGAGGAGCCACCTGCCGCAGTGGCAATGTCCGTTTTGCGAAGAGCAGGAGAATTTTCCAACGATGGAGAGCATGGGAGGCCACCTTCAAGGAGTTCATCAAGAGAAGTTCCTGGAGAACTCTTTTTCAACCCTCCTCTCTTGGTCCGCGGTACAGAAGATGGGAGTCAAATCTTGTCCTTTGTGCTCGTCGTCCGGGATCGAAGACTCGCCAGAACTAGTCAATCACATTCTACAGCACACCTATGAGTTTGCGCTCCGGTCTCTTCCTTGGCCACAGCCTATTATACACAATCTCAATCTACCACCAGGCGACTTCGATCCAGCAGTGAATTCGAGCTACGCAGAAGAGCTCCTCCTAGAGAACATGGAAGATATTCAGATATATAATACAGAAGATGGGCTGCGATTGACCGCGGAAAATCTCCAGAGACTCAACGTAGGAGGCACCCATCATTGGACTGCAGAGGGTCTCCAGCTATGGATCAACAAAGAAGTCCATGAGCGTAAAGAACCTCCAGACCTACAATTGACCGATTACGATAGAGCGGACCACGCTGCTACGGAAAGTACCGAGTTTCTTGAATATAGCAACTACTTTCTTACGAATCAATATTTCGGTTATGGATCTGATGAGGATAAATCTTCCAAGCCACAACATGGTCGAAGCACTGGTTCCATCACTGCATCCACTGGCACCAACCGGAGCGCATGGAATGAGTTAGAATCATTAGAGATGCGTATTATGACAGCGGTAGCAAATGAGGTGGACGGCGAGGAGAGACTGCAAGTGCTGTTAAAGGGACATGAAGGCCATATCACTGTCACGAAAGACATAGTGAAAGCTGCGGCAGGCAACGAGATATGTGGCAAGCAAGTGATGAGATTACTCATTATCCAGCCAGTGAACAATGTCACCATCAAAGCGGACGCTGTGGCTTCCATTGCCGAAACTTTTGATGAGGAGATGATGGCGTTGCTCCTCAAAAAACGAGGAGATCATATTATTGTCACAGTGGATATTGTGAAAGCTGCTGCAAGAAACTTGAAGAATGACGATCAAGTGATGGAATTGCTCCTCGAGCATCAAGCAAAGCTGAGATCTATCCATATGGAGGACGCTCCGTTTCCCAGCCTTGACAAAAAGCAGATAGGCAATCCTGGCAACCGATCCAACCCGAGTCCTTCGAAGCCCCCCGGACTTCCTGACACATTTACTAACCAGACCTTGCTTCGGCGCGTTAGTCAATCCGAAGAAGAAAAGCCTGATAGGAACTCACGGAAATATTCGCCTTCCACACTTTCTAGCCAGAAACCCAGCCAGGATGCCAGCAGGAACCGGATCGGTCTTGGCTCTCTCGAACTTGATGCAATTGAGCCATATTATGTGAAAAGTGGCGATGACTGGTATGTCATTTTTAATCCTCAAGTGCAGCGTACTCTTGATGTCGACGCGGTCCACACCCTCTTCCACGACAGTGCTGTCTGTTCTGTCCAATTTTCTCCAGACGGAAGATATGTGGCTACAGGCAGCCTTAGGTTCGCTCGAATTTTCGATGTGTACACAGGTGAGGAGATATGCACACTAGAGTGCGAAACGATCAATATCTCTGTAGATAACTATGTCCGGAGTGTTTGTTTTAGTCCTAATGGGAAATATCTTGCTACTGGTTCTGATGATACGATCGTCCGGGTAAGTAAAAACATACAATATTGACAAAATTTATTCTAAATTAATCACAACGTAGGTTTGGGACATTGCTACAAAAACTCTCCATAAGCGCTTCCTTGGCCATGAAAGGGGCGTTTACATATGTCATTTCGCCCATGATGGACGTACTATTATATCAGGAAGTCTTGATAAGACTGTACGTCTTTGGGATATCAACACAGGTGTCAACACACTCACCCTGACCGCTGAACGCGGAATCACAACCGTTGCCCTTTCCCCCGACTCTCAATATATAGCGGCCGGGGGGTATGATCAAACTATCTATCTATGGGAAGCTATGTCTGGTCGCTTAGTTGAGTACTTGAAAGATCCTGATGGTCATACAGATGCCATCTTTTCCATGGCTTTCTTGTCAAATGGCAAGGGTCTCGTCAGTGGCAGCTTGGATCGCACTATTAAGATATGGGAGCTTAGGTCTCCTCGCGGTGAACCTAACTCGGGGAAAGAGGGCAGTAAGTGCGTCGGTACTTTGCAGGGACATAATGACTTTGTTCTTTCTGTTGCTCTATCGCCAGATTCTCTTTGGGTGATATCAGGTTCGGAGGATCGCAGTGCCCAATTCTGGGATTCCAGAACGGGTGAGGCTCAGTTTATGGTTCAGGGACACACAAATGCCGTTATATCAGTGGCGTCAAGTCCACGGGGTGGTTACTTTGCGACTAGTGGAAGAGATAAAACAGCTCGTATCTGGGCCTACTACCCATACGGGGTTAATAGCTAGAGATTATGTGAGATAATCCGAAGTTTATGAGATACATATACTAGATCATTCATCTCAGCTGTAGCGCTGTGAAGATGGCTCGAATTTGCTACTTTAGGGCTCGCCACTGGAGATATGTATGAAGATTTGTTGGATACTACATTAACAGTGCTTTGTCTTTATTGTGATGAAGGAGGCATATTCACACTCATGTAACGAGTTGACGTACGTTAGGCTTTGGAGGTCTTTGTAACTTGGCTCAAGAATAGAACTCGACTCACCCCGATTCTTTAACTACCTATGGTTATGCGTAAGAGTATTGAACGGAGGTAATCTATATAAAAATGAAACGGGGGTTTGTTTCGGAAATGCATATGCTCCCCTACATCTACCGGCATCAGCCCTTGTGTCAGTTTCTCCTCTGCTAGATTGCTAGTATCCCAGCTCATAGCTAGTCATCACAGATCATCATCAATCCGATCAGTCAAACGTGATGGTCGTTTATCCGAATGACGATCTCGAATATTGGTCTTATTGGGGCATAGGATTGATCCACTCGTGGCTCATTCCCAGTTACAGCTCACCAATTGGGGAACAGAACATACACGTACAGTATTATGTGATCATCCACTGCTGATATCCCTTTGCACGTGGTTGCTCTTTAAATAACAATATTCACTATTTATTCTCATCCGTTCTCACTGGTCAAACATCCTCACTGGTAACAATCTAATTTTTCCGAACATGTTTAGGGCATTTTCATCATACAGCAAAGGTGTTAGGCTGCTAAGGTCTGTTTCATCGCGTCTTTTCCACGCCTCAAGGCTGACAGCGGCTCCAGAAATACCCCGAAGGATGCGCGCTAGCAGCCTTTCTAGAAACAGCAACTCCCGAGCCCCTTTTTTAATTTTCTCAGGAAATCCATACTATCAGTCAGGCATCTATCTTTCTTCTACTTCCTCATCTCTGCTCAACCCCGTCAATGATTTAGCAAACTCGCACAGCATGAGCCGAGCTGTTTGGCTCGATGGCCTCAGGGGCATCGCGGCGGCCATCGTGGCGACTGACCACTATTTCATGGGCGCCGTGTTGCACGCCGGCTTCAGGTCCTTCTGGGCGGATCCGCCCGAGGAGAATCGTAAACTCATGCAGTTGCCTCCCTTTCGCCTGATCTTTGCTGCGCATGCCATGGTGCCCTTGTTCTTTGTCATCTCAGGTTACGCCATCTCAATCAATCTCATCCGACTAAGGACCGGCAATAACAGTGACGGCTTCCTTCGCCGGCTGTCTTCGGCAGCTACGCGCCGCGGCTTGCGCATCTATCTCCCCGTGTTCTGCATCACCGTCATTTCGCAGGCCCTCTTCTTTCTCAATCTCTTTTCATGGGTACCTGGAGATGACGTTGTATGGGGTCGAAAACCCTGGACTGCACCATGGTTTCATGTTACTTTTGTCGTCCGGTACATGCTCGACAACATCAATATCATCGCCATCCAATACAACGGCGGTCTCAATGGCCAGCTTTGGACTATGGCTCTCGAGTTCCGCGGGTCTTGCGTTGTCTATCTCGCCCTCCTGGGTCTGACGTTTTGGAAGCCGAAGCCTCGACTTTGGCTGCTTGTGGCTTCGATGGCTTACATGTTCTACTTTGGGTATTGGGATGTGGTGGGATTTCTGGCGGGATACTGGTTGGCTGAGCTGCAAGTCTTGTCCGAGTTGCAAACTGTCAGCACCGAGGCAGAATACCTAGCCTGGCTCAAACCATATATCCCGGTCCAGGCGCGATCCGTCAACTTCAGCACCATCCAAACGTGGGTCATGTTCGTCGTCGGCATCTGGTTTCTCTGCTTGAGCGATGACGGTGCTCTCCCACCGGGGTATCAATTCTTACAGATTGCCGAATCCTCACGATGGGATGGGAACTGGGGGACCATTGATAAGTCGTGGAAAACGGTTGGCTCCGTGCTGGTTGTCTCTGCGATCAGCGCCACAGAGCTACTTCAACACCCCCTCAACTCCAAGCTTGTACAGTATTTGGGGAGGATCTCTTTCTCGCTATACCTCGTACATCAATCCATCTACCACGTGTTCTCTGACCCTGTCAGGAATATGCTTTGGTTCATAGCCACAGGGGGAACGGAATCCGAGGTTGGCGCGAGTGAAAACAAATTTGCAGGCGCAGTCTGTTGGATTGGGGGCTACATCATCCTCTCAACAATCAACTTGTATGCGGCAAACGTATACACGAGATTCGTCGACGAGCGATGCATAAATATTGCAAAGCGGTTTGACCTTTGGGTCTCCCAGTAGCTGTTCTGACAGCGATGACTGTCAAATACAGCCTGCAGCATATTTTCGGCTGCAAAAGAATATAAGATATCCAACCCAATAAAGAGTGAAGGTATGAGACATGAGAATATAGAGGGTAGCTGGAATTACATGATATAGAAGAAAGAAACAAAACTTTAGAGTATGGGAGAAAATGGCTATAAGATTTAGATTCCCATAGAACCGAAGATGAGTATTAAATGACGGCATAAAAGCTTAACGTTTTCTGTTCTTGTCATTCATTTCTTGATAATGCCCTCTTATTATGTTCATTCTACGACTAAGTTTGCGCTGTGAGATTCTTTCTTTGCTCAAAGTCAAGTCATTGCCATGGCTATGTTACAAATTATCCCATAATCTTCTTCATAATGCCAATATTGGTGTTATATACTCATGCCGTAACGCGGATCTTTGCCATGGAAAGGGAGACGAAGAAAATCGATATCTTCTTCGGCTGAATTTTGAAGATCCGCAATTGGATATATAACCGACTCGTCCACCTCCTTGGACTACATGACGCATGAGTTCTTCTTGATAGCACTATGGGCCGTAACTTTCGTCGTATTTCCTCTTCGGTACTGCAATACTGACCGGACTTGCACTTCCTCGGCGGCATTATCCAACCTTGGTCATATTGTCCGCTACCCCTTTCAGTCAACGGACATGTATGTTTGTATACTCGCAATTGGCTTAGCACCTCCCTAAATAACCGTTTACCAGTCATCCAACAAGAGAGCGATAGTCTGTTCGGTTAGATCTGGAATATTCGGAAGCCTGCCACCTTCTGGAGTCATTCCTGCTTCATTCATATTTTACTTCACTTCATAAGAGTGCCCACGTATATTGCGTTACATAATCTTCAAACTAGCGATTTAGCGTGTTATTCGGAGCAAGCATTACACATGAATGCTGCCCATGTCATTCACATCATCTTTCCGGAACGTATCCGGCGCTAAAAACAATACCGTATGTAGATCCCGAAACAGAGGCTTCTTGGCGAATAACCAGAATGATCATGTGTAAACAAGTTGTCGTAGTCAGGGGTACTGGAATTCAGGGCTTATAAAGCCGACCGATACTCCAATACTTATTGAAGCAATCCCCATTTTCCTCGTGTCAAAATTGTCGGCGTCTTAGCTATTCTGAAAATGGAGACAACTCGCAGCATTCATCCTAACCAGCAACAACTCATTGACCGGGCTCGAGAATTCTTGGCCGAAGTTGAAGACTTGTAAGTAAGTGATCTTGTAAAAGAGGTCAAAATCAGACTTTGAACGCTCATTTCCCAAAGAACTCCTGGCAAAGATCTAGAAGCAAGACTGAACCGAGACTACGGCCCTGGGAACCCATACTATGATGACTTCTGCCGCTTAATTCGACAAGCTCTCGAGAATGACGAAGGCTGGGTGGCAGTCGACGAGATAGATGGTCCAAAGTATCGTCGCACTAGGATTAGTCCTCCGTCTGAGTTGAACCGTCACTTTAGCATCACGACCGTTTACATGGATAGCCAAGAAGAATATCGTGGTCAGTACCACCTCCATCCATACGGCGAACTCAATTGTGTCGTTCAGTTGGATCCATCAGCCGAGCTGATGGGAATGTCCGGGTGGCAAGGCTCCGGCTGGACTTCGCCAGGGCCCGGGACTCATCACTATCCAGAGGTCCGCGGGGGCGCTCTGGTGGCTCTCTTTTTTCTACCGGCGGGCCGCATATCCTATAAGAGAGCAAAGCCGGGAGACCCGCAGCCAATAGCTATCTAATGGGAAATAGAAACCGGTTCAGAGGCTAGTGCATCTTAGTTGGCGATGCGTGTGTGAGTCTGACAAACCTAGTCGACGTAGGCGATCCCCGCATTAAATAAGCAGCTTTATTAAAAGTAGAGTAATAAACAGGGCAACGTTTCTTGAGTCCTATTTATCATTGTCATAACCCGAAACCCCTGTTCTTCTATTCTCTCAAACTTAGTTGTTATCGTCATCATGCCTCGCCATAAAGTGGCCGAAGAGAGGAAACGAATTGCGAAAGCCTGCATCCTTTGCCAAACCAACAAGACAAAATGCGATGGCCTCTGTCCTTGCAGTCAGTGTCTTAAGCGGGAGAGATCCACCGCCTGTTCTTATTCATCACACAAACGCTTATACGGACGCCAACGCCGATGGCCAAAGGACGTGGACGCGGACATTTCTAAACCAACACAAAAAGATGGAAAAGAGGCAGAGATCCCACCATTCGACCATTCCGACCCGCATATTAAACGCACGCCACTTCATGAGGATGACGAAAAGCATGGCATACATATTGCGATCCCAAAACTACCCAGTACTATGCGTGATACGAAAGGACAGTCAAGTACGCAGCCATCAATTCACTCCAGTTCTCAATCACAGAAAGGATAAAAAGGCGCTCATAATTACGATAACGCTTGCTAAACTGTTTTTTTGTTAGTGTACTATGGAGATTGCGCGGCGCTCTCTTTCCTCCAAAACATACAAGAACTCATTCAGGGCGAGCAAGAACTTGCTGATGCAGCCAAAGAACTTTCGTCACTTTCGGTAGTGGAAGAAGTTCCGTCGACGGATGGTGAAAGCGTCCTGGCCTATAGCAATGCGAATCTTGGCGACCTGGAAGCTTTGGTTCAAGCATTCTTTACATCGGTACTATTCCCTCCCCACGAACCCAGGAACTACTCTATTTTGAATATGCTGACTTGTCAACTTGATTATAGACCTGTGGCTTCCTCGATATTATGGACCGATCCTATGTTGAAAACCTGCTCAGCTGCTGGATCAATGGGAATATTTCAGTCACAAGTGGCAGTGCTGCGATACTGTATCTCGTGCTTGCTTCCGCTTCTCAAATACGAAGCAACTCTACGCAAGATTGCCATCGCTCTCAGTCATTCTTTTATCACGGCCGACGAATTGCACTTTTGGAGCTGACAGAGTACCCTAGTATGGAAACAACACAGGCATTTATGCTGATAAGTCTCTACATGCTTGGTAACTGTCGACGAGATGGAGCGCACTTGAATCTAGGCATTGCAATCAGCGCGGCAAAAGCACTCGGATATCATCGAGCTGAAGCCACTTTTACTCAATGCGAAGAGAACAAGCAACTGAGGTAGGGAATACATCTTTGTGCGAAGAGATGCGGCGTTATTAATACGGCCCAACCAGGAAGCGAATATGGCGTACTTTGTGCTATCACGATTTATTCTTCTGCGCCATGATGGGACGAGCTCCATTGGCCGCTGCGGTCGATTCAGCCGAAGAAGAAGACGACCGGCAACCCGACCCAAAGCATCCCGATAAATGCCAACAGCTCGGCATGTACGAGTCAGCACGCGCCTTTTCGATTTTGAAACAAACCGTTCTCGAGATATACACAAAACACTCTGTGCCGCTGGAGAGAATCTTACGACTCAATCAACAGCTTCGTGAAATGGGAACAGCCTTGCCTTTTGAACTTCGCAGTATCAGCCCTGCGGCATTTCCAGTGCATAAATGTCCCAAGACGAGACAGCTTATCATAAGGAATGCTACAGTTGCTTGCAACTATTATTTCAGCATGATGCTGTTGACGAGACCGTTTCTCATTGCTTGTCTCAGGGCGAAATACAACAAAACACCAAAGTCGACTCAAAGCCCTGAGGCGAATGGCGGCTGTCAAGAATCTTCAGAGGTTGACAATAATGTCAAACACGGGGCCATGACTTCGTTTGATACAGCTCTAAAGACGATACAGCTGCTACATGAGTTGTATGTCAATGGAGTGTTATTTAACAATATGCCACTGGTTGTGTAAGTTATAGATCTCTATGAAAGCATCTTATATCAACTTACTGACTTTACATCTACATCTAGGGCGTGGACTTTTGTGTCAGCTTTGACCGTATGTGCCGCCTACTTTGGACGACTAGGCAACGCTCGAGAATGCGAACTCGTCATCTACAGAGCGAACCAGATACTGCAGCACTTCATGCCGTACAGCCCCCAAGCGAAGCAGTACGACCTTATTCTGAAGAAGCTATCCCGCGTTGCACTGAGCTGTATAAGCGGCACAGGGGACCAGCCCTACGACAACAGCAACTTGTTCTGGTCCGACCTATTCAGACTAACTCCGGCGCATCTCCATAAGTTGAAAGAAGAAGAAATTGATCCGACTTTGGGTATCGGTGAACTGTTTGGATTAGGCATCCCAGAAGGAGATGCCTGCCCTCTCTCGGAAAGAGTTGGAGAATCATTGGAAACTGCTCAGACGGATTCGCCTATGAGTGATATATTTTACTTTCCGGATGGGGCGTACAAGGATTTTTCCAACTACATGTTGATGACTGACGATTTTCTTTCTGAGCAGCAGGATTTCTTTTTGAACATCTGATGCCTTTTGGGCTGTTGAGCTGTTTCTTGCATTTGTTCAGTGGTGTTCAGTGTAGTTCTTTAGCATTTTGAAGGTTTATTTTGCCGGTTTAATTTTTATTTGCCAATTCTCACGAGTTTTACTTTTCTTGCTTACATTCATGTTGATTCCAGTAAAGAACGATATGTTTGTCTCTGAAAGTAAGCAAACGTGTGTCGCAGCAGTGACAAGAGAGTGGCTTGAGTGGTAGAAGAACGATGCTGACTCATCAACACAGGATGCCCCACAAAACAGATGCATTTCCACTGCACGTGACTTTCCAATCACGGAATTAAATTCCTCCACCCCGACGCCTACAACCATCGCCTATTGCTTCATCTCCTCCAGCCACTTTCTTCATCATGCAACTCATCACCACCGACTGACCATGGCATCGCCATGCATCGCCGCCGACGACGACGATCCCACACAGCCTTTCTCGTCTCCCATCGGGTTAGTGAAACAGTCCCTGTGTGATTCCACTGGGCGACACGCCTAAGTGGATTGCCGTGCCGCTCTACTCGATGGCTTGTTCAGAGACGGCCCCCTGCGAAGCAAGACCAATAAAATTCCGTCGCATACTCAGCACGTTTGCACTTGTGTGAATCTGCTGAAATGGGCGGGGTCTTGTAGGCCGCTGGTGGTGAGAAGTGGACGATGGCCCTCGGGCGTGACTCTGCGGGAGGTTGTTACTCGCTTCTAGCCGGTGACTCCTCGCTCCCATCAGTTGCTATTAGCAGTTCTCTCTCTGTATCAATGCCGTCCGGTGGAGTGGTGGGACTTTCCACTATATCCGATTCCGTCTCGCCTCTCGCCGTGCGCCAGCGACTTTTGCCCACATCCCTTCGCCGTTTGCTGCTTTTGGTGGCCTACTAACGTCCTAGGTCCAAGCCGTGATCACATACCGCAAGGCATAGATGAGGCTCAGGCTAATCGTGATGAGGATCACGATGGCGTTGAGAACAAAGACGACGATGTGACTTTGTCAGACTTTAGCGACTGCGATACAGAGACTCCCGAGCCCAACATCTCTTATCAGAATAACGCTGTGACGTGGAAGGATGACACCAACCAAACTCAGCGTGCTGATGGCATCCATCTCGATATCTACCTCGACACTTTGACCAACACGTCTCTTTTCAAGCTCTATTGCAATATTCACCACAAAGGCAGCAAAGCCAAAGGCCAGAAACACACCATATTTTTGTTCATACATCCCGAGTCAGTGCGAGCTATTACGTTGGATAGTGGGAGATCCGCAGGACCGAGCTCCTCCAAACCCAGTCGCCATACTTTGTCCTTTTCCATCACACAACGGCCATCTCTCATCATTCCCAAAGGCTATGTTGTAGAATCCAAGCAGAGAAGCAAAGGCCTATTAAATGCAGTGCTCGCCTTGGTCAATGTGACTGATTTCACCATTCACCTCAACAGTTCCAACACAACCATACCTAAAAAGACGCGGCTAGAGTTGGTCGCCCGAATCTTTTCACTGAATTCCGCGGATAACCGGCCTTTGACGAACAAAAGATGTGCCAATCTGGAGTCGTTGTATGGTGGCAGAGGAGGCGAAGTTGCCAATCTAAGTAGAGATGTGGGAAAGGCGCCTATCCAGGCTGATCTGCCCCCATCTTACGACGAACCCCAACATGGACAAGGTTCTAGTAAGGCATACCTGATTCACATTACTCAGCTTCTTTGTCATGAAACAACAGGACTAACTCATTCTTCTCAGATAAACGCCGACGAATTGATTCTGATGTTACGAATGACAAGTCACCTGCAATCCACAATGATCTGTTTACATCCATCCGCAGCCATCTCGATAGTATAGAGAGTCGCATTTGCACTCATATCGACGGCATGGAGGGTCGAATCAACACTCGCCTCGACAGTATCGAGGATCGTTTGAAGCAACTCGAAGACAAGGTCTCGGATGCATTAGATGTTGATCGTGACCAATACATTCTGGAAGAAATTGGTGAACAACTGGATGATTGCATAACTGGTGTAAAAATTGAATCTGAGGAACTGTTCAAAGCCATCGATGACCGAGCGGACATGACAATGGAGCGACTAGAACAAGAGGTGAGCGAGAGAATCGACCAGCTGGGAGAAGAGGTCAAGGACAGCACAGCGGATCTCGTAGAGGAAAGTTTGAAGAAGAAGCTAGTCAATGCGAGTTTACGAATTGATGGCAGCGTCTTTCTGGACATATAGCCTTGTTCTTCAATACAATGACAAATCTCTCCCAATGACTGTGCAAGCCTTCGTATCAAATTTGACTCATGATGTTTCTAACAAGGTAATCTTAATATTGCTAAAGAAATGATGGCTCACACAGCAAACTTGATCTACGAGATGTCGGGGAATCTTGCATATCGAGAGGACGACCACCAGCTTTCTGCCGATACCCTAGAAGATATGGTATACGGATGGTTTTGGCCAAGAACTCGCAGTCGAGCTTCAAGACACTCGTCCATCTTCCACCGGCCATCCGCATCTCGACCTTGGGCTTTCCAAATGAGAGCAATATTGTTCAAGCTCGTCAGAGTGTGAGGATGCTCTGGCCCGAGCTTCGTCTTGCAAATCTCCACCACTTCCGACTGTAGCTTGGCAGCAACTTGGTGTTTGCCTTGAGCGAGGTATATCAAGGCGAGGTTGTTCATGCTGGCGAGCGTATGGGGGTGGTCAGACCCGAGTTTTATCTTTCGCATCTCTAATGCTTCTTCTTGGAGAGATTCAGCTTCGTAAAGGCGGCCTTGGAGCCTGTATGTTGATGCTAGGCTGTTCATGCATGTGAGTGTGTCGGGATGTTCTCCTCCGAGCTTCATCCTGAGGGAGACGAGGGCTTGTGCTTGGAGAGTCTCGGCTTCTCCCAACTTTCCCTGGAGTCTGTATATCGACCCCAAGTTGTTCAAGCCGGTCAGAGTTAGGTGGTGATCGGGACCAAAGTTGTTTTTGTAGCTGTCAACCGCTTCTTTCTGTGTCCTTTCTGCGTCCATATACCGGCCTTGGGCTCTGTACATTGACGCCAGATTTGATTTACTTGTTAAAAATATTGGATAATCCAACCCCAGAGAGTCTGGTCGATAGAAATCTACCGAGAGTTGGATGTCCATCGCGTCCTTCCATCGGCCCTTAGCCTTATATACCAGTGCCAGCTTATTGTTGAGGCCGCCCACGGTTCGACGATTATTCTTATTAGGGCTTCTTCTTTTGCATGCATCCAATGCTTGCTTGAGCGATTCCTCAGCCTTGTCATACAGTCCTTGGTCCAAGAGTATCAGTCCAATTAGTGTCAAGGTTTTCGTATCATCCTGCTCTGCCATTTGTCGCGCTATTAACGCCTGTTCGGCCAATTGCATGGCAACTTCGTATCTGCCTTGCAGCCGCGCAAATCGACCTCCGTTATGTAGAAGATTTGCAAAGTCTTCTAGCAAATCATGGGCTGGCTGATAGCTGGCTGCTGCTTGGACATGGGCAAACAGCTCTTCGCAGGTTGTCCAGCTGGGGTAGATGCTTCTCGGAAATACCATTGCTAGCATCTTAATAAATTGCTGCTCAAATGTTTGTAATTGAGAGGCATCCAGATTCTTCTTCACAGAGAGCTGGACAAGCCCGTGCATCTCAAACATTTGCTTGGTCCCATTGGCTGTGATGAGGCAGTGGTTCAGTAATATCTCCAAGTCCTGATGTAATAAGACGTCTAAGTCGCCGCTTGCTTCATCCAAGGTGTCTTCACTGGGAGAGACATCTGTAAATTGAGCGCCATGGCCTCGTCCAAAGGGTCTCAGCAACCATTTTGGAATACCACGGCGATCAAAACAGCTCATTAGTGATAAGAGATCAGCTGCAGATGAGCTTTGCGAGCGAAGATCAGCAATGGAAGACTTAAAAGTCCTAAAAAGGCTTTCAAGAACCTGTCCGCTTCGATCGGGGCTGGAAACTTCAAACCCTAGCAGCTTGAGCTTTTCATGTTCGCTGTCTCTTAATTTGACCAGTTGTTCCTCGATATGGAGTAGCGCCTATCGTAAATGTGTTAAGCTGTTTGGCAATGTAGGTGGCACGGTTTGGAGTTAGATGGATCATTAACTTACTGTCCCTTCTTCTGCTGTCTCTTCTGCTGAAACCTCTTCTGCTGACGGATACAACATCTCGTCATCAAGGTGGATATCATCGGAATCGTTGATATTGTTTGCCGTATGAGAGTGACCGTGAGCAGCGATGTTGTCGTCCTCATCATCTTCATACATGGGGTTATCGCCAGTAACATCTTCTTCGTCTGAGTCGACTATCGGGGGCGTCGAACCATCGTGATGCGAGGATTTCGGAGATAAATCAGTCAAAGGGTTTCTCGGGATGGTCTTGGCACCTTCGGCCTGATGAGGCCTAATAAATGGATCATCGTTAACTAATAGGTAACTCGAGGCATCATCTTTTTCTTTGATAAGCAGCTTGGCCGACGCTTTGTTTCGCTTTTTCATAAGGTCTCTTTTCAAGGCGATGGGCCGCATAACACCGTGAAGCTTTAGGAAAAGGCCACAGGCATTGCAGAGAGGCTGGCCGTCCGAATTTCGTCTCCAAAGTGGAGTTGTCTGGGTAGAACAGTTAACACAAGTAGTGGGAGTACTGTTCTCTCCGGGATCATCACTGATCGTATGTAGATTCGTCGACGAGGCTTGCTTGGGGTTTGAGAGTGGTGAATCACCGTGTAAGGGGTACGGAGATAAATTAGTTGGAGAGTTCCTTGGGACATCTTGAGTACGCTCGATCTGGTGATGCTTAATAAATGAATTATCGTCAACTGATTGGTAACTCACAGTGTCATCTTTGTTCTCAATAAGCGGCTTAGCTGACCCTCTATTTTGCTTCTTGATTACATCAGTCTTTAAGTTAAGAGGCCTTACAACACCATGAAGCTTCAGAAAGAGGCCACAGGCATTGCAAAGAGGTTGACCCTCGGGGTTTTGCCTCCAAATGGGAGTTGTCTGGGTGAAGCAGTTAACGCAAGTGGTGGCAGTGCTCTCTCCCGGATCATCGCTAATCGCATGCAGATTGGTCGAGGAGTCATGCTTGGAGCTGGGAGCTGGTGAAGCTGGCCTGTTTGGTGCGACTGACGAGAAGCCCGAAGCGATTTCTGGAGTATAGCCGCTTGGAGAGCTGGTGAGCGGCATAGACTGTATATAGGCTGCCGCTCGGCAAATAGCCAGTGGAATCAAGCCAAGTGATTTAACGAGACCACTCGCTGCGCCATTCTTTGGAAACCGCTCTTTTCCCTTCCGTCCCAATTTCGTTTCTAGGAGAATGACGGCTTCAAACACTGACAAGGGTCCAATTTCAACCACATCGTGCTTGTTTCCAGTTAGTCTGTAAGCCACGTCTCTACGGCGAGTTGTGACGATGATTGTCCCATTCTGACTCTTCGGCAAGTAGAGCTCGTTGTCGAAAATGCTGTGGTCGTTGGCGCCATCTAGAATCATTACCCATCGACCATTTCGTTCTTTGGAGAGCCACTCAGACGTATGTCGCAACCAAGCTTCAACCGAGTCCGCTTGTCCCCGCGGGCTAATATTCGACGCAATGTTTTGGAAGCTTTGGTTGATGCTCGACCGATTCTCGGCATGGACCCAGAATACAGACATTTTCGCCAACTTTACCAACTGATAGGCAAGCTCAATAGCCACTTGAGTTTTGCCAATGCCGCCTAGGCCAACAAGGGCCAAACGAGCGGGACGTGTAGAACATTCGTCGACGAGGTCATTGAGAATAGCTTCATGACCAATGAAGCCGGGGTCATGACGGAAAGGAAATATTATGATGGTCGCTGGTGGTGTGCGAGGCCGTGCTAAGGATGTTAATTTTGGCTGGGTAGCAGCTCAAGTTGTTCATTGTTTGCTTACCTAGTACAGGGGAGTTTTCAGCCGTTTTCCTAATAGCAGCTATACGAGATGGAACCTGCTCTCTGGTTTGAAACGCTCCAGAATCTATCACTTGCTGTAGAAACGTGTCGGCTTCCGGAGGAGGCTCACTAATAGGAATGAAATCTTGCCAATTCATGTCTTGCTCGCAGTCCGGAATGGTATCTTCCACCAAAGAATCATCAACATCCATGCTATCCTTTTCTACCAGCAGATCATTGATCCTTTCCAGTATCCCCTGAGTCTCAGGAAGAGACAGATGTTGATTTGAACCGAGGCGGGATAAATCATTGTCGGTATGACCAGACAAAGCCTCATCATCCGTTGACTTATCTGCGACAGCATCCAGAGCCATCATGCGAAGAGAGAAGAGCATCATTCCTTGAAGATGCGCGGCCACATGTTTTGCAATTGTCTCAATATTCAGTTGACCTAGACTTTGGGAGCCTGGTATTTGAGAGTTTGGTGGTTCCTGCTCTGTTGATCCAGTGTCGGTATTGCTGTGATGATCAAGCTGTATAGAGCCGGCCTCTGTCTTTATGCGCTTGGAGCTTTCCGCTAGCTGCTGGCCTTGATTTGGAGGCTTTGAGAATGCTTTTTTCAAGAGCTGACCATCTTGATTGGCATTTTGTTCATCATTCATAGAAAGGCAACAAAGAGGACAAGTATCTTGTGGGCGGGGAGCTCGAAGTCGGCTCTGATGCACGATGACTTGGATCTGTTGCTCGGTAAAAACGTCTGAGTGCAGCTTTGATATGTGTTCAGAGAGATCTTGTGCCTTTGGATATGTTGTCTCTTGACTGTTGCATAACGGACAACTCCACCAAGCCGGCAAATGCACTTCTCGATGCCAATTCTGACCATGAGCCTCGAGCATGTGACTGAACCAGGCTCTGGAAGTTGCGAATCGCTTTAAGGGCTCACTACACTTTTCTGAGAGACAGAGGAAAGGCTTGAAGTCCTCATTCAGATGCATCCTAGATCAGGAGTGTGTCAGAAACCCAGCATTCTACAGATTGTAAGAAAGATGTTCATACTTCCATTTGTCCCCTTTGAACTCGTCCCCAGAGAGAGGCGAAAAGCACCAATCACAATTTAGGCTTGCTTCCGACGGTAGAGGATAAGCGACAAGACTAGCGGCAATAGACTTTGTTTTGTTCTTCATAGAGCTTTCTTTTCTTTGCGAAAATCGTTTTTTGAACTCTTGGCTGTCAAGAGATGTGGGCTTGGATTCCTTTGACTGATGAGATCTGGCTCCCAAATGCGACAACACAATCGGACGAGCCAACCGTTTATAGATATCGTTTATTGGAGGGGGAACAACAACTGGTGGTGAATCGGCTTCCCATGTGGTAGCCTTTATCTGTGGAGCTGGCTCCTCGTTTATAGTGGATAGTTGTAGCTGAGGTCGAGGTTGGAGTCTTAATTGACGAGAGCGCCTATAATGAAACTTTTGATACATATCCGTCATGGCGCGCGCAAGTTGCTCAATTAGAGATGGGCTTGCGTCCGGATAGAATGAAGTAATGGCTAGGCGCGCGACTCCTTCGAATGAGGTAGAGTCAAACTTTGCCGCGAATTTTCCCAATTTAGTTGCCTGGCTCGCTTCTGACGATAGTTGGATGGTCCCTCCCAGATGATGGAGACGTTCGATGGCCCCCTCGATTCCCCTAAGGCTTTCTATGCTGATATGGAGTTGAGGTTGAGGCGATGAAGCTCCATCTGAATCGGAAACCTCGATGCCCTCCTCATCGAAAGCATTCTCAGGTTCGAAAACTGCGTATTATATGAGCTTTTATTCACTAGAGATACAAGACGCACGACGTACGATAAGTTAAATTTCTCTTCATAATGTCTAGCAAGCGAAGCGCCAGATCTTGTATATCAGCATGCCTCTGTAGCCTACGATCAAGGCACATCTCGGGGACGGCGAAGACGCCTAAGAAGGCCGCCCATGCTGAGAACTGTTGTTGGTATTCCCCAACAACCTTTGCTCCGTTGAGATTCTCTTCATCTTTCAGCCTCGAGATTTGTTCGGAGAATAATTTCTCACATTCGCTGGCGAGCTCATAGATCGGCTCTCCAGACTCGATACAGTCTTCATCCATAACTGTTAAGCAGTATGTAGATTTATTTGTGCCGAGTGTTCATTTAGTGGGAGGCCCAACTCATGTGCAGGATGCAGCTGTGGGTAGGAGAGAGGAAATAATGCGGAAAGAGCTGAAAGCTCTGTAGGAGCATTCACCGGTGGATCAGGCTCAGAGCTTGTTCTCGATAGACAAGAAACAATCGCATGTAGGCAGTCATCGTCAAAAATCATCCATCCGTGGTTGACCCCGCCTTCATGCATTGTCCTTAAATCCTGAGGATAAATATACGGCCGAGCCCATCCATGTACTTGACTATACTTGATTGTACTTGAGTTGATTGTCTCTTCTATTGTCACTGATGCTCTAACCTAGTTTCCAGATTCATGAATATTAAATTACTAATTATATTATTCGAGCTCATGAACTGTGTTTAGCCCTGGGTATCCGCCATTGAGAAATTCGCTGACTGAACATTCAGTTTCATCTCCATTCTTCTATAGCTACTGCACCGTAGAATGTACCTAAAGGTATGGTAGCACTTCGATCCTTAGCGTTATTACATGGGATGTTCATAGCGTAACAAGGCTTCAATACATACATACATACATACATACATGTAGGTACTCGGACAGGGTTTAGGTGATATGAGGATCGTCTCCGATAGCTTTGCTTATGAGAGCCTCACAAAACCCCCGCTTTCAATCTTCAGCCGCAAACTGCCCTCGCTACTACACAGAGGCTTACACCAGTCACGCAGGGTCTTGTCCGTTGTAAACTGGAAGTCAAATACACAGACATGCCATGCTCCCAACCGAGTCCCTTGGATGGATTGGCTTCCAAGCACTCAAGGTGCGCTTGGCGGGTCGACTTGCGCCATTTGCGAGTCGCAAAGCGAGCGTAGACCGTCCCACCAGGATTCAAAATGACGCTGACCTGCTGGATTGCGACCTTCGCGACATCTTAAAGACAGCAACTTTAGACGTCGACCTCTCAGACGAGGAATACCATGACTTACACCAGAGGGCACATGGTCTTTTGGCATCTCTCAATCATATGGTGAATGAAGAGTTTATTGCAGGATATGCGGATAACGACAACTCTGTTAGCGACTCTCACGATATTGCAAAAGTCGGCAGCATCTACCCAAGGCTAGCTGCGTTGATGATTTTCCTCGATGCATCAAACCACAGCCAATTCGACTTATTGAGCGACCCAGCCTCGTCTCTTTTCATCTTGCGTTCCGGTGCGGTCGGGAACCAAGCCATAAGCCAAGTAGCGGCTTGGAAAGCAATTCTACAGCGGTTGATAGTGAAATCAGATCAATCACAGAGCCAAAATGACGCTTTCCAGCCACAGATGCGTTTGGATGAGCCAAAGTCCAAATTGCATCAAAACGCCCTGCCGATAAATCCAGTGGGCGTTGTCATAGATGCCATTTTTAAGGAATTTCAACAAGTGAATTGCAGCATGAGACACGAGATTAAGTTGAGAGTCTTGGAGGAATCTCATGCCGACTCAAGCCGACCAAAGATCGAAATGCTCATGTCGTGTTGCCAGTCCAGGTGCGATTGGCAAGAGGCTGTTTGCGACTCTATTCAGTAATTGAACCCGCTGAAGCATATTGGTCATTAGAAGCGCAAATCTGACAAAGATATACTAGGGCCCCAATGAATCTGAGGAAGAAAAATAATATCTGCATCGCTATACACGAAACATGGAAGCAACGTACGAAACTTCGCCTATTCTTTGACCAGAGAGGACTTTTCGATATTACGGACGAGGAGCCACCGGTAGCCACGTCCCTTCAGGACTACGAAGAAGAAACCCTAAACTCGTTATTCGATAAAAACATGTTCCGTCCAATCAGCCCCGGGGCTTATCTGCAAGGTTTGGCCATGGAAAGATTTGATCACAAAGAAAAGACGTCTTTAGCATTGGCCTTGGCTAGATGCCTCATGGTCTTTTTCGACAAAAGCCTTGAGCGCGCATTTTGTAACTGGAATGCTGACAGCATATTCATCATGCGCTCAGCTCGTTCGCATGGAGAGCCTCCGTGGTGGCATATCTTGGTGAGATCGCGTCCTCCTACCTTCAGACAACCTAATATTCACGAGAAAATTGGCCCTGGCAATCCAATTCTCCTCTCATTTGCCAAACTGTTGCTCGAGATTGTCAACGGTGAGCCGATAAAACTCGAGGTCGATCCACAAAACATTACCAAGAACATTGGGAATTGGGCCCAGATGTGTGGTTACGTGGAAGAGGCGCGACAAGATCGGAATAGCTTCTACCTCCAAGCTGTCCAAGGTTGTTTGTATCTACATATGCACCTACAAAGAGGTCAAGATGAACAAAGCACTTTGTCAGGTACCGCCATGAGAGAGGTCATCTATGAGCAGATTGTGCGGAACCTGGAGAAGGAGCTTCATCCCGAGGGACTTAAGCGGAAGCGCCGAGGATCGTTCTCTGAATCTTCTCAATCCAACAAAGTATACATTGCAGAACCTCTACAACTGGATAGTCGTCATGAAGAGAGATTTCTATCTCGGCTCAGAAAGACTCCTCAGAGCGTCTCATTATCTCACAGAAACACAACCGATGATCCGTCTACACGGATCTTACGACGGAGTACTTCCAACTTTGCCAGCTACAACAGTTCAGAAGCTCTCTCCAATAACTTGTTCGTATTTCTCTCCATTTTCGATCCATCTTTTGAACTGAAGGAGCCTGAGTTCTAATTCGCGCTTTAGTTTCCGCTCTGCAACCATGACACCCATGGCTCCTCAAGGCCGAGACCACTTCGACGTTGCTATTATCTGCGCCATTCCTACGGAATATAACGCTATTTGTCAAACATTCGATGAGTTCTGGGACGAAGACGGTGATCGTTACGGCAGAGCTGCCGGCGATCTCAATACCTATACAACAGGCCGCATTGGCAAACATAACGTCGTCCTTGCGCTTCTCCCGCAGATGGGAAAGTCCAACGCCGCAGCCGCAGCCGCTAGCTTCAGATCAAGTTATAACAACGTCGAGTTGGCGCTACTTGTGGGCGTCTGCGGAGGCGTACCTCGTGCTGGTCCTTTTGCAGAGGATGAGATTCTCCTCGGCGATGTAGTAATCAGCAGGGCAGTTGTCCAATACGATTTTGGCAGGACATATCCCAATGGATTTGTACGCAAGAGCTCTTTTCAGGACAATTTAGGAAAAGCTTCAAAAAACATTCAAGGTCTCTTGAACAATTTTGAGACTGATCGGGGATTGAGTCTGCTTCAAAGACAAACGGCCCAGTTCTTGACACAGCTTCAGAACACGGGACAAAGCAAGAATCGTCGAACACTTACCAAGTACCGATACCCTGGAACGGTCAAAGACAAGCTATTTAAGCCGGATTATCGTCACAAGCATCGCGGCTCACGGGCCAGCGCTTGCACTGTTTGTAGCAGTGACCCTAACGCAGTTTGCGAAGAGGCTTTGAACGAGACTTGTGAGGCGCTAGGATGCGAAGACAGCTCTTTAGTTGGTAGGGAACGTCTCCAGGAGAAACAAGAACTTGAGGGGACCAGCCACGAGGAAGCGCAGGAACCCGCAATTCACATCGGTACCGTCGCGTCAGGCGATACAGTTCTGAAATCCGGAGAAGATCGCGATAATATTGCCGCAAAAGAAGGTGTTATTGCCTTTGAGATGGAGGGAGCTGGAATCTGGGGAGAGATTCCCTGTATTATTGTGAAGGGAGTTTGTGACTACGCTGATTCTCACAAGAACAAGAGGTGGCAGGATTTTGCTGCTGCAACGGCAGCTTCAGCTGCAAAGGCTCTCTTACACAGATATCCCAAGACGGAGAAGACGATATATGAGTGAATTGAAGCGTCGAGATTATATGAATAAGTTCATGTGCTCGGCATTGCGGGGAGTTGACTGGTTCTCAACAACCCCGCCACATCACACCATTATGCATCCCACCGCATTTGGAACTCCGTCTCACTGAGACTCTCGTATCCAGTGTTCACTCGACATTTTGGAGTTTGAGATGCAGAAAAAGGGCAAAAAAAAGGCAAAAACATACAACAGCCGGTGTTCGCTGATGGTCACCCACTCAACTACTAATCTGCCGGTTAGAGGCTTGTCGATGGGGGAGCAGACGGGACCCCGAATTTTCCTCTACCTATGGTCGTATGTGCTTGGAGACGGCCTCAATAGTATTATATTACAAGAATATCTACTCCAGAAGAACAAGCTGAGATGCGCGCATCGGCAAAAAGGAAGGCGACAAAAGGTCGAGGCGACCAAGTCGGAAATTGGATGTAAGATGGATGTCTTGTTGGTTGCTCCGCAGCTTCGAGGATATTGGTGTAGTCGTCCAGTTATTGACTGTAATTAAACAAATATCGCGAAACGCTGAATGCAGGTTCCTCAATCTCCGGTATTAATCGTTCCAGGTTGCTAGGATTTATGAATACTACACCAAAGACACAACAGTAATATTACTACGGCACAAAACACACAGAGTATTGGCAGGATAAGATATATCTCAAAGAACACCAAACCACCTTACAGAAAAATTATGTTTCAGATCCCTAGAACTCCATTACACAACTTAATCCACATCATTCATGGTTTGTGATTAAAATTGCACTCAAACTATCTGAAAATTCCCAAGATGAGGCATTACATCTCCTTTTCTAACTATTCACAAAGTGATCCTGATAACATACTTTATCTGCCTCCCATTTAGTGCCAATGCGGACCAGATCGTCAGATCGTTGTCGCTAAGAGAGCTTCGTAGCAAAGAGATATTAACCTGCATCCGAATCTGCTTCCGAACTTTCATATCAGCTCCTGGTTAGTGCAGAGCCAAGTCAATTCTGCTCTGAAAGGTGGAATTGACCGTGTCACACCATTCTAAGCATCATCTACAAGCAAGTTAGTATCATATCCGATGTATAGCGCATCCAGATGTTCTAAATGCCCATGCTGAATTTTCCATTCAGTTTGGGGAAATTAGCCCTACCTCAATATTTCGCGCTACCTCTCTAATAGATACAACTTTGACCCAATACTTCATAATAGTTATTTCATAGAATCCAGCAAGGAAATTATGTAGATCAATATCAAGCTAGAAGTGTTCATTAGCAATATCTGCTAGTTTGGGAATTTGCATTTCACAGACCTTGTATAATTCATTACGAATACTAGCGCGACCACTGTCCGAAAGTTGAACGTTCCGACGAGAATTATCAGCAATTTCTGAATATCCGCTACTCAGACTGTCGAAGAAGCCATCTATACGCTTCAAAGTACTAATTAGCCTTACGGTGCAAATTTGATTGAAAAAGAAATGGACTTACGCTATAATAAATAGTCCACGCTATCGGGGCCATGAGAAGCCAAGTAGCCGCTGAATTCACCATGAATCTCATGGACCATTTCTATGTCCTTCGATATATCAGTAGCAGTGATTTGGGCATAAGCTTGAACCCCCAAGAGCGCAACAAGGGCCATGGTAACAAGTTTGAAGTGCGTTGTTGTGGTTTGTTTCAGTGTATAGAATAAATACAAGCTGTTTCTAAATTCAAAGAGTGGTTACAATCTAAGAAACGCAATATATTTTAGGACGGGAAGCAAGTCATTAGTAGTAAAAATCTTCAGATAGAAGATGGGAGTTGTGTGTAGGTGAATGTGTTCAGCTGTACTACAAAGTGGTATTGGCCATGTGAGCTCGATTTTGCAACCTCAACTGGGACATTGCCTCACTTACTTCAGCCAGAAGATAGGAGGCGTGTTTAGCTGTACGACAAAGTAGTATTGGTAATGTGAGCTTGTTTTGTAACCTCAACTGAGACATTGGCCTAGTTTACTTGAGCTCTTGCATCTAAACACCTCCTTGCCTTTATAGAACTCGTAGGTAGCCAAGAGTGGTGTAAAAATATCGCTACTTATTACGTACAAGTTTCTAATAATAAGTCATTCGTGTAGCCTGTGTAGTAGCCTTTAGCAATGCGTAGTCACATATAGGTAGATATAAGCATATACCAATATATTGATAGCGCTTTCAAATAGCACCTCTATTTAGTTGACCGTAGGGATAGTCAATGTAGACGCTTGCTCGACAAGAAGTCTATTCCTGAGCGTCCTACAGTCCTCCACCAATGCAAGATAGGATTCCTCGCTGTCTCCGTTGTCTTCATAGCAAGGGGTTGTCAGAAGTTGTAGTCTATCGTTCGGAAGAGGTGTGTCACAACTATCTGGGTATCGATATTTTGCGTGGTGGTGTCATTAAAAGATTTGACTTGGCCTACCTGCTGCGGCACGCGTCACTGCCAAATTCTCTTTGTTTTGCTGCGAGGCTCTCATCCAAGTCCGACGTTTGGCTGAGATTGACGATGATAATTGATAGACAAGGCTATTGTCCTATTCTCCTGCAAAAAAACCAATGTGCAGTTTCACTTGTGTGTAAAACTATAACCTATGAAGCAGATGTGATGGGGAAAATGACTATCAGGCCGTCCGGTGGTGGCATGCGCCCCAAACTACGGTGAACTATGAGGTGGGTGTCGCTGGGCGTTTTTATCGCGAGAAAGAAAAATAAACGGTAGCAAGCATCTTAGCGCAGGGTTCCTATCAGCCAAAAAACGGAATCATCTGAATCTAGACTTTTAGACTTGGGATACCACCAATGGAAGACATCACAGTCAAGACAAGTGCTTGACGGGACCACGAGATCTCTATTACCTATGGTCATCTGTGAACGTTCAATGATTTTATTCAACTTATAAATCATTCTCGCTGCTCTAAATCCCTGGTCTAATTCTCCTTTGCCGTGTTTTAATAATTTAGCGAATGCCTACATATAGGTAGTAGGGCACTAATATCCAAGAAATGTAAGAAGTCGTAGTTATGTTATTGAAAAAACTATAACCGCCAGTGCCATCAAATATGCTCAAGACATAGTGCCAATCCAATTGCTTTTGTATTTTATGTACAACGCTATATATGTACCTAATGTAGTAGGGCTGACGGGTAACCCTTGCAAAAATCCTCCGTAACAGAGTGGGTTATACAATGCTACGTGAATACCAAACTCAGTAGGGCTGAGGGGAAACCGTATCAAATGAAAGGTTATGAAACAAAATGAGTCATAATCAACTATACCAACACCCATCCAAAGCGCTTGACTGTTGGTAGTTGTCAAATGGTAACTCAAGATTAAGAACCCCTACTTGTCCGTCTAAGTAATTCCACTAACCCATTAAACAAAGTAGTAGATAGAATGGCACTGGCCACTTCCCCTGAAGAACATGGTGTGCTTGTCGTCCTTGAAACCAGCGTAGGCTCGGAACTGGTTGCCACCATCGCTACATGACATCACGTTAGTCTGAGAGCTTAGTCGCGTCGGAGAGCTTTGCAAGACTTACCCAACATGTGCAAAGTTGGCTTGGGACTGTGCGTTGCTGTTGATGAACCAAGAAAACCGAGCGCCAGAAGAGAATGTGCAGGCTTGAGCTTGGCCCTCCCACGTGAACCAGAAGTTCTGTCCCATCGTGCAGATGTTGTCACCGGAGGGCGAGAAGTTGCAGTTGCTATCATTGTCACAGAACTAGCACAACGATATGGTTATTTGGAAGCTCTCGATAAAGGTTAGGCAATCATGGTTATAAACTTACAACAACGTGGGAGCTCTTGGGGACAATTGTACCCTCGCCTCCAAAGTCATCGCAGTTCACGAGGTGGACGCCCGAGCCATCGCCTCGCTTAAGGAGCTCATTGATGCTTCCCTCTGCCACATCCAAGGTAGGAGCAGCAGCTGCCAGCGAGAGGAGAGGGGCGACAAGGGCGAAGAAACGCATTGTGACTGGGTTTGTTTGAACTGGGGAGTCGTGGTATTGTAAGACTGAGTTGATTGGTTGAGTTGTGGAATAAAGTTCTCGGATCGTCGCAGAAATGGAAGGAAGTTGTCTCTCTTTATAGAAATGATTGTCGCTGTAAGGAGTCATGGATTCATTGATGGAAAAAAAAAGTTTACAGCCTTATGGCTTGTCATACCCAACTTGACCTCTTAGTTGGCTGGAATTACCCAGTTTGATAGCCGAGCCCATATGAAGCCGCAACATTCGCAGCTACATAAGCTGACCTTTTGATAGCGCTTACGGCCCACTATAGGCCCTGCAGGTATGGGAGCACAAGTGCGGCGTAGTGTCGATTGTAATTGGATATTGTCAAGTACTCAGCCTACAGGTGTATATACCCAGGTAACTTATAGTTGAAGGGTTTCGCTATGCTTAATTTTATACTTAGCGCAATAGTCAACGCCGCTCTTATAACAGAGAACATAGAGGAAGGGATGGTTCGTAATTCGGAGTAACATAAATTGTGGCATCAACAAGTTAAATTGTGGCATCAACAAGTGGTAGTTTTGTTCTCAACAACTATCCAGATAATTAACCTCGGTAGGGAGAACAAGCTTTGTTACCAACCGTACGGACCATGTAACTACCTCATCGGTAACGCAAGTTAGACATAAGGCTTACGTTCTACGCGGGTCGATGGATTATGACCTTCCTAGATTGTCTATGCGCTTGGGTTGACCAAGGCTGACGTTGCCGCATTTGGGAGGTTATAAAGACGCTGGGGTCGGGTATCAGTTAACACACTAGATTAATACGCAGCAACTATTTTTAAGTGCGCCGAGATTTGTCAAAGGCTTTGAATAGGGGTGCTCTAGACACGGCTACCAAATAGTACACTTATATGTGTTTCTGCATATATTAAACAACACACTAGCATACAGAAGCTGACCAATGCAGAGATGAAGTGTTACTATTGGTGGGATTATTGACAAACATATCATCACTCAAAAATGATCTATGCTTTGTGACGTCGCTCGCTGGCCTACCTCGTATACTGTAAGGCTGTAATGTACTGATAGGTAATAGCTACGGTTCTCGTATAATCGTAGTGTGGCTCATTAACATGTCTACGTCTCGTAGTGCTCATCGTATGCCGTCGCACTGAAGAACCGTTGAGGACTGGGTTATCAACGGATTGGCGGGTTACGATATTTGGAATACGGCGGAACGGCGAAAGAAGCCATACATATGCCGGTGGGTGCTCGTATACTGCATTTATATGGACCCTAGCCAGCTTTAAATTTTGGAAAGTGCCGAGCCACATTACGATCCAAAATTTTGATGCCAACAGGCTTCACCAGGTATTCGTCAGCGCCAACGTCCTCTGCAGTCGTTTTGTCTGTCGGGCTGTCTTGGCCGGTCACAATAAACATGATGCTTTGTCCCCACTTGTTCTGTTTCTCGAGTTGGCGTATCTGCTGGGTTGCTTTGAACCCATCACAGACTGGCATTTGAAGATCCATGAAGATGAGGTGGATCCCTGCTCCCTTGCCGGCGGTGGCCAGGGATTGTTGTCGTGAAAATATCTCCACAGCTTGCAGGCCGTCAGTCGCGCAGTGGTATGGTAGTCCTCGTTTGGTGCAGTACATCTGCAAAATGCGGAGATTGATGACATTGTCATCAACAAGAAGTGCCGTAGGCGTGGAGATTGTGAGGGCGGTGGGGATTGAAGCATCATAGTTTATTTCGTCGGGAGGCGTTGTTAACCCAGTATCAGGTGCGATAACTGCGGTTGGCTGGGTCACCGGTCCATTTGGATCAGGTGAGGGATTGTCCTCATTCTCTGTGCTCAGATCTGTGGTTCTTTCTAAGGGATTGATCGAGGAATCGTCAAGTTCAGGCGTGCGTGCAATTGAGGCTTTCATATTTGAAAGACATTTGTCTGCTTCTTCGAGTGCTGCGCTTATCGTGGAAGGTAAAAAGGGCGCACTAATATATATTATGTTCTTAGATGTCTGATCCAGGAAGCATTTCCCTTCTGAGGCCGGCACGAGACAGAGGGCAACGTATCCTGATGGGATCTGTGACATATTTGAGCGATGCTTCCTCAAATCTGGCACAAAATCAAAAATGGCAAAGGAGTCATCCAGGCTGTCTGAGGATTTAAAGCCGTGCCAGGCCAGGAAACGAGTCAAGTGGTCGAACAACATTGTGTTATCTGAGCCAGTCGCCATGTTGTAAAATTTGGAAGATAGAGTATTGAATTTCTGAGCGAGGGGTTGTGATGAAAGTGGTACGTGGACACAATCCATCTCCTGAAATATGACTTTGAAGTGCGACCCACGGCTGACTTCTGACGATACCAAGCTGACAGACCCGTGGAGCAGTGTTGCCAACCTGGATGCAATGGTCAGGCCTAGCCCGGCACCCAGTGAATGCATTTCCACCTTTTCATAAGGCTCAAATATGCGTTCATGGTGGTCAGGATGGATGCCACGGCCAGTGTCCTCGACATCAACGATTAGCTGTTGGTGATCCGACTGTATCGATGTGGTTACCGTTATGAGGCCTTTTGGGGTGTTTTGAATGGCATTAATGATGATTGGTACCAAGCTATCACGAAGGAGGCCGAGGTCGGTCCTAAAGTTGACGCAATCCAGCGATGGGTCATGGTGAAAGAAAACAGAGGCCTTGTAACGAGTATCGTCTGAAGTTGTTTTGCGAAGCTCATTTCCCAACTCCATCTCGAGATCGTTAATATTGTGTTCAGCATACTGTCGATTCGTCATGGCGATGTCAGCCCACCGGTTTAGGGTAATCATGTTGTTGACTATGGACATCAGATCTCGTCCTGCCGATTTGATGGTATCCAGATAGACGGTGGATTCTAAAAGCTTGGCTGTCAAGTCTATGGCCGGCAATGATGTTGCATCCTTACTTTCACGCTGTTTTCGCAACAGGAGCTCTTCGGCCAGCAGGTCTACAGAACCGAGGATGCCATGAATCGGGGTTCGTAGCTGGTGAGAAATCCCGCGAAGAAACTTTTCTTTTGCTCTCATTACTTCCGTCAGGAGGCGCTTGTGCCATACCTGAGAGAGCATGGTTGCACAAGTATAAACAAACCAGGAATCAACATCATCAAACACCAGTCGAAAGTCCTTGGAGGCGACAACAAGCGAAGAAGGTCCCGCTAGGGTGTCGCATGGTGCAACGATAGCACGCACTACCCTGGTTGACGGGAAAGCCTTTTGGTTCGAGTTATTAATGAAATCGTCAAGGTATTCTGTGTCCTCCCACAAGCCACCATCGAAGTCGGCTAAGGGTATAGGGTCATGATCTTCGATTTCGACACGGGCCTCCTTGGATGATTGTACATTTACGGCCGCATCTGGATACGTAGCCCTTAGTATCCGTAAAATCGGCTCTTCTGAAGATGTTTTTTCTGCTTCGGCTTGTGCTGATGAGATAAGTTCTGACATTCGGCGCCGGTCTCGCTGACGCCTTGCTCTCGCACATTGGACGATATCGGCGACGACCCAGTCGGCCAAGCGAGCGAGCGTTTGTTGTTGAGATTTGGTCAAAGGCTCTTGTTTTGTCCTGGAAGTGACACAAAGTGATCCAAGGCTAACGCAGTCTCCCGACTCATTTTGCAAGCGCAGTGGCGCTCCAGCGTATGCCCGGAGCCCACCAGACTCAACATAAGGTGAATTTCTGAATCTCCAGTCCTCCATCATATTTGGCAACAGAAACACATTCTAGTAAGGGTCAGTCAGACTCGACACAACGGACACGGTCATTCACATACGCCTGGAGGTTGGGTAACGGTGTGTGCACACAGAGTCTCTCCACGTGGAAGGATGGCCAGAGGAAGTCCAATAGAAGCCAGGCGAATGTAGTAATTGACATCGAGGATGCCAATGACGACAAACTCCCAGCCAGTGGATTCCTGCGCCAAATGTGCCTTTTCCTGAAGTCCAGAGAGGAACTCGGTCTCGCTGAGGATATCGCGAGTGTAGTACCAAAGCATGGACGACCTCAATCTCTCATTCTCGGCTAGAAAGGCGCGCAGATATCGGTCGGGGATGCACATGGGCTCGTCAGGGATTGAAGATGCCGCAAATTCGTCCACCTTTGGAGGATAGAAGCATTTCTCTACTTCTGGAGTCCACGCTCCGATCGGCCTGTCGACATTGTCCGGATCGAAGACGGGCCATACGGTCCGCGGACGAACCGGCGGGACTCCGTGTCTCGATGTCAGGATGGCGGCGTCTGCCTTTGGGAAGAACGCTTTCGGCCGCCCAGTATTACCAGAGGCCGTCGCCATGGGTGTATCCGTGAAAACGCGATCCCAGCCAAGGGGCCTCTTGTCGTCCTCACAGCATCGCCAGTGGACGATGAATGCTCGGTCCTAGTGAGCCCATGGTGGAAGCTGTGCCTTGGAAGTTCTGCTGCTTCGTCGCATGCCGCGTCCACGTGACGAGTCAACGCCCGCCCCCGGAGCATTTTGTCCTGACGATGCAGCGGGACCGAGATTTACGCTGTAAAAGTCGATGGCCGCGGCATCAGCTTGTCTACTAAGCAAAGTTATGCATTGAAGACATTCCCGGTCGTGGCCTAGCGCTTCGATTTGAGATGGGGCTTGGACGAATGGAGGAATCTTCAACGATTTGCATAAACGGGGATACCCCGGATAAAATTGTTGTGACATTCTTCAAGGGACTGGAGATGCTCTCGGATATTGAAGCCGACCCCCTTTCGAATGGCGAGCCCGATAATGTTGACAAAACAGCACAGCTGGAGCCCCTTGATGCTTGGCCGACTGATGTCTTGACGAAGATCTTCTTAGCTGAGCAAGCATAGGTACTCTATACGAGTACTTCCCAACGGATCACAGGAATGTGTAAGTTCAGGTACCCAACCAACGGCTTTGGCAGCCTATAAGCGGTTAATATCGCTCTCTTTGAATTCGAACTGGACGTTTCGTGTGGATCTAAAAACGGAGACGCGGGATATAATAATAGAAGACGTTGAACTTAAAACCCCGAAAGTTCCGCCATCGTGGTTTATACAGGTATGCACGTGCTCGCTCATGCCCAAATCTATTCCCACTACACGCTGAGAGTAACAACCACACATCCAATCAAACTTTACGAACTTCATTTAAATTATGAGTGATTACGGAAGCATCTCTGTTGGAAAAAAGTGTTAACACGCTGAGATAACGTTTCTTTATGTAACATGCAGCTAAGGGTTCCTGACCTCATGGTGCTGCGCTTGGCTGAGACCTTGTAACCGCTGTTAGTGTTATATACTATCCATCTACTCGACAAATAAGGAGAATCGGCTCATAAAGTATTTAGCTGAATTCTTCAGGTCATATTGAATAAAAAACTCTTCTCAAATGACAACTAAATTGTGACAAAGGGAACAATCTTAGATCATCGTTATGAGTTCGAGGCTCCTTCTCCTCCCGTTTTCCTCCCCAACTCTACTTTCCAAAACTTTCTATATCTCTCTACTGCCCCTCGGCCGTCCTCCTCTAGAATAGTCCGAAGCCAAGCTTCGTCAGGTTCTTCCTGTAGATGACAATCAGGTGTTGCGCCAGCGGCAAGTAGAACTTTGACAATGTTCCAATGTCCGCTGATGATAGCTCCGTTCAAGGCGCTGTGGTATTTTCCACTGCATGCGTTAATATCGGCTTTCCTGTCTAGCAACATCCTTACTGATATGATCTGGCCCGAATAGGCGGCCGCCTGAAGAGCTGTACCGAACGTTCCGCCTTGTGCATTTACATTGATATTGGGGCACTGTTCAAGAAGATACGCTGCTTTGCTGGATGAGTTGTCAAGATTCCAGCACTCCTTGCAGTGAGAATCGAAGTAGTCGTGTGCGTGTTTGATCGCACACGCTATGTGGAGCGCGGAGCCTAACCGCTCGCTCATGATGTTTGGGTTGATGTGGTGCTTGAGTAGCATTCTGATCCCTTGACGCCATTCTGGGCCTGCTCGTCCCTCCGCATTCATCATAGCGTGCAGGGCGGTGCCATACTCTGGATGCTCATGATTGATATCCATGTTGCGATTAAGGAAGTGTTCAAGCATGAGATCGTCGGCTCTGTCGCTAGTCGGAAGGGGACTTTCGTGAGTGGCTATACCACGAATGGCCGAATGCCAAGCGGCGCAGTCCTGGAGATGGAGGTTTGCGCCATGGTTGAGCAGCAACTCTACCGCCTCAGAGTAGTTCCAACTGCAGGCAGCTATGAGCGCCGTTCCATGTTCGCCGCCTTTTGCATTTACATCAGCGCCGCATTCCAGCAACCGTTGAACTATTCTCGTGTCTTTTTCGCCTCTATCGCACGCAGCGATGAGTGCTGTTCCATATTCCTCACTTTGTGTATTTACGTGGGCGCCGAGATCCAGCAGCATCTGCACACAATCTTCTCTCCGCGAATAACCCGTACAGGCAGCTATGAGTGCCGTCCCATACTTGCCGCCTTCGGCATTGACATCTGAGCAGTGTTTAAGGAGAAAGTGCAACGATTCAATTTCGTTGGCCTCCTCGTGAAAATGGGCTTGAAGCGCAGACCCATACTCCCCCCCTCGATGATTGACGTTGGCCCCTTTATCCATGAGCAAAGTAAAAAATGGCAACCTGGGGAAATCTTCATTGTACTGTCCCCGAGCCGCTGCGGCCAATATTGGCGTGCCGAACCGATCACTTTCAGCGTTGACATCAGCACCTCGGTCAACCAGAAAGCGCGCTGCCTCAATAGTCCCATGATAACAGGCAACATGCAGCGCAGTTCCCCAGCTGCCACTCGTTTGATTGACTTTGGCGCCGTTATCAAGGAGTAGCTTCATCAATTCGACATTTTCCTCAGAGTACATCGATGCTGCTGCCGCGTGCAGGCTGGAGCCCCAGAATCCTCCTTGAGCATTCACATCAGCGCCGTGCTCAAGGAGAAGCCGCACAGCTTCTATGCGCACCTCCGTCTTGCTTATGAGTTCAGTACTGCACGCGGCTTGCAGCGCTGTCCCGCACTCTCCACCGCGGATGTTGGGGTCTGCGCCGCAGTCCAATAGCTTCTCAATGTAGCGAAGATTTCGATCATCATGATAGCACAGTCTCTCGCATGCGGCCTGAAGTGGTGTGCCGAGTTCCTCATTCAGCGCATTTATGTCAACGCCTCTCTCCAGCAATAGTTCGAAATCCGTGGAATTCCCGTTGATGATTGCCTTGTGTAGTGCGGTCCCATGTTGTTCATCCTGCGTATCCATGTTCATGCCTTGGTCGAGAAGATACCCCAATGTTTGTGTATCCCATTCAAAAATACACACGAATAAAGCCGGCTGACAATTGACATCAGCCCACCCGTTTCTGACAAAAAAATCTAAAACATTGATGTGTTCGCCGCCAACGGCCGCATGAACTGCTGATGCCCATTTGCCGCAATGTGCCTTCATGTTGGCGCCCTTTTCAAGGAATAATTGCACAATGTCCAAGTGACCTCCATAGGCCGCATAATGGAGTCCAAAATCCAAATCTTCTTGCGTAATATACTCATGCGTACCATGCTTCTCAGCAATCATTGCCTCGGTTAACTGGCGAAAGCCGCTGTAAGCAGTGTAACAATGCGGCCTCTTTAACAAATGTTCCAAATTTTCCCTTACTGTTATTCGCCCCATCATTAGAGGGGCAAATGAGCCTGGGCTTTGGTCGGTAAGTGCAAGTACAGCGGTGATTATGACTTTGTCTGGCCACTGCACACGCGGTACCTCCTCGAGATGGTCCGCCCACGCCGAAGTCGCGTAGTCTATTAAATGATGGGTCTTTCGTAAATCGCGGAGGGTTGTTTGAGTCTTTTTCTTAGCCGTGGTGCTCAAGTGCGCAGCATACGAGAGACACGAACGCGCGATATGCATGTGGGCGTCCGCCTCTGTAAATGAGAAGGCCGAGGTAAGCCTTTCTTCTATCCTGTCAGAAGTTAAATATTCTTTGATGGAGAAGTGAACCAGGCGGACCGTATTCGTTTCTTTTTCATTGACAACCAAGCCAGAAAAATATTTCAATATGGCTAAAGAAGAGAAAAGTCGCGTGCCTTCATCAAAGGCAATATCTTTATCTGGGTCAATGATGAAAATCTCAGCCAATTCTTCGATAGTCAAGAGGCTTTTAGAGAACGCCAGCCACTTAAGCGAGTTTATGACTCGACGTTGGAACTTGGTATCAATATTTTGGAGAATTCGGTCGTAAGTTGCATCAAGCCCAATGGGAAGGTCAAGGAGGGCCTTGCGGATCTCGGATGCAGATGAAAGCTCTTGAAGTATTTCTAGCTGAAAACGGACATATTGAAACCTTAACAGAGACTGTTAATCATAGCACTCCATTGAGTATGCACAAGATCTATCGACTCACATGCTATCCGCCTTTTCAATAAGTGATTGACCCACCTCTTCCTTAATGTCAACTGGCCACAATTCGAATTTCTCCGTCACTAATGTTGAGAAAATGTATTGACGAATATCATTATTAAGAGTTTCTTGTTGTACCAATAGATCGATATCAAAATTTTCTGGAGAAGATAAAAGGGCGCGCATTTTGAGGTCAATATCATATTCTTTGCGGCTTGATAAAAAAACATGAAAATTCTTAACTAGGTTTGAAAAGATATTATATAAAGTTTTTAATAACTTTTCCCTCTGTTTGCTAAGAAGCGGACACTCATCCAAGCCGTCGATAACAAAATACACGGACGAGAGCCTCAGTGTTGAAGCTATAAGTGCTGCTTCGAGTGTTCTAGTATCTGGACGCTCGCCTTTCGTTTTATAAGCTCCAAGGCGCTTGACCGATTGTGGTATGTCGGGTAGACACGAACAGATCTGTTTGATAAGAGACGCAAGCATTCCGTCCACTTGTTGCTTCTTGACGTCGCTGAAGCTAAAATAGAAGTAAGCGAGAGCTGTTGAAGGCCGCGATGCGTATTTGTCTTTCAAATAGCTAATGACCGAGGAACTGATGATGGATTTTCCCGAGCCGGCTAAAAATACATGGTCAGTTTAAATTCTAGGCAGACGAACGAAGACGACGTAGGTATATATAATTTACCCTATGAAAAATAAAAGCGTTAGACTTACCTTTTCCATGGAGCCATAACAGTGACCCATCACTCCTCTCCCAGGTCTGAAACTCTTTACTTTGTACTAGCCATTCATTGGTGCCAGGTTCGTGCCTTTCTCGAGCAGTATTGTAGATTGAGGAAGGGTCAATATCACAAAGCCAGTCGAATAGTTCATAGCGTTCTTGTTTAGTCATTGCTCTTTCGGCGGCCTCGCGCGATATGGACATTTCTCCTCTTATAGCAGCCATAGAATCTATGGTCTCTCGCTGCAGGCTTTCGGCTGCTAGGCGCTCTTCAAAATGCTGTAGATCTCGCCAAATCTGCTCAAAAGCGGCAAACTCTGTATCTCGCTGGCGCACGTCGTTCACTAGCTGATCCCAGTCGTTCCACTTGACGGCGTCAAGGCCGTAGCGAAAGACGGAGCTATTTGAGAAATGGTAGCAGCTTTTAGCCTGAAATTTCAATATTTGCCTGTAAAGTCGCTCTAATGCGGCTTTATATTCGCGGTGTGATTGCTGAAACTCCTGTTGAGTCTCTTTCCGTGACTCGTAACATTTGATGTAGAGTTCTTCTCTCATTTGGCTTTGTGATATAAGAGATGCAATGTACTCCAGTCCTTTCGCCTGAACGGCACTTTCAGTTGATATATTCGTGAATAGCTGCTCATTTATATTAGTTATTAGATGTAATCATACTTCATTGCGTAACGTGCATCTTGACTTACTGGTAGCAAAACGCTGATACCGACCCAAGCGATCGAGGCTGACGGATTGGCGCTTACAGCCTGGCTGATGTACCTATTCGCAGCCCCAACAACATTCAAGACTAGTTGGGCAACGTCTCTCATCTTGACTTCAGTGCTGCCTATATTGAACTTGGTCGTATTTTGGTTTACTTCGTTCATCTTGCTTTGAAGAATCGCCCACATGCGCTCTCTGGTGTTCGATTTTGGCTTCAGACCTTCACCCAGACCGGCGACGACGCTCCCTTGCAGCCTAGCCTCATATTCTGCAACAAGGGCGCCTTCTCCTTCGCGCAATTTCTCGTATGCAACATTCCAAAGTTCTCGAATCGGAGTATCATCAAAGGTTGCTGATGTCACTGAGGATGGAATACAGGTAGCCTCAGATTGTTCAGTGGTTTTATTTGCTTTTGCTTGAGGCACAGTCGACGCATTGGCATTCGGTGCCGCGTTAGCAACTGGTTCCTTTAGGTGCCTTTGATCATTTTGGGCATGGGCTGAATCAACTGCATCGGGCTGCCTCGTGGATACAGAGGAGGATGAACGTGAAGGCCAGAGAGAATGCTTTTGAAGCCATGTTTTGGCGCCCATATTGCCGTCATGAATCACCGTGTCCGGATCGTCCGCTATCGCAAATAAAGAAGGGGGTAGGAAGGTCGAAGTTTTTGCTGCAGCCTGATGATGTTTAAATTCGTGCCCCCTCAGGCACAGCGACAGAATTATGGAGACTTTAACTGCAATGCTCATTGGGTGAAGTTACATATACCAATATGTGCATTGGATGTTCTCCAGGAACAACAGACTCCTTATATTTATGCCAAAAGTCGCAATCTTTAAGATTCTGGGCAGTCAATTACAACACCACAGCTATGCCCCGAAAAAGATAGGCAGCGAAAGAAAGAATGTGAGCATTCAATTGAGACTGCGCAATGAGCTACAGAGGACCTTGAACTTCACTCCATGTCCAGTCGCACTAGTTCTTTTCTCTCGCCATCGTGAAAAACTAACCGACGCTGCAGTCAACCCATCCGAATATTCCCATCCAACTACTGCACCCATTGCGGATTGTCAAACACCGTGACCCTCGTCGTAAGTGAATTGGGTACCTTGACGGTATTATCGTCTCCCAACTTGGGATTCTGCGCATCTTTACAGTAGATTGCCCACACATCCAACTCCACCTGGGTCGGATCACCCAGTGATTCATTAACCTGGGCGAGCCCCAGCATAAAGCCGAGCTCCTTGACCGTGCCAATGTCAATCCAGCCTTTGGCGGCACGCGGCAACACTCGCAGGCGCAACACCCGCTGACCGCCATCATCCAGAATCTGGGGCAGCACGTTGAAGCGGAGATTGGTCAACATGATGGCGCCGGTGCCTTCGTAAGTCGGCATCAAGTAGTTGTCCGGTTGTTTGGCTGGACCGAGCTTGATCTGAATGTCGAGTTCTGCGAGCATGTACTGGTTGCTCTGGTTCTGCTCCACAGAGACGGCAAAGATGATGTCTTGCTGCAAGTTTGGCTTGCGGAGAGTGATGACGTCCCAGTGGGTGCCGATGTTGCTGCTGACGGTGATTCTGTACCTTGGTGTACTTGCTGAGTCGCTAAACTTATCGCGTGGCTTGTGCCCAGCAAATGATGAGATGGCTTCGCTTGGCTTCGGCAGTTTGTGAGCTGAGATGGTTGGGATGTGGCGGACATGGGGTGCCAAGTTCTTTGCAAGGGCCTTCGCCGTAGGCACATATTCCCCATGACGTTGAAAGGTTGCCCCCGTTGCACCTTCGTCGTCGTCGTCATCACCATGGCGTGTAAGTTGAGAGGAGACGCCACTGCCCCCTTGTCTATAACCGGGATGCATCGCCATTCGAGCTGGTTCCAGCTGTCTCAGCGTTCTGACTTGAGGAGCACTAGGGCCACTCGACGGGCCAAGAGCGGCCAGGGTCTTTTTCTCTGGATGGCCCTTGAGGTCAATGGTGAGCTTGTAGACGGGATCATTCAACTGCATAGAAAAGAGCGCCGAGGTTGCCGTATTATCCTGAAAGTAAGGCGTCCCATCAGGGGCAGTCTGTTTCCATTTCTCGAGCTCCTCCAGCTGCACGTTTGCGTACTTTGGGAGACGCAAGATGCGGAGGTCATTGAGGCCTTGCCCTGGCTTTGACCCCCAGATGAAGATGTTGTCTTTGTCCGTGGGGACGGTGTTGATCTGTGTAAGTTTGTCATGCCTGCTATCATCTGTCTCACGAGTCTTTTGGTCCACCGTGTACTGTTTGCGTATATTGACTTTGATTCCTTTGACGTCGAGTCCACGAGCCACGGCATACCGCTGCTGGTGAGCTGGCTGCGTAAAGACTAGCTGGCCAAACTGGTTTGATCCTGGCAGGCGGTCCATGAAGCCCATCATGATGCCATCCGCGACAATGTTGTGGCGGAGGAGTGGAGCGCCAGCTGGAGGCTCCTCGCCAGCAGCGAGAAGAGCCTCTTCATCAGGGAGTACCTCTACGCGAAGATCAGGAAACATGGTGACCAAGTCGGATCGCAGGTAGAAGCCATAGGCAGGGATCTGAATCTTATGTTTAGCTCCTTGAGGTACGCTATTGATGTAGGCATTGAGCGCGTCCTTGATGCCAATCCGATCGTCGTCGACGAGCGAATGGTTGCCTAACGACAAAGCACCATCAATCATGGAATCGATCCAGTTCTTATCAATGCGGAAGAATCTCAGGCTTTCTGGGCCCAGATACGTTGGATCCGGTATCAAACTGTGCGCGGGGACACCCGACAGGAACATTTTGTCAACGAGCCACGAGAGCACAATCATCCAGTCCGTCGATACTGGGTCATTGGTCTCATCATACAATAGACCCTCCGACTTACTCCCTGCAAGCCTACGGGCAACGTCTACCGCCGCGGCCTTGTACCTTTGCTCAAAGTCCAGATCGGTAAAGGACATATTTGGAAGATCAGAGCGACCCATTTTCGGGCGGAACCAGCGTTTCTTGGCTCCTCCAGGGGAGAAAAAGGGCTGTCCAGGCATTGGAGGCGCAAAGTTATTGCCATCGTCACGCCTTATGTGAATATTCGCAAGGCTCTGGATCACTTCAGGGAGGTCTGCAAGCACTTCGTCTTTTGTTCGAAACGAGACGTCGTTGATATCCTTGATCATCTGCAGCTTGACTGCCTTCATGGCAGGTCCATGAATAGCTGTTCTCAGCCTAATAAGGGCAGCAGTAAAGACTTCGTCGCCGAGAGCCATGGTGCGACCAGTCTGCCATGCTATCGAATAGGTAATATCCATAATGCCAACCTCTTTGTCCAGGATCTGGAGATCAACACTGGAGTTTGAGGACTTGGTCAAGTGAGCTAGATCTGGCACATCTGTGGGCGTAAATGGCCCTCTGTATAGCGCAACTGTTGGTTCACCCGTCTGCGTGCGATACTTGACCAGCGTGTAACCGTCGTCAAGGCGACTGGCAACGCGCTGTCGGATCTTGTCAGGAGCATCTCGTAGAGGCTTGATAATACTCTCCGGAGCGCGCAGAACATCCAAAGTTCTGCCAAGATGCTCAAAGGCATCGGGCACGTTGAGAGTATCGGGCGGCAGCACCGTATAGTTCCAGCTATAGAGCGAGCAGAGAGCTACATAGCGTTGGCTATCGTTGGGAAACGCCATGTCTTCCACGCCTTCAATTGACACGAGATGTGCGCACATGGTTGTTGGCGTCTGATTGTCTAGAGGGCCAGTTCTGTTTCCGATGACGATGCTGAAGACGGCGGTATTTTCTACCCCCGCGAGGGCCATGCCGGCGCCGTTGATCTTACGTACATGTGCCAGATACTGATACTGTAGAGTATCTGCCTTGTTGTTCGCCGGAATCACCCTGTTGTTGTCTTTGTCCCACGTGGAAAAGAAGCTCTTGAAGATTTCAGGCTGGACGAAGATAAAATCTCCCCGGCTGTCCTTCATGGACTCTGGGCCCAGGTCTGGTGTTACTGGCGTGATGACATCGCTGCTCAGTTTCCACAGATCTGCGATGCTCGTGTTGACAGTCATGGTAGAGGACTGCTTGACGGGCTTGATGACACCATCGCTCGTGGCACTGAAGATTTTGTCCAGATCCTCAGGAGGCAGACGCAGTTCGCTCTGATCAAAAGAAAGCAGCACCAGCCAAGGTACACGATTGCGCACCGCTGGTTCTCCAGAACCCAGAGCCATCAGCCTCACCTTCTCCCTCAACTCGGCGTTGGTGCCCTGTTTTGGGCTGCCCAAGCGCTCCCATGGAAGGTGAGGGTCCGTGAGGACAATGTGCGGCAAGATTCTGTGATCATCGCTGTAGCCCGCGGGAGGATATGTCGAGTGAACACTCCCGTCAGGCAGCGAGAACTGAGGAGCGTCAACAAAGAAGCCTTGCTCAGCTGTCAGGTGCAGTTTCTTGCTGCCCTTTTTTGTAGTGTTTGGGTTAATGTCTTGTTCTACAGAGACAATATGTTCCTTGCCCGCCTCCAGACCAGGCGCCCAGTATGAGTTGAGCTTCTGCTGCCCTTCCGGTAAGGGGTCAATTTCTTCTTCACTGCTCTCTCCTTCATCTTGAAGGGCTCCAGAGCTTTGAAGAGCAAGTCGAACATTGCGTTGATGTGCAGACACAAGGCGACGAGCATGTCGAATAGTGAGGTGGCGGGGAGAGTCGATGCGAACGCTTTTGCCGCCAGGGTAGATACCCATTGTGATAGTTGGACAGACTGCGAGAGCAGTTGAGGCTTTCCTACTGAATGTTGCTCTATGGATTGTTGTATTTGGAGTGTTTCTGTTTGTCTGTAATATCCATAGATACTGATTTCAGATGGTAAAGGATTGGGTAACTGAACTATGAGAATTGTCAGTCAAGTCTGTCAAGTTAGCCTAGAACTAATGAGGATATATTTTCAAAGAACTCTACACAATATTTGCTCATAATTACAGAATAGTTCCTTTATCATTCAAGTTCACAATAGTATGTCTTATAAAGACAGCATAGATATAGATTAATATCCCAATCTGGGTATAACATTCGAGGTGCATCATTTTTCTCAAGGTGGTTTTCGTTGTCTTAGTCTGATTTCTCTTCACTTCACTATTCTCCAATACGACAGGGAGTCTCTCTAGCTAAGACCCTTGTCACGCACCCCCAAGCTCAGCTCTCATGCAGGCTAGAGTTGAGGGTGTGGGGATCTCGAGTGATACCAATGCGGGGAAGTATACGGTACTTGTATCTAGAAGATCCGCCAAGCCACAGTAGCATCGATGCTATCATGATATATGATGCATCCTCGGCTTAAACGAAAGCACCTGAAAGCCGTTTTGGGATCGCTAAGAACAGACTGCAGGTGGCGAAGCGCGCGAGCGGCGCCAATGACGAGATGAATTGCGCCATGTCCGGTGATAGTCTCATAGACGCTTCTATTGGCCGAGTTATCCTTGAGTCTCGGAAACGAATCAGACAGGGTATCTGGGGGGGCTAGATCAGCCTTCGCTATTATTGAATCGTATGTTGACTGAATTGGAAAAGAAGGAGAGAGGCGGTTAGGGAGGAGCAAATCCCCTGTATTCTTTGAGGTTATTGCACTGCACTCACCGGTCATTGATGTGGATGCACCAAGGCTCTGTGTTTTGAACCGAAAGACAACAAACAAGGCATATCTCACCCATTGAAATTCATAGTGGACATACACAATCTCATACTATGACATTCCCCTTCCATTAGGATATCATAGTGGTAGTTTCTTCAGACTAAGGCCATCTTCATAATGGTCGTGGCATCTACTGAAGGAACCCTTGTGCGGGCTGGAGGAGAAACTTCACGAGAAATTCAGAATGGCAAGACTTACACCATCTACGCCAGTACAGCCAGCCAACAGCCTGGTGATGATGTCCAAATTCTCAAGGCAGATACACCCACGGACAAGTTTGTTGCTACTCTAAACGAAGAACAAGCTATTATCCTCTCCGAAGCACCAAATTTGACGGCACCCCTGGCGGATACCGATAAGACAAAGAAATGGTATCAAAGTTTCGACGCCGGTGCCACAGGCACCGTGAGTCTTGACAATGTAACTGACAAAAATATCGAGAAGTTCACAGTCTCGTTAACTGCACCATGGGCTCTCACATTCAGTTCTGCTGTGGATGTCCTCATTTTCACGTTTGGTGCTTCAAGTGACCTCATCGGCGGAGACACACAGCCTCGATTTGTCCCTCCAGGCATTGATACCGCTGGCAGGATGCTTACCTTGGGCCTCGATTTCACCACAACAAAGGACATCACCGGCGTGAAACTCGGTGATCTATTCAAATATGTTGGATCACAGAATATGGTGGACTACTACTTGCCCAAGAAACTGTCTGCCCTGCCACTGACTCTGAAACAACCTGGGAAAGAGGATGATCCAAAGCGTAATGCTATGTGGCTGGTACCAGACGCCGACATGACTACCACCATCCGTCTGCAATTTCAGTTTGAGCAGCTCACGTACCTGCAAGATCTGCTAAGTATCGGCCTCAAAGGCTTGACACTTACCAACGCAGATGCTGTTTGCAAGAGAAAGCTGGTTCTCGGACAGACCGACAAGGGAGATCTTCCAGTGGATCAGGGAACCGTCGCCTTGAGCATCGGATGCAAGGTCAAGGGCTCCAAGGGGGGTGCCCCAGAAGTCAAAATGGTCGCCGGTGTTGAGTTTGGAGCCCGCAGCCTCAGCTTGACATTCATGTTCCTCTCGGAAAGCCCGCTCAAGGGACTTTTGATGTGGCTTGCCGAGCTCATTGATGATCCGGGTCTTGAAGACTTTGTCTCTGGACTCTTGAGCAAGAAAGAAGGCGGCCTAAGCGTCCTTTCTGCTACCACTCTGCGACGTTTCACTGTTGGACTTGAGACTGAGAGCGGCAAATACTCGCCCAAATTGGCAAAATTTTCCTTTGATATTGAGGTTACAGCCAACGTTGGTACAGCAAAAAGCGGTAAACCTGCTGTCTTTCTTCTCTCGTATCGCTGGAACAGGAGTGAAGGTGGACTCGGCACACTGGAAGGACAGCTCTGGAATAGTAAGTCGATAAAAAGTCCTCTCTGTGATGACCTTGATTCAGTTATCCGCTGACGAGATGAATAAATCAATGACAGATACCACTTCTACGGACAACTTGGATCTTAAGCCGTCGACAGAAACGTGGAATATCTTGCTGCCCGTCACAAAAGACCCGGCACCCAGCATTGAGATTGCATCTCTGATACCCGGCCAGACGGTAGTGAACATTCCAAACACACTGCCCTCGGAGATTACGCGCGCCTATATCCAACTGTCGGATCACTCCTTTGCCATTGCCGGTACGGCCACTGCCAAGAAAATCACCCCTGGCTCCGCCCCTCAGCCATATCTGGGCGAGATTTCTTTGGACGCATCCTTTAAATGGGGCAAGAGCAGTTCCGAATTAGTCTTCAAGTTTGCATTCAGTGCGGGAATTGTGCCAAGTGTATCGGCGAAGCATCAAGTGCCTGCAGTGTTGGTGGGTTCTTTGAGCTACGAGTCTCAGGCGAAGAAATGGGAGCTCAATGCATCCCTCAGCAGCCTCTACGCCTCAACGTTGGTAGAGTTCTTCGATGACGATGTGAAAGATGCAGTTTGCCCACTCATTGAGTCCATTGTGGTTGACAGCCTCAAAGTCAATTATACGTATGAGGGCATCACCGAGGGCACTGATAAAGGCAAGTCCAAGGGCACGTCTTTTTCAATTACTGGTGACTTGATCATCGCCGGCCTGGAGCTTGGCCTCACATTTACCCACGACAAGACGGGCTTCAAATTCACTGCGTTCCTCACCCCCACTGATGAGAGTGTCACCATTGGGGAGGTACTTGAGGACATTCTCGGAGATGATGAGATTGAGCTTCCCGACTTTGTGGCAAACACGCCGCTTGTCACCGACAACGCAAAGGCCTTCCAGCTGGACGTTGAAAAGAAGACTGCAACCATTGACAAAAAAGAATCGACTTGGTTCCATTTCTTAGCTCAAATCAATATAGGCCAAGTACATGTCAAGTTTGCCCAGTTACGCAGCACAGATTGGGGCAAAACAGCCGCATCCAAGCGCCTGGTTCAAGTCGCCGTTGATGGCTTCTCGAAGGAAAAGGTCACGATTCCACTGGTTGGCGACCTGGAGCAACCGCTGGATGAACTGTACTTTCTTTGGGTGCAAGACCCCGATAATGCAAAGAACCCTCAGCCCGGGAAAGAGGCCGGTCTTACACGCAAGGACCTCGCCCAGGTCAACACTGATGCCACGGATCCGATTTTAGTCAAAGACAAGATCGACCCCAAGCTAGCCAAGGACACGGACATCTTGGTGGCCGCTGGATGCCACTTTGCCGTCATCATCCATAGTCCTACCGGCGAAAGATCATGCTTGTTGGACTATGCATTCATGAAACCCAAGCCCAAGCCCAAGCAATCTGGATCTGCATCTGAAAAGGCTCTCGTACTGAAGAGTGGCGGGGGCAAGAAAGAAGAGCCGGCTGACGACGGAAGTCCAAGTGCTCAAGCTCCTTTCAAGAAGAAGGCTGGCCCTATCTCCATCAGCAATGTCGGACTCAAATACAAGGATAAGATGCTGGGCTTGAAATTCGATGCGGCCTTTGAGCTAGGCCCAATTGGTTTCTCGCTGATTGGCTTCACCATCATGGTCGATATCAAATCTCTTAGCTCGACCCCCACGTTCTCGGCAAGCATTGAAGGTCTCGCCGCTGCGTTTGACAAACCGCCGTTGATGATCGCAGGCATCATTCGCCACGGCAACAAAGGCGGCATCGATTACTATGCCGGTGGTCTCATCGTGGGCTGGGTGCCCTACCAATTCCAAGCGGCTGGCTTCTATGGTACGGTGAAGCCCAAGGACCAAGAGGCTTTCAAATCCGTCTTTGTCTTTGCCAAGCTTGATGGTCCCCTCATTACACTGGAATTTGCAGAGATATCGGGCATATGTGGTGGCTTCGGCTACAACAGCAATGTCCGCGTGCCCACGGCAGCGGAGATTTACCAGTTCCCCTTCATTGCCAGCACTGATCTCGGAAGCGCGACGGATGCCATGGAAGCCCTGCAAAAGCTCACAGATCCCGGCCCGTCTGGCTGGTTCCAGCCTCTCAATGACACGTACTGGGCTGCCGTGGGTATGAAGATTGATGCCTTTGAGATGATCAGCCTCGACGCGGTTGTCGTTGTGCAATTTGGTCAAGCCATCAAGCTGGGCATCTTTGCGCTCGCCCTCGCGGACATTCCAAATGCAAAGTCTCCCGTTAAATTCGCCCACGTTGAACTCGGCATTGCGGCCGTGGCGGATTTCGAGTACGGCACCCTCAAGATTGAAGCACAGCTGTCTCCACGGTCCTTCATTTTGATGCAGGACTGCCATCTTACCGGCGGCATGGGGCTGTACTACTGGTTCGATGCTCCCAAAGCCGACAAATCGATTGTTGGCGACTTCGTCTTCACGTTGGGAGGTTATCACCAAGCATACAAGGTCCCAGCGGGATATCCCAATCCCCCTCGCCTAGGCATCAGCTGGAGCCTCGGCAGCAACCTGAGCATTACAGGGCAAGCATACTTTGCCATCACTCCTAAAGCTTGCATGGGTGGTGGGCGACTTCATGCTTCCTTCCATGCCGGTCCTCTCGAGGCCTGGTTCGATGCCTTTGCTGACTTCCTCATCAATTACAAGCCGTTCCATTTCAATGCCCAAGCAGGTCTATCTGTTGGTGTCCGCTTCAACGTAGACTTCCTCTTCATTCACACTCACATTTCCGTCGAAATCGGTGCTCAGTTGTACCTCTGGGGACCTCCACTGGCAGGTCGTGTCCATGTCGATTTCTGGATTGTTGCCTTTGATATCAACTTTGGTGACTCGGAGCAAAAGATCGAGGCTGTGGACTTACTCAAGTTCTACCAGCTTGTGCTGCAAGCATCCGAAGATGCGTCCAAGACGGCTCAGGCTTTCATCACCATGGGCGAAGCCGCAGAAGAAGAAGAAGGGGAAGAAAAGACAGCCATGTTGGCAGACGACAAGTACCCAGATCCGGACAAGAACGAAGCTCACAATTTCCTTGCCCAGACTGGCCTATTGAATTCGGCAGAGAATCCTACGAGGAAAACAACCGACCCGTGGGTAGTGCGAGCGGGATCCTTCTCTTTCATTGTGGCATGCAAGATGGCCATCAATCAGTTTAAGAACGAAAAAGACAAGGATCCTATCCTTAAAGGCGGCGATGTCTTTAGCAAGCCCATGCAACTGGATCAATCCATGACATCGACCCTTCTTGTGACGGTCGCCCAGAATGGTAAAGAGGACAGTGGATGGCAGTACGAAAAGTACACCAAGAATGTGCCGAGAGCTCTTTGGGCCCAGTGTAAGTGTCTCTCATCTGTTTGACCCTGAAACGGGTTTATATCCCTCTATGTATCTGTGTGTGTATGAGAAGCTGATCTTTGAGAACACAGATGATCCCAGCCTTGATCCCAGCGGTGGTAAAAACAACATCACCGATCTTCTCAAAAGCCCCAACGGTTCCGTTACTTTGATGATGGGCGTGAAGCTGACCGCACCCAAGGCCCAAATGGCACCTGATCCTTTCCCGGCCTTTGACGTAGCCGACGCTTCACTTGAGCGCCTCAAGGCTGTCAAACCGTTCCCAACCATTACAAATGCCAACACAGCCTGGGAACCTGTTGAGCCCTTCAAGAAAAAAGACGAGGACGACAAGGAGGTGGAAGACTTTGAGAAGCAGTACGCTGCCGTGCTAGGTAGCTGGTCCAACCCTTCGTTGGGCACGGAAGACGACGGGCAAAAGGGATTCGTGGGTATCCTGGCAGAGAGCTTCAAGTGGGACAAGCCAGATTTGCTCAAGAGCACTGCGGGAATTCCCGAGAGGTTGAAGAAGGGATTCATGAACATGTATGTAGCAGCACCGTTGTTGACTGCTTGAGGGAACGTATACGGAGAGCAGGCAGCTTTCATAGGTGGAAGAAGTAGAAATCAAGTGCATGTAGCCTTTTGTAACAGAGTTTACTATCTTTCTTGATTTTGTCGTCTTATTTCTGTTCCAAGATAGGCAAATAAGCAAATAGTCGTAATGGGCTCAAAGAGAGATATTACATAGTCTACATGTAGGGTTTTGAGCCAATACTGAGCTTGGTAACTCGTATCTACGTCCTATCACAATTGCTTTTATGAAAACTTACATGTGCAAGAGACAAATCAAGACCTTTAATATACCAAAACTATTCATTGTAATCATCTACTTACAGAATAGCCCATGCGTGGCTCACTGAACGATCCAAAGACAAACATACATGTGTACATCACCTCCTAATTCGACGCCACCTCCACCATTTCTCGGACCGGTAGTTCTTTCACGTCCCGTATCACAAAAACTTCTTCGGTCTGAATCTCTGGCTCCTGTGGAGGACCTGATGGAACAGTCTTAGCAGTGGCCTTATCTTTCTCATATTCTTTTGCAAAGAAGGCCGCCGGCGCATTGGACAATTCAACCAATTTCGCGCAGTTTGCACAAGGAGGGACGACGCTGTCCCAAATTTTACCGTCGCTGTAGCCGCTGTAATCCGTGACAGGGGTTTTTTGATCAACAAACTTCTTTGAGAGGGCCAGGCCTTGGACAGTCTCGTTGCTCTCGTCTCCACTGTTTATCACAAGTAAGCATGGATGAAATCGCTGAGAAGTTGAACTTCAATACATACACAGCCAAGCAGTGGACAAAAGGATAGGTCTCGGCACAATTGCCCCAACGGTTACCCGTCCCGTTAGATTTTACATCAGGCTCGGTTTTGCCGAAGTCATCTCGCCCAACCAACGGCGGTTTTAGATGCGTAACCAGCATGTCGAACCGCTGCATTTGCAGTGTTTTTTTCCAATCTTGTTCACTCGGTGTCTTGTGGAATCTGCCTCCGGCCATCGATGCGCCGAGGAGAAACCACTTGGCTTTCCCATCTTGCCGCTCACGCCAAGTGCACTGAAACATAGCGGGCGGTGCTCCGATTCCGGGTGTTTCGCCCTGATGACTTTCAGTATTATCCAGTTTTCCAGCAAGTCTGGTGCACCATCTCGCGTAGACAGCCGTTAGAGGGAGGAAGAAGTTGTTTCTGTCGGCTGCTAGAGGCGCATTGCCTAACAAACCAAGGAACAGACCGATCAGGTCATAGATACACCAGTACCCTATGGTAACCACTTTGGCATCTGGACCCGGAGGGTCTTTAACATTTGGATCCGGAGCACCTATGTACTGGTGGGACCAAGTCTTGATCACAAAAGGCGACACGGTTTTACTTTGGGTCTTTTTAGGCCCAAAATTTGGATTTTTATCACGATAAATGTGGCACTCGTCCTTGGGAACAAGATAGTTTGCACCTTGTGTAGCCCTAGTCTGAGAATCAGTTTTGCGGGGATAGACCATAATTTAGAAAAGTTGAAGATTCCCATATTTCGGTATTGAGTACTTACGCGAGAGACTCGAGCTCTGTGTAGACCTCCAACAATAATTTGAAATGATCGTCGGTTCTTAAGTCGTTAGGGGGGCAGTTGGCATTGTTCTTCGATGCAACCTTTTTCATCCATCCCAAGACCTACTGACGCGTCAATCCCTTTAACTCAGACTCTTTTTGCCGTAGTCTCGTATTGCACGGCAGCAAGACATCAGATTTGGCTCAGGTTCGATGACTTACTTCATCTCTTTTGAAACGGAATGCCACACGAAACCAATTCTTATCGTCCTTTCCATCATCCCCGAAGGGACGTAGGAGAGTTGGCTCGGGTGGGGGGTCAGCCATAACTTCCTATGCTCTAATTTCCTCCAAGGTAACAGAAAACTCTAGAGACGATAATCGAGTTTGGATGGTGTTGATCGGAAGGGGGACTTCAAAGCTCGAGTGACTCGAGTCCAATAACAGACGAGGGCAGTTGCTTGTAATTGAGCTTGATCACGTGCTCAGCATCTGAGCATTTAAGGAGGGGTTCATCACGGTAGTTGGATTCATCATCATGTTACTCCTTCAGCAACCGACAACTCCTCTCCTCTCGCACTGCCACCGCATCAAGCGTCGGCTACAAGACAGATACGTCAACGTTGATTCCCCTCACAAGTCTTCAGCTCTCATAAAAACCAATCATGGTACGTCTCCCATGCCCAATGGTCGCAAATCTAATGCGTAGTGTGCATATCTTCAAAGGCCTATTCTAACCGACATGCAGGTCGCTTCCAACCCACCTTACGGCTGGACTATCGATGACAAGGAGATGGATAAGGATTACTACTGGTCAGACAATGGCCCTGGTGTACAATCTGCCGCAAGCGCCGGCTTAACCGAGCTTTCGAAGCTGCAGCCGCAAATGATCAGGAGCAGCGAGCACGGAGGAGGCGCCTACCTGTTCACATACGATGGCAAGGTCTACCTTTGGAACATGGTGCAGGATGACGTGTATCTGTACACTGACCCCGCTGATCTTGAGGGAGTGCTACGGGAGATGAGAAAGCAGTCCGGAAAAGTGACAAGGGAGCTGGTCCTTGTTCAGGAGTAGAGATGAGATGACGAATGATAGGCCTCTAGCTGGGGGGAGGTGACAGGCCGTGGCTTGCATAGAGAAGCTGATAATTCAATCTATTGATGATGAGCAGAATGTGGCTTGCGTAAAGAAGTTGTTGATGAAATGTGATGAAAGTTGGTAGTAGTGAGCTAGCGTAGCTGAATACATGTATGCAATGTGACGCTGCAATCTGGCAATTTCTTGCGTAAGTATATGAGCTGAGGGCTCAATGAGGTGAAGATGAACAGACCGTGGCTTGCGTAGAGATTCCGATATATCCATGTGATGAGAGTAGAGAGTGGCTTGCGCTGGCAAGCTGATGCGGAGTAGTTTTATGTGATGGACGTCAATGGATAGCTGAGGCGGGGTCAGGGAAACGAAATAAACAGGAAATTAGTTTCATTGGATTCCTCATGTTTGATGAGTGAGACACTAAGTCATGAGAATTGATAGTTTAGGTATAGTGAGCGCAGACTTTATTTTCGTGTCATGTAGGAAAACTAAATAGGTAGTTTATTGCGTGATTTATACAAGAAAACGACCTCATTTACGAATAGTTTCACGCCAAATATACACACATAGCAACACGAAACAAAGTTACCAAGGAGAATAAGAAGCTAAATACAAGACTATTCATGTGATATTCCAACCCAAGAAGGGGCCCAACAGGGGCATCTCCCCCTCCACACACAGCCGTCGATAGCTGATCTCCCGGGATCCTCCGCCCCAACCCATTGGACAAGCTTCCGAGGTGGACATGGGTCAGGGTGTCAGCTCTTTGAAAACTGCCGGGTCCGCTTTTTAAGGACATTTATTGCCTAGCTTTTTGCTGCGACCTGCCCCAAAACGCTTGAGCGCATTTCAAGGGCGGTTGGAGACGGTGGAGGGGTGAAGAATAGCACAAAGGAGTGAAAATAGCAATCCGGTGGCCATTCTCGTCTTTGGCCAATCATCATTCAATATCGGATAGCAACAGAGCCTAGGTATTACACTACCAGTTATAGACTACCTTACGGAAGTTGAAATCGCGCATGTGCTTATTCCGTGGAGCCTTCTGACAGCACATATGCTATCACAGTCACAGACTCCAATTCAATTGCATGAATTGCGTTTACCCTGTAATCGACGTGCCACCTCTATAGTTCCGTGCCGTACCTACGTATGATGGAATTTACGCATTGTAGTTTGAAAAGAGAGAAAGAGAAAAGAAATTGACTCTAATGCGTACCCTATAGTGGAATGCTTTATCAAACTCATGATACAGTTGCATATAGTCCGGAAGATGGTTTACGTTCGTTACTGTTATTTGTTCAAGAATATCATGTTCTCTTTTTAATTTACAAAATGCTATTTGGATAATAAAGCTTAGATACTATGACTATTCCAAAGCAATAACTCTCTTTCACGTTATGCGATATGTAGCGTCTTTAGTGTATAGGTATATTGATATGGCCTCTTGGATACTGGACTCATCACCTTCTCTTATACGGGAGTCACGTCGGCAACTGTTTAATTGTGTAATATGGTTGGCCGAGACTATATGGTAGGTAAGGTTTTCAGTTTTCAAAATAATAACGAATCAGCTACTTGGATCAACCTGACTTCTGTCAAGTCAGAGTTGGCGAAATCATCAAGCGTGGCTCAACTTCGCGCAAGATTATAGAAGGAGTCACCTTTCGCATATTGAACGTCATACTACAAAAAGTCGTTTTTAACAGTCACTGCAAAAGTAATGCGACAATGAGATTTTCAATAACTCTAGACGAGTTGCATTGCTATCTGTTCATCTCTAGCTGATATCTGCTAATTTCAGGGCCTCCTCTTCCCAGTTCTTTAGTCCTGGAGCGGATCGGTCACGTGGTTGAAGTCATTGTCGGCAAGAGAGTTGTCAACAGACACGTAGAAGAGATGGTTGAAGCCGTTGGCGGTAGTGACGGTCAGCTGGCCGGGAACGCTAATCTTGGTAGCATCGTCGATTCGCGAGCTGGCCGACCAGGACGCCTCTCCATCAACACCAGTCTTGATGATTCGTCGAATGTTGGATCCTGCATCGACGTAGTAGATATAGACCTTGTTGTTGTTGTACGTGACGGCAATGGTAGTTCCATCGAGAGTGCCCTGAGAGGCATCAATGTCGAAGCCTATGAGGGAAAACAAAGGTCAATCAATATATAACGGAAAAAAGGACTGCGTTGTTCAAAGAGAGACATACTCTGGTTGCTGTTAATGTCGTACTCCTTGAGGTGGCCCTGGTTCACCTCCTGGTAAATGATGTAACGGTGGTTGTTCTTGGGGTTGACATAGGCCGCGAGTGAGCTGTTGAGCTTGATGTCGGCGTTCTTGAGGTAAGTCGCGGTGTGCTGTGTCAGGAAGTTGTATTCCTTGAGCTGCGTTTGGTAGTTGGCGGAGCCACTGTATATCTGGTTAGTAAAGCTGTCAACTCTTTAACCGGTGCATGATCAATTTACTCCAAGAAGTATGCCCAGGCGCCCTTCTCAGACGAAGCGAACGAAGTGTTTTTGTTGGACAGGGAAGTAGTGTTCAGCTTCTTGTACACGGGGGAGACGAGAGAAATCTGGTTCTTGGTCACAGAGGTGCCCTTTTCAACCAGGGGAACCGTGGTTGCGATAACATGGTGGACGCCACGGAAGCTACCACCAGAGATCTCAGAGGGGTTGAGGATGTAGCCAGGGTAGTCGTCGTCGCCGCAGACGTAGACATCATTCTCGTCACTGCCATCAGTGCCAGTCTTCAAGGTCAACGCAACTTGAGCATTGCCAGTGTTAAAGAAGAGGTTGACGGCTCTGTCCTTGGGAGCGAGAGGGTTGTAGATTGCTGCGAGGGCGGCCATTGTTGATGATTGTGTTCAAGTAAGAAGAGCACTTGTAAAGAGCTGAGAGCTGTAAAGAGGTCTGTGGAAAGAGTCTTGCCGATACTGAATGACGAAGTTTGAAGTGTAGAGAGATCGATTAGAAGGTGGTTGTCGTCCTTGATATAGTTGTAGAACTGGTCCGATTTTCCTTCCAACTTGAAGCCCAAGAAGAGGCCCACGGAATCTGTCTGCCTTGTTGTCACCCATGTTGACAGAATCATAGGAAAACCTGAACTTGACGCACGCGATTTTCCTCCATCATTACGTAGCTGGTGTCTTTCCATTCCGAATTGAAGCTCACGGATCCATCGTTTTGGCAGTCAGCCAGCCTCTTGACAACTAGACTGTGTTGTTCAGCTTGGTCCAAGCACCTGTCGCCAGCTGAAGGAATATCACGACATCCAATAACATGCTTAGATCCCTTCTCCTCTGTGGCAGGCGGTTGTATGGCTCAATGACAGCCAATTAGCGATGTAGCGTGTTTCCAATGCATCCCAAGTTTTCAATCACAACAGGCTCAAGACACATGTGATTGCGACACCAAGCGTTACGGGCATCTCCGTGTGCGCAGGCCGTTATGGATACTTCATCACGATCACCATGCAGGCGAGGCAGAAAATGGTAAGAAACGACAAGCCACCGCCATCACAACAAGAGCTGAATGACGGTCGTTGCTCGGCGGGTTGACTATTCAGCGCCGTCGATTAGTTCCCGCGTCTCCATCAATAGAGGGGGCGGGAACTAACTATAGACAAACGGGAACTAGTTGGCCGCTGGCTAGTCAATCGAGCATTGGCCAATCCATGTCTTCGCTATTTACGCTATGCTGTTTTCAACTGTTTACCCCTCACTGAGAGCCGGTCCTGACAAGGTTGTCTGCCCTCTTGGCAGCTGGAACATGGCTCGAGGAGTTGTCACTTGTATCAGTGACTTGTGGCGGGGACACGATGGAGCTTGGGTGTGGCTCGGCAGTGCATCACCGTCGTCATTACGGTAGCTGTTGTTTTCTGTGGAGTAGCTGAGTGAAACAGAAAAAGTGAGAAGTGATGGAATCAACAGAGGTGTGACGACGGAATCCGCGAATTAGCCTCCGAATGGACTCAGTATTGAGTTATTGCGGGCGATTAGCGCCCGAAGAAGCTAGTATAGCAGAGAAGCAAATAGTTTAGTTTAACTTGGGGATACAAGGCAAAGGATCATTATCATTGCTTGATACTAGGGGGGTACTACAGACATCATGAAGTTCCGATAGTATGATATGTAGTCTCCAATGTAGAAATATAACCATGTGTACTTAAAATGAGGGAGGTATGGGCTTAAAAAAGAAGGTTAAACTAAATTAGGCTATGCAATTCTTGAGATCAAGTAGCACTGATAGAGAGATACAATATGGGATCGTACTCACCCAAGTAGTGTGAGCAAACAATTCATGTAAATCAGGATTTGGTTCTTCATCTTTGCTGGCATCATCTCAGTAAGGGCTCCAAGTCCGAACCTCCAGGAAGCAGTCTCTGCTTCGATGACCTGAGCCCGGAAGCTGTATGCACCTTTATCTCTCTCTTCCTTTTCTTCTTCTTCACATAGCACATACACATCAACTCCCTGAAAATGCCGGATACAATCCAAGATTTTGACACCGTGCTGGTGCCAATGCAGTTGGAGGCCTTTGTGCTAAACCCAGCTGTATGTGGTTCTGGTGAAGAGGGCGATGATACAACACGCATCGCGCCCATCACGCAGCCCAACTACACTTTCCTGCGACTGGACAAATACATGCTGCAGAAGGATGTCCAGAATCACGCAGATCTTCATAACACTGCTCCTGCCATCGTGAACCCGCGTCTCTATGACCTCGGGAGCCGTGATGACGAGGGACAGCCTAAAGCTCTCCGCCATCGTCACGGCGTGTATATCCATTGGATTCTGCCTCGTTTCTATCGATCAGGCACATCAGCTGGCAGCACAGTTTCGAAGCAGAGGCGGCGAGAAGAGCGCCTGAGACGTGGCTTGCATACTGCGCCAGGAGACGCCGAAGAGGATGGCGAAAACGACACGCCAGACTTTGTCCAACCGCCGACTCGGTGGATTGTGATTCGCAAGATTGAATTGGATAGCATACAGCCAACAGATGCGAAAACAGCTTTCCAAGACAAGGAATATGAGGCGTGGGTGGTTGATAGTGACCACGTCTGGTCACTGGACCAGATCCCATTGGACATGGACTTGCAGACGGACTTTGCGCCGTTTGTCAAGGGACACGCCGGCTCAGACATCAACATTGGCGAGCAGGCCGAAGTCTTCATCGGACGCAAGACTCAGTTGGCGGACTGGTCCGAAACACCAAATCCCAGCGTTGATCCGCCCAATCTCAGTCTCCTGCAGAGCGGCAACCAGCTGTTTGCAGACTTTCAGATGCACAATACGAATGTCTTCAGTGTGCTAGACAATTTTGAATACGGAGCAGGCGATAAAGATGGACCAAAGTATCTCTCTTATGCCAAAGCTAGCTACTATGTCCTTGGATGGCACTGGAAAGATGATGTCGATCCTCTGTGGACGTCTGGCAAGACAATTGCCCACGGCGCCAGCCTGGAAAACCTCTTCATGACTCTCAAAGGCGCGGATCCTACAGATTCGTGGATGGAGAAAATCAGCCAGTTGCACCTCATGTGTCACGGCGCCATGTACGACGTTACATGGGATCATGAAAACAAGCCAAAAGATGTGCCGGCGGATCGGTACAATGCCCGTCTCCGCGATCAGGATCTGGCGGCTGTCTCTGTGGGAACCACTCCCATGGACGCCATCATCTCGTATTGCACGGCTCGCAAAGACCGCGAGGGGATTCCTGGCGACATTGCCAAATTGGAAGAGTCGATCTTGGCGATTGATTCGCTTCTATACGCGCGTGACGATGGTGTTGAGGACCAACGTCAAGCCAAAGATACCATTTATAACTGGTCCTTTACACGCTCCCCTGGAGGTGAAAGGTACTATTTCTCTGGAAATGATGACGACGGGAAATCGGACAATCAGCCCATGGTGCCGGAGAGGGAAGCCATTCTGCAGCTTCGCGAGTTGAATCAGACCAAGAAGCTCCTCGATGCGTGCACTTTTGCAATGACTCAGTATCGCTGGGACATGTTCTCTCTGTGGTGGAAGTTTGTCAGTGATGCCGGGAATGACGGCACTGATCCAACTGCCCCAGAATTTCTTCAGAAGGCCAAAGATCTCTCAGAGCACATTTCTCGCCTCAAAGATCGCATGGAGGAGCTGCAGCAGAAGATTGATCTCATGTTGAATCCACCGATCGCCATCCATGAGACGAATCTGTTGGCCACGGCCAAGCCTGCCAGCATGCCTGCTTATTGCCGAGCAAACAACCCTACTGTCCTCATTGGCGGCATAGAGTCAGGCTGGCCTACGGATTATCTGGACAGAGTCTCTGTCCGAGCACCATACCAGGTCATTCCCTCGTCCGCTGCCTTACCCGAGTCCTTGAACAAGGTTTTGGCTCTATTCACAAAACTGCCTCCATTATTCAAGCAGCACGCAATTGATCTGGTGGCGGAGTTCTATGCTCTTCGTCCTGGCGGTGGAGATTCCGGGACGGCACCAGAGACTCGCTTCTACCCACAGTTCCATGACAAGACAAAGGATCTTGAGACTAATATTGAGCGCTGGCGAGATCAGTGGTCAGAGCGACAGCCATGGTTCCCGCTGTTTGTGGAGTGGGAGATTGAGTACGACCACATTCCCTTTGAGTATTGGAACCTGGACGAGCACACAGCTCGCCTATCAGCCAACGTGCTCTCTCGTTATGGCATCACTGTGAAGCCAAGGGGCGACAAAGATGCGCTTCCCCTTTGGGACGATTTGAAAATCTCTCAGGGAGATAAAGGTCCAGATACTCGCATTCTGTCTGGGCGCTCGCTCATATTACCGCAGCCCAGCTTCTCACTTGAGGCTAAAGTCGTCCAACTGTTTGATAATACTCCCAAAGATATCTTGGACGAGTACTTGGACGAACAAAAACGGACAGATTTAAGAAATAACATGCGCAAGTTGTCATATCTTTCCTCTCCGCTGTCTGGCTTGTTTGATGGATTGGTCACCCAGGCAGAGGGCAGCCATGTGAAGCCCGAGAACAAGTTCGTTGGCCCCACAGGCGAAGTCAGCGAAGCAATGGTTGAAGCTGTCATTGAAACTGCTGGCTTGACAAAGACCAACTTGGAGATGATCATGGGCAACTCTGCCCTCACGCCGTATGCGGCGCAGCAAGATTTTGCAACAGATAAATGGAATCCATTCAAGCCAGTCACACACGGGCAGTTTAGGTGAGCCTTCCCAGTCACACATCTATACACAGTCTCTGTCGTATCAACCAGAACGAACCATGCTAACTGCTGTTGTGCAACTAGATTCCGTAAACTCAACGTCATTGACAAGTTTGGGCAAGCTCTGATGGCCATTGACCAGAAGCCGCGAGTGAATGGTCCGCCGCCGATCTACCCCTGCATCAGTGACTTTTATGAGCCACAGACCATCTTGGTAGAGGGCAAGCTCTACGCTAATACGGTGATCAAAGATGAAGCTAAGCAGTGCGAATTCCTTCAACTGCCGCCTCAAATCAACCAAAACGCCCGTCTAAACGCTGACTTTGTCAAGCGAATTGCTGACGACCCGTCTGACATGAAAGAGTCTGGACTGGACCAAGATGCGAAGGGAGCTACTTGGCGTCCGGCAACAGAGTGGGAGAACCCAATCTGGGGCTGGGTCATGACCAACTACGCCGACTTTGGCATCCAGCTCTTCTTGCCAGACGGTACTTTCTACCGCGAAGTCCGCTTTGGAGGACCCCTTGGCGCATTGGATGCTCCCAAATGGCTGCCTTTTGCACCATCCACGGATCCTCCAACACCAGAGACTAAGCAGCTTGATGCGTTGGCTAAAGAGCTTAACGATCCCTCATATCTGGAGGGATTCTGGTATATGGTCACAACTGCTCAATCAAAGCTGGCCGCTGCTCCAACCTCTTACGCATCGTTTCTCAATGCCATCGTTGGCAAGCCTCTTGCCTTGGTCAACATGGGCTGGTCGCTTGAGCTTGAGAGCCCGCCGTTGCAGACTCAAACTACCAAGAGTCCCCTGACGGCCCCCGAGCGCCTGTTGACCAAGCCGGACGATGACGACGACAAGTCACCATATTACCAGTTCCAAATCCGCTTTGGCGACCGTGAGGCTGAGTATGATGGTCTTGTGGGCTACTTTGATACCACTACACCGAAATCAGACGAGCTCAATCTGAGCAAGGTCAAGACATTTTTTGCGCCAGAGGAGGGTGAGAAAAAGCCACTGGAGCGTCTCAACACTACAAACTATCCCCTTTTTACACCCTTCTGGGAGGCTCCATTTCCTACTCGAGCACCATACGACAATGAAAACCTCATTGTCAACCCGAAGGCATTTGATGACCGCCGCAACGCACGCATGTCCGTCTTTGGCGCCATCATCGACCCGTTCACTCCTGTGCAAGCCTATTCGTCATTTCTGCCACCCGTTTCGCTGACCTTGCCTCACTGGAGCTGGCAAAGCGCCATGAACACCATGACCGCATTCTTCCACGCGGGGCCTTTGACCGTGCCGCTGAATGACGTTCCGGAATATCACGAGAAGGAACTCCTGACCAGCAAAAACGCTAGGGATATGCCGTTGCGGAATCTTCCCCTGCCCTCTCTGGGACCGGGAGATTGGTCTTTTTTCCAGCCATATGCTCAGCCGTCTGAGGAAGAGGACCCCCAGCCCAAGTTTAATCCATTTGGCATTGAAAAGACGGGTAACCTCACTAAACCTGGGCTGCAAAAGGGTCCGTATACTGCCATTGAGGGATTTTTGCAGTTAAGAAACCCGATCATGATGCCTAAACCGAAGCAGACTGCTTGATGGGATAGAGTTCATTAGAAAGCTAGAGTCTGGTATATTGGAATCAGGTCGTCACTATGTCTATTAACGGCTTGAGTACCCGGTAGTCTTTGCCTAAGAAAATGCTGTGCTCCCTAGTTTCCCCGCAATCGTGATATTGCTGGATGTTTCCGTGATTCTATCCAGATATACTTCGATTAAGAGATGTTTGCTTAGATGTCCCCAAGTGATATCCCCTGTTCCATGCTCACACATGATGCATTCAAATCTGTCACTCCAAGTGCCCCCTCCAATACTGTCGTGATTTCTAAGCAAAGGGGGAAATATTACCTTATATTAAATGTCATCTGTAAAGGGCAATTTATTGATCATTTTAATATAAACTATTATAAAATCAACCATCGGATTAAATAGGCTTAATAGCATACGTGTACGCCGAAGTGTGTGTCGTGTGCAACGCTACTTGTCCACGTAAGCCCCTTAGCTGCACCAAAAGACACCGAACCTAAACGTGCTTCTGCATGTGCTATTGAACGGATGTAATAGGGACACTCCATGATGTACAAGGTCTATTATAGCGTCTCAGAATTTTCGGGATATATACATGTATATATAGCGCCGTCCTCCCTCAGGCCATCTATTGAGCAACAGCGTCCGGACAACTAGACCAAACTTGCCTCCAATCATCAAGATGGAAATTACTGCAGATCACCCAGACCTCAAGTGTGTTTCTCTCAATATACATGATGTTTCATGATAGCTTATTATGAGTGATAGCCAGTTCTTTGCCAACCACCAGAATCTCTGGGGCAGTCGAATGGATGCACTTGTCGGCCTGGTCGAAAACAGCATCATGGAGCCCAACGACCTCATCAAGCGCGGCGAGGTCCCAGTTTCGTACATCTTCGCCATCGAGCCGACGAGTGACGATGAAAAGGTACATAGAGCATTCGAGTCTCTCATGAGCGCCGCCGGCATGATCCGCTTCTTCGCTGCCGTCAACGAGCTATCCGACTATGACAATCAGAGCCGCAAAGAGACCTATTCCATCAAAAATCCGGAAGAGATTGCCCTGGCTTTTGAAGAAGCTGCCAGTGCAACCATGGCTTCGCTTACCAAAGGTCAGGTTGGAGCTGTTTACAATGTCCAGACCACCCAAACGGGACCACCCTTGACGCTGAACAAATCGCGCTCAGAAATTCGCCAAGATGTAATTAATTTCATCCTTGCCGATGTTCCTGATGTCAGCAGCTCTGTCATCAACAAGGTCAATGAAGCCTTTACAGACTTCATTCGCAAGATAAGGCCGTTTCGGGTCAGCGAGGAGTCAGGGCTTCCCACTGTGAATCACTGCGTCGTTGTTCACTACGTCGCCATGAGTGCGGAGACGGATACTGGTGCGTCTCCAATTCCAGAGCCAAAGACACGCATTGTGTATTTTAAATGCAAGGCTGGAGACTGGGATCGTGCGATGCAGAAGCCAGATGATTCCAAGAAGGATGAAAAGATACCTTTTACCATGGACATTTTGGTTAAGGAGATGACGTTGGACGAAACGCTATTCCGGAGACGAAAGGGCAATTGGGAAACCATGGCTAGGTTCATTGCCGAGAACAAGGACGACGTCAAGGAGGTTGTCGAAAGTGAGGGTATTGAAGGGTTTGGCAGGAAGACGGCATTCGTGTTTGAGGCTTAGTGAGCGCCCATGTCCAAGATAGCCCCAGCATCTTTTCATCACTAGGGCTGAGGGGGAGACGTAGACTGGAAGATGATGAGATATAGCAACTTTATTTCTAGCAAAATGACATGCGACTGCAAATTGTATCTCTCGTCATACCATAATAAATGGTCTGTGATTACAATTGATTGCCTCATTACGTAGGCACCTTGTTGCTTCTCGTTCATTCCTTCTCAGCTTCAGACATTCCGGTCAGGGGAGCAACTATGTGAATCACCAAAGATCAAACAGCGTCTTATTAATGCATCATTTCCGCTCAATCATTATTAAAGATGGACTCATCGGCGAGACTGGCAATGTAAGTAATAGTGATATCCCGTGCAAGCTTGATTGCCTTCGAGTCGTGAGCTTGAGGTAAATGTTGGAATACGACACGACCATTCTTGTCTTCCAACTCTTTGCACAGCAAAGGCTCAGCGAGCGACGAATAAAGACGGACCTCGCAGAAGTAGACTGCGTCTTCTGAAACACATGAGGTGACATCCTCCGGAGCGTCAGTACCCCACAATATCCGGATTTTGAGAAAGAAGTTGGCCAGTGCTAGATAAAGGTACTCACTGGATACCGTCGCTTTATCTTGTTCCATGCATTCTTGAATCCAATGACGTTGACAGTGTCTCTGGCAAGCCAAGTTGCCTAAGCTGGTCCGAGTCAACTAGCTTGCCATCATCGCCGTGGAGATTATATCCGTCTCTGCGCGCTGTCGTCTCGAAGCGGGATTGATTGGAGTCCCATCCCAAAGCGATCATACCGAGATGGAGAATGAAATCGACATCGACATGTTCCTCGTTTTCGATTGGCTCAGGCTCTGGCAAAAAGAGTGAACGTCTACCGCTCCACATGTCACGAGAGACATACCGGACATCATCGTAAGTATCCAAAGTGTCACGGAAATATTTGAATATACGAATGTCTTTTTGGTTAGACCCCGTGATCATATGTGGCAGAGCATCTCTGACCAGCTGAGATGTATTGTAATTGTATTCCATGAATGGCTGAATACGAAGTCAGTGTGATTTCCAAGGTTTATCAATTGATACAAGGACTCACAGGATTGCCGGTCACAACCACATTCAATGTGCCCGGTGACGCCATCTTAAGGGTACTGGGTATCCTCCCAGGTCTGGGGGCCGGGACTGCCAAGGTGTGATAAGGGTTTCAAATGAGTTTTTCAACACTTTCGGCGAGACGTCGTGTCCGATTGCCGGGTTCAGCTCTCTTTTCGGCTTCAAGTGACGAAATGCAAGCGATCCTTCGTTATACCTCTGCTAGCATGCCTGTTGCGAGTTGGTGCCCAACGCTGTGTTATGAGGCAACTACAAAACACGGTCCACCACCAGATAATTTTTTGAGGCAAAGGAGAGGTCCATACCTATTGATGTCTGGGCGTGCATCATTCCGGCGGTCTTGAAGTAGTGCCGCTTACATTACGAAATTCCAGCACACGGATCACACACCTTATTTGTTCAACCCTCTGCTCTCGGAGACCTTTTTGAGATTGTTCGTTGATGATAGATCATAGGCCAAAGTTACACACGTGACGTTGACAATGCCATGGGGCAACCAAGAATGTGCGTTTACATTGTTGCCAATGCCGCGCATATCCCGAACTCGCTGGGAGCGTCAGATGGAAAGTCAATATCAGAGAGCATGTTGAAGAGATCGATCTAGGCTTAAGGCTAAGTAAACTTCTGCTTTATTACCAAGACTCAAGGTCAAATCACAGCGTGCATTCATTTCTCTCTTGCAAGACTTATCAAACGTCTTCCACGGCTTCAAACCTTCGGGTGCATCCTACAAGATCACTTCAAGTCACTTCAACTGGTTATTCCTTCTTTATTGCTACTTTATCCGGGCTGGCCAACTTGATGGGGAAAACACGTCATTCCTCGATGCCTTTAAATCTACGGCTCCGCGCTCGGACCGAGATGATAGGCACTGACCTTCCACGCCGTCATCATTTCCTCCGACAACCAAACGGCGGCCTGCATCTTCTCCATACTTCCAAACCACTTCAATCGCTTCGCCCGGCACCAAAGATGGACATTCCACTTTTGCCCCTCAATGATGGCAACCAGATACCGATGGTGAGCTCCGTGTAGGCAGAACACCAGCGTATGATCAACACTAAAGAGCATCTCTAGCTTGCCTTGGGCACCGGAACGGCCTGGTTCAAGGAAGCTGGAGACACGAACTTTAGCTAAAGCCTCGTGGACCTGATCAAAACGGCTATTGACAAAGGGTTCTACCATCTCGACTGCGCTGAAATGTACGGGAACGAAGAGGAAGTCGGCCGCGCCATTCAAGAATCTGGCATCCCGCGTGAAAAGCTCTTCATCACCAATAAGGTCTCCCAAGGCACCGGCAATATCCGTGCGGCGATTGAAGAGAGTCTGAAGAAAATGCAGATCGGCTATTTCGACCTGTGTGTTATTCTACCTGATAGCAAGCTTCCCTCCTACATCTACAGGTACCCCACCTTTTGGGTGCCTAACCACCAAAAACTCCCACCCGTTTGACTAGCTATCAGACAAAACGACTACGATTTTTTCATTTACGGTCCCATCTGGGGACCCTGGAGAGATGGAAACATCTGCAAACCCTCCAGATAACCAGAACAGAACGAAACCCGTCGCCCCCGGACCAGCGACAGCCTTCCAACCACCGAAGGAGGTGACCCCCTCAGGCCCAAAAACGGGAGAGGTTACGGTCCTCCCCTTCACCCCCAAGAAGAAAAGACGCTTCGGAGAAGCCCTCGGCGCGGACAAAATGCCCTCGCCCAGTTTCAACAGAGCAAGACCGAGCGCAGCGGCGACGGCGACCGCGGCGCAGACAGCCTCGAGAGGCCTCATCGCCTCCATCTTCAGCGGTGCAAAGGAAGCCACCGACCCAAACAAAGAGGGGAAATCCCTCACCAGGAACAAAATCATGAACCAAATCAACGAAATCAACGCACAACAGCGGGCCAGACAAGACGTGGTATTGAACATAGCTATGGCTATCGACTCCTGCCTGGCGCAATACACCTCCCAGCTCTCCTCAGCGGTGGCAGAACAAGTCCGCTCATGCCTGAACACCGCTCTCGAAAACTTCGTCGCCTCCCACATCAACCCTGAGGGGAGGCCCAAAGACCCTGAGAAATTGGGCAGCAAAGAAAGAGCTGCCCAACCAACTAAGACAACGTCAGCCAACACATCTCACAACAAGAAGGACAAATCAGACGCCGCCAGGACCCCCACTACAGCGGGAGCTCCCGCGTCCACTGGAAAAGCGGGCCAGAAGGACCCCAGGGTCACGTGGGCACAGATCGCGTCACGAGAAAACACTCACAACAAAAACCCTCAGAAGGGAATCGACAACCCAAAGCATTCCTCCATAGGCGGCAGAGGGCCGGCCCCCGCTACCAACGGAAAGAACACAGACAAAACCAACAAACCTAAGGAAAGCCCCGATGACCGCATCTTCATCCGAGTCCCCCCAGACCACGCATGGAGAAAGCTGTCGGCCATCGGGGCTAGACAAGAACTGATCAGGATCTCGAAGCTCACAAACGAGGATATCACTCACTTCCAAGAGGTCCGATCAGGCTTTGCCCTCAGAGGCAAGACTCAAGACATCAAAAACAAAATCATCGCGCTCCAGCCGGTGGCAGAGAACGACGGTCTAAAAATTGAAGAAGCATGCTCGTGGAAGGTTTTTCTCGTACGCGGCGTGTCGAAGACGTACACCGACATGAGCGGGACCCACCCCACAGACGCGCTAATCCCGGAGGAGGCACGCGCCAGGGCAGGGGCCAAGAGCCTACCCGTCTCCTGCCGCAAAGCCAACTTCGGAGAATCCCTCGACACGTGTAGCTACTTCATCTCTTTTAATGAGGACGTCAAACCCGGCTTCAAACTTTTCAGCAGCTCCCTCCCGGCGGAAATCCGGGTCCAGCCCCCTCGGGTCACCCAGTGCCTGCGGTGCTTTGGATTCCACAACCCACGGAATTGCACCAGGACTGAAAGGTGCCACAAATGCGGCAAACCGTCTTTCAGACACAATGACACCACGGCTAACTGCTCGTCCCCGCCTCAGTGTGCCAACTGCAACGGCCCTCACACGGCGGACTCCCTGAAGTGCCCCGCCAGACCGGTCGTCAGGAACGGGGAAAAAGTACAGACAACCAAAGCCCAACTCCAGGCAATCCGGGAATTGGGCCAGCAGGAATACAACAAAGCCAACCCACCCAAACCCAAACCCGCCCCCGCCCCGGCCCCCAATGTCGAGAAAACGTCTAACCCGGAGACCCGAACGGGCCCCCGCATAAGGCTGCCAATCTCCAGCTCGGCTCCACCCTTCCCCCCTCAGGCTCCGGCCAAAAAGGTCATCGTTGAAGTCGACTCGGACGAGGAAGATCCCCACGAGGGAACCTCCCCCGCCAGGTCGGCAGTCCACGTGGCCGGCCCGGACGACGAAGAGGAAGAAGCCGAAGGTGACGAAAACATGCTTGACGCCCCCCCTAGAACTGACGGACCTCTCGACGCGAGCCTATGAACGACAGGCCCCGTCGCAGCCGCCGAAGAAACACTGGCCTCAAAATCTTCCAAGCCAACGTCGGGAGGAGCGGTCCACACCAGGACATCGCCCTATCGCTGGCATGGGAAGGTGGCTACGACATTGTGCTGATCCAGGAACCCTACGCCCAATGGGACAGGGTATCGAACAGAAGGCAAACCAAGAATCACCCTGGATATCAAGCATACAACCCCCTGAACAGTTGGAGGGACGCCAGACCCTCAGTTCTCACATTCGTTAGAATCTCTCCGAACCTCCCCAGCAAACAACTCTCTCCCCCAGGCCTGGAGGACGGATGCGTATGCTGGATAGAGGTATGCGGTTACACCATCGTCAACGTCTACCGAAGGGCTTCGGCAGACTCAGCCACAGAGACCCTCACTAAATGGGGCCCTCCCCCCCCCCGCTCAATCATCGCAGGCGACTTCAACGCCTCACACCAACTTTGGGAACCGGGCAGGGGCGCGGACCCAGCAGGCAACAAAATCGCGGAATGGGCGGAGAAGCACGATCTCCTCCCAGCTCTAATGGACACGCCCACCCGACACTCGGGAAAGTGCATCGACCTGGTCTTCACAAACTGCCCTGCGTCAACCAGGGTCGAACACTCCCTCAACACAGGGTCGGACCACTACACAGTGATCACGAACCTGCCCGAGCCCCTCAGGACAACCCCGGGGGCAGGGAAAAAATACGTCCCGATGGAATGCTGGGAAGACTTCGGCCAACTCATGCGCTCCTTCGCCTGGACCCTCCCCACGGTCGATCTGACCACGCCGTCAGAAACCAACCTGGACGAGTGCGCCAGGGCCCTGCAGGACCTCTTCAAACAAGTCATAGAGGCGGCCGGTAAGACCAGGCACCAGAACGGCCACAGCGCACCGTGGTGGTCGGAGAAATGCAAAGCAGCCCACAGGGCCTACAAAGAAGCGGCAGACGGCTCCCCTGCCCATGAAGGAGCCCGCAAGACCCTCAGAGACTCCATACGCCGCAGCAAGCGAGCTCACTGGGACGAGATCATAGCGGAAGCCAGCGCCACTAGGAACATTTGGTCAGTGGCCAAGTGGCGCAAGGCGACGGACCGCTTTCAACCGCCCCCCCTGATAGACGGGGACAAAAGCATCTCAGACCCCACGGAGAGAGCGACTTTCCTCAGAGACAAACTTCTCAAGCGAAAGACAACAGAGGAGGACATCTCAGACCCATGGGAAGAGGACTTTCCCGTCAACAAGAACATCCACTGGGACCAAACAGTGTCGGAGCCGGAGGCCAAGAAAGCTACAACGGGGTCAGGAAACACCGCGCCCGGCGCGGACGGCATATCAGTCGCCCTTCTACAGCTCGCCTGGCCCGCCATCGGCGAGTACGTAACCAACCTCTTCCGCGGATGCCTGATGATAGGATACCACCCACTCCCCTTCCGGAGCGCGGAGATCACCATCATCCCCAAACCTGGGAAGCCGGAGAAGGCGTACACTACGCACAAAGGCTATAGACCCATCTCCTTGCTCTCCTGTATAGGCAAAGGCCTCGAGAGACTCCTAGCTAGAAGAGTCTCCCTCCTAGCGATGGAACACAAAATACTGCCAGAACAATATTTCGGGGCTCTCCCAAAAAGGTCCGCGACAGACCTGGTCGCCTGCTTGCTACACGACGCCGAAGTCGCCCTGGCCCAGGGTCTCGTCGTCTCCCTCCTTACACTCGATATCTCCGGCGCGTTCGACATCGTCATGCGCAACCGCCTGGTGTACAGACTCAGGGAACAAGGGTGGCCCCCCCTCTTTGTGAAATGGGTCGACTCCTTCATGAGTGACCGCAAGGCTCTTGTTCGAAACGGCTACGGGACCACCCTCCCGGAGACGGAGCTGGAATGCGGAGCCCCACAGGGGTCCCCCATCTCCCCCATCGTCTCCATGCTCTATTTTTCCCCCAGCCTGAAGCTCAATGACCCCAACACCCGCTTCGGGTACGCGGACGACATTGGCATCATGGCAGTGGGGGCCGACACCAAAGAAACCGCCCAGAAGCTCCAGTGGGAATTGGAAGACACTCTAAACTGGGGTGACAGGAACGCGGTCTCCTTCGACCCGGACAAGGCCGAACTCATACACTTCTACAGGACCAGAACCCAAGCACACGACGAGGGAGTGGACTTCAGAGGAAAGATCATAGCCCCCCAGGACTCGGTCCGGTGGTTAGGGATACACCTGGACTCGCGGCTCTCCTTCAAAAAACACCTCGGGATCATGAAGGGAAAAGCCCTCAAAGCGGCCAATTTCCTAAGATCTCTGAACAAGACACAAAAAGGATCCCCGCCAGACGCGGTGGCCATGGCAGCCAAGGCCTGCGTCGCCCCTGTAGCCCTATACGGGACGGAGGCCTTTTGGCCCGGCGAGAGCAGACAGAGCGCGACGAACCCGAACAGACAAGTGGGAACAGGCTCGACGGGACTAACCGCGATCCTGGAACCCCCATTCAAAGCAGCAGCCAGAGCAGTCGTCCCCGTGTGGAAGACGACTAACCTCTCCGTCATACACAGAGAATCGGGAGTCCCCCCGGCGTCAGTATGGGTGGCACAGGCCAGACTCCGCACAGCGGCTCGCTTCGCGGGTCTGGACAGGAACCACCCGATCAGCAGACGCATCGACAAGAAACTCCCCCCCAGGGTTCCCCCCACCCGACTGCAACGCACCGCAGCCCTAGTAGGGAAAACAGTCCGACCCTCCCTGTTCGCCAAGAACAACGGAGCGGTCCGAGCAGGCCCGGACTTCAGAGGCCTACCGAAGTCAGAGGCAGCGGAGAAACACCTAGAACTACTCGACGGCCTCCCCAGGTCCACCCTCCTTGCTTACTCGGACGGGTCACAGGACAAACAAGGCAACACCGGCTGGGGAGCCGTTACATACCATGACTTCAAGAGAACCACGGCATGCGGCCCCCTCGCCAACGCGGAGGTCTACGACGCCGAGGCGGTGGGCGCCTTCGAAGCTATGAAGCTAGCCAGGACGCGCGCCCTTGCAAACCCGGACATCCGAGAGATTCTGCTTTTCCTGGACAACTCAGCGGTGGTGGATGGAATACTAGGGCCAACTCCCGCCTCATCCCAAGGAGCCTACATGGGGCTACGCCAAATCGCCCAGAAACTACTCCCACGGGTTACCACGAGGGTGGCCTGGGTCCCAGGCCACAAAGACGTACTAGGAAACGAAGAAGCCGACCGACTGGCAAAGGAGGGTTCAGAACTCCCTTGCCTCTCGAGAAACTGCTCCACCATCACCTTTATCAAAAGGTGGGTGAAAAAGAAACGCAGGGAAATACAGGACGCCGACTGGGAGAGCAACTACCCAGAGTCCTACAAGGCCGGCGGATGGGGCCTTTATAAAGCCCCCTCTATGCCCCCTGAACTACATCTCCCACGCCCGATCCTACATAGGCTGCTAGCCGAAAGGTCTGGACACGGGGACTTTACAGAATACCACGAGAGATTCGGACACGACGCCAGGCCCACCTGCAAATGCGGGGAACCAAGGACACAAGGACACTTCGTAAAGTGCCGCATGGTAGCCCCCTTCCTCCCCGACGTACCGGAGAGGGAGGCGCGCTTCGGAACCACCCATATCCAATACCTCCTCGGTGACGGAGGGTATAAGGACTTTCAGAAACTAGTGGAGGACACAAGCCCATACGGCCCCCCCCCTACAGAAACAGACACGTAAAACAGATTGACACATCCCCTTTTTCCTTTGTCACATTGAAACGTAGCGAACGCCCGATCTGAACTCGGCGGCTCCTACCGTCCTAGTGCCCAGATGAGGACTTATGTAACTAGATTACTTAGTGGACGTTAATAATAAAACAAACAAACAAACAAACAAACAAACCAGTCCCCCCAGAGCGATCTTCACGATGCCGACAACTGCTACAACTCCAACATTGGATGCGGAACTTTCGATGCACCCACTTGCTGCGGTATCTGCGGATGCAATTGTCCTGTAAGAATAACCTTAATTAAAAGAATAATGCAACGCTGACAATTCCTCCTATTCTAGTAAGACATATCGCTCGGACTTGAACCCGAGAGGGAGAATTCCGATGGAAGACAAATGTTCAGTTGATAGATCTACTGATGAGTGCTGAGAATGAATGTGCATATTTAGTGAGATGACTACTCCGTACACTGAATATAAACCTCATGTGGTTCTTGAAAAGAGATATTTGCCCGTGGTCCCTCATATCTGAGACTTGTTAAGCTATTAAGTAAGCGTCTGTAGACTTTGAACTAGATGACACTAAATAATGCCAACACCAGAGATTGATGTAAACTCATAAGAACACTTAGGCGAGATATACAATATATTATCTGCTCTTCAGCCAACGTCTTTTAACGCTTCGTTGGGGAATCTGGGGGACGTGACTTATTCTCGATTGCAAATCCCCCGCAGTTAGGCGATTGTCATCATATGCCGGCTGATAATTTCGGCGTTACCTCAATTTAGCTCATGGTAACCCATGTAAACGAGTTGTCGGAAGTCGGTCAGGATCATCGGAGCCGATTGTGTGAAGTGCGTAGGCGTATGTCCCAGTCTATGGAGACGAATATTGGACCCCCATTGTCCCCCTCTCCCCAACCTCCGTGGTGATAACTGCAGTCTACAAATTAAATTAAAAACCTCAAAGTTGTTTATTCATGCCTGAAACTATCTTTTTCTGACACCCTCTTTCAATCAAGGCATGGACTTTTCCGTTGATGAAACCCCAGTTAAGAAGCAACAAAGCACAACTAACAAGCGGTTGCCCACTTTGAGCCATCTGCCGACGTGACTGGAGGGCTTGAATTGTTCCGATACCGCCTCGGCTAATTTTGAAGTTGCTGCCAAGGTTTTTAGTACCGGAAGATCTCCAAATGAAGAATGAGCTCGGTTAGTTGCTATCCACCAACATGCAAAGAAAACATGTTGATCTTATTCGAGCTTCGCGAAGGACACTTGTACCTGGGCGAAGGATTTGAGCGGTGCGCCTTTTACTGTGGCTCCACACAAGCTTAATTTTCGGAGTGTTGAATTCGTTTCTAAAAATACACCTGGAGGCAAATGACTCAAACCAGACCCGTTGGCTTACCCTGGGATCAGATCATCACAAAAACCATTTGTCTATCTGGTGCCATTATACTATGAATCAAGTTTCTTTCCTATCGTTTACATTAAGGAGAGCTCGTTGTCGTAAAGAATAACTTCTTTAATTATTATCTATAGTTATTTGATGCTATTCTATTTGTAAAGGTATGCTAAGGATCCGCGTTGTTTAATAATCCGTGCTCTGTGCAATGGACTTGCCTTTTTCTGCCGTTTCATTGAGCATCTTAATTTTCGCCTCCAGCATGGAGTAACAGTCTGATCCTAGAGGAAATCGAAGTTGATCCTCTAGGCCAGCGGCCATTCCTGTTCCAGTCGCGATCTCATACAGGCGTTGGATGCCAAGCTCCGCATTGCCCGGCTGCTTTCCATGCATTCCAGTGAGCATCCCCCCCAAATCCGCATATCCTTCCAGGTGGCGGCTCACATTCTGGCCTTGGGAGATAGATTTCAAGAAGTCGGTTCGGAAAACGCCAGGCTCAACAATGTGAACGCGAATGCCAAAAGGTTTCAGCTCTATTGCCAGGGACTCGCTCAGACCCTCAACCGCGAATTTGGAAGCTGAATAAAGCGGGGCTCCTTGAGGGCCGAGAATGCCCACGCCGCTAGAAAGTTGTACAATGACGCCGGACTTTTGTTTTCTCATGTGTGGGATAACCGCTCTTGTGAAGTTGAGCACGCCGAAGAAGTTGACATCAATTTGGTAACGAGCTTCTTCATCGGAAACTTCCTCAACGGCGCCGAAATGTCCAAAACCTGCATTGTTTACAAGTACATCGATTCTTCCGTGTTTGGCAGCGGCAGCGTTGACTAGCGCGGTAATGTTGGCAGCTGGTGCGGTGACTTCTGTTTCTACCAAGTCGGCATTGGGGTTCTTTGTGAGAGACTCGGGAAACTTTGAGAGGCTTCGGGCAGTTGCCACGACTGTATCGCCCTTGGAAAGAGCTAGATTGGCTAAGGTAAGACCGAAACCGGCATTTGCTCCAGTGATGAACCATACAAGAGGAGCCATGGTGATGTAAGTGTTTTTTGTGGATTTGAGATGAAGATAAAAATTGGTGTAAGCTGGGGGCTTTTATTGATGAGACTGAATTGGTGTTTTTTTTCCCTAACGAAATAGACTTCTTGACACTTATATAGACAACTTGACAACTAAATCTAGCATCTTCTTTTACTGTTTCCCGACAATAGCTACAGATTCCGCGATGATTCGGGGCATCAGTCAGCAACTCCGCGCTAGTCTCCGCGCTGCCCATCCAAAAATCCGACAATTGTGCATTTTCCCGCTATATAGCGGCCGCGTCGCGGAAAGCAATGAGCAAACCTGGAGCTCGAATTGACAGTTTCTGCATACGCCATTGCGACAAGACACAATGGACCTGGAAAAGAATACAAGCAAGCGCTGCCGAGGGCGCACCGTCACGGCATGTCTCGAGTGCCGGAAGATGAAGAAGAAATGCGACCGGCAGTGGCCGTGTAACCACTGCAGTAGCCGCAAAATGGCACACAAATGCCAATTCTCACAGTCAACTCAAAGGCATCAGAAGTGAGTCATTGAAGCAACTGGTGTACGGAATCTCATCTGACTAGCCAGAGTCAGGCCAAATGAAGCGCGTATGAGCGCTGCAAAGGAGACACCTTCAACTGCGTCTTCGTCATCTGTCTCTGGGTCGCAAGATGATGCCACTCAAGTCACAAACTCGGCGTCTGCTATGCACATGCTGGGCTACATGTATGAGAAAAACGACGCAATTTTCGGCAGTATAACTGTAAGGCAACTGATAAAGGATCCCTATTGCGGTATGGACCTCTTGTAGTAGGGATGACGGCTGACCATTGACTCATTGATTCAGCGCAATGCTGAATACACAGATTCGTCAGAGGCTCTGCCAGATCCAATTCTCAAAGCCTCCCGCACCGTGCCCCCACGGCCATATACGGACATTCTCGTCAAAAACTTTTTCGACAATGTCAACTATCACTACGGGATTTTGCATCAGCCGTCTTTCATGGTCATCTATGTCGACTGGTGGTGTCACCGTCGCGAAGCCCAGGGCTTGCGCAATACCTCAACTATTGCGTTGACTTGTCTGATACTCCGTATTTGTGCCAACTCTACACAATTTCTTCCACCCCAAACGTCATCTCAGCTGGAGTTAGACCTGGGAGAGTCTGTTCAAAACCTTAGCAAGTCTTATCACGATGCCGCACAGATCATTAGCGGCTTTCTATCTCCAGGTGCTGGCGGTCTCGTCAATGCACAACAGCTTTTTCTTGCCGCGACGTGGCATAAAGGGGAGGCCGATTTTGTCAGATCTTGGCACGAGCTAGGTGCCGCAGTGAGACAGGCTCAAGAAATCGGTATAGTTCTCCCGTGATAGAACGGCTGCAGAGCCTAGTCAGCTAATCTTGAGCGTCTCAAGGTATCCACATGGATGTGCGTACCGATAAGATGAGTGAATTTGATCTGGAGATTCGACGAAGGTTATGGTGTGCCCTGTACACATGGGATAAGTATGCGCCATTGCACGCCAAGCCTTTGTTGTCTTGCATGTAGCTGACGATATTCACACTAGATACATGACGGCAAGTTTTAACCGCCCTCCTATGATACAATCAGATGCCCCGGTATCGCTGCCGAATCCAGCCTTGGATCAGTCCAACACTCCCGATGTCCCATCGCATATTGTTTCCAAAATACTCGAGAGTCAGCTTGCAAGGCAACTGAGTGAAGGTGAACATCTAGACAAGACAAACCTACAGAGCAAAGTTGCCTTTGTTGAATCCTGGATGTCTTCTTTGCCAGCGGTATTTAGCGTCGTCAATCCAGATAGGCGATGGGATGCAGACTATCCATATGTACCCTTTCAACGCCTACAGCTGCACTGCGTGGGCTACATGACACAAGCTATAATTTTGAGGTCCATCCTTGTTTCATCCGAGATGTTCTCAGTGGAACGCACCGAAGCAGAGATTTCTTCGGAAACCATGGCTCTATTGCATCAGATTGTTGATATAAGCTTGAAAGCCATGTCTGTCAGCAGAGACACTTTTGATCTTTGCTTTCCACAACAAGCAAAATATTACATGGTCGCATTCTGTCCCTTTGACAATGCAGCACTCTTGTGCTCTTTGTTAATACACGATATTGGCGGTACAATGGTCCCCAGGAGGACAGAAGTCGTTCATGCGGTTGGCCAGGCATTGCACATTGCTCACCGTCTGCGCGGCTTCACCAAGATGGGCGACGCAACATGGAGCATCCTCTCCACGCTGAAAAATCGCATTAATTTGTACCCTTTGGAACGAGAATTGATTGAAGAGACGGAGAGCACTGGATTCTACATTGCTAAAGACGATGTTGGACTGGGTGATGATTCGCTTCACTCTTCCAAATTGAGTGAACATTTTCCGTCTATGTCGGACGAGGATTTACAATTTATGGAAAACACTTTGGCAGCAGATAGTACCGGATTCTTAGAAATGGACTTGGGTATTTTGGATGGCGTTTGGAACTGGGACAGAGTGGGATTTTAATCATCTTCATGTGCCGAATCTCTTCTCAGATGTTCTTCGTATACAGTACTTCAACGTTTGTTAGTTTAATGGAATCAAGTATACGATAATGGCGGGGAAAGATTCTTACTACTAGCTCACGGTTATGGGCGCGCAATAGTATAAGTAGAAATGGAAAGTATTGCTCAGCATGATCCGCACAGCTCCTAGGATACAAGCCAATATAGTATTAGCTCTCAAATCCTAAAGACACGATATTTACCTCAGCTGAATTATTATTATTATCGCCACTGGGACTATACACTGCGGAGTATCCTTTGCCTTGTTAATGTGCGTGATTAAAGGCAGGGGCAAATCCTTTACTGAATAATCACTGAATAAGCCATCGCAGCTTTATTGGCACCCTTATCCTAATTATAGACGTGGTTAACCTCTCCAAATTTGTTGATGGCGGTCAGTTTCGTTGGATTTAACCTGATTAAGATTAGGCCAGATCGAGTTACGCGTAAAAACACATTGCTATCTCAACATCATGTCCAACTACGCCATTTATAAGGTGTCCCAAGAGCATCCTTCAAATTTCACTGTGTTAGATACTAGAAGAATTGGGTATATAGATTATGTGGTCATGTGAACCGACTTAACGTTGTAACGTAGTCGAGCATACATTGAAAAGAACTCTGGCTAGCGTAACAGTTTGTCTTTGAGGGATTTGGTTCCTGGCCATCTTCCAGCTCCTTCTCGTCATGGGTGCCTTCAGCTGATAAGCACTAGTTGTTTTCAGGTTTCACTGTCAACCATTCTCCCGAGAATCTCCCAAAATATTTGATCGATCTTGGCTTAATCCACATTGGTTCGGTTGCCTCTATATACGGAGTGTAGTACGCCTTGGTGAGTTGGACCTACAAGTATCAATGATGGTTAGTTTCAGAAACATCACAGGTTCTACTTGAACTAGCTTACCTCTTTGAACCACTGAACATCTTTGCTCCAGTTTTCGACAAATCGAAAAACGCCGGGTTCTTCGAGCGACTGGAAAACCTCAAAGTAAGTACACTCTGGTTCTGCAGCAACAATGTCGTAGATTCTTCGAAAGGCGGCAAGGAAGGCACTGGTATTGGCCGGGTCAATTGTTATAGTGACATGAACACTGATGCCTGAAGAGCGAACGTGTGGTGATGCCATTGTGACAACTCTGTGTAATATCAAGTATTCTTCTTATGCAGCAAATGGTAATCCAAGGTCGTTGGCTGGGAAAAGGATATATATCTCATGTAGGCAAATAATACTAGTTGAGCCTCTGGCGGCATTGTTTTATAAATAAATCTGCTCGATAAATAATGGGTAACCATGGCAAGGTAATTTGTCAAAGACAATCAGGCCAGACTGATTTATAATTACCCGCAACAACCGCAATATCCGTCTCATTTACAAGGCTGACAATTAAGCTGTCGGGTTAAGGTTAGAGTCGGGCGTAGGTGAATTAATAATGAATCACTGCAGAATGAAACACTAGTATTAAAGTAGTAAGCCGAATGACGAAGGATTTGACTATAGACGAGAGGTGTATCGAATCTGCAAGTGCATTCCCACAACACAGTCTCGAGGCGTAAGCTTTGCTAATACGCATTACACTAGCTCTTTGAGTAAGCTAGACTTTTCTAGACTCATGGTTGCAGAAAGAAAACACCTGGCTGATGCGCGCATACTGAAGGCACCAAAACCAGTGTGCGATACATGCTAAAAATTCCAAAGTAGTCTGGTGTATTCTTTCCCCTCACCCTTGATTGTGTATGATGCATGAAGAGGGTGCGCAAATTCCAAATGTGAAGCCACTACGGGGACAAGAGTCTTTGGATGGATGAGGTTCCAGAAAAGATACAAAAAGAATAGCTTTCGCTGCCCCAATGAAACTCTACTCTGAATCCTACATTTGCAGTATCTAATATCTATCTATACACCTCATACAATCTGTCTGCTGATTTTACCCCATTACAATGTCTACCATACTTCTTACTGGGGCAAACTCATTTGTTGGCTCGCACATCATCGACGCTCTGATCAAGCTCAACCACAAGGTGGTGGGAACGGTCCGGTCAGCGGCAGCTGCTAATGGCATTTACTCCCTTCACCCCGAATGGAAGGACTCTCTTGAAATAGTTGTTGTTGAGGACATCACAAACGGAAGTGCTTGGGATGAATTGTTCAAAAAGAACAAATTTGACCATGTAAGTTCACCATAAGATATCCTTCTTCTAAGGGGGCTAACACTCTTGATAGGTTGTGCATGTCGCTGCGCCTCTTTTGGACAATCCGGATAATACCGACTACGATCAGCATTTCCTAAATCCCAGTGTTGAAGGGTAAGATGATTTGTCTAGTAAACGATAACCGGTACGCAGCTAATCCTTGCACAAATAGCAACCTAGCGATTCTTCGCTCTGCGCAAGCAAATGCACCAACTCTGAAGTCGGTTGTCGTCACTGGCTCTATCAATGCCTGCACCACAGGTTCGCCTGAAGAGGTATCTGGTGGCCCGCTCACCAACTCCACTTGGCTCCCAATCTCTAAGGAAGCAGCACGCGAGGCCCAGAATGCCTACATCTCTTACTGCTCGGGAAAGAAAGAGGGAGAGCTTGCTATCTGGGATTTTGTCAAGACAAACTCTCCTCAATTTTCTGTCACCGTCTTTCTGCCCGCGCTCATCTTTGGACCTCCGATAGAGCCAGTAAAGCAAGGCGCGAAGGGTCTGCACTACAGCGCCAAAATTATATACAGCTTCTTTAATGGTTCATACACGATAATTCCGCCTACAACTTTCCCGAGTTACGTCGATGTTCGTGACTTGGCTGAGGCACATGTAAAAGCGCTCACGGAACCCAAGGTTGCTAATAAGAGACTCACCATTGGTGGCCAATCCATGACATATACAGCGATCGTGCACTCCCTTGCCAAAGTGCCTGAACTTGAGGGCCGTTTGCCTGCCGACAGTGGAGAGGACGAACAAGTGGTTCCTGCAACAATTATTGCGGACGAGGCAACTGAGGCGCTCAATTTGACATTTAGAAGCCTTGATGAGACGATGGCTGACACGGCCAAGAGAATCTTGGAATTGGAGAAGTTAGTCTAAAGTGCAGTTTAGTTTATGAGAAGACGTATTTGGCTGATAACCTATCTGGACCAACTGTTTCTGTGCTAATTATGCTTGAACTTACTGTTTAGATTGCTAAGACAGCGACGGTTATAACATTTGTGGGTGAAGTTAGTTGAAATGTATACTGAACCATTGCTCTCACTGCTTCTGTACGAGTCACGTGCAAGTTACCACCACGAGGAATCGAGGGACATGCGACTATGAAAGCAGAAGTCAGCAAAGGGCTGTTGGTTGCCGATGTACTGGGCCACGTACCTTTCCCCATACTACGTCCTCAAAAGGCATAGCGAAACAGCTGGCATTCCATGGGCACAGCGGCGACTGTCTTTTGGCCTGCATGCCACTGGCTAACGCCGATAGACCAATCATCTCTCAACTATGATTATCATCACTTTCGATTGAATGACGATACTTTACAATATTTTTACAAGACAAGACAAACTAACAGCTGGAGATGGAAATACTCGGGGGAACCCCGTGAGCCGTGCCGACGTTTGGTGGGGCATCTTCCGGAAAGTCTTCCAAAATAGGAAATCGTCTCAAGGTCATGGCCCGAGCCATGGCTTCATTTACCTGGAGAAATCCGGCGGCCAACGACAACTTGGAATGTCAGGCTTCCAGATCGATCAAAAACTATGGCATTAAGGCGTCTATGTCCGAGACTCACGGATTTTATCAATGGCTGATGAAAGGTGAGGCCTGCGTCAGTTGTAAGGATATTCGTTTGGGGGTGTTATATAAAGCCTGGTTGTCCCTGACAGGTTCCAAGTTCTCAAACCATCTCAAACCACCAGTCTCATCCGCAAACATATTCAAGATCATCTGAGAGTGTTTTCAAGGGCATTATATACCTTCAAAAAATGGCAGCTACATACACCACACCCAAGAGGCCTCTCACATGGCTCATCACTGGATCTTCGTCTGGCTTCGGATTGGCACTGGCCCGTATCGTCCAGGCAAACGGCCACAATCTGATTGCAACATCACGCAAGCCATCAGCTACACCTCACCTCGTTGCCGAGGTTGAAGGCAAAGGTGGCCAATGGATTCAATTGGACGTCAATGACGTTGACTGCGATAAAGTAATTGAAGAGCTTGAGAGTCGAGGGCAGGCGGTTGATGTCCTCGTGAATAACGCAGGGTATTGCATTTACAATCCTGTAGAAGCCTTCACCGATGGCGAAAACCGCGCGCTGATGGAAACGTTATACTTTGGCCCTAGCCGTCTGATCAGGGCTGCCGTCAAACACCAACGCAAACGAAGGTTCGGAATCATCGTGAACATGAGCAGCGGTGCTGCGCTGGAGGCTAACCCTACTATGGGCCCCTATGGAGCTGGTAAAGCTGCATTGGATAGTACGTAGCTACCCTCTTATCTGTATCGAACCAATATACAAGATGAAGCACGGCTAACTAGTGTTTAGGCATGTCAAAGGCACTAGCAAAGGAGGTTGAGGCCTTTAATATCCGAGTATTGACTGTCCTTCTTGGAACTTTTAATACAGGCATGGGCGATGCGACCATACTAGGCCAAAACCCGCTCCCTGAAGACTACAAGGGATCGTTGTCGGAAAAGGTGATGGACATGATGTCTACCGGCAAATTTGCTCCAAATGGAGACAAAGACAAGGCTATGAAAGCTGTCTACGAAGTCGTTGTGGGAGAAGGCGTTGGTAAAAGCCACGAGGAAGAAAGGGCCCTTCCGCTGGGTCGGGATTTGGCAGGCAGGATTCAAGTTGTGCAGAACTACTTGTCCCATGCTATAGAGGTCTTCGGCGATGTCTGCAACAACGTGCATTTGGAAGTCTAAGTCGTTGACTTGTCCATTTGACGTTCTTCGGTCCATCAGCTTGAGAGCGGCCTTGTGGTTAGCATTTGTTAGGCAAAGAGAGAAGACTGTTGGTTTGGCTTCTACAGGTATTTCCTACTTATACTTGTATAGCCAAGCCGGTGGCTTCGGCTAGCTAGAGCTGTAGTGTCAAACTAGCCTGTTCCATTTGTTGTCATTGCTCAGCAAACGAGCACAATCCAACTACAAAGGATCAGCGCATCATGGAACAGTCTCAAGATAATGACAGATAACAAGACTAAGTTTGAAGTTATGCCCTCCATTTTAGAAAATCAACATGCTATCTTTGTAAATTCCTTTTAATGAGCCTGGCAAATGGTGCAAAACCGCGCATGACGCCTATAAAAAATAGTAGCGCAACTTGCTGGAGATAAGCAAAGTCCGTCGATCTCGCCCGATGGGATCCAAATAGCTATATAAATCCGATTGCAAGTTCGTATCAATGAATCAGAGCGTATTTCTCTCGTTCCACTATCCGCTTCAATCCAAAAGTCGGTATACTGAGCGGCCGCTCCAGTGTCTCTTTTCGCCTATACAGAGTCCGCTTCCACCCGCTCCTCGTGCGATTGAATGGATGGAAGCTACTTTCCTTAACAGAAGCAGAAAAGTGATAAATCATCATACGTAAAACATTCGTGTATATAAATAGCAGCTTTTACCACGATGAATAAAACAGATCGTTTCAAACCAATAAACCAATATCCAGGCTTACTGCGTGAATCAAACAAACAAAATTCTAACCGACAATGGCACCTCTTGTATGGCTCGTCACTGGTTGTTCTTCTGGCTTTGGTCGAAGTTTTGTTACCCAAATCTTGGCACGGGGCGACCGTGTTATTGCGACAGCTCGAAAACTTGACAGTATTCGAGACTTGGAGAGTGCCGGGGCCAAGACATTGCAACTTGATGTGACAGACGACCAGCAAAACTTGAACAAGATCGCAGAGCAGGCCATTACCATCTACGGCACAGTAGATGTGCTCGTCAACAATGCTGGTTCTTCCTCCGGCGCGTCTTGGGAAGAGGCAAGGTAGAATGATGTGTCTAGTTTAATACTCGTGGCTGAGTGTGGTGCTAATATTCTACAGCGTGGAAGAAGTGCGACAACAGTTTGAAACAAATGTATTTGGAGTTTTCAAAGTTACCAAGGCATTTTTGCCCTATTTCAGAGAGCGAAAGGATGGCAAAATAATATTCATTAGCTCTCTGGTTGCCTGGGTTGGACACCCATTTGGCGGCGCATACTCAGGCTCCAAGTTTGCCCTCGAAGGTATGATGACTTTCATTATCTTTATTGTTTTTTTTTTTTTTACATATATCTAATATCAATCTTCAGGTCTTGTTGAGAGTCTTTGGAGAGAGACTTCCCCTCTAGGTATCAAGACAATGCTTGTTGAACCGGGACTATTCCGAACGTCGCTCGGAACCAACGCCAAATATCACGAAGCACAAATCGCGGAATACAAACCGGCCTCACAAGCTCTGTTGAGTATGCTTGCTGCGCTCGGAGGAAAGGAGCCAGGTGACCCAGAAAGGGGAGTATCGCTCATTTTGGACTTTGTTCGTGGCGAGGGTTCTGCGGCTGGTCGTGAGATGCCATTTAGGTTGCCGTTGGGGACTGATGCATATCAAGGAATAACCGGGAAGTGTGAAGAAACATTGAACTCACTTAAAGAGCACAAAGACCTTATCTGCAGCACAGACTTTCCGCAGTAGAGGAGAGAATGCATTGATCAGGGGTAGGCATTTGTGGATGCACACTCAGCGACCAATTAGGTCAACTGTGAAGTTATCAAAAGAGGTCCAGATATATTTAGGTTGAGTCAATATAAACGCAAATTGCGGACTGCAAAAGAAGAGATCTGGGTGATCTAGAAAAGAGAGTATTGATTATTGTGTACTTTATTCATGGTGAGGGTTCTGCAACTGACTGTGAGACGCTGTGTTATCCATAGCAGATAATAGACAACTAACAGTTGTATTTTTTATCGTTACATTTATGATCCCGGAAGGCCATTTGGTCTACCTGATAGGTAGTGATATCACTATAGCCTTAATCTGTGGCCTCCGTTTGCAAACGGTTGCTGAGGTCTACGATTTGAACACGCTTTTAAACACTGTGTTTAAGAAGAAGGAGAAAATCCAGTGACTTTGGGCACCTAGATTCTAGAACGAAGCGCCCCGTCAAAAGGTTCAAAGCGCTTAGTTCACCTAGATCATGAGAAAAGCCAAATCTTCTTACTAGTGTGTGCATGACGTTTATAGAGGATAATAATTATTGGGCAACTAACAGTTCTGTTTTTATCGCTACAAATGGCATTTCGGTTGCCATTGAGAACCGATGCATATGCGTGATGTGGCTGCATTGACCGGTCTAGACAAATGCAGCCAAACCTCAAACTACCCCATGCAAATCATGACACCCAGGGTGTGGCGATATAAACCTGGAAGTGAGTGTTTGAGAGCTGAAAATACAACTAGGCGAACTATTGAATGCTATTGAAGCCTGCAGCGGCATGGCCCGTTGCCGCGACCAATTTTGGCAACGTGCTGTACGAGTAAACCTCCTAAATCAAGTAGGTTAGTGAGCTGAAAGATGATCCCTGACTGCACGGGAGAGGACCGCTCAATAGTTTCCACTAGCGCTAGGACTATTGAGCTCGGTATGCATGGCTGTGATGCCGCTGGACTGGCCACCTTATCCTCTTTTAATATACAGATGACAGGCTTTCTAGTTCTGGTTTGGGGATATGAAATAGTAAAGGCTGAAAGTAACGGATGCGCTGTTGGATGTCCATGAGATTTTACAACAAAAAAAGAACCCAAGATACAGGAATTGGATACATCATGGCAGTTTCGACCGTCTCCATGGTCCTGACAAGATGTAAGAATATCACTTTGGCGTCGAACTTGTCTTCTAAATTGTGCCTATGCCTTACTGATAATCCTGATAAACTACATAGCGAAGCTAGCAGGTCATGTATTGACACCTCGGGAGCGCCGACTCATCAAACCTCGTACCAAGCTTCGAGTGGATGATGTGCTTCACAAAAACGAATCAATCTTCTCATCCGATGGGAATTACCGATTGATGCTTCACGAAAGAGGAGACCTAATCCTGCATACCGGTCCACAGAAAACTCAGATCGTCTGGAGGACGGGTACAACATATTTTGGGAGTTGTCGAGCGATCATTCGAGAGGATGGGAATCTCCTGTTGCTGGCTCAGGACGGAGGCATAATATGGGAGTCTAGATCGGGCGGGAGGGGTGGAACGGAAGATTCAATTTTGACCATTTCGAATGATGGCTTTCTGATCATCTCTAGCGAAGACGCAGGAGGTAAAGGTGAGATCAAAGAAATCTGGAAATCCGACCAGAAGATCAATCAAGACCGCCTCGAGCCTGGGCAAACTCTCACCGATGGGCAATCTTTGTTGTCTCCAAACGGTAGAATACAGCTAGCGTTTGCGAATGAGTGGTATGACAAGCGCTTCCCGGTACTTAAAGATTGGGATAAGGAGATATGGTCCCTGAGGGATACAAAGAGCACCACCATTATCATGCAAAACAACGGCAATCTCGTCGTCTTCAAAGATTCTGAGACTGATAGTGTGGTTTGGGAGACCGATACCGGCCAGGGCATTCCCAGCGATGCGAAGCTTATGCTTGTGGACGAAGGAGCCTTGGTAATCAAAGCAGATGGTAAAATCATCTGGTCCAGCCATCCGGACAAGGTACCCGCGGTTCCTCCGAATCCAAGGAGCGTGAGTTTTATCTCTTTGTTCCGATCTAGCTCAGATAAAAAACTGACGTGACAACAGTTTCCTACTCCTACTCCTATCGCCAGCCGCATGACTCCGGGTATGTATCTGCAATCGGGCATGAGCATGCTGTCGCAGAATGGACAATTCCAGGCTACGTTTCACGCGGATGCCGTGTGGACTATAAGACGAACGACTACCAATAAAATCGTCTGGAAATCTCCCAATTCAATTGCTGGAGGTCACACCCTTTGCCTGACCTATACAGGAAACTTGCTGCTTTTCGACGCACAAGAAAAAGTCTTGTGGACTACTAAAACAAACTGGGACAAAAGGAAAGTCCCATATAAGAGTGGATACGCGTTGATACTGGATGACGATGGCTATCTATTTCTCCAAGGACTCGGTGTTGAGAATTATGCATGGAATGGTGCTGCACACCTAAGAAACCCCTCAAAATGGTCCTCTAGTATTTGGGTACGTGCTGCATTAGTGACGATCAAGCTGGTATGCTAAAGGTAGATTCCTACTAATCCGAAATCATAGTTGCCCGCTTCTCGAGGGGAGATCGATAGACTACAGCCAGGTCAGGCACTTTCCGTGGACCAATCCATTGGTAGCTATAGGAACAAGGAACAGAAGAAGGATCTCGAGTTCGAGTTTGGTTTCACCCCTAAAGCGAACTTTTACATTCGCTCTGTCCACGATCAGAAAACCACGTATTTTTACACGGGAAGTGAAGGGCAAGAGGCGAGCCTGCTAGTCTTTTCGAACGAAGGCGCAAATATCATCGATGAGCAAGGGAAAGTTATGTGGTCCTTCAAGATTGTGGAACCAAATGGAAGATCCTATTCTGAGAGATGGCTGGATGATCCTCCGGTGATTGGCATGACGATATATGGGTGTCCTGTCATTAGATGGGCTGACCACCAATTCTGGTGTGTCTTGAATCTACCCAGTGGATCAACTCCAGAGCCATGATGGTCATAGTATGTCAGGTTGAGCAATGTGTTTTCTTACCCAGCTGGGCTGAAATCATGACAATGACGGATACACTCGATCCTCCCCCTCAATCGCTTTTATAACATATGTATGTATACGTATATACTAAGGTATATTTCATAGAAGTTCTAAGCCGAAGGCAGAAATGCCTCAATTCACAGCTACTCCACCCCCAGTGAATCGACGTCTCAAGTCTTCCCATTGATCCAATATATCAGTAGTCACTTGGGCAAAATCCACGCCTGTAGAGGCCCCTGGTACGCTCTTTTGATCTAGAATAGCTACCTTGGGAAATTTGTGCCTACCGCCATCAATTGGTTTGCAATCGAATTTCTCCGTGTTGATTTCGGGGAGATTCTCCTTCGAAATCTCCGCCTTTGGAGCCTTCAGTTTGACGCCCATGAGATGACTCTGGGTGTTCGGCTGATCCAGCATGGACCTATTCTCGTCAAACGGATTCCACAACGCTCCTGGGACGTTTTTGACTAGATGCTCGATATCCATATTGACCCTTTCTCGTTTATCCGCGACAAGTAGATCGATGGTAATGTCTAGCTCAGACTTGTTGAACCCTTGATTTATCTGCATCGGCGTCGAATTCACTCTACCCGCCACCCCTGCGACATCCTGAGAATTCTTATTCATCACCAAAGTTGAAATGGGGAAACGGAGCTCGACCTGCAACTCCAACTGAGTTCCACGCACGAACGCTGATTGCACGCTCTGCGATGCGTCGGAGGCTCCTCCTGTAGGCGAATCGATTTTGGGATCATGCCGTGTCGTAATTCTTCCCTTGAGAATTGATACGATGTGTTCGTCTCCTCCCTGATCCAGCGCAGGATTGAACAGCTTGTGAAACTTTTCCCAGTCCAATCTAGGAGACGTGCGCTTCGACGGACCGAAGTGGACAGAAAAGTCAATGAACCATACGTGAATGTGTGCCACGCCAGCCAGCGGAGGACCGTACAAGTCCACATCCGCGCTGACTTCCAACGATATCTCCTTGCTCAGAATGCCCCAGCCAATGACACTGGAGACGTAAACACTGACGCCGACACGAGCCTCAAACTGGAACGGATCGTAGTAGATTAAGAAGTCTGCGTAGGCGCTGAAACCCGCACGTGTCCGTCCGCTTCTATAGGCCAAATCGAGCCTGCCACCTCCCATACAGGCCTGCGGTGTGATGGCAAAATAGGCCTCCCCAGTGATCGATATTTCGTCATTGTAGATCCATGAGATGCCCAGTCTGGGCGGCGCAGGTGGATAGTGATCCGGGACGCGGAACGAAGGATGGTACCCGCCAAGGGAGAAAACCCAGTCCCCGTCATGTCCGGATGCGGGAAAGTAGTATGCCAATACAAAACCACCGGTGAGCTTGCAGGATTTGTGAAGAATGTAAGACCGTGGCGTTAGTGCGCCTGCAACTTTCAGTATGCCTACACTCGGATCAAACGTCGCTGCAATGGTCAGGTCTGTAAACAAGAAAGCGTTATCTTCGTCAGCGCCTTTGGGCACTCGCGCGACGGCCTCTGCAAATATTCCAAATTTGGGATTTGGTGATAGGTCGAGGACCACGACTGCCTGTATGTCAAGCATTTGAAATGCCTTGACCCCCAATCCTAACACATCTTAGTTGTGAGTTCTCAAGGTTAGTGGATGTAGAGCCTTACCTGCGGCGAGCCAGTATGAATCTTTCTTGGCAGAAAACCATCCACCAGATTCTTTGCTCGTCAGAGCCTCGAATTGTTTCATGATATCACCGGCCGCGTTTTGCTTCCCCGTGTTGATTTGTACAAACGGGAAGTCATTGACTTCGGTCTCGGATGGGAACCTGATGGACGAGTTGTATCCAAATCCGCCTACAAGGCCATTGATTTCTGCGAAGCCGAATGATATAAGCGGACCGTTTAGTTTTGCAAAGACGAAGACCGAGTTGTAGCCATCTTTCTCTTCGTATACGCCAGCCGCGAGGAACTCCCACACGCCCATACCAACGGCGAGGCCACCCATATACCTGCTGAGGCCGTGGCCGAGATCTTCGTGGACAAACATTCCGGCAAGTGTCGCAGGCGGCCTTGAGAAAGCCACTGCCATTCCGGACAGATCAAAAGAAGCCTTGATATTTGCCAACGAATCGATGCCCTTGAAGCTGCTCAGGTCTAACTTCACGGAGAACCCTATAAGATTGAAGGCCAGCGGCCCCAAAGCAACGAGCGCATCCAAAGTGATGCTGAGAGTTCCCTTGTCCTTCATCTTCAAGCTGATATTACGAATCGTGAGGCCCTTGGCCGAGCGTGTGAGGGGCGCGGACTTGGTACCACCGGCTTGATCGGCTCCTGGAAGTGCCTTCACAGCCTTGATATTGGTGCCAGCCGCGGGTGTTGCGCTGTGCCCAGCAGACTTCTGGGATTTGGCCCCGTTGAATCCGTAGTCCAGAATGCATTTTGGTGCGTTCTGCTCGTTCAATATGATCTGGAAATGACAGCCGGCAGTGAGCACCACTGTCGAACCCTCTTTTTTGGCGTGTTCTTGATAGCAAAGCTGCGGCTTATCCTTGAATGCGTGCGTATTGACCAGGATTACTTCGTCGAGAGTGATACCTTCGCTGACCCAGAGAAATTCCAAGGCATCGTAAGGCTTTGGTAGTTCATGCACAATCGGAATGTCCACTTTGGGGAAAGCGGAGAGAGACATTCGCAAAAATCTCTTTGGCTTGCTCTTGTTCGAGCCTTTCGGAAAGGCACCGCTACGCTCTTGGAGTTGTGCAAAGGTGATGGAAAAGTCTCCGAGGGTTACCTCGAAGACAAAGACGACATAATTGACGGCTGTCACCCCTTCGCCAACGCTTGCCTTGAAGCATTGGAGCTCGACCATCAACTTTTCTAGTGGAATTTGGAAGTCTTGAATAAACTCGGGGACCGACTCCATTGTTTCGACATTGGTCAAGTCGCTCAGAAGCTCTTTGATTGAGGTTTTCTTATCTTTATACTCTGGCCCTGCTGTTACGCTTGCACCAAAATGCCATTCAGAGCCAGCGTGCCAGTAGTCTAGTTTGAGCTGCACCGGGCCGATCTGCAATGCTCCGCCTATCGTGAGTTTGCTTGGCGACCCAGCCGAGTTGTATTCGTAAGTGGCACTCATTTCTGAAATCTTTATGCCAGACATGAAATTCATGATGGCATGGTTGGAGCCGTCTCGAGGTAGCATAGTGTATAAGTGTGCCACCTCAAGACCCGTTGCATCGGCTTCCAGCGTCCAGTTACTCTTTCCGTCAATAGAATTGTATAGAACCGAAACTCCAATGTTCGCATGAGCTCGGAACCCCGTCAAGTATGGCGGGGGTTCCAGGCCGACGACGGCCCGAAAGTATAGCTTCTTTTCGGCATTCTTGCCGAAGAAATGATCGTAAACAAAAAGGACTTCCTGGAGCATAAGCGGAGGCACCTCTTGATCGTTCTGTGGTGTCGACATCGAGCAGGCCAGCTTTGTACTCAGATGCAAAGAACTGATCTTCCCAACGGAAATCTCAATGCCAGCTCGGTCTATTTGATCAGGAAGACCTTTTGGAAGTTTGACCGGGTTCGTTCTGTCCATGAGATGCGGGATGGATATGTGATCCTGGAGCCCGGAGGCATCGTCGGGCTTCAAAAGTTCGTATTCGTCAAAATATGGATTCAGATCCCCACCGATCAATGGCTCTCTACCTGGATTCCATATCTCAGCTACAACCTTTGTGTTACTGGGTGTCCAGAGGAGTTGGCCGTGGAAAGAGACGTGGTTGTCAGGCTCCGCGCCTAGGGTAGAAGGAATCTCGATGTCGATCTGGAAGGCAAGCAATCCCTTTTGGCCCACCGTTATCGACACTTGACGAGGTAGAATTGAAGATCCAATGTTTTCGAGAACACTTTTCAGGTCCGAGACGCTTTTTTCGGCGGCGTTTTCCTCCCCATCCCCGTTGTTGTCTTTGAAGCGCTGCGCGATCCACTTCACGACATCAGTCACTGTGGTGCCTTTGGCAAGTCGCAAGGTGAAGGTGAATGACTCATTGCTGATGCTGGTAATGAATGTCGTTGGGTCGGGACTGAGTCCTGCTGTAACCTCTCCGACAAGGGTGAATTTCCAAGTACGGTCGAGTTTGTAGCCCTCTTCTTTCAGGCGTTGCTGTTTCTTCACTGCAGGTGGTAGACTCGAGCAGATAGCCGTCGACACTCCGATGATTCGCATCTGGCCAAACTTGATTTCTCCAACATGCTTTTTGAAGAACTCTTGCATTTTTTCGACGGCAGCTTGCTGAAGCTGTGCCTCGAGTCTTAAAATCACACGGTTGTTGAGTTGAGGGTGTATCCAGAGACCGTTTTTCTTCGGATGCTCAGGGTCTTCTGCAAACTCAAGCAATTCACCGCCCAGATCGAGTATGGGAGACAACCAGGAACTGACATTGGATTCCGGAGCAAGTGTCTTCAGAAACTCACCCATTCCCATTTTAAGCTTGTCCGAGCCGGTAAGTGCAAGGATAATGCCCTCAATGTCACGGTTGTAGCCATCACTCCTAGTTCTCTCTGGCGCACCATTGCCGAACTGTACCTTGATATCATCGCTGCGCGAAGAGAAGCGTAGACTGCGGGTTCCATTCGATAATGTGACCAATGCTTCAGCTGCAAACAGAACCTCGCTCATATTCTTGAAGAACTGAAACTCGGCCTCGGTAGCACCAAAGCTTTCCTTCAACCATTTAAGATTATTCGTGCTGGACTCAATCTGGAAAGATTTCGATGCACCTGGCTCGATCCCTTCTGTAGGCAAACCATTTGCAAAGAAGTTGTTTGCAGCCGCAGCCTTTGGATCCTCTGCGAATAGCTGGCTATCCCATTTTGAAGTGGCCTCCATCATCATGAAAGACGCGCCGCCTGGTTGGGTTCCCATGTTGTTAAAGGCTGCCTGCGTTTGTGTTGCGGCCAAGGAGAATTGTTGAATCTGCTGAGGGTTTGCGATGCGATGAGACAACTTATCTACGACGTCTTTCAAAATTGCAGGATCTGGCGCTACTCGGCCGTCGACAAACCTGGTTTTGAAAGCATTCAACTCTTGCGCTTGGAGAAATGTAATGACCTCGGCTGCTGGTTCCTCATCTTGATGAAACCGCATGCGTATGTAGGCGGTTTCGGTGTGGAATTCCGTGTCTGAAAACTTGAAGTGAGGAAACTTGGGGTTGCCAAAGGCCGGCCACTGCGATATCATTTGTTCGATAGCCTGGTTTTGGATCGTTCCCCAAGCCTTCACTAGCTGCTCCCCGCCTTTGTTTATATGGTCATCCATATTTGCATCCGAGATGTCGCTCGCCTTGCGCCGCCGCTTGAATTCTGCCAGGTGATCTGCAGACATTATTCCATAGGCGTCTTGAATAGCCTGGGTCGCTCCTGGAAACCAAGCTTCTATCACTCCAACCCAAGTATGGCCTTCGATTGCGCCTCGTAGCTGTGTAACTGCTTCATCAAGGACTGATGTAATGTCTAGATCCTTGGTATTGATAAGAGCATCGCCTGCTCTCTTGGTCATCCAATAAGGAAATCTCGTGCAATACAGACGATCTTTCCGCTGCGCCCACATGTCAAAATATGCCATGATGTAGAACAAGAGGGAAAAGCCTATGAGAGTGCCTGTGGGTCAGTACCAAATTCTTTTTTGAAGTAGACCCTCATTAATTGTTATAGTTACGTACTGGGATGGCCATAGTCTTCCGCAGCGGATATGAGAAACATTTCTGGCTCAAGATCCCAGAACCTCTCTGTTGTCGCATATTTGGAACCATGGTGGCCAGCCTTGATGACCTGAAGCTTCACTATTTCGCTGTCGTGTAAGAAATTGCACAAGACCTGCTCTTGTTCGTCCTCTGCATCGCCGCCGGCGTAAAGGTCAAGCATTGCATGATCGTGAGCCTCGATAGGAGTAAAGAGGAGACACATCATGGATGACGCATTTGCCTCCGTACCTCCTTGACGCTTTTCATATTTGACCTTATTGATCAACTCTTTATCGATGCCGACCACTAGGAGGCGAGGTCGATTGGCCGGTTGGATATCGCCGTGCGCAATGATATTTGGGATCGTCTGCCCAACTTCGGCCTCGGCGATTTGCTTTCCCGAGAAAAGATCAATGCCGAGGCATGTCTCACCCTTCCAGAAGTAGCAGAGGGGTTCACTTTTAAGCCCAGCCATATACTGATAGCGCACATTTCCCATGATCGCTGTAGTATTGTTTGGCTTGAGCGAAACGCCTTTCCCGTTGAACCCCAATCTCGAGCAGTAAAAAGTAGTCCTTGGTGTACTCTGATCATCCGGCTGCGGGTACGGATACATGATATCACAACTCGACATGTTGGATATGTGGGCACGTATCAGAGCCTCAACTCCCTTGTAATGATCTTCATCCCAATGGGTGACGACGATGGCGTTGAACCGAAGGTGGCCATTGTTATTGGGGTAGTAAATCTTGTTGATGTCATTGATTGCCGTTTGGAGGTGAATGGCTCCCTTATCAGTTCCACCATCAATCAGAACTGCTGATTCGATACTCCGAGCATTGTTCTCAACTTTCACCAGCAGATATATAGTTCCATCTCCTAGTCCAACATTGACTGCATATGTCTCTACTATCCAGTCTGTCATTGTCGTAGCGTACCGCTGAAGGAATCAGGTAACGCCTCAGATTCTCTTTGGTATTGTTCAAGAAACCGGTCATGAGCAGATTGGTGATGTCTTAAACAGACATCAAATGTCCTTAAACACCACGCTCTTGTGGTTGCACACGTAAAAATGAAAAGGGGTCGAGCTGTTGGGATGATTCCGGGATACTAGATACCGCTTTTTATAACGTAAAACGCCACGACAATATTTTTATCAAATAAGACGGATGTGACTGAGGCCAGCAGGGGCAGGAGGAGGTAAAAGCAGAGGCGTCGACGTAGTAGGACCCGATGTCTCCAAGACGCTAGTAAACGGCCAGCGGAGGAGTACTCCGTCGAGCTGCATCAAATAGTGTTCAGCTTAGTGGCAATATAAGGTCCACTTCAACTGACACCCGCATGGGCTAGACCCGGGCCGCCTTTTGGGCTGAAAGACTAGCCCTCCAGCCTAGGACAGAAGCAGATGGGAAGTATTGGATGTTGGATACGACGGCTCAAGGAAGCGCTTCCCAACCATAGAATCAGGCTTCGCCAGGAATCTCGCTTTCGAAGATGGCGTTTCGTTCACAGAAACGATATACCCGTGAGCGGAACTCACATCCCTTAAGCCAGTTGACATATTGATGTAGGTATTTAGATGCATACATGGTATTCGAATGCTTCAGACGTTCTGTTGAAGAATATCTTTACAACATCGTGTTTAGTCGACTTTGTCTTTCCAGTCTTCAGACTCTTGAAAATAATTTTTTTTATTTGACTGAATGTTGTAAGGGTCAACGCCGAAGAATGAAAAGAACCTTAAACATATAAGTTGCTTCTTCCATTGATAGCGTTGGTGGATGACACAGCCCTCGGTTGCGGTATCGACACCTCTAACTACGATTATGATTTCACCTTTCTCAAGCCCCGACTTTATGAGTCATAATTTCATTGGGCAAAGCCACTATGAATTGTTTTGACGGCAAAGAGAATTGGCATTCTCTATAGACTTTAGGTCATGATCAGCTCGCGAGGCGTGTACATTTATAATATGGCAGTCACGAGCGAAAGTGTGAGAGGAACAGAAGAAATATATATCCGAACGCATATGTGTGTCAATTAGCCAGCTCAGTATAAAACCCATTTACTATTCTGAAAACGCACGACTCAGACCGGGTGTGATTCTTTGATGCTCTTTTTCATAATGAAAAATCCATCGACGAGCTCACCTTCGTTCGCGCTGTGACTAAGATTCAACTGAATGTCGACTGCCCGAATTGGCATTGTCGTCCAGTCTGCTTCGTCCGGAGTTGGATTCTTGTTCTCGTCCAATTTTGGCTTTGGATGAAGCCACGACCATTCGTCGATACCAGTCAGAGGCGTTTGGATCGCGACGTCTCTCGCTGAGACCTCGGCAGTATTTGCCAGCACCAAGTTAGGATCAGGGACGTGGGGCACCAAGATTGGCCCAGCCATGAAAAAGGCATGCATCTCTTTTGTTGCCTTGTCCAGTGCCCATTTTGGAATGCTAATTTCCTTCATAGGAAAGACATCGCCGGTATAAACATGTAGCGGGCGGAAAGGATCGACTATGGCTCCAAAGATTGAGAGCTTGGTGTCGTGCTCAGCACCGTAGTTTGGAGTTTCTGGTCTTAGATAGTATGGCTTCATGGTCAAAGGTTTAGGCCGAATGACTGGCGATTTGGAATCTGCCTCCTCTCGCGGCACACCGAACGAGGAGAAAATATCTTCCATCCCACTATCCAAGTCGTAGTAGCCTACAAAGCCATCATAAGCGGCATTCCTGCTCCCAAAAGCAACGTGGAACTCGTAATCCTCCAGGAGCTTAGCAGGCTTTCCGGGTCGTTGGACGCTTTGGTTCTCATAAGGTTGTTCTGCTAGTTCCATAGAAACTCCAAAATCAACAAAGCACAGAACGTCTCCAAACGCAGCCGGCAGAAAGTCAGCATGCTCTGATGGATTGGAACCCGTCGACTGCGCGGCCTCCGCGACCATGAAAAAGAACCCTTTGGCGTAATCATATTGCTTGCAGAGCGCCATGAACTTGTCCAGGCGTTCGCTGGAGCCGTGCCATGCGTCGGACTTTGGCCGTGCGGACACAATGGCTGTCTTGTCTTCGGGATGGATAAAAATCTCCTGCAAGAAATGGCCATCTGGGTTGAAAATTTGCAGCGACGAATCGCAGTAGTTGACGACCAGCCAACCCCAGATAGGATTCTCCCAAGACGAGGCGGGCCGATACTTCCCGTTGTCATTAACCACATATGTACCGTTAAGGCGGGCGGGCTGGTTAATCCTGGGCGGAACTTGGAAGAACTGACAGACTCCCCGCAGGTCATCAGGTATCACCGCGGTGTTTGGTCGAGGTAACTCTTTGTCAAATGGGGTGTCTTGGGGAATCGGGTCACAAAAGAATAGTGGCGACAAACAAGGATAAAGTGCCGTGGCAGGCTGGCCGAGATCCAAATCCGCGGGTTCCACTGCGTTCACGACTTGTCCAAACTTATCGACAATGTCAAGTCTCGTGAAGCGGAACTGGCCATGGGTGACGGGCTTGAAGGGACAGAAGATATATCCCGTAGGTAGCCGGTGCGTTTTGCCATACGGAGCTAACTCTGCAGCCTCAGAAATGTCCATGACGAGATCCTCGCTCATGCCGAGTTCTCCTAAGGCTAGAGGATCGTAAGGAGACAGGCCGACATGCGAGCCCTTCATCAGCGTCAACATGTGCTCTCGGATCCCAGAGAGAGGGGCAGAAAAGAACTCCAATTCCGACACCAGCTTGATGACTTTTGCTTGATCTTCCTCACTAATTTGCTTCTCAAGATCCTTGGGGTGCAATCTACTGAAGAGCTGCTTGATTCTTGTTTTCAAGGTCTGCGAAGCTTGCGGGATGAACATGGTGCGGCCATGAAGGGTTCGACATTCGCTGGCGCCTGGGATGTCCTTCAACGGCTTGTCGTCACGCAGCCTGTAGCGCCGAACTCCGTCTTTGTCTTCGGCGAACTGCCAGTTTTCCCAGCCGATGTGGTAATATTCCACCTCCCATTCCATGAAGAGAGGAAACCATCCCTGCGTGTTGTTGAATGCCTCTTGGTTACTCTCTGCTTCCGCATAGTAAGAAGGTGGATAGCTTGGACCAGCTGCATCGGCCTTGATAGCTTCTGGTAATACTTTCTTGACCATTTCGCTTACCAACGGGAATTTGTTCGACAGTTGCGATTGCCATTCATTAGTCCCAGGTCCTCTCCAATCAGTCGCCTGCAAGCGAGCCGCGAGGCTCTCCAAACTTGGCGCTGGTAGTTGGGATGAATGCCGTACTTTGAGTTCTTCTCGGAACCCCGTTGGCCAGCCGGACTTGACGCCTGCGAAAAGAATCGTCGGATCTTGGTGGGTTCCAAAAGCTGGCGCCGCAGCTGTATGCAGATGTAACGAAGCTGGAAATTGTGCCTTTAGCGTTTCAATTTCCGTCATGGCTTCTCGGGCTCGGCTTTTGAGAAGTTCCAGTCGTTTTGCGTGTGCCTCCACCTCGCTCCTGTAAGCTTGACGGAGTGTCGCCTTTTCAGGATTTTGCGCCACCTCCATAGCCTTCCACCAACAGGTGAATATCTTGTGGTGCAGAAACTTGATTTCTCTCTGGCAACCTGCTATACAAGCCTGCCAGCTGTTGAGCGCCGCCAGGTTACTCTTATCGGCCTTGGATGGATCAACTACACCCGGATCGGCCTTCTGGGAGTCATCTGAGTTCGAAAAGGTCCATGTCAACTCAGCTTTCTCCACCACCCAATCGTTGGAAGCAATCTGGTCTTCGGCTTGCTGTTGAGCCTCAAAAGTAGACTTTCCAGCGATCAATTGCACCATTTTGCTCAACATGTCGTCAATCGCGTTGAAAGTCTGTGCGGCAGCAGGTGCATGATAGCGTACCCGGAGGTAGGCCAGCAATGCGTCCATAATGTTCGCTCCAACCGCGATCGGATGAGATTTTAGAATGTCCTGCTGCAATTTTATGGCAGGTTGGATTAGTGGAGAATTACCTCCGCCTCCACGCCGGAACTTGACATCACGCAAAGCTCCGTGGCAGATTGCCCGTGTGGAAAAGTCCGCCTTGTTGGCCAGAAATGTGTCTCTCGTCACATCGCCCTGAAACATAGATTTGTCCAACTCCATGTGTCCGGCCGTCAGTAAATCCTGATATGTCGGCCTGATAGAATTGTCTGGTTCGTCAATGGTGAAGGAGTCCTGCTTTATCTTGTGATGAAACCCAACCACGTAATAGGTGATGTTGGCATCACCAATGCCGCCTAGGTCGTCAAACATGCTGAAAACGCTAGAGTTGTGAGGTTGATAGTCGGCGAAAAGCTCATTACCCCAATCCAGAATCGTAAAGGGCTGTCGATGACGGGCATTGTCTGGTGGGTTATAGTCCTTGAGTCTAGATTTAAGCCCGAGCACTGCCTCGTACTGCTTATCAGTGGACAACCCTTTGTGAATGAATGGCGAGGTCAAGTTGTCGATATCCACATGTGACAGTCGAAGATCACCATCGTTCACGTTGCGTATGCGATCACTTTCAATGACAAAGACTTCGGATTGCTGGCCATTTGGGTCCGATTCGGGCTGGACGATTCGGAAAACCAGCCATCTGTTCGGAGCATGATGGAACTATATCAAATTGAGCTTCACATCGGAGAAGGGGATTTCTAGGGATATGATTAACTGACCTTCAATTTGCCCGCCTCTAGTGCATCATCCTCACCTAATGACAAACGTTTTTCAGCATCAATTCGGGTTAAAGCGCCTTTATATGAAATATATCGAGCCCAACATACCTGTATGCGAGATGAATCCTTCTCGTAATAGCGTCTTTTCATAATCGAGAACCGCTTCATCGCTTGACAATAAGTCCGTAGCCGTAGAGCCCATCCGGTAGAGACGTGGTAGGCACCATGATAGGTAGACTCCAACCCTCTGGCCGTAGACTCCCCCTGAAGCTACGTTCACGAAGCGAGTGTTGAACTTTGCTTTTAGCCTCGTAGAAGAGAGATTAAGCTGTTCAATAACGTCGTGCTTGAGCAAGTTGCTATCGCTTCTGAGAGCAGCATAGTTGGGCTGGATAAGCGGTGCTACTCGAGCTTGGCTTTGTGGGAAGTCCTCGGTGACTACGTAAGCCTGCAGAGCCGTGGGTACGAAAATGGCTTGCTTCGCTTCGAGTTCGTCCGGCATTTTGATAATCGAATCCCGCACCACGAAGAAAAGTTTTGAAGAAACGACAGTACTAATTTTGAACAAGCCCGAGAGAATTGAGTGCCCATATTCCGCCGGCTGATCATATAGAAAAAAGGGTCAATGAGAAAGAAGTATATACGCCATTGATGGGCCGTCAGTGGCCCACGCAGGGCGCGTTACAGCGTCTACAGGCATCGCCAAGTTCGGAATAGTTACATGTACATGCACAAACAGATGGTCTAGTGGCGGCAACTAAAGCCAGGCCACGCGGACTCGCTTCTATTCAATAGTTTAATATTTGTTTCACTAAATTTCTGCCCCCAACCTCGCTCTAGACTCACCCCTACGTCCATATAACAGCCGGTTGTCAAGAATATACTACATCGTAGCGCCTCCATCTACAGGTTAGGAGCTGTCATGTTTAACTTCTTCCCCTGTAACTGCGACGGCTCAATAGTACATTCATATGCAGGTTAGGGTTGAACCGTGGTGAGCTGAATAACGGTGGGGCTTGGCGGATCGAACTATCGATTATCGTTTGGCCACCCACAGTTGGCTGGATGGACAAGACAGGGTTGATCAACGCAGAAGAGAAGAGAGAAAAAGAGGAAGAGAGAAGGCACAGTATGTGTGCAATTTTCAATTAACCGCTGTTGACAATTACGAGCTTGATCGTGTAAATTGTCGCTGTACTCTCAATCTCCATTTCCCTTTCTTTCTACTTCGTTAGTCATCTAGACTCTAAACTCGAGAAATGCCATCAGCTACCATGTCGAACGTGCGGTTTCGGGCTCTGCCATCTAATTCTGGGCTTAAGAATTTTGAGTCGACGACGGAGGTCTCCAACGTAGAGTTTTTGTCGCACCAGAATCCACCACTGGCTGCTGGTGAATATGAAGCGAGCTTCGTCCAGAGTATCGAGCCACCGAATGGCTTCTCCGGGCCTGAAAAACCTTTCGAATCGTCCCAGAAGTTCACCGTGCAAGGGCCGACTTTTAAGCTCGACCCGGTCACCGATATCGACAGTGTGTTCCCGGCTCCTGGGCATAGCGAGCACGCCAACACCCTCCCTCACATTGTATTTTCCGATCCCATTCTCCCATGGGAGAGGAAGCTCGGCAATGGTTCCAAGACGGACGAGTTCAACTCGACACCATGGCTGGCTTTATTAGCTTTTACGGAAGAAGAATTGAAACTTTCCGATGCAGAGGTCAGCGCTTTGGATTTCAAACCAGGGCCAAGAACTCCAACCCCGACTTTATCCTTTGATATGACCGCAAAGGAGCTCATGGACGTTGGCCATAAAGGGTTTAATTCGGCATTGAACCTGACGGGCGATCGTGGCCATCTACCCAACGGTTCTCGGGACGTCGACCCAGTCAGTGCTATTTTCCTGAAGCCTGAGCTCTTCAAGGCATTATTCTCAGAATATTCGGATACAGCATCCATGCCAGGTTGGACCGGTAAACAAAGTGCGAAGCGCTACGCGTACTTTGCGCACATTCAGCGTATTCACGGGCATCACATGGCATCCACCTCACCGGGAGATGCTCACAAACGTGACCATTCCATAGTCTTCAGTCATCGAGTGGGCGTCATTGCGCCGACACAACCGACCAATGTCATCGTGCATCTGGTATCGCTGACAGACGTCGAAGAAATCAACGTCGGTGCCAATACCAAACGCGTTGGTTTGATCTCGCTTCATTCGTGGACCTGGATGGCAATACCATCGGACCACGTTAATTTTATACACACTATGACTGAGCTGAGCAAGGCCGAATCCATCCAACCGTTACGCATGACTGATCGGTTCCTCGCCTCTTTCGTAGACATGAAAGCCACAGGCACAAACCCAAAGACGGACGCCACTCAACGTCTTGTGAACCGCCTCATGGACGGCTACATTATCAAGAAGCATACCTTGAACACTGCAAAGCAGCGATCGAGCCTGCTTCGTGGTCCTCTATGCCCACAGATACCTTCGGTATTCTGGGACCGGCCCTCATCGCAGAACGGAAACGACTTGGAAGTCGAAGATGAAATCACGAAGCTGCCAGATGTCTCATATAAAGTAGCGTGGCAGCTCGGTCGTTTGCTTGCCATTGGCGATACTGTCTTCGTCAAGAGCCTACTATGGCTTCGCGGGAAGATTCATTCTGAAGCAGTCAGACTCACAAAAGAAGATGTCGATAATAGCTATACTGGAATGGAGGACTATTTGAAGAAGCTTCTGGAAGCTGTGCAGGGCATAACTGAGGCGCATGATAATCCCGCCGTTACTACAGATGCGAATGCATTCTATAGGTGGTATGACGGAGCAGGAACTCCCGGATATGCCAATAACGCTGCGCCGGTCGGATTGACGCTTCCTAAGATATGCTGCTCTTCGCAATATGTTGACTACGTCCGGAAGGTGGCAACGGAACTCACAAGTACGCGAGAAAAAGCTCGTGAAACGAATTCTACAAAGATCTATAATGAGACCAACGACCCACTCAGCCACGAGTGGGCAAAGGTTCTCGAATGGATCTTGGACATTCTCTTCACCGGGAAGATTCCTTTGCACTATCTTGTCCCTGATCCCGAGAGCATCCCGGCAGAGTCTATCCGAACATTCTTCGTGGACCAAACATGGTTGGAATGTGTGATTGATGGCGCCTTGAGCCTTGCAAATCACCTCGAGCCCGATGACGATAACATCAAAAAGGAGCTCAAGAGGAGAGTTAATGCTTATTTGGCAACTCCACTTGGCGATGGTCCAGACGCCCCATTGCCCAGGCTCCCGAGGTGGGGATTCTTCCTGCGCAGTACTGCCATATCAGCCTTCCCGGACCTTAGAGTTGAAGTGCCGACCAAAGGAAAATCTTCACAATCAGATATCCTCCTCATGCAACGGGTGGGAGAAGACGTCCTCATGTTTCTGCTAGATCGAATTCCGGGCGAGGACGAGTTCTCTGACGTGATTTTGTCTCGACCCGGACATCAAAACGGGTTCACCTTGGGAGATGGCGAAACTGAGCTTACTCATGAAGAGTTGACCATCAGCTTTAGGCGTCTACCCAACTTACCGGCTACCTATGACTATGAGAAAGAAGAAGGGGTGCACGTGAAGACGTGGTCCTCCGATGGCAAGCAAGGAGGCAAACCTGTTTTTGACTGGAACTACCGAACAATCATCATGCCCGAGTTTGCTCAGCAGTGCATTGATCTGGTTGGGGGCCCTTCCAATGATGGGAAGTACTTCTCGTGGGATCCGTCCCAGCGTGGAGGCATTCCAAGCTCCCTCATCGCGACCCAACTTAGCAAGTCTGTTTTCAGGCTCAAGATCGGCTCAGATCCTGATCAGGCTCTGAAGAGTCTGCTGTCGGACCCCTCTCGAAACCCTTGGAAGATGGAAAATGGAGCAAGGAGAATATACGTCGGCGATGAAGTGGCTGCCGGTGGTGCTAGTAACATGAAGGTCTCTGCTCTGGAGGAAGTCAAGATTGAGGCTGTAACCCTTCCCGTGGCACCTCTCCCATCCGCCCATAGGCTACAGATCCCAGCTCCTCTTCCAGCTGATAACACTACACTCACCACTGATCACATGGACTTTGGCTCGTTCCCGGATTACCCCGGCATGACGGGTTACCGATATGGTACGGGAAGAAACGAGCACGACATCCGGCCAAGAACCGCAGTCTATCCCCTGCACCATGAGGACGACAGAGACAACTGGACAATATCCAGCCATGGTATGCCCATGGATCTCGTCGTCCAATGCGAAGGTCATGCCAGAGACTCCTTCTGGAGCAATTTCCCTGCTGAGTGGCACTTCCTTATCCCCATACGCTTGCAGTCATACCCACCAGACAAGGACGACTCACTACGCGACGTCGGAGTACTTCTCCAAATTCCAGGTGACAGGGACCATCTCGAGCTTCCCACGATAGAGCCCATATATGCCGGTCCGAGGTGGATCTACGATATGAGCGTGTGCTACGGTGGGAGGTGGAACGAAGAGGGAGATCGTAACAAGTACGTCGCCGACAAAGCCAAACATTGGGTGTCGTATCTCTGGATTCGTGCGCGGACGGCAGCACGCTGGACGAAAGACGACAAGCATTACGAAAAACAGGGTTACAACTTGAGCTTCCTTCTAAAGGGGGTTCGCATTGATCCGATCCCCCGCGGAATGTACAAAGAAGTTGAGGTCAATGTAGTAGGCCTCGAGGCTTTTGAGATGGGCGAAAATTGGGTACCTCATACGTGCGTGGTCAGGAAAATCAAGGTGTATAACAAGTAACTGTGGCATCTCAACATTGGTATCTAGTTTTGTCGGACGTATCATGCTAAGGAGTTTTTCCTTGGCTCAACAGTATGTCCTCAATTATATAGGCTCTCAACGGCCCCCTCTAAATATGTACTTCCTGTGTTAAAGTTACTCGCTGTGCTGTCACTTCTCGGCAGATGAAAAATGCACTGAATTATGAAGACGTACACCTACCGTTTACTTGGTACATGCAAATCTGTTTCGGCATGCACAGATTAATAATGTTGACTTTGCAGATGTCTTCGGCTATCATCAGAGCAGGAAATAGGCATCAAGGCCAAACACATTTCCTACGCGAGAACTAGGAGAGAAGGATTTTCTTTTTCAACCTATGTTAGCTTACATATAGTACCAAGCGTAAAAATGACTGCACTTTCTTGATGAATCAGAAGCTAAGAGAGACATAAAAGATCATATTTTTGAGTATCCCAACAGCTCTTTGACGATAATGTACTAGTAAATTTGAGTAAGCGGAGCGTCGGATATATGGTGGATCACGGCCTCGACCTCTACGCCGAGGCCGATGACAAACAACTTGGGGCCTTTGGTGATCTGGGATATCCCTATCCCTGTGAGTGCGGGTAGTTTGAACCCGGAGGTGAAAACCGCCATTGCTTTTAGCTTTAAGTCTAGCAGTATGGCAAAAGACACTACCATCACACAAATAGTTGCCGGCTCTAAAACAAACTTATCCTGAGTGGCAAAGACCGAGGATAGAAAGAAGAATTACAATGCATGCCTCAACTGTCTACTTTCTAGCCTAACTCACGGTAATATTTCTATATGTTTCTATACCTTATACCTAGCTGTAGTTTCACTTCTCTACTCACATATACCCCATCTCCAGCTACGTAGTGAATTTCTTGCGAAGCATAATCTTCGTCAAAAAGGTTTCATACGATCAACTACATATAAACTTATTCAAAACTTCTTTGCCACACGAACCAGTTTCTTGTTAACGAATTCGTGAAACCCGATGCGAGACAACTCTTTACCAAAATTCTTCACCCTCCCGCACGGCAGCTCTAGACTAGAGTAAGCGATGCCATTAATAAACACCATGCCTACTTCAAGTTTATCAGCGATTTCTTTCGCATGCTCAACATCTTTACTGATTATGCTCGATCCCAGTCCAAGCTCCGTGCCGTTGGCAAGCTCCACAGCCTCTTTCTCAGAGTCCACGACGTAGAGGCTCACGACAGGACCGAAGAACTCTTGCTTAGTGGCCGGATTTGTTTGCGAGATATTCGTCAAAATTGTCGGTTCAAGGTAGAAGCCGGGTCTCGCAATACGACGTCCGCCAAGTGCCACGGCACCGCCACTCCGTTCAGCGACTTCAATCTGCTCCAGTAAGCCGAGCAAGGCACGCTCAGAAACAACTGGGCCCACCGTTGTCGATGAATCTCTGGGATCTCCTGCTTGGAGGGATGCCATTCCCTCTTGCATATCACGCAATACCAACTCACCGCGCTCCTTTCCCACAACAATAACACGCTTGGTCCCAATGCATGCCTGTCCAGTGTTATGCAAACGTCCTTCCACGGCCATATCGATGGCATCTTGCAGGGGAGCATCGGGCAGTATGATGAAAGGATCAGAACCTCCCAGTTCCAAGACGACCTTTTTGAGATGCCGGCCAGCCGACTCTGCTATGGCTGAACCGGCCCGTGAGCTTCCAGTAAACGTCACTCCCCGCACTCGGAAATCGCCAATCATGCGATGAATCTGAGGTACAGTCGCAAAAGTCAAGCTAAGGGCCTCTTCTGGTAATCCAGCTTCGCGAAAGATCTTGATCAGAGCGAGAGATGACTGCGAGACACCCGGTGCAGGCTTCACAACCAAAACATTGCCTGCCATGAGCTGCGGAGCTGCGACTCTGCAAATCTGGATGTAGGGGAAATTCCAGGGCTCAATGGCTAATATGATACCGGTAGGTTCCGTTCGAATTTTTTTGAGTGAGAAGGCTGTGACCTTGTCAGAGTTTGTAAAGAAGAACAAGGAGAAGTGGGCATGAGAGGCTCGCTTAGGTAGTCTCTACAATAAACATGACTTCATTGTGTCTATGAGTAGAGTTTGTATGTTGATCTGTAGCGTCGTGTCGTGAGACAACATTGCCATGCCCTACAACCGCCATATTTCTTTCTTCGGGCACACACTCACCTAGGTACAGGTAGTGATAGGAGGAGATGGGCGGCATTCATATAGTACCCGGTGTAGATCAAGGAAAAGGTACTGAATGCCCCCGCCGCTATGCTTATCATCTTACTCCTCTTGCAATCTCTCCTGCTAGCAAGCCCGCTCGAAAACATCCTTGCTGGGTCTCATTAGGCTGCGTGCCTGGACAAGGTGGTGGTGGATTGTTTCCTGAACCTGTACACAGCGCTACAACTGCCTTTTAGAACATATGGATCATCAGAAGAAGAGTAGCCCTAGCTGCATAGCTTCAATTCCTGGTAGAGAGGCGCTGCAGTTCCGTTCAATGTGTTCTGCGCCGTATGACCGTCGAGTTAGAAAAGGTCATATCTTTATCTACTGTATGAACAATAACGTGGGAAAGCTCAACCGTTCCCCTCACAAGGCATCGCGAATAGGTTAAGGCAATAGTTGATCGTGATAGCTAAATATCTGTTATGACCAATAGTTCAATAGAGCCGAGCTGATATGAGATTGGGTAGTGCTACCCTCCTTTACTAATGTGAGAAGAATCATGAATTGCATTCCTATAGACTACTTTTTTTTTCAACGGCAAACCTTTATTCTCTCTTCTTTAAGGCCTAACCGCAGAGCTTGAGCAGCTGTTATAACCGTAGACTCCCAGCCTCCTCCCAATTGCGCCCACGCTTGCTGCGCCAGCTGTGCTATCCATCCATCCAGAAACCAGGTATCATCAAGTTTAATCATTATAACACACCAATACAAAAAGATAGCAAGAGCCGCTGAGCTATTCTTATTTATACACTGCAGTTGGGTGACAAAGGCCTCACTCACCAAGGCCGGCCATGACAAGATGTGTAACCACGTCCGTGGCTGTCCCTGGATGGAAACGCACCAAGTCTGCAGCAATTCGGCAGCTTCAATTAGACATTCCTTGTTCGGCTCCACCATACAAATGTTTGTTTTCAAGAGTTTGATTCGTTCCAGGAACTCGAAATCTGTTTTTGCGTCCGTGTCCTTTGTTCTGTCGTGTGCTAGCCTTTGATCTTGCATGAATCGGGGTGCGATAGCGATGGCAAGTCTTGCGGTGCCTCTGAGTAAGCGGAAGGTCTCGGGTATGGCGTCCTCTCTTGGGTGAGTGACGCACAAACGTATTTGGAAGACGGTAGTTGCTAGGCCGAAAATCCACTGCGCAAAGTAAGAACTGACTACCTTACCGGCGACGGACGCATGGAAACCTGCAGAGGCTTTCAGATGCCAGGCATGCGCCTTCATACTACTGCTAGAGGCTTGACCCTGGCAGAATAGCACAGACAAGGCGTTCAGAGCTTGCATGGCAACAACATGCTGTCGAGCCTCGTGAAAGATCAAAGACGCCTCGCATTGAGCAGACTTTGTCAATAGAAGCACCGAGGGTGACAGACTAAATATATCGGTGGATATAGACAGGCTTGAGTCCCAGATGACAATCCCTGCTTGGAGTGCTTCGATTGAGGCTCCACGGGCAGCGCTGGTGTCTGCAAATGGACAGTGCTCGCCATAACGGTAGCATCTACCACAGACTGGCGTATTCATGTCACACTAGCATTTCGATAAGTAGGTGTACTGCACAATTTCAGAATGCGAGAGGCTTTACTTGCCTTGACACGACGTCTCTTGCATGACGCGCAACCAAGCCTAGACTTACTATGCCACCTTCGCGAAGGCATGGCTGACCTTAAGAGAAGCGCAAGCAGTTACACCAGGCCTAAACAGCAATGGATTGATTCGTTCAATGCTTCACGCATGCCACCATAGTAGTATAACCAATCGACGACAGTTTAAGTGTGTTAAGATCACAGTGTCGTTATTAATCGATGCAGTCTAGGAATCCCTTGAACTCAGTGTCAAACTCCGCATCGGGCGGAGTTCTAGTCCGCTAGTCCCACTACCTGTAGCATACCCGATACAATGCCATCCTGCCCTGTAAGATAATTAATTACTCGTCCAGCACTCTAGACCAGTCTTCGCCCTTGATATAATCTTCCATGGAGGTCGTCTTGATATTCGGGTCCAACTAAGTTGCAATGTCAGCGGATTCACTCGGATTATAGCAACTGCAGCAAATATGGGAGAACTTTTACCGCGCTTGGATACATGACTTCAGGATCTCCACCGGTGTACCCAAACTCAATCATGTATTCGTTCGTGTCCATCAGCTCTTGGCCAAGTGGCTCTGGAAAGTCCTTATAGAAGTCACTAGGGGCTACTTCTTGGTACGCAGCCTGGACATCTAATACACGACCCCAAATCTCTACCCACGTCGAAAAGCTCATCATCTCAGATACACCGACGAGAGTCTTCCCGGGAGGAACATCCAATAATGCCTTGACAAATGCTCCCGTATCTTTTCCTGGAACGACAAAGGGTATTTGCAAGTCTCCAGAGAAAGGCCTCTTGGTGAGGTACACCCCATTCGGTTGGCGCTTCAGAGCCATCGCTTGTACAGCTTTCCAGTTTGTGACGTAGTGGCCCATTTGCAGGGCACTCATACGCTTAGCCAGCTCCGGACACTGACTTTTGATCAAGTCAATGGTTCTGGCCTTAGAGTCAAAGTGATAAACAGTGGTGTACTTCCCTCCGCTGAGCCGCGAGGCATCACTAAGTGATGAGTATACAAAATGTTCCAGTGTTCTGAGGACGCTTGGATCAGACGCAGCATGGGCAACATTCATCCCCTGTTCAACTTCCCTGTCGAAAGCGTACTGCAATGCTGTATCAGGCACGTGTGTGCCATCGAACATGTGGCTGAAGAAATCGGTGTTTGCAAATATGGCGTGGGCCCCTTGAAAGGCGGCTCGAAGGGAAGCCGTGTCATCTAGGTCGCCTTTCACGATTTCAGCGCCCTCAGCCGCCCAATGCAAAGCATTTTGACTGGATGGATTCCTAGTGATACCCCGAACTTTCCAACTGGGCAAATCCAGAAATTCTCTAGCAATAGAGGACCCCTTTCTCTGTCTCAGAAGATGATCAACAGCTTGGGCTAATAGGTACACATACCTGCTGGCCAGTAACGCCAATAATAACGAGAAGCTTGGTCATCCTGATTGATAAGTAATTTTTGGGATACACACTATCTTAGTTTAGAACTCACAGACGGTAGACTGGGTAAAGATGTTGAATTACTTGGATGCAAAGTCTACCTATCATCATGTGTATTTATACCTTCCACCTTTCTCGAATTTCTCTACCGACAAGAATGTCGCATGGCTTGATACTACATTAGCCAATTCAAATTCAGCCTCGAAGATGCGAACCGGTTCAATGTTCCGTTCGGATGATTAATACTCGTAGTAGTATGGAACCTTTTAGTGAGAATTATCCAATACTGGTATAGTATACGATGCGCAGCGGAATTCGAGGTCCCACGCATCTTGCTTCTGGCTAGTGTACGACGCCCCTCAATCCTTCGGCAACAGGATCTGCCCCTTTTTATCACCTTTTCGGTCCGCCCAAGGCCCTCAGATCCTCTGATGAGCCTTCCTGTCATGGGTGAATTGCATTCTTGGCCGCTCACGAGTCTACGATACGTGTAGAACCATCTTCCACGTAATTCTTTTCTCGAGAGGGGACAGGCCCTAAGAAAGGGGACAGGTGCAGACAAATGAGTCGAATGCAACGTACATCAAGTATCGGCAAAGAGACAAGGTAAGCATTTGTTGGAACGGAAGTTTATATTATCGATGCCTGATGTCATTTGGTCATCTGTTCAATTAATCCGATTCGATGATTCAGCAAACTCGAATAAATTATTACCATCAACCATGTTTGTACATGTCTCCAAATCGTTATAAAATCGGTTATTGACGTCGCTAGTATGAAGCTATAGTATATCTGGGAGATTCCAGGTGATATTACTTCAAATTAAAGTAGGCTGAAACATTTGTACCTCAGGTACTCCATTGTCCAGCGAGGTTGTTGAGGATGTTGAGCTCTGCGCTACTGGGTCATCGTCATTTGGTATTGGAGAATCGGGATAACCCTCATTAATTCCGTCCGAGTTTCGTCTGCCATTCAAAGGATATTACGGAATAGAATAATTGATGCAGTAAAGAGACAGCAGTTTAGCTGCCAGATAATGAGGTGGTACGGCTGTTTGGATTCAGGAGCCATGTGTTGGAGCAGATGGAGCATCTGTTTGGAAGAATCTGAACATTGTTCTTGTAGTTGGACGGAAGATTGGGGTTCAAGTGCCAAAGTCTCATCAAGAGCTGCTCCCGAGCCTGTCTATCTAGCCATTGCTGATCAACTCCCAGAGCTTGCAACATCTCGCAAGCATTCGTCACAAGCATCCAGCAAAGTGATAGCCCCACGAATTCGGATGACTGGCTCAGTGCTCGTACGATGCCTCCTGTCTTCATCAAGCAATACCCTCTGGCTTTCATGTGCGCGAGTTGCTTTTCATTGAGCAATAAGATGAATCATTGCAGAAGAATAAGGTACGTTTGCGGGTGAATATATAAAAACGCAGGTAATAGGTGGAATTGGTGAACAGCCTCGGATTTTTCGAATTCTTCAGAAAGCTAGCCGAGGCAGTTAAGCTGGTGACATAATGGGAGTATATGAAACAAACAAGCGGCCAGTACCTCCCCAAACAACCAGCGAGCAAAATATATACATGTGGTTGTAGATGTTGCAGAGTTTGGTAAGCAGACCGGTTGGCTTTATTAGAGATACGCCCCAGAGTTATCGCCCGAAGTGGGTTAATCAAGAAAAAGCCAATATTAGATAAGAAGATGGATTGGAAACGAGCAACAGTGAAAGGGAAATAGCTGAAGTATTTTTGAGGAAGATGGGATAGGATAATAATTTTGGTTATAGATATGGTATATATTACAGCCAATGTTGGACAGAGTTGGGTTTATAAGCTAGTAGCCCATTGCCACAAGATTGAGAGATGCAGTACTGTGTGTATATAATTTGAGATACGTTATCGAGGTAGCAAATGATCAGAGTTTTGTGTTTGTGGCAGATAAGATGGCAATAGATTGGCGTTTGAGTGATAATGACTAGTAGTGTAAAGGAGTGTAAATATGTCTAAGCGGTATGAATAAAAATCTATAAATATATCTTAGTATGTTACTCTGTATACACAGCAGCTTTTCCAGCACGTATTATAATTGCCAAGCGATCATATTTGTTAACATTAGTTGGCCCGTCGGACTTATTCCCATTTATAAACATCCATGATGTGGTTATGGGACTGGATGTATACTTACCGGTCAAGGGATAGTCGTGGTTTTAAGCCCCCGGTTCAGCTTTAACCATAAGTAGTATTCTAGATCCTAGTCAAATACCAAGTGTCAAAAGTTCCTTATGATTTTACCATCCTTCTTTAATATTTTACTACAGAGTACCTTATATACAACCAGCCTACTACATTGGAACTTAGTACAGTTGGCATCTTCATCCATAACGTGGATCAATTATTGTTCAGTACTTAAAATCTATGACTAATCCCTGCTCATGATGCGGCCGTAATGCAGTGTATGCGGGATAAGCTTACGTGACCGCAGGAGATTTACATAACGCAAAAAAGAAGTTTAACTGAGTTTAACTAAGTAGGCAAGGGGTGGAAAGAATATAGCGCCGCCGATCCTAGACAAATTATAGTAGTAGACCGACGGTGATTTTCTTCCACCGCATGGTAGGTTAGTCCGATAGTCCGATGGGACGTTTCAGTGGCCTGAAATTTATATACATGTTTATTTACTTTATTATGTTATCCTTGGGGTATGGCCAGATAGAGGGAGGAAAGGCCTTCAAGGCTGGTCATTCTAATAACCTTTGTAATTCCCTACACCCTTCTATTCTCAACATATATTTAAAGTATCAGATATTGTTAGCATAATTATGGACCAGTATTGTAGGTAGAAAGGAGTAAAACATGTAGTATTTTATAAAGTATCTTTGGGTTTTGGGCCTGCCACAATTACCGCGGGGCCAGGTTATGGTCAACTCTTTCGTAGTATTATTTCACGAGGTCTCCATGTCATAATCTCTTGCGAGAGGAGCGAGTGGATAATGGGTCGGCATAAGCGTAGCTCTAGTTGTATCAAGCTAAATGTCCAATGGCCCAGAGCATCTGATCTATGTTTAACTGAATATTAGTAAACGAAAATTCAGGAGAAAAGCCTCAAGTATAAATAATCCCATCTCTCCCTACCTTCTGCTTCAGGAACTCAGTTCACACAATCTCAAGGAGTTACAAGCACTTACCATCAAGCCCTGACTACTGTATCAAAAACCACTTATCAACTCCAATCTACCAGACTCATCAGTCCTCTATAAAAATGGTTTCTTTCACTTCTATCGCTATTCTCCTTGGTGCTGGCTCGCTGGCAAGTGCTGCCAGTTGTGGTGGAGGTGGTAGCTTCACTGTGAATAACGTCAAGTAAGATGAGCGGAATAACTACGAATAGAAAAAACGTCAACTAACTCGTACAGTGAGAACTTTGGCTCTGTCACTCTCCAACAACGATCAGCTCGAATTTTCCACCAGGGCAATGCTCAAATCTGCATTGTAAACCGCGCTCCCAATACAGTCGTAACAATCACTGGTACCCAAGTTAACGGCGCCATCTCCTCCGTTCTCAACCAGTGCTGCACGAATGCCGGAAACTGCGGTGGTGGACAGGAGAAGGTCACTGGATCTAACGGCAATGTCATTGATCTTTCCGTCCAGGCTTCTGGACAGAACTGCTCTGCTTAAGAGGTATGTGTTACAACTTTGGCTCTTATGGCCTCAGCAACAGGCCGATGGAGTATCCACCCATGGAGCAATGTAATTTCTAACAGTTCATAATGTGTAGGACTTACTTCGGGATGGCGAGCCTCATCAACGCTCTTCATATACGGATAGTGCCTCACTTTCAGAACCCAAGCTGAAGTAAACCGCATAGATATATATATATATTTACTTCGATACACTCTTTTAAAGTAGTCGGCTAGCCAGTTAGGAGTTTAACATTCAGATGCAATATATTCAATGCTTCTGACTTCATTGCCTCACATCGCATGTGTAGTCTGATCTATTTGCTAACATGAACCAAGGCTACGGTTATCTCTGGGGAAATCTTGGTATATTGCAGACCGAAAGATGTCTGGCTGGCTACGGTATATCTTCCGCACAGGACAAGTCTGGTAAAAAATGGCTATAGAATAGTCAGAGCATGATGGGTTATGACGAGGTTAATTCTTTTCTTAACTTATCTATTCCACCTTTTAGCGGTAAGGTTAATGTTGGGGACTAGGGTGCATTTGATTTAGAATTAATGGAAGTATAAGCACAGCGGGGTGGCTCCGTATGTGATGGGCTACACTTCAATTGTTATGCTACATGGAGCCTGTTCCTACTTGTGTGCCGATTATTCTTCACCCACTGTACCCTTATGTTTCATTCATAAGAACTGGCACCATTCTCAATCTCAACATCTATTGTTTTCTCAGTGCTTACGACCGTAGGCCGTTTGAAGGTGCTTTGGTGGTATTAGCTATGATAATATAACGCTATCCTAGCCATCGCCGCTCTATTCTCTTGGTCTTGACGATAATTCTCCAGACCCTACCCTCATATATATATATATATATATATATATATAACACCTATTCACTCGCGTTCAGAGCAGACGCTGATCAAACTTTGCGAAGACTCCGCCAGCTCAATGACTCCTCGAGTTTTGGAAACTTGATTCAGCCGAGCTGCCATCGAGGCAAAGTGGCCATAGGCAGCATCTTCATCAAGCGCTACAAAGGGAGCTGCCTCAAAGCACTGTCATCTTCGCTACATTAGCGTTGAGGTACTTTCGTGACATCCGAAACAGTCGTATACGGAACAAGTCAACTTCGCTCGCAAAGATTGTTGGTTACAGGAGGACGTCCAGGAATAACCTTTGTTCTAAAGTTGGCTCGCTGATGATATTCTGACCTCATTGCACGTGACGATATCGAAATGAGAGAGGCGACACCAGTTTTGGACCATATCTAGAAGGCTTCAGATGCACGTTGATACCACGGGGAAGATTCACATGTTCAGGAGCTTCATAATGTATCTAGATCCGCTATTACTGGCAGATAGAACAGACCCACGTCACTACCTTTGAGGACGAACTGGATGCGTGGGACGAGCTGGGCAGGGATATTGAAGAATACCCAGCGTAATTGCCTTGTGGTGTTGTTAACACGACTATACCTACTCTAGTCTTGGTACTTTTGAATGAATAATGTCCAAGGGAGAGACACTGCCATTCATGAGGTGGATGAAGATGAAAGTTTTGCGATTATAACAGGCCGTTGAGTGACTTTTCGGCAAATATGCAGGTACTGTGTGGCACGTGGATGCTTCGAAACGGTTGTTGGCATATATATGAAGGTAGCTGGGTGGGATGTATGATATACGCAAGTAAGAATGCGTTCTGACTTCGGCGGCTTGGCTAGGTACGTACTACGAAGTTATTATTTGAACTTCCAACAAAGACATCAAGTATATGATAATATCGGTTGATGTATGGAGTCAGTCGGCTTGGACGCATAGAGTTGTGCGAGCTAACTACAAGATGGGGCAACTTAAACAGTTGATAGTAAGAGAACATTGGAAGTATCTCGCACGGGACTGAAGAGAGACAGTATGCACTCGAGAGCGGCGAGACCGGTATCACAGACAAACGCTCCGCGGATGGAGCGCTCATCCACGTGCGAGGTTCATGAGCTTAGCCCCGAGTGATCGGTATATGATCAAGACTTAGACAAGTTTCATTGGACGTATGAAAGCACGATATTGAATCGTGTCAACTTGGATTGCTGCACTGCGATATTATTAGGGGCACAGACAGCTAGAGCGGCGGTAAAGGCAGACGAATGTTGCGGATAGCATAGTGAGAGAATTGGTATGCGTAGATCATTGAACCCGAATGGATTTGATCTGCCAATAACCTGCTGGTTAGATGTAATCTTCAAAGAGCGTCACATCCAAGGCAGAGTTAAGGACCGTTGGGGAAGGTTTCTGAAGAAACCCATGGAGCGATCGGAATTTGCATCGGAGCTGAACCTGATGAGCATTTTGACCAAAGTGTAAATTTCCCCCGTGCAATTTGTCAAGGCATCATCGAGACTTATAGGTTCCTACCAAGAGCACGGTCCATACCGCTTGGCTTTGATCTGATACCGTAAATGCATCACAATTGTGGGAAGCTATTGGGCAGGAGAAGGCAAAATATAGTAGTGATAGAAGGGGAACAACCTGAAGGCAGCGATGGTGGAAAGTCCCTCCCTTGTACTCACCACATCGTTGTCTGGTGATTGCTCCAGCAGGGGTGTGTTCTCTTTGTGTTGCGTGTGCCCAACATGTCGTACCTCAACAAGCTCAGAGGCGGGATAAAACTTTGGAAGCCACCAAGGGCCAGCAATCAGGATATAAATCGTCGCCGATAAGGCCGTGACATAGAGCACCTGCAAGAACATGCTCCTAGGCACCGGCACCTGAAGAATCCAACCCGACCGATCACCAATCGATCCTCCACCGACCGAACCCTTGTCCGACGAAGCGTCCACCGATCCTTGACCCACGACGCCACGATCGACCGTTCCGATCCTTTGCCCCACAGACGGAGGCCTGAGTCTGAGATCCCTAAGAGTACGGGATAGCACGGGCCTAGGTCACGTACCTAGGAGGAGAAAAAGGCGCCTCTTGGATCCCCAGTTGACGCACACACACGTCGTTTGCCCGCAGAAGGCCATGAGTGTTCTCGGATTGTGGGATGGGTTGGAGGAATTGGCTTCGACTTCAGCTACCCTAAACGACCAAGACGAACTTGCTGTCGCGTCCAGACTATCGGCACGATTCCGTCACATCCATCATATCGTTTTGGCTCATCAAGAAGCTCGCTCCAGCCACAGGTGCTCACACAAGCATCGTGAGCTCGTCTCCCTTCGAGGGGCCACAGAATCTTTGTAATCGAAGTCGACAAATCTTTCGTACGCCTATTTTTCTTCTTTTTTTCCTTGTCTAGATTGCTGGAGGTATATGTTTCGTGGTCTCCTTTGGCAATGTCAAGAGGTGCGACCAGCCAGTGATGAATACCTGGTATGTGCCAGTAAAGTACCTATGTACCTCTAGTAGGTATCTCATGCAACATTCTAGCCTGTGTAGATTTCTTAGCTACACATATCTTTTGTGCCAATGTTTCGAAAAATGTTGTCCTAGCAGCTAAGCTCAGTCCTATTGACATTGTGCGCACAAGCAGGAGGGGCTGTGGCTTCGTTTCCATTGATGGCCTCCGAAATCTTCGCTGGTCAGGTCCATATTGGCATGCACAAGTCTGCCATTTGCTCGGTTTTCCTCCATAGTTGCTGGATTTTTGAGTTTCCTGTCCCTTTTGGCGATACCAGAAGTTCACCGACCAGCAATGACAAGTGCCTCTAATGATATATGAGGCGAAAGTCCCGTGTGGATAGATAGTGTGTATTAGGTGCATGCAGTGGAATAATTATGCATTATGGAATGTGAAGGAAATTTGCCGGGTCGGATGACTCCTGTTGGGTGTCGATTACCAGATCGCAAAGATCAACGACAAAGGTTTACGGAAGACTGCGGATGATGAACGATATACGCCTATTCTTGATAGCTTCCAACATAAATTAAGTCATATAGGAGAGAATGACAGTCAAATGTTCAAATGCATCACATGTGCAGGTGAAGACGGCCGTGTTGGGAGGTATCATGGCACCTGCAATCTTTGCATTTGGCTTCTTGTTCCTGATAACGAAAGACGATAGTCGTTCATTATAAGTCGTCATCCATCGAAGCATATTATGTCAATTATCGACACCATTTAAACGTCGTCCAACGAGTGTAGAATGCTTCTCGTCACAGCTGCGGAACGTGATGACTAATCATCCCCGGCCAACTTCACCTCTCTTACACCGGACATCTCATCCAACCTACCACAAGCCCGTCTTGTTTCAATTGCAAAGGGACCGAGCTATCTCATAAGAAAATAGAAGATATGATTCTCTGTTCAGAAAACTATTTTTGCTTATATACAAATGAAGCAAAGCTATGTACAAATCCCAGATATATACACATATGCGGGAAGAAAGTACGTCGAAGCAAACATCCCCCATACGCTAGATGCAACACCCACATCCTGTTTCCATTATTATTATCTTAGTTGGTGGTAATTCCGCAGCTGCCGGGGTTGCCGTCGCAGTTGCATCCGTTGCGGGCGTTGACCCAGCCGGTCAAACGGTTGGCGATGTCGCTGGCATAGCAGTGGGTAGCAATGCCGTTCTGAAGCTGGCCGGTCTTGGAAATAGATCCAGAGTTATAAATACGAGCAGCGCGATAGAAGGCTGAAACATCACTGCGTCCAGACTGGTTAATGCAGTTGGCGAGGCCATCGCCGCTGGTGGTACCGGCGGTACCCTCGAGGATCATCTGGTAGATCGTGGCCGAAGGGCACGGATTCTTCACGCCGTTCTCGTTACAAGTTGCAGAACCGTTATGATCTTGCATAAGACCCGGATTCCTCACACCGCCATTGGTAGTGTGAACACGAACCTTTTACACGATTAGCATCATATATGAAGTTCTCAGGGGTAGAGGGGGTGAGGGGGGGGGCGGGCGTTGACGTACGCAACCGTGAGACTCCTGCATAATGATAGCAAGGATAAAACGATGATCTACACCGGTAGCAGCGGCGGCTTGCTGAATTCCATCCCAAATAGCTCCAACTTCTGGGCCGCTGTCGTTGGCTTGGGGGGTGGGCAGGTTTTGGCACGCAGCGAACATCTGGTTCTTGTAGTTGTCAAACATGGTCTGGAAAGACACCCAGCGGCTCTGAGCGGGCCAGCCAGCACCAGTGCTTCCGTCTCCCCAGTACATGGTGTAGGTGTCGCTGCCGGCACCGACTCCATCCTGGATGTTGGAGTTGTCGAAGCGGGCGACGGCATTGGTGACCTTTTCGCCAGTCACTCGCGCCTCAAGCTTGACATTGGCGACAACAGGTGCATCAGCAGTCCTGGAAACGTGAGAGCTGCTAGACTTTGAAGGCGTAAAGTTGCCCTTCTTGGGAATTGAAAAGTCCACAGTGTCGGGGACCGGGGCGGTAGGGCCGTCAAGAACGGACGGGGGATAAGGGGAAGCCAGAGAAGCCCCGACCAGGAGAGAAGCGACAAGAAGCTTTAAAAATGCGTTAGATGTGTTCAACATTGCGCAAAACTTGTGACTTACCTTGTTGACCATTTTGAATTTGGTTTGGTTTGAAGAGAGATATTGACTAGCTTGTCGTAGTTGATGGCGATGGCTATGAGCTTGTTGAGAGTGATAACCACGAGACAGGAAGCGGGATTCTTGTTCATTATATATTATTCATGGTCGTCCTTTCAACTTTCTAACCACCTGGTGGTTCTATTCCAGCTTCCTCTTAGAGCAAGACTCAACTCCAGGCATCGTGAGCTTATTGCAGGGCTTATCTTACGTTCCATCTTCCCGCAACATCATGTATTGCTACTACTAAGCCAAATTCATTGCAAGGGTAAGGGGTATCCGTACCACCGCTAGCATCATCAGGCCTATCTGTTTGAGTATTCTCACATTACCCCATATGTTAAGCTTGCTTGAACTCGGCGACGCCTGCACACGCCAAGAACTCTTATGCCAATACCATTCCGTGATGGTTGGTGCATTCATCTATTTCAAAGGGCTAAACTATTGCGAATTCCGTTAGAATCAGTTGTATATCCCCACTTACGATTCCGAAGGGAGGTAGATATCATCGCTAGTGTGCACTCTCGCTCTATTCAGCGTTACTCGCATTGAACATGTTCCTGATTTAGTCCCACTACGTTACTGCGACAGGGTATCCTGGGTAATAGCCTACATATGATGCATTCTCCTTTTTCTGGAGTGCATTGCGTGCAGACTACAGCCCGAACGAAACATTGTAGCTTTCATGCTGGAGCAGATGCATAGTCCAGAGAAATCCAGCTCTCCGGAGCGACCCGGATTTGCGAACTACATGCCATATACAGATTAAGTGGTAAGCGATTCGGCTACCAGGGGCTCCTTGTTATCTGGCGAGCCGCACGATCAACTGGCTGCAAGCAAGCAGTCCTCCACAGTCTATCCTGCGCAACTTTAGCAGGTGGAGTACTGTCAAGTTAGGCATAACAATAAGCTATATTAACTTCAAGGCACAGGATCACACGTGGAGACTTAGCGCAATAGTTCGGTATATTCTGCGGCCAAATCGCACTTGGCAGGGTGAGATGCTTAACCCCAATGAGGCAGGTAGCGATATCCAAACTGGCACATTTCGAGAAGGTAGAGTTGAATTATTGAGTGACAATCCCGAATCATTATCCAAATTAAACTCGGGGGTAAGGAAACATAAGAAGAAAGGGCCAATTGAGGTAGGTCCAGCAGGAAAGCCGAGCCGCCAAGCTGTAAGCAGCGCTTCGGTGTGGCTGAGTAGACGGAATTGAATTGACCGACGAGCGAGTTCTTTAAGATTACGGAATAAACATCTTGGTAAATGCCCGGCATAGAGTACAATATCGAGGGTGGCCTGTTCATATTCTCTTATGGAACGGTCTCGAGCTCTTCGGGGCTTTCTTTCCTACCCGCAGGCTAGCCGCTGAACTCGTCAGTGTGAGATGCCCCTAGCAGCCGAAATTCATGTGTATTTATGCAAACATCGTTAGTCGTAAGTTGCAAATATACATGGCTCGATGGAAGTGGTCTCGTCGTTTCATCCGGAAACGAAGCGATTGCTTAATCCATCCAGATGCATAAATTGTTTGGCACTCTCGGACACTGTGACTTGTATATTATTTCTAGGTGATGATTCCAGCTCTGCTTAACCCTGCTCCTGCCCAATCAGGGTATATCGATTATCCTATGCCGCTAGTATTGATGAGAAATCATGCTTTCTGCTTTTGTAACCCGAATACGGCACTGCGTCAATAGTCCTCGAGGAATCCCCATAGCATCTCTATTTTATTATTCGAATACAGTACACAACAGCAACATTAACAATCTAGGTATAGCATCTAGACCACATCAAGGACAACCACCGGCCCTCGACGGCCGCAAAGGCATGCAAGTCAGCCCTTCGGTAGCGAGATTTTTGTAGCACGACGGCCGCCACAGATAGAACGGAGCGCAACAGGGATCTTTTCTCCATCCATAATCCATCTCCATATTTAAGCTTCATAACGAAGATGTTTATTGCTCCTTCGGTTCAATTGATTGTCCGCAGCTCTCTATCAACATCATGCCAGGAAACTGGAAAAGAGACACTGTATGTATTGTCTCAACGACCTGAATTGTTCAATTATAGATAACATATCGCAAATGTTATCTACTGATCAAAATTCCGGAGGATGCGTCCCGGGTAGAATGAGATACCCGGCAAAAGTGAAGCTTCAACGTTACATGCGACAGTGTGCATTTAATTTATCTGGTGCTGCCGCGTGGACACCTCCACATAGCTTAAATCAAGAGCAATACTGTATAAACGCCGAATAAAGCACTGAGAAGACAAATTCGGCATTGAATTTTTCCGTGGTCAAATCACAAGGCTGTGCTAAACAGGCCAACATCTCCTCGTTACCGTTATAGGCAGCTCTAAGAGGGCGCGCCATATTAGTAAATGATGTTTGGGGTCGGGTAAAGTATCCGCAGCAAGAGCTGACAAGAAAGACTGTACCTAAAAAAGGACTAAAATACCCTGTAATATCTACTTTAGGTAATCTACGAATTGCTTTCAGCGGACTGTCGTTCGTCTCGGCTGCTAATCCCGGCGTTGGCGATTTACTGTATTCAGCCTTCCCTCGTCCGTGGCCAAAGGTCTTGATGGCCATCAGCGCGCGAAGAATTTATTCTTACAAAGAATGTCTAAAAAAGTACGCCAAGGGGCGTTTGGTTTGAAGAATGATATTTGTTGAACCATTTAATGTTCTTACAACTGCTCTGATTAGACTCACTTCGCCTTTATATTTACAGTGCGGTGTGGCCGAGGTATGCGCCATCGTGGCCCAAACATGACCATGAGAATCACTTGTTCGTCATTCAGTCATGTCGCAAGCTACTTTTATGTTAATATATGGTAGCCATCAAAACATCCAGCCAACAAGAGACTTACACATCGGATCTCGCCGTGATAATGCGCAAGTCAATGTATCCACTATAGCTTTGAGGAAGCCATTCATACCAAGCGTTGCGCTGCCTCCTTTCATAAGAACCATCCTATTGGCAGCGTCCATGTGCTGCTTCGAGGTATCTTTATCACCGATATTGAGCTGCTCCAAGAGTTAACATCAGCCTGTTCGAGTATGTAGTCCCGCATCTTACTTCGTCTGCCGCAAGCAAAGAGACTTGGGCGATTGCCGGGTCACCCACCGGCGGATCTTGAGCTGCGAGCAGTTCACTCATCGATCGCAGGCAAGCGAGCTTGTAGTATGTAGCTAACTGCACGAAACGATTGTTCTTGGCCTCTTCAAAAAGGCTTCGGCAAGCAGAAAGTAAGATTGCGCTCAGTAATCCTGGGTTCGCCAACGCAGCCGGAAGCAGCTCGGTGAGCATGAAACGTTTCCACACATTAGAGTCTGTGTACTTCTTGCAATGCCGTTTCCCGAATGGGATAACAAAGCTGACATCTATCATTATATAAGCCAAGCCGTTTAATGATCTTCAAAATGGCACAATAGCAGATCAGCGACTCACAGTGATAGAGGAGAAATTGTTGGGTAGTGTCAAGGTCGGCGCCATAGACGGAGTAGATGTCCTTGGGCATCGAAGACAGTGGAGATGTTTCCAAACTAGGAGATTGAGAAGCTTGAGGAAGATGAAGAACCATTTCACGACTGGCTTCATTCTGATTAGAGCTGGAACGTGGGTTTGCCGCCAAGGCTGAGCGGCTGCCGCCAGCTGAGGACTCTGCTGCGGCTTTCTGGGGCGCTTGACTGCTTCCTTCTCCCTTCTGCTTCTCCTCATGGTATTCGTTCATTCGCTGCCTCCGTATCCTTGCATGTCCGTGCCGCGCGGCATGAGATTTAGCCGCTTTATGTGACGAGATAGCTGCCTTTGAAGGATCTGTGAGATAGACGAAATGCACCTTTCCTCGTGTTGGTAGACTCATGGTGGAGAGCGCCGAGATGCTGCTAGATGATATCGATAACAAGGGGAGTCTCAGGCACGTTGGAACTATATCACTAATTGACCGACTACAAAGAGATAAGAGCAAAGTACCGGCCGAAATATTTGATGTTTTGTGCGAATTTTAATTCCGTATGGACTTATATGATGATAAATCCAAATCTCCAATTGCCCGCAAAGCCACAACTAAGAACCTCACTATGGAATTCGAGGCTAGGCTATAACGAGCGTGCCAAGACTTGCAGTTTCCTAAAGAGGAACTACCGACCCCTGCCGATATTTGGCCGGCTTTCTACCGAGCTCTTCCTCGCGTAATCAAAGCTGAGATCCAAGGCATCGTGAAGATGAAAAGTGCCGGATTACCAATGAGTCAATTCGCCCAGCCACGTGGTGTTTTCTCTTCTAAAAATGATAAGGAACCTCGTCAGTTCCAAGGGCGGTATGGATAGCATTGACAGCTTCGACGACATCGTCAGGCAGAGGTCCTTGTTCAATGACGTCGAGGTTGGAGTTGAGCTGGTCGAGGTTCGATGCGCCAATGATGATGGCATCACCATGCTTCCTGTCGAGAACACTGTGGTTCACAGTCCATCTCAGGGCAACAGCATGGCCGCTAATGCCATGCTTGGCGGCAATTGCCAACGCATTATCCGTTGCAACTTCGATTGAAGGCTTGAGATACAGCTGCGAGTAGACGCCTCCGAGAAAGGTCTGTATATAATGTTAGATATGACCTATCAATTCACAACTCGCGAGAGTAATTAACGCAGAGAACTCACGGATTTGTCGAAACGGCCGCCAGACTTGCCATTCTTATGGTTTCCAGCGAAGAAGCCTCCTCCGGCAGGGCTATCAACTGGTTAGCTTATCACAACCTCATTCGTCTCCCCAATTCTTTCACGATGACTGCTAAAATTGGGTAGAATGATGAAATAGAATTACTCACCTCCAGGCATAGAATGCAATGTTGTTCTTGCGCAGAAGAGGGAACAATACCTTCTCTCCACCTCGGACAATAGGATTGTACTGCCCCTCATAGACACTCGGCTTTACGAATCCGCGACGTTCGCAGATTTCGAGAATTTGTTCAACCTCGCTTGCCGTGTAGTTAGAAAGCCCAAACTTCCTAAACTTGCCTTCCCTGTACGCCTTGTCCATGGCTTCGCACGTCTCCTCAAAGGGAGTCTCTCGGTCAGGCTGGTGCAGGTAATAGATGTTGATTTGGTCAACCTTCAGAGCTTTGAGAGACGCCTCTACTTCACTAGCGATTTTCTCCTTTGTGTGGCTCCCTGGCTCTCGGGATAGCGCTTTAGAGTCGATGGTGAACCTCTTGCCAGCCTCAACAGCACCGAGTCTGGGCTCGGATGTTCCTGATGCACCGGTCGAGTACGCGCGAGCGGTATCAATATGTTTATAACCGCGATCGTAGAAAGCGTTCAAGTATGCGTTCACCTCTTCAGGCGTGTCGTACCGCACGGTTTTGTCGATACTTCTGTCTCCAATCTAGAGGCCAATTATCAGAGGAAGATCCTTTGTATACTTGCAGCGGGAAGAAAGTACATTGCCAGCTCCAATGATGACGTCGAGGGGTGCTTTGGCGGCCATCTTGAATCAAATGGTTGAAGATTGGTTATCAATCAAACTTGTGTGTAGTTGTATCAAGTGGAAATATCAAGTGCTTGAAACTCTTTACGATAGTAGCCGATATTCGTGGTTTTATACGTGCCCTTGAAGGCAGCCATGATGGAAAGGGAATTTTCTTGCAAAGTAATCATTTCGTGCAATAGAAACATTTGGACGAGTGATTTGAAATACCCTCGACGGATTTTATTTTATCTATTGAGTAATGAACTACATACTGCAACCAAGAGAATTTGAGTTATGATGATGCGTCTTGAAATTGGTGGATATCACCCCTCGATATTCCTGATTTCGTAGACTATTCTGAAAGTAGCAACTGCAAGGGTTTGACAGCCAGGAACTAAACATAGTTTATACCTCACTCCCGGGAACATATCAACTACCGATTTGCCTTCTTGTATTTGATTGGTGTAAATGAAGTGGAAAGAGATGTACTGTTGCCACTTCATCAGGAGATTGTCCAAGAATGGCAACTGCCAAATCTATCCATCATGAGCAAAATACCCAGCACTCTAACTAGGCCTACGTAATACAGAGAAATAATTGCCTACTCCAATAGTTGCCTTGGAATTCATCCAATTGGTCATCTATCTGATGCAATAGAGAGGCTCCTCGTTGACCCAGGAATAGGTCATTGTGGCTGATTCAGGAGAGTTGTTACAAAATTATTAAGCAGGCTTAGATGAGCACAAGCATCCACATACGCCTACACTATGCGTACTTGCGCCCTCAGTGACACGTCCGGAAATAGAACATGGGCATCTATTTGTCACGTTCTTTGTGCTTCCCATCCGTTGTATGTTTTGTACGACATGATAATGCTTGATGAGTAGAAGTATAGGTGTAAATATTGAGTTATCAAGTGGATCTGTGTGACCACTCCTTGGTCGAGGCCACTTCTCTGCTGGCTCTTATTTACAGCCAGCTTTTCCCTTCTCCAATCTACGCACAACAGAGAGTTCACTTTCCTAGCACCGGCGCCTTGTCAGTAAACTTGAAAACCTTATCAAACTCGGCACCACGAAACAATTTTTTACAAATGTATTTACGATTCATTATCCCTTTCCTCTTAGGCCTTCAATGGACTGGCTACGCAAGTGCGCTCACAAACTTCGATGACTGGGCCCACCAGCGCATTGCTCTCCAAGACGTGAGTATTCACTTTCGTTACGCGGGAAGTGGGCCACCTGTACTGCTGGTGCATGGTAACCCTCAGTTCAGCCTCACATGGCGCATTATTGGACCTATACTTGCTGAGAATTACACCGTCATCGCCGTGGATAACCGTGGCGCCGGCGACTCTTCGTTACCACCGGATGGGAATTACACCGTCATGGCATCCGCAGAAGATCTCAAAGGCGTCTTGGATTTTCTCAATATTACCTCAGCATACGTGTTATCGCATGATATGGGAGCCGGCATAGCCACTGCCTTGGCTGTGAAATATCCTGATTTAGTTCGGAGGCTCGTTGTGACGGAATACCTTCTCCCTAAATTTGGGTTTGAGTCTGCGCGAAATCCTGGATCGTACTGGGATTTATACGCCAATTGGCAGCTCGCCTTCTTTTCAATTACAGATGCCGCCGAGTTCTTCATCTCCGGCAAAGAGAGGCAAATGCTCGAATGGTATTTCTTTCACGGGAGCTACTCTGGTGCTACGAGCTTCTCTGAAGATATTGTCAATCGATATGCAAGCTCAATTTCGAAACCAGGATTCCTAAGAGCTATGCTTGGTCCATTTGGGATTGGAGCCGTTGCCGAAACGGCCAGCTTCTTCCAGGGCACTCTCGGAAAGAAACCTCTCCAGATGGCAACCTTGTCGATGGGAGGAGAAGCTAGCCTAGGGCCCTTCGCCAAGCAACTCTGGGGTAATGTGACTAGCCATCTCGAGACGGATGTGGTTCCGAAGGCTGGACACTGGATTGGTAGGTCATGGAATTTCCTCTCATTAAGCATGCCTACTGTTCTTTGGCTAACCTTGGAAAATTGTTAGCGGATGAGAATCCTGCGTGGGTTGCCAAACGAGTGCATAAGTTTTTCTCAGAGGATTCTACTCATCCACGCTCAGTTGATCTGTCGGTACTTGACGATAGAGTAACTCTTATGAATGTGGGTTACCTTGGAACTCTTCGGAACGTAGCTCTGGCAGGCTCTTCCTGAGTTCGTCGCTTGAAGTTCATTTCCATTTGTAACCTTTCGATACTGAATGTTTAGATATTTGCCTTGATACATTAAGATTGTGTTAGGATTTGTTTATTTGCCTCTCTCTCATGCCAAAGCTGCAGCGAACGCATTGTATGTGTAGCATTTCGCAGACGTCAAAGCACCATCCAATACCAGCTGTGTAGCCTGATAGATACATTTTTTTATACATATGGCTTTCATAAGATGCAGTTCTTGTTCAATTTTCTTCATCTCCATGATGAAAATAGCCTTCATAAATAATAGCTTCCATTGTAATTCTCAAACGACTCCAATGAATGCGGCAAACTGCATTGCCATCCGGAATCCATCAAACACAGCCACCTACGTCCAGAGGGCATAAAAATGAATGCCTATCCAAAGACTTGAGCCTAATTTTCGTCAAGATCAACAATAAGTATAGACCAGACTTCATTAAATTAGCCATGCGACTTCCCCAATGCGTTTTCAGCAGCCACAACTTGCTTCTTCGCGGCTAAAAAGCTGTCAGGGCTGACGGAGATGGAATCAATACCTGCGTCAACGAGAAATCTGGCAAACTCCGGATGGTCACTTGGAGCCTGTCCACAGATGCCAATCTTACAGCCTCTCTCGCGCGCTATAGAAATGACTCGAGAAATCATCCACTTGACTGCCTCATCCTGTTCGTCAAACAAGTCACCCAACTCGCCAGAGTCGCGGTCCACCCCAAGTGTCAATTGTGTCAAGTCGTTAGAACCAATAGAAAACCCATCAAAATACTCGGTGAAGTTCGCCGCCAAAATCACATTCGACGGGATTTCACACATGACATATACCTTCAGGCCATTCTCTCCACGTCTGAGCCCATGGCGAGCCATGACATCCAAAACCTTTCGTGCCTCTTTCACTGTGCGACAGAAGGGAATCATGACTATCGCGTTAGAAAGGCCAATCTCCTCGCGCAAACGCTTAATGGCCCGACACTCGAGCGCGAAACCCTCTTGGTAGCGCGGCGAATAGTACCGTGATGCACCGCGAAAGCCAAGCATGGGGTTTTCCTCGTCTGGTTCAAACTCAGCACCGCCAATAAGACCAGCATACTCATTCGTCTTGAAGTCACTCAATCGAATAATGGCAGGCTTTGGGTAGACAGCAGCACATAGGGCCGCAAAGCCGCGCGATAGCTTGTCCACAAAATAGTCGGGCTTGTGCTGGTATCCCGCCGTGAGTTCGGCGATGCGACGCTTGACATCTGTGTCTTTGAGTTGATCAAAATGGACGAGAGCCATAGGGTGCACTTGAATGGCGTTGCTGACGACAAACTCCATGCGAGCAAGACCAATGCCATCGGCTGGGAGCCGCCACCAGCGGTAGGCCGCTGCTGGATTGGCAAGGTTGAGCATGATTTTCGTCTTGACCTCGGGAAGTCCAGAGACACTGACAGTCTCACTCACTACATCCGAGATGCCCTCATAAACGAAGCCACAGTCTCCTTCAGCACAAGATACGGTGACGTCCTGGCCGCTGTGTAGGAGATACGTGGAGTTGCCTGTCCCAACAACGGCTGGGAGTCCGAGTTCACGGCTGACAATGGCAGCATGCGAAGTGCGTCCGCCGTGATCCGTGATGATGGCTGCGGCCCGTTTCATTACAGGCACCCAGTCGGGATCTGTTGCTCCCGTGACGAGGATAGAGTTGTCAACAAACTGGTCAATATCCGCCGGCGATGAAATCAGGCAGACTCGTCCCGACAAAGCTGCTTCGCCGACTGAAAGCCCAGTGACCAGGACACGCCCTTTGTTGCTAACTTTGTATGTTTTAAAGATGCCGGCGTCGTGGTGCGAATGTACGGTTTCCGGCCGGGCTTGCACAATAAATAGTTGACCCGTAATGCCATCCTTGGCCCATTCCATATCCATGGGGCACTCATAATGTTGTTCAATGGTACATGCCCACCGCCCGAGCTGTAAGATCTCGTCATCGCTGAGCACGAAAGAGTGTCGCTCTGCTTTGGACGTAGGGACGTTGCGTGTTGGCGTGTGTTGATCACCGTAGACCAACTTGATCTCCTTGTCACCTCTCTTCTTCTCCAATATGGGACTTAGATTGGGACTGGGTAGCAGTGGCTTGAAAACCTGGTATTCATCAGGGTTGACGGTTCCCTGTACGATATTCTCCCCCAAGCCCCATGCCGCGTTGATGAGTACGATCTTGTCGAAGCCACTTTCGGTGTCAATTGAGAACATGACACCAGAGCCACCAATATCAGAGCGCACCATGCACTGTACACCAATGGACAGCGCAACACCCATTTGCTCAAAGCCTTTGATCCGGCGGTAGCTCATGGCCCTGTCTGTGAATAGTGAAGCATAGCAACGACGGCAGGCATCCAAGAGAGCCTCATCCCCAGAGATGTTCAAATAAGTCTCTTGCTGGCCAGCAAAGCTCGCGTCAGGCAGATCTTCAGCAGTCGCACTGGATCTTACGGCCACACTAAGGTTCTTTTCGCCTTTCTTGTCCGCAAGATCTTTATATGCAGCCAGAATCGCCGTTGCCGCATCGGCCGGCCACGTGCCATGAAGGAACAAGTTGCGCGTCAGTTGTCCTGCTTCAGCAAGACTCAGCCTCCCCGCTTCCCATTCCTTCACCAGTGAGGCCAGCTTGGCTCTTATGCCATTGGCATCAACGTAGTGCCAATACATGTTGGAAGTTGTGGCAAAGCCTGGGGGGACAGGGATTCCTTTGGCGCTCAGCGCACCAATCATTTCTCCAAGAGAAGAATTCTTCCCGCCAACTAAATTGACATCATTGCGCTTCAAGTGCTCGAAGTTGAGGACCATGGGTCCCGAAATGGGATGGCCGTTCATTTTTCCCTTTTTGCCGTTGCTTGGATTAATGTCTTGAGTCGGTCAAGAAAGCTTCTTTTAGGAAGCAGGCCAATCTCTGCGATGCGGCATCAATGTCCTTGCATTGAACGATCACGCATAGCCGAATTAGGTTGAGTTAAATGAGTATTGACAGTGTAGTTATTCTCAGTATATATAGAGAAAGTTGAGAATTAGGATAGACAGCTTAAGGAACGCCAAAAAGACTGTATGCCGCGTCCTTCTTTGATGCCGTTTCACTCTCTTGTTCTAGAGCGCACCTAAACTCGCAGAAACGTTTTATGACACCACAACAGATGATGACCCCGTATGTAATGATTGAGCGTTATCATACCACTTTAGAGTTTAGGGACAAACTCAAGCAGTGTTCGCACACCATGTCGAGCAGCTGATGTGGCTCGACGGCACAGCATTTAAGCGGTGATATGCAGAAAGGCAAGATTACATTTGGCTGTACACTGTACATTAGAGTCAACCGTTGTGTCATTGCCGTGAGTGTTGAAACATCATGATCCAGAAGTTTAGGCATAGCAAGTCGTCTGTAGCATTAGCACACAGTTTAGAGCACACAAGCAGTGGATGTAGAACTGATGAGATAAAGCATTACTACAATTTATTTCCTAACTTTCAAATTTGGATTATACATTCATGATGTATTAGTTGAACGAATCTTAAGATCGTCATTCCCTAAACGTTTTTTCCCTTCCTCCCCTTATTTCTTTCCAGACTCCCTGTATTCACCAGTTTTTACTCACTTGGTCAGTCATCATCTTGAGTGCAATTGCTGAGTCGGCTATCTGAACATCCTCGTCCCTATCCAGTGGCACCTTCACTGTGCGTTCAATTCCTTTTTTGCCGAGCACCACGGGCAAGCTGAAACAGCATTCAAATGACGGCTGGAAATGGCTAAGGGGATGAACAGTCCGCTTGTCAAAGACAATAGCAGAGCAAATGCTGGACACGATGGAACCAATGCCGAAAGGAGTTGCTCCTTTGGCTCGGACTATACTCTGCGATCGATTCTTGCACTCGCTGGAAAGTTCGGCGCGATTGATGGCATTGTCTGTTGAGAGACATTTGTCGATGGGTGTGCCGCCAACTGTTGCGGCAGACCACGCCGTCACCTGGGATTCTCCCTGTACCCCCAACACGAATAGATCAATCGATTTCGCCGCAACCTAATGTTACTGTTAACATTTCTCGGCTTCGAAAAGAGCTTACAAACACGTACCTCAATCTTGTCTGCCAGCATTCCTCGAAGACGCACAGAATCCAGATACGTGCCAGAGCCCAAGACTTGGGACGGCGGAAGTTGGGAGAGTTTCAAGGCGAGTGAAGTAAGTAGATCAACGGGGCTAGATACTACTAGCAGGATAGTATCTGCTTTGAAGGGCGTCATTGCGTCGACAGCGGTCTTGACAATCGAAATATTTCGATATACTTGGTCAAGACTAGTTTCACCTGGCATCCTGTATTAGCCTAAGAAGCAAAAGTCCCGAGTACGTTTGGTGGTCCAATCTTACCTAAATTGTGCCTTGACCCTGCAGTAATGACGACAATGTCACACTGGCCCGCCTCATGGTAGTTTGCTGCTCGTACTCTTGTCCGACTGTTGCAGCTATACGCCACATCTGAGAGATCGCGAACCTGGCCATCTCTCAAATTCACGTTAATATCAACGAAGAGCAACTCAGCAGCTATTGAGCTGCGGATAAGTGCGTAGGCAGCGGCAGCACCGACTTGACCGACTCCAACAATTGCAATACGTGACCCGGACATTTTAGCTGTTGATAAGAATGGTGATTCTTGTTTGCATGCTAGGATTTAACGATAAGCCATTCCTTTTTACGCTGCAATCAATCGCAAGGTGACGTATGATTTGTTTAAAGCTTTAGTAGTTCACTTTTCGAGTATGCCAAGTGGCGGACACATTTGGTCACGTAAATGACAAAACGTTGCTCTCTCTCGTATGTTATATCTCACACCATGGCTGAAGTTTATATCAGCTGCTGCCAAGGTAAGCCACATACAAAAGCTGACCAACTTACGCATTAGCCAGTGGATTGATTAAAGTTAGTTTGCGCCAACCGACCTCTTTGTTAGCGGCGGAGCCAGCTCCGAGGGTATGGGGATAAATCAGTCGATCATAACACTTTGGGTTATGAGATTGGCATCATACTATTTTATTAAGTATGGAGCTCAAACTATGCAGAATAGTGCAAAATCGATATGTTTAAATGACGAAATTCGACCTAGAGACATCTTTACGGTCACACTGGGGGTGCAATACAGGTGGCCCATTACATGTATGTATTTTGTAGTAATCCGATCAATACTCGTACCATCTCATACGTGATATAATGGTTGTAGACTCCTCTAGCGTACAATTGAGAGATCCGTATCTTGTGTACTTTGAAGTTTACATATAGAGAAGGCTTTATTGTAAAGCTCCTAATTAGAAGGTTGCTATAACTGCTTGTGTCAAGGCAACGGAGGAGCGAAGGAGCCGCGAACACACCCCAACAAAGACAAACGGTATATTATATAATCTTAAGTAGCCGTTAAGCTATAGCCGGTGAATCAACTTGATCATTGATCTCATGGTTGTAGATGACAACCCGTTGATGCGATTATATCGGGTTATCAAAGGCAGGGTCATGATTTGGAATACCTCTTCCGGCATGCTGCATGTTGAGAAGTACTTGGTGCGGAAATTCCGGCCACAACATTTCAACGCTCATATTTTGCCAGCCGTATTCAATATCAGTAAGTGTAGAGGATACCCGACTATTTAATGCATCGTATGTTGTAAAGTCGGCAATGCTATTTGCATGCTGTTGAGGAAGAAATGGCGGAGGTCCAGAATCTACCTGGTTAACCTCTGTATTAGCAGGAGTTACCATGGATGGACTGCCGTTGCACATGGACTCAATTTGAGAGCCTCCTTCGATGCTTTGGATGTCTGAAGTCATGGATGAATCGATCATGTGTTTTATTCCTTTCACAAGGATTGGAACTTGTGGGAGGGCTTTGTCCTGTTTAGGAATCATCGTTGAAAGGCAATCAACGGCGTTTTGCATATACGGAAGATGGATTGTGCGCCGCGAACTATTGCTGAGCATGTCAAAGCCGAGGACAAAACACGCGCCTTCAAGGAAAAATGCCATATATACCGTTCTCTATTTTGAACGTCAGCTGAATTTGCAATTGCGCAGGCCGGGGACTTAAACCTACTCTACAGATCTCGTCTAGCTCGCAAGACTTTGTAATCAGTCGTATGCATTTCTGAGCGGTGTCTAAGCAGTTCTCACATGCTCCATTCAGCCAAGTGAGTCTATGAAGCTTATTCAACGTTGGAGTTCTGATTGTGGGTGGTATGAGATCCAGCTTTGCCTTCAGTATAAGGAAAGGTCGAAATAGTAGTAGATGAGTGTGATGATACACTGGGATCAAACAGATGTTGTTAGCAGTAGTTACATGCAACCGCGTTTCTCCATACTTACTTGCGGATATCGTGGTCAAGCAGAATCCCAGTTCTCCAGTACAAGATACTCTGTCAGGCTCAAACCCAATTTCCTTACGCTGCTCGTCAGCAAACTCATGGAGCTCGCCACGAATCTCATTTACCACATCCCACATATGCACAAGAGACTCGTAAGTCCGATTGTAGATGCGATCAGCGCAATGCGATACAATCTTTGTCAGCTTCACCAAGGCCGCCATTATCTTGTCGTCTGCGGGAACAGGTATATCCAAGCCGAGCTCGGAAATAGATGTCTGGCGCCCAAGAATAAAGCAAACCCATCTTGGCACACGCTTCAAATCAGCTATTTCATCAAGACAAGAAGACATTAAAGGGCACTCACACTTCCCAAACATACGTACACCAGAACGCAAGTCGGCGCTGTGAAGCATCTTCGGGCTTGCCCCGGATATTAACTCCTCTGTGAAGGCCGGCCGCAATAGCTTTCCTAGCCGCGTTTCCAACATGCATAAACCCGGAATGAGGCTTTGATCTTTCCATTCGGAACTGTGCAAGAATGAGCTCCAAATGAATGGATTGAATATTTACATATTCATTGGCCCGTTTCGCGTTGGCCTTGACACCTTGGAATAACATCTGCGTGACTTTCTCCTCTCCCATCATGGATGCACCAACAGCCATTGCAGCAAGTACAACCATACCATCCAATGAGTCAAATGCGCATACTCCGGGAGTTACGTATATCTGTGCGAGACGCTGCCGGAAAATCTCTTTGCTAACAATGGGCAACATATGCCAATATGTTGAAAGATACCGCTCAAGAAGCTGATTGGACAATTCTTGCGATGGGAGAGTGGTAAAATGAACCCCTGTAATGGGTACAGCTTTATTTGAGTCTGCCAAATCGCCAAAAAATAAGAATTGGTACTCGAATAGATCCAGCCCAGGACCGACTTGTGCCACTTCGGCACTTCGCCCAAGCGGCTGCGGAACACCGGATATCTGGCTAGATACCAGGTGCATGATTGAAAAGTTGGAGGACGGTCCATAGTGTAACTGAAAGTTATATGAGGCCATCGGGAGCGCTGCTATGCTATGGACGTGAAACCCCTGGTTGCCTTCGGTCTCAGACTCATGGCTGAGGTTGACCTGTCGCGCCAAAGATGTTTCTGGGTTGTTTTCTTTTGGCAATGATGCGGGTCTAATCCGGGGCTTCTTCAAGCGATTGCGGACTTTGAAGCGATATACACATTGCATGTTGCGCTTCGAGCACCGACAACAAGGGTTTCCGCCCTCGCAGCGGATTTTTCGAATGCGACATTCCTCACAAGCTTTGTTAATGTTGGTCATTGTGTTAACTAAAGGAAGAAAAAATGGAAGAAAAAATGGAATTGATGTGAGAAATGAAGCTGGTGGCGATAAAACGCATCCATTCAGTCCGCTTTCATGATGCCAATTGACTGTTCTCGGCTTGCTTAGGGGATTCTTAGTCAAGGAGCCGGCTATGCATTAATAACAAAAGAGCCGGTGCAAACCCGACATTACGATCCGCTTAGATAAGGAGGATATCCTCGGGGGAATCCTTCGGGGCAATAGGAACAACTCTTGTGTAGGACGCAAAATTGTTGCGAGGAAAAGACTACTTCGTATTCATGCGTATTCCGTTTAAAATACGAGGTATTGGGCTAACCTCCCTATGGGCGGGGCCTGGAGGTAAGGCAAGATGAAATGCTTCAATATTTCCGTATTTCCGCCTGAGCTTCAACTTTCCTCGGCTCCGCAGGCATCAAAGACGGCGAAACTACTAGGATCTGTGGGTTGTCCATGGTAAACGGTGGATTCGGAAAACGTATATTGGAGAAGACGGGTGAAGATAGAGTGGAAGGGTCCAGCTGTTTGACCAAGGATACGACTGTTATTGCATGAACCAGACAGTTAAGAAATATAACAACTCCACAGCCTTTTCGTGTCTGCTATGTCAGCATTGTGATACTTGCGCTAACAGAGATTATATCTAACTGGCGCTTTGTAGGGTGAAGTTGCGTTAGGCCAGTCGTACCTCTCAGAACAATCAAAGTACCAGCTGAACCGGCTTGCCTTCTTATTGGTCCGGCTTCGCTCGGCCGTCTTTGTGAAACTCATCTGCAACTTTATCTCTCTCAAATACGAAATAGCATCTCCAATGGACTTACTGTGCGAACCGAGCTCTCCGGCTGCTCCACCCCGAAGGACACCGTATGTGTGTACGGAGGATTGGGACGGCGGCCCGTTCCTAACTTATGCGGTGCGGAAGGGCATGGCCCGGGTAGTCCCTCCGCGCCTCAGACACTTGTGCGCAGATGCTGCAAATGAGCCATATCTTGAACTCATTCACCCCACGCCAAAAGAGAAGATTCAGCCAGTTCTGCAGACATGGCTTTGGTTTGGGCTGTTTGCCGAGATGCTTGGCTTGAACGAGACCAGCCCCGGCCATCGCATGGTTGAAGATGCCCTCGCTGCCGAGGAGATTCGGAAATTGTACGATGTTTGCGTATATGCCGCTGAAGAAGACGGTAATAGGTATATCAGTGCCAAGGCAGTGTTGGAATCATCGCAAATCATGACTGAGAGAATGAAGCTTGTGCCCGACAAGCGCGAGAGATTCACGTACATGCGTGATTGCCTTCAATTTGCCAGTTTGATGACGCCCTCTATCACAGATTTAGATGAAACAGTGCGATACTCGATATGCGCTCTGGGAGAGTACTTCACCACAGGGTTATTTCAAGCTATTGTGCTGTCGAACCCCAAGGTAGACGTTCCTGGTGTATTATTTAGCTGGCATCAAAACTACATGCGGTCTGGAGGTACTATGGACAAACAAATGCTCCAACAAGGATGGTGCCCAAGCGAGATTGAGAAGCTACGATCCCAGTTTAATGGACTTCATACGATGCATCATATAGCACAGCTGCAGAGGCCGAATGCCAACCAAGATCATTCGAACTGTACTAGTCATCTATGCACAGCTTTCCAGATGGATATAGAGACTTATAAGCCTTCACATCTGTCTCCTGGCTGTACCTGTGACCTTATTGGCATTGACGAGAGAGCGACGTCGTTAATTCTCCGTAGTACGGACACTTATCCTATCATACGCTTTGACCAGATAGGAGATGGAGTAGATGATTTTGAGCTGGTGGTGGAACCATACGAGCCGGGCGTCCCCTATGTCGCTCTCTCTCATGTGAGTTCTCCCCGAAATCCACGCACATATGACTACCCACTAAGAACAACAGGTTTGGGCCAATGGCCTAGGAAACCCAAAGGCCAACTCTCTGCCAAGATGCCAGATAAAACACGTCGCTCAGTTAATAGCCTCGATGCAGGCCGAAGTAGAGACTGGTAATGCAGAATACAGGACCCAGTACCGAATGTGGATTGACACTCTTTGCTGCCCTGTTGAGCTTGAAGGTAAACTGATTGCACTCGAGAGGATTGCCAGTGTATACCGAAATGCAGCTCATGTTCTTGTTCTTGACGCTTCTTTGACCGGATTCGATCCTCAGGACACTCATCCGGCCGAGTTGATGTTGCGCGTATACGGAGCTTCTCCCTGGATGAGACGGCTATGGACTCTTCAAGGTATATCTCAATGAGTTAAGCAAACGGATTTTTCTTCGTGCCAGTAACTAATACGTGTGAATAGAAGGGGCACTGACAAAAAGCCTATATGTTCAATTTGCAGATAAAGCCGTGAATTGCTATGCGCTACTCCTCAAACTCTGGACCGCAGCCAATGGCGATCCACGTTACATGAAAATTTTCCAAGATATCGTGGGTGCAGTAAGTGTACCGCTCCATCATCACATATTAACCATGAGAAGACTCAATCTAACAGCTATGCGATGTAGTACAATGAACTTCAGGGCTTTTTCAGTGGAAGAGAGGGTCCAACCAACAACCAGTCGCTCCTTGTTACCCTCCAACGAGCACTAGTGTTCCGAACAGTATCTGTGCCATCAGATGAACCGCTCTGTATCTCTACTTTGATGAACCTCGACACAAAGTACATTGCTGCAGCTCCAGATGCCGAAACCCGAATGGCCCGCGTCTGGGAATTAATAAACAAGTCGCAGGGCGGCATTCCCAGCCGAGTCATATTCTATCTAGATGAAGTGCTGAGCATACCCGGATGGCGCTGGGCTCCCCGAAGCCTATTGAGCTCGGCGGCTAAAGATTCTGTCTTGAGTATTGACGAGCGCATGTTACGTTTGGTTGCAGATGCCAACAACCAGGGTATTCCGACTCCCTTGGGCCTAAAAGTTGCTCTACCAGGATGTCGTCTTCTTCCACGCCCCCTGGTAGACGGGCTTCCCTTGCATCCCTGGCCTGGAGCCATTAATGCGACGGAAGATCAAGTCATTCTTCAAGATACAAGGAGTGAGAAATGGTGGCGGATACTGGATTGGTACCGCAGCAAGAAAATTGCGTCTTGGACAGCCGAGGAGCTGAGGGCTTTTGACAGAGAGCAAAACCATCCTCTTTGTGGAGAGGTAGATTCCGGGAAATGCGTATTGATTTATGATGAAAAAGCGAGGTATGGCCAGACGGTAGTGGCATGTATGGGTCAGATCGAAGAGGTTGGGGAAGATTTCGAACACGCATCGATTACATCTTCAGAGCTACAAGCTGGTCTAAATATCCATCGAACAAGGGCCGTGATCATGTCGGCTCTAAGCGATGAAGAATTACGAATGATGACAATTTTCCGGGAAATGGCCAGGTTTATAGCAATGGATCAAGAAACGTCTAGCCTACAAACTATTGATAATCGTGAAAGCCAGGATTGGAAGAGCTGCATGGCAAAGATCAAGGACAAGATGAAAGAGGCCGTGGCGGAAACATGGAAATCCAAGCCAGAGGTAAGACAAACAGTTGAAAACACCATCGGCCTTGAATTGGAGGAGTACATGTGGGCTTTTATTCCAAAAATCTTTTCTCACGATGTCATGATGGAGGAGACGCCAAGCGAACAGCTTTGGTTCGTCGACTAGGTATCCAAAGCATGTCCGTCTCATCAATTAGTCGGTATAATGAGAAATGACGAGTCATAGCAGCGAAAGCGTTTATCTACATCTCAATTAATAAGAAATTATATATTCTCTGCAAATCAAAGCTCAGAATCGTATCATTATCCTGTGATTACGCGGCAACGGGAAAATGATAATAATTCCGAGGCACTTGAGAATCCATACCCTGGCGTAGTAACAAGTACATCTCAATGCATCATCCCGATTTGAGGGAACTTTATACGATATGATGTAGCCAGACATACTCTGCAATTAGGTATTATGCGGAAGGATACGAGAATACGAGAATATCGCGCGCGAAAAGGGCTTTAGACGTCATCTAGTGGATGTAAACCCGGAGATTGTCGGGCTACTGATAACTCCTCTTCTAGTTGCCGCCATCCCTCATCCAACCATCTCTTCGTCTCGCCAGTTAACAATTTAGTGCTCACAACTCCTCTCTATTCTTCTACAAAACAAGAATACAGGACAGAAAAAGTTCTGCGATGATTTGTATGATGTGGCACCGTCTCGCAGTTCCAGGAATACCTACGCCGCGGAAACAGAGAGCTGGAGCATTAAAAGTTGCACAAAACAGCAAACCCACATTGGACATGTTTTAAACATGGAAAATGCACCAGGGAATAACTCAACTCGGCCAACCACCAGACATTCATGGAGCTCTACACAGCTACTAAGGCAATGGTACACTTCCAATTTAACCTGGCCGTACCCAAGCGCAGCGGAGAAAGAGGAGCTTAGTCGTCAAACCAGCTTGAGCGTTCGCCAAGTATCACAATGGTTCGTGAATGCGAGACGAAGAGATGCTGAACGGCAGTCAAGCGAATTAACCGACATCAGCGCCAATCCTGTATCTCTATCGCTGCCTGGGTCTTTCGATGCGACACAAGAACAACGAAACAACGTCGAGGCAATTGATCGCCTCCAGCGCTCCTCTTCTTCTGGCGCCATCCCCCAGCTTGTAACTCAAGACGCCTTGGATGGAATTGGCTCTCAAGACGAAGCGCATTCTTCTAACCCTTCCGACTCGGGTCACAGAAGTGGTCATCGTCGCAATTCACGTACGGGTTGGCGCCATAAGGCCACCAACGAACCAGCAGAAGAGAGAAATCCGCGAATATATCAGTGCACATTCTGTACAGACACTTTCAAATCAAGGTATGACTGGACGAGACACGAGGCGACACTCCATCTAGCTCTTGAACGGTGGAGTTGTCTACCCGCTGGACCCAAGAGATGGGATCTTGGAGCTGAGGCTCCAAAATGTTCCCTGTGTGACTCATCTGATACTACCGACGCTCATCTCGAGTCTCATCACATTTCCGACTGCATCATGAAACCTCAGGCGCTCAGAACATTCCATAGAAAGGACCACCTGCTCCAACACCTACGTCTGGCACATGGCATTGACAAAATGATACCGTCAATGCATTCCTGGAAGTCAAAAATCTCCCAAGTGAAATCCCGATGCGGTTTTTGCGGAGAGACATTTACTCTCTGGTCCGACCGCAATGACCATCTAGTGGACCATTTCAGAAGAGGAAAATCCATGAAAGATTGGAATGGAGATCGAGGGCTCGAGCCTTCGATCGCGATGCTTGTCCAGAGCGCAATGCCTCCTTACCTCATAGGTGCCGAGTCCTTAGACTTGGAGCCCTTTAGTGCCTCAAAGGGTGTTTTGAAGAAGACCCTCTCGTCACCAGAGAAGCAGAACCCTCCGAATGTGTTTGAGGTACTTACAGCCCGTCTTGGTGATTTTGTTGTTTCGGCGCGCGCAAATGGCGATACCATCAACTGCGATATCCTTCGCCGCCAGGCTCGGCTTATTTTATACGGCGATGATGATCCGCTGAATCAAACTCCCGCAGACAACGATCAGTGGCTGACATTGTTTAAAATTGGGCATGGATTGGCATCAGCGCCTGGCCAGCAAGAGTTGGCGCCTTCATTACCAGATGAAGCTTCGCAGTTAGCCTCACATCCCATAACAATCTCAGACACAAACAAGTCCTCGCTTCCACGTGAAGCTATAGAGAGAAAGTCGGGGTCAAAGTTAGTGACAAGTCAAACACTTGATAATACTGAGCCTACGCTCCCATGGTGGTGCCAAAGCCCTGAATGCTTGGCGGAGCTTATGGAAATAAGTCGGGAGTTTTCCTTGACAACTCTTGGAAACATCGAGATTGATGATGAATCGACTAGAGAATCCTAGCTCTGAGACTTTCTCGGGTCACAAAAAGAGAGTTCAGAAAAGCTCGTACAGACTAGATTGTGAAATAAGTAGAGTTGATCATATTAAGACTAAATTTTCCTGGCGCTCTTTCTTATTAGATCTTGACGCACAACTCCAAACCGTTGGAGTACGGGAGCGTCAGATTTGTATATCCGTTTGTCGGAGACCTCAGGTGGCCTAATAGCTCCTTGTATCTAGTGGCAGAACTAATTGAATTGTCGATGATGACAACAGCTCCAGACCTGAGCTTCGGCTCCAGCAGCTTCAACGCGGGTAGAGCGACAGGAGCCCAGACTAGATAGCGATTAGATTCAATGGTTTTCGACCAGATGAAATCTCAACTCACTGTCAATAAGGACCAGATCAAGCTGTGGAATGTTATTCTTTAGCGTCTCGAGAAGATCTCCTTCTCTCAAATCGATATGACGCGTCACTAGATCGTCACCGGCTTCCCTCCAGTGTTGACGAGCCTTCTCTGCTTTTGTATGCTCTTTTTCCGTGGCAATAATTTTACCCTCGCCCCCCAAGCGCTCGACATTGCTTCCCACTGCCAATGCAAGGTAGATGGTGCTCACCCCGAAGCTGGTCCCGATCTCGGCAATGTTGCGAGCTCCTATTGCTCTGGCCAGCTGATAGACAAATTGACACTTGTCCTGATCTAGAGCAATGAATTTGTCCCTCATCAAGTCATCAAAGCCATCGGGGTTGCTCAAATACGTGGACGGAAGCGCTGCTTCTTGGGTAAGGGATTCCTCGTGAAGACGATTGAGCAGTGCGTGGACATGATAAGGCGCCACGACGGGATTTGGAGACGGAGCTGACATGTCAAAAAGCTAGAATAAGTCGAGATACTCTATTCAAGCAATATATTCTCAACAACGCATGACAATTATGGCCGATGCTCTCTCACTCCATGTGCAGGTTTATATAGTTGAGACTGACCGGCCCCGATCGGCGCTTCAGTCGGGAGTTTCCAAGCGGCGGTCCACTATAAGTGCCATTCAACGCCCTAGGAATTAGGCCTGCTATTGCATCAATTCAGCTCCTCCTTGGAATGTTGTGCGTGATGGGTATTTTCCGCACTGGGTAGTTCCCGTCCGCCGAGCCGAAACCGAGACGCCTCTATTATCTGATCCGACTATTGCCAGAGCGAGCGATGCGGGGTAGTATTGAAGGGTGCGGGGTACAAAATATTGAAGCAGAACGCGCAAGACAAGGCAGAATTAAGCTTGATTGCTTGGACATGGGGAAACTTGTTGTCTAACAATATATATTGGGCTTTGTATGTGGATATGCTGTAAACGATTGCATAGAATTAGTACCTTGTAAAACATCCCCCAAATGCTGAACTGGGAGAAAGCTGCTTTCATATGTACTCCGGTTCGCTCAGGCCAACATCAAACGTGTCCATCAATCATGAGACTTGTAGAATAATTTTGTTTCATATTTGGCATCATCAGTCATATCAAAGCGTATATACTATTTCATCACCTTACTCCAAGATGGGCAGCAGTCCCTTGTCCTGAGCATCCTTCACAGCCTTGTTGTAAATCTCCACCTTCTCTTCATACACCTTCACCAAGTCCTCTTGTGATTGTTCACGCTTTCCAGGAGAGGCATCGCCACCTCCGAACGCTCTCACAGCAGCGTAGTAAACATCAGCAAGAGCATTGCAAACGCTTTGAACACTTGATGTTTGGCACTGGAAGTACAGACTATAGTTTGTTGCCATGATTAGCAATCCATCTTTGCCTCTTAACGGCATGTATATTGCGTCAACTTACTCGGCCTTGAAGTTGTTATCGATGCTGAGCTTGCCGCTCTCTGTGAATCGGTTTTGGATGCGGTAGTTCTGGTAGCCAAAGTCGTGGCGGTAACAAGCGGGAACAAAGGGGAATCCAAAAGGGTTATCGGGTGAGCTGGTGCAGCCGTCAGAGCTCCAGTCAAGGGTGGCTGGGTTCTTGGCGTTGCGGCGAGAGATGAAGTCGGGGAGGGTGATGCTGAAGAGATATTGGTCTGTGATGGCTGAGAGGGTGGTTTGGCGCCGGGTCACTGCCGCTTCAGAGGCCGGCAATGCCAGAACGGCCGGGGCCAGAGCGGCCAGAATAGCTGCGAACTTCATGATGAGAGGATGGAGCCTTTTACTTTGATGGCAATTGTGTTAAAGTATCTGGACGTCTCTTTTTCCCCAGGTTCGAGAGCGAACGATTGCTCCTTTTATACATAATGCCAATATCTAGTCCTATAATTATTTGTAATGCCAATGCTACCTATGTACTCGTTATCCTCGTAACTGAAACCTATCCACCCAGCTTAGACTTGGCGTAGAAGATGTGCCGACAGACAAAAAGTCTCAACAAGCTTCCACCCATATCATGGACCTGCCTGAAGGAGGATATCCTTATACTATGCCAAGAGGCTTTTCCAGAAGCCAACCGCATCCCGAATAGTCGCCGATCGCCCACGGACGGCTCTGCCCTTCCTGGTTGGGCTGTGCCGGTAACAGGAAAGGCAAGGCGCCGGCTTGTCTACATTTTCGGATGACGCTGCGGGCGATTAAAAAAAAAAGCATATTCCAGATGCGCGAATAATCTTGCGCCTTGGGTAGGAACTTTGATTGAAAGGCTCGGTGGAAACCACAAAAAGGCACAAGCCTCGTGGCAGTGGCTAAAAACTGAAGCAATGATAAGGCCAAAGCTGTCTCCAGTCCTCACCAATACACTAATAAGCCGGGCTTGCAGACACAGAAACGGCTTCTTCTCTCAGCTATTTGCCGGCGCTTATAAGGCGGAGAACCCTGTCCAAAACCACCCTCTGTTTCACTGAAGTGCTGAGCCAAGCATTCCATTCTGTCGTAAATCTATTAAGCCAAGTCAAATGACTATTTTAACTCATAGCCTAATGTCATTAGTGCGCAGGTACGGCCGAGTTTGCATGTGAAATTCGCTTAGCATCGCAAGAGTGTTGATGCTTCGTCTTCCAACCACGATGTCTTGAAAATAGCAGGTCGTCTCATTCAGTTTTAATATCATGTCCTGCTTCTTTATAGATCGGCCAGTGTGTCTAGGTGATTATATGCCAATGAGGGATTATAGAGAAGGGCCGATTAATGTATCTAGGTTTCTCGTCAAAGCTTGTGGCTCCCTCTTCTCCAATCCGTTTTCTAAGTCATCCAAGACGCTTTCGCTACCCGACGAATAGGAGACGGTAGAACTTTATCAGCATTTCCAAATGTGGCCACGACATTCTTCTTCACTAACTAGAGTCAATTTACTCCAAATGGCACGCATTGCAGAGAATGATGATAATACCGATGCGGATTGAAAATATTCTACACCACTATCACCATGTAATTGATCTCCATGACGTATCTACGTGTAAATCCCCAGGCTCCTTTAGCCATATATATTACTCAGATCTTTACATCAGTCGTGGATTTATTCCCAAACCTTATAAGTCAGGTCTATGGCTTGACTTTAATTCTTCCGTGCGCCATGTATCATGTACCGAGAACTTTGTGTATAAGTCAAACTTTGATCTATTCTGTTTTTTATTATTGTATATGGCGCCGACAGCCTTTCTTGTATTCCAACTAATAGAACCAAGACAATAAATCTGAATAATCGATGTAGCCTTTACCGAATCAGTGCCACATCGTGCACTTCACCTCCAAATAAATGGAGCTTCTTGATTGGAGATCGCCAACAGATGGTGCAAATACTGCAGTCTCCTCCTTTGGGCTTTCATTAGTAGAATCGCAATGATCGCTAAATCATAGAAGTGGCGATTCCTACAAAACTCGTGCTGGATCGACATCGAAAGTGTCAAGACCTCATATTGCAGTCATAACAATCGAGGCGGCGATGCAACATGAATATACGCATCCTAACTACTGTTTCTTTCCGTTGAGTTAGACGATCATACACGCTTCCCAGATAATGATTGATAGCCTCGATTTACTCAATGCAAAGGACACACATTTAGATCTAAGCCTCGGTTTCGATCAAGCAGACACATGTCGCAAAGACGACCCATTGCGTTCCAGGTTGTCTATTATTTTCGCTATTCAATTCATACCAAGCGCACAATAGGCGGTCGATAATACTCCCATCAATGATCAGTTCAAGCCTATAGATACAGAGGCAGATAGTTCTACTGTTTCATCTCGTCATGTGCCCGGTGCCTTGGCAGCTCAGACAGTTTCAGAACAGAACAAAAATCACATTTTCTGCAACAGCATTCGACCCTCTGCGTGAGATTCGTCATGCAAGACCAAGCTTGCGTTCAAACTCATCCCCTCGGTGCTTGAAGCCACGCACGCCTTCGTGCTAAATGACCAAAATCTCCGTTGGTATACTAACCGCCCCGGCCAGATTCCCTAGTCCCCCTTACGCGCCTGTAACGTGAGGCTTTGGAGGCCCCTCATTCGCCGGCTCCCCGAAAAGTCACGATGCCTCTTTTCCCACCGCGTCTCGTGATTTGAGGGAATTTTGCCCCCACGACCGCCATTTTCCCCAGCTCCAACCGCTCTAGAGTCGTACGGAAGCGTAGCAACCAAGCTAATACTCGGAACGAAACCAATTATCAAGGCGCGGGGTTGGTAGGGAGGGGCAAGCTGAATCCCTGGCAGCGCTTTGGGGCCTGTATAAGGAAGTTAAGCTGGCCATTAGACACGGATCATGATGTCCTTTTCGGGGCAAAAAAATCGCATCTTGCAGATGGATTAATCTCCTCTCTCTGTGGCTTGTGCGTATAAAGCATGTCGCGCCAAAGGCATGGAATCAGGGTACACCGGCATCCCCGTGGCGGAAGCGAGACGTACGGCATCCATTCTGAATGCAATGTGCAATCTCAAACATGGATGTTGTGTTTGCTTTTTGCAGAAGAGACAAACACCTCCTGAGCTTATCATGTTATCATCTCGCAATAAAATGACCCAAAGTCTCTCGAATTACATTTCAACGTCAGGAAGATGATCTCCGTGGCGAGAGCAATGGTGATAGCGGAGGTTTGCTGAGACATGCAGAGAGCTAGTGCCACCCTCTGCTCTACGAGTACTGACATGTACGCTACATGAATTCAATCACCCGCTCAGTCAGTGAATCATGCACTCATTGTGTGGAATTGTCTCTGAAAAGCGAACGGCCTCGAAGCTGCAGGTCGGTGAGTCGCCGACTGTGCATACCACCTGTCGAGTCAGTCAAAGCTGCATCAATAGAGTCCGTGTATAGGCGGCATCTCTCTTTGTCAAGGATCATATGCAGGCAGCCCTCCGGTGGATCTTTGATCATGAGCGCCCGTGCATCTTTCTTGTTCCAGAGAGGCTAATAGGCCTATATCTCACATCCCTCGATTCGGGAGTGGAGAAACATGCAGGAGGGAAGCCTCCTTGCTGCAGTCGGAACATCAGTACCGAATCTCTCACGATAAGGGCCTCACGTATCATCTCTCACCTTTTCATGCTCAGCTCCAGAACGCACTGATGCCATTAGCCATCCCTGCGTCAGCTCTCGATGATTGTAAATGGCTTCGTAACAGGGCTGTGTTCGCGTAGTACCGAACTCGGAGCAAAATCAAGACTTGAATATACTACAAAGTCCGTTCTCTCCGTATGGAGGTGGCAGTGGAACCTGGCTGGGGCGTGTGGAAGAGGCGGCATGTTATCGCCTCCTTGTAATAGTGGCTGATTACCAGACGCCCATCGTGAGTTGGTGTTTGCTCTTTTTATTACTGTGAGACATATGCATGGGGGTACGGCAGGCTCTCCAATTTGCTAGTATCCTCCCGCCTCGCTGCTCATTCCGCCACCACTTCGTATGACCTGTCGCGCTGGTCCATGTCTACACAAGTCTACAAAGTACTCCATGTATTACGGAGTATACAGGCGCTTGTTGTATTGACAACCAAGTCTTTCTTATACTAGTATAGGGAGAATAACGATGGCTCGCCAATTTGTGGACAGGGACTTGGGCATCGTGTACCCTCCCTTTCGAGCATCTGCCGTCCCTCCCACCCGACCTTCTTCCAGATCTTGATCCTACGTCTCTTGTTGCGGTGAAGCTTTGGAGTATTAAAATATCGGGGTCCCTTCAGCTTCTATAGCATGTTTCTTCTAAGAATATATTTTCCTGGAATCCTACCTGTTTACTCTGCTCTTCCCACGTCCATCGCCACCATCCAGCGAGCCATCCTGAAGTGCCTGTGATGGGCCGCCTATCAGAAAGAGGAGCACGGCCATGGCGCTCGTCGGAGGGACTGGTGACCTTTGCAGTCGCATTTGCAGTGTTTACAGTAAGTAACAGAGCTGATGAATGGATCTCAAAAATCTGAACCAAGGGCTAATTGATGTCGCTTCATAGGACGGGTTGGTGTATGATTTGGTTATACCATTTTTACCAGAGCTCTTCACGGGTCGGCTGAAGACACCTCCAGAAGATGGTTAGAATCAACTGCGTTTCATCAGCAGCTAAATTCGAATCTTGCTGACGTTAGTGGCCGATCAAAAGTCGACAGCTGGGCTGCGTTATCTCTCGAGTCTTTCGGAATGGCACTGCTTATCACCAACTGTATGTTGACCAAATTCTCACTCAGCAACCTTGTTAAGATGCAAGTACTGATCTGCGTCTAGGGATTGCTGGATACATTGCCGATGGCAACGTCTCAAAAAGCCGGCCGTTTCTTGTCGGCATTGGCATTATGCTTATTGCCACCTTGCTCTTCTTTCTCAGTGTAGATCCATACCTCATCATCTTCGCTCGTGCTCTGCAAGGAGCTTCCGAGGCCCTCGTATGGGTGTCTGGCATCGCTTTTCTAGTCTCGCAGGTGGACGAAGCTAATTTAGGAGTGTGTATGGGTTACACGACGTTGGGCGCTACAATCGGCGAGCTCATTGGGCCTCTACTTGGGGGCTACCTATATGAAAAGCTGGGACACTGGGCCGTGTTTGGTGTAGTAGAGGTAGTGATTGCGGGCGACATTGTTCTACGACTCCTAGTCAAAGAAAAAGAATCGGGATCACAGCAGCAAACCCTAGTGGATGCGGTCAAGGGAGTTTCCGAAACAGATGCTTTGTTGGCTAACTCGGTGGCGGTATCTCACGGAACGATAGACCACATTTCATCGACAGATCTGGAACATGGAGGGGATGACGACCGATCGGCACTTTCTGGTACGACCGAATGCGATGATGATGTAGCAGCATTGAGGACTCTGGGATGGAATTGGCTCTCCAGCGTCATCGGTGCCGCCATAGCATGTGTCGTCAGATCAGCTTTGGAAGCTGTAAGCTCACCTCACATGTCACATTTTCTTTTTTTGGTATTTTACTGACAAACCTATCAGACCATCCCAATCTACGTTCTTCGACATTTTGGCTGGACTTCGTCTGCCGGTGGCGGCGTCATGTTCGCCTTGCTTTTCCCCATGGTGGGCGGCCCTTTGGTAGGCAAATATACCACCTTGAACGGCCCTCGATGGTTCAGCACCATAGCATCGCTCGCATGCGGTGTCTTCATGGTCACTCTAGGCTTTCTCACCGGAGATGATCATACCACTCAGATCCTCTTTGTGGTCAACATCGGGTTCATTGGCCTCTGCATCTCTCTCGGCACAACGACGCAAACAACCGCCATTTCTGCAGCCGCACAGAGAGCCGAGGCTTTAAGAAGCCGAATTCGAGCCAGCGGCGTGGAATTAAGTTGGGAGTTGAGGATGCTGACCCCCGGCATGATGCTGAGCGGCCTGAGTACGGCGTGGGCCTTGGGCCTTTTCCTTGGTCCTGCTTGTGGAAGCTTTTTCCACTTTAACACGAACCAAGAGTGGCTGCATTTATGCTCTTTCTTGGGTGTCTTGTGCGTCATCACGGGTGTCTATTGCTCTTTTACGTGGAAGAAGTGGCGGTAAACTGCATGTTCTCTGGCGGTTCAACTGTACAGTTATGCAGTGGTCGACTTGACGATTAATGATTTACGACTTGATGACAAAAAGAAAGCCCGTATCCAAGCTCACTCTAATGATACGGTAAAACCAGACAGGAAAAGAAAGGGAAAAAAGAAAGAAAAAAGCAAGGCGAAATAGCAATTGCACGTTTCGATCGTGCGACCTCCGGGTTATGAGCCCGGCGCGCTTCCACTGCGCCAAATTGCTTTTGATTCGCTTGTTGGAAGGAAACGCTCGTAAATCGCTAGGTATGGATGGATGGATTTGTGGAGGTGAAAAATTTCCACTCGAAGGTGAAGTGGGGAGTTGTGAGTCAGAAATCAGAGCAGAAATGGATCACCAGAAACGCTACCAAGTGTGTTAGTGTTAGTGCGAAGAGCGTGATTATGTTGATGATAGAAAGAAGAATGTATGAGATTTAGTAAGAAAAAAAGCGTGATTCGATTTGATAGTGCACTTTACAAGATTATATCTCAAACTATATAGGGGCGTTGCCATTGTATAAGTCATCTGCTATAGACATGACGAGATGGACGACTTCAAAGCAGAAAGAGCACATATTGCCAGATCTAAAAACCGTGTGTCGCTCCGCTGTTCCCGTAAATCTCTCCACTCACATACGAAGATGATGCATCAACGACACTCACATACAACGGTGCAAGTTCTGCAGGCTGAGCAGGGCGTCTAAAGAAAGTGCCCTCAGATATTTCCTTCACAGACTCAGTAGTGAACCCCCCAGCGGCTAAGAAAGGGGTATAGGTAAAGCCGGGAGCAACACCATTAACCCGAATGCCATCCTCAGCAAGCTGCTGGGCCAAGTTACGGACCATCATGACGATGGCTGCTTTACTCGCTCCATAGGCAAGGGCCCCAGCGTTTGGCTCCATGGCAACAGTAGAAGCGGTAAAGACCACATTGCCACCGCGAGGAAGCAGAGGCACGGCGGCTCTCGTCAAGAAAAAGCTAGCATAAACGTTGGTGCGAAATACTTGGTCAAACTGCTCTGTTGATTCGTTGGCAATAGGGCGCCAATTCGGACCTTGAGTATAACCAGAGATTCTGTGCAGTCATGTCAGTTTTTCTTATAACCTACTGGGACTCTCAGGCTTCCTTACCCAGCATGATTGACCAGAATATCGAGACCGCCAAGACGGCGATGGGCTTCTTGGACGAGCCAGGTGCAGAAAGTCTCATTTAGCAAGTTTCCGGGAATGCGTTCAAAAGACAATCCCTCTTTGGTAAGAAAATCAGCTAGATCTTGGGCATCAGATTCCTCTTCCTCCATGTAGTTGACGGCAACGTTGGCTCCTTCACGAAGGTATGCAATCACAATGGCTCTTCCGATACCAGAGTCTCCTCCCGTGATCAGAGCATTGAGACCCCGAAGTCGTCCAGCTCCTTTGTATGACGTCTCGCCGCAGTCTGGGCGTTGATCGAGGCTGGACTGAAGAACAGGGAATTCAGCAGCAGCGCCAGTCGGCAAACTGAGGCGCATGTCTGAATAACGGGCAATTGGATCAATCAGAGTGCTGGAATTGTCTATATTTGACTTGGGTTCAATGTTGTTCAAATTTGAGAATCGGGCATTGCTTGACATACCTGTAGCCAAGCAGAGGCTCGGCAGACTCAGCATAGTAAATACAAGAGCTCGAAGCATTGTAGTGTTGATGGGATATTAGATGTTATCTCTTTGGTGATATTCTGCCTCATATCCTATATAATCACGGCCATATTCAGAGCATCTTATATACCGGCGAAGCAGCATTGCTTCTCCGCATCACCCATGGCTTCTTCCATCATTAAAAATGATGCTATTCCGAAGTTCAAGTAAGCCTGTCCATACAGACATCGAATCTCTGAATATTTACAAATTAAGTCTCTTAAAATCCGCTAAAGGAGTTAAGCCTGCGGACCACAATTAGACTCGTCATCATTTCTTACTCCGGCGTGCCAAGCAATTCGGCATAACGGCGTGGGGCGATTTCGAAGTGTTACATCGCAGATACAGTTACTCGGCAGAATCAAGCAGCATCCCACGCCATTACCGAATCCCACTCACCAAACACGGAAATAGGAGAAGCCAACCGTTCAAACCGCATAGCCCTGACTGCTCAGACGAGGAGCTAAAAGTCTTGCAATGCTGCCTTCCGTGGAATGCGTGGGTAGGCTCTAAAGGCGTACGCAGGCTGCAGATCAAGCACAGATCAGGAAAGTTATGGGTTATACGTACAGATGGCCTAATTATAGCGAGGATTCGCAGCAAAGGTAAGACATAGAAAGAAAATCGCCACAGTCACTGGAGATATTGGAGCATGTTTGGGTTTCTGCCCAGCCTACACCTCCTTCTACGTTGTATCAAGTGGTGGTAATTGGGTCTCTCCAAATCATCTTTTGGGGTTGTAAGTTTCGTCTATGCTCTAAACATAATCTAATACGATGGGTCATGTATATACATAACTAGAGATGTAGCAGTAAAAGCTTCATGCGCCAAGACACAACTTGTTTGCTGACACAAGGCCAAGTTGTGGAGAAGGCGGAGGAATGAGTGGCTCCTAAGGTGAATGTGACATCGAAGAAAGGAGAGCATATTAACTACATGGGAGTAATTATTAATAATGAAGCGTCGTGCGTGAATATATAAGAAGTTACTTGAAGTCTCTAACTCCCAGATTCAACATGGCATGAGAACATATAACATCCATTCAGGTGCATTACCCTCTTATTTTTTATAAAGCTCAGTTTTAAATTGATCTCTTCAATCTTCGACGGAAGTCAGAATACGAATATGCTGCAGTCTATTATTACGATACTCAGTGCAGCTGTGGCAGCTATAGCAGTACCAACCGATCAATCTGTGTCAGGTGCTCCTATCAAGACTGTCGTCCAACTGCAACAAAATGGAACGCAGTTCGAGAATCTCATCACTCGTACAGACGGCACACTCCTCGCCACCAGAATCGACATTCCGGAGATATGGTGGATTGACCCTGCATATCCCACTCATACTCGAGTCATCACCATTGAGGGCGATGTGGTAAGCATACTCGGTATCACAGAGACTTCTCCCAATGTCTACGCCTTCAACGCCGGAAATATCACCAGCAAAGGGGCAGTCGATGGCTCTTTTCAGATCTGGGGCCTAGATCTCACGCATGGGGAACCTCAGACTTACCCCATCACCAGGATTGATCGTGCGAGCTTCTTGAACGGCATTGCAACTCTTGACCCCAAAACAGTCGTTGTAACCGATACTAACTTGGGTCTCCTGTGGAAGGTCGATATATCGACAGGTTATTACGAGATTTTGCTTCAAGATCCGTCAATGGCAATTCCAGCGGGCAGCAGCACCCCCGCAGGAATAAATGGAGTGCACATTCAGAATGGTTACCTTTATTTCACCAATACAGCTCAAATGAGTCTAAGCAGGTTTCCCATAGCTAAAAATGGCACAAAGACCGGCGGCATCCAGCGGATCGCTGAGGGTTTCATGTGCGATGACTTTGACGTGCAACCGGATGGGACTGTGTATTTGCCAACTACGGGTCAGAACACTGTTATTCGAGTTTCGCTCGACGGACGCGTGCAACAATTGGCTGGAACAGCTGATTCGCTTGCCGTTGGCGGTGGAACAGCTGCGCAATTTGGAAGAGGACCGCATCAGAAGAAAAGGCTCTTTGTAACAACATCAGGCGACCGCTTTTCACCTATCAATGGTACCATAATGGAGCCAGGGAAGCTGGTCGCGGTAGACCTGAGTGCTGTCATCCCATGAGTTATGCTGAGAGCTATTGTACTGGCATCTAAATATATATGTTGTGGGGAGGGCCTCAATACATTTTTGGTGGGCTGCCAAGTTGTCTTTCGTGTCACCTAGATGAACAATGTCCATCCCGTCTTGTTAAAAGAGTCACTTTGTCCACAGAAATGGATTTTATTTATGAGTAGCTCAATTTTCTAGCCATAAGATTAATTCAATAGTTATTTTGAACATTAAATGTAACAAAAAAGAAATTCTGAGTGTCGAGGTCGTGTTTGTTTCTTAGTTGAGCTAAGGAATAGCTGCAAGCAACGCGGAACCTTGATGGCTTCCCCCACAAGTCCATCAAGGTCCACGCAACCCCATACTGAACATCTTATCAAGTCTAGCCTTATTGAACAAATGGGATGAATGTGTAGATTGTTATTACAAAGACAAAGACAAAGACTTGCCATCAAGGTTCCCAATAATGAACCAGATAATAGCAATGGGTGAACAAGACTTCATCCATCGTATAGCAACACTGCAGCATCTCTTTTTAAAGTATTCCCTACCAACTCTTTTCCATCGAAGGAAACCACGCCGACTCATACCAATTCTACTCAAGAACCATGGCTGAAGTGGAAGACGAAGTATACGATGTCATCATTGTTGGTGCCGGTCCCTGTGGCCTCTCAACAGCCTCTCGACTGCGCGAACACACTCCAGCCGCCCTCTTCACCGACGAAGAACACCGCCGTTTCCATTGGATTGGCAAATACGGGAAGAACGTCAGCCTCAAACATGTAAAAAGCGGCAAAATATCACAAACCTGCCACTGTCGGCCCGAGTACAAGATGCTCGTCTTGGACGCCACGGATAACAAGTGGTTGGGCCGATGGAATCATCTTTTCAAGATGTATGACATTTCGCATTTGCGCAGCCCGATGCTCTGGCACGTTGATCCCCTTGATAGAGATGCGCTTCTCGCGCATGCATATGCTCATCAGCGAGAGGATGAGCTGGTTGAGATCCGCAACTGTGTCGGCAAGGAGATAAGCAAACACGCGAGCAAAAAGATGGCCAAGGGCCGAGTTTGCGGTGGCAAGTATGTGATTTTTCCGTTCCCCAGCCCCTATCATATACAATATGCTAACAAAAGAGCGCAAGACAAGAAGCAAGGATTTCCATCAACCTTAGAGAGCGAAACGACTACTACACACCATCTCAAGCCCTCTTTCGCGATCATTGCGAGGATGTGGCGGGACGATACAATCTTGGAGAGCAGCTCATCCGCAAGGAAACACTACAAGACCTCGACTACGGCGAAGTTAGAGGCGTTTCGGTAAACGGTGCAAAACTGTTTACTGTCACTACAGACGCAACGCGACGATATTACGCCAAAACCGTTGTCCTCGCCGTCGGCCCTGCAAATACTCCCAAAATCCCTCCTCTCCCATCTGCTCCTTTCACAGCCAGCGGTACGCTTCCTCAAGCATGCCACAGTATGCAAATCAAAGAATTCCCCGACCCTCTTGTCAAATCTCGCATCGCCGCTGGCAAGCCTACGAATGTTCTCATCATTGGCGGCGGCCTTACTTCCGCCCAGCTCGCCGTGCTTGCCCTGAAAAGGGGTGTCACCAAGATATGGCACCTCATGCGAGGTCCTCTACGCATCAAGCATTTTGACGTTGATCTTTCATGGATGGGCAAATACAAAAACGCCGAGCAAGCGCGTTTTTGGACCGCAGACTCGGATATTGAACGTCTCGAGATTATAAAGGAGGCCCGCGGCGGCGGCAGTCTCACACCTACTTACCACAAGAAAGTGAAGAAATACATTGCATCTGGCCATATCGAACTTCACACTAATACAAGCCTGGTGGACGCCGAGATGAAAGAAATCGACGGATCCCGCTTCTGGGCCATCAAGACAGAGCCGCCTATTGCGGATGTGCCTCTTTTTGACTACATATACTTCGCTACAGGAATCCAAACGGATTTTGCGTGCCTACCATACCTGCAAACCATGCTACAAAAGTATCCCATTCATGGGCATGGCGGATTCCCCTGCATCAACGAGGATCTTATGTGGAAAGACGGCGTGCCCTTGTTCTTGGCCGGACGGTTGGGAGCTCTTCAGCTTGGACCGGCAGCACCGAACATTGGAGGAGCCAAGGTCGCCGCAGAGAGAGTAGCATGGGCCATTGAAGATATCATCAAGCTGAATGGAGTGCAAGAAGGGAATGATCAAGATAGTGGCGAGCTGGCGAGCTATCTTTCAGGGCATGGAAATATGTACGGCATTCTACAAGAGGAGCCAAATTAGCACTTAGGAAGCATTACAGTAGACTCGACAGAGTAGATGACATTCGTAAATACTTGTAGGCAAGCAAACGCTTGCTACTTCTTCTTATCATTAATCGTGCATATAATATCTTGATAAATATAGCCTCCACTTCATTGCAATTAGCTCTCCACCAACGGCTTCACCTCCAGGTATTACAAAGCCCAACACCGCCTGCGGCAATATCCACTTAAACTCGGTCAGCGATATCGCTATTGTCACTCAGACCAGCGAGGTGGCCATCCTGTCTCTTGACCATGATGTGCTTTTGCAGAGCAGCACGCGGCGGGAACTTGGCGTTGAAGACTTCGTCCAACTCCTCAAGAGTGCGGCCACGGGTCTCAACACCGAGGAACCACCAGATGAAGGAATAGATGAGGTTGAGGCCGACAAAGATGAGGTAGTAGCGCCAGTTGATGGCTTCGAGAGCAACCGCTGTCACGTAGGTGTTGTAGAGGTTGGCGCAGTTGGACATGATGACGTGCTGTAAGAAAAATGGAGTCAGCAACTGAAACAGATGTAGAGAAGCGTCGTGTAATATTTGGCTAAACTTACAACTCCCATACCCTTGGCACGGGTAGGATTGGCCAAAACTTCGGCACAGTACGTGGCAGTCAGGGGAGTGTACACGAAGGAGTAGGCACAGCCGAAGAGGAAGATCTAGACGCACTCAATGTCAGCACAGGTTGCAATAATGATATGGGGCATCACTTACCATGGCAACACCAGCGTTGCTAAAGGACGTGCTGATCCCTGCCGAGCCGTGCTCAAACTTGGCGGAAAATCCTGTGACGGCACCAAACAGGCCTGCAAGGACGATGCTTCCGACCCAGAGCTTGGTACGACGACCAATCTTGTCGTTGGTGGCAGATCCAGCAACAGCGCCGGTAGCAGACACAATAGAGTTGGCAAAGGAGAGGAGCAGTCGACGCTCAACGGAGACGATGCCGAGAATCTTGTACATGGAAGGGAGGTAGTAAGTCAAGACAGAGTTTCCAGACAGCTGAGCGAAGAAGGACATGAAGGACATCATGGTGAATCGCCAGCGGGCGTTGTGGTCCTTGACCAGCGCCCAGTAGTCCCACAGGTTGGACGCCTTCTGCAGCTCGATTGATTGTTCGAATTCGCGCAGCTCGAGCTGGACCACGGGGTGGTTGGTGTCGCCGCCTCCGTGATACTTGGCCAGGATTGCAGCAGCCTGTTCCTTCTTGCCCGTCGCGGTGAGCCATCGAGGAGATTCGGGGATGAGAAGTGCGCCGACGAAGATGAAGAACGGGGGGATGAGCTGGAGACCCATGGGGAGACGGAAGGCCAGTTCGCTGTTGTTCTTGGCAGAGGCATATGTGACTCCGGTGGCGAGAATGGCACCGGTGTAGAAGACTAAGCATCACCCCCATGTTAGTCATCTGTATAAGAAACTCCTTTTCATCCACAAGAGGCTCAACTTACAGGTGTTGTAATAACCGACGACTCGGGCTCGCCATTGGGGCGGCGCCAGCTCGAGAGCGTATGTAGGTGCAGACGAGGTTCCGATGGCAACACCAAATCCGAGGGTGAAACGGCCTCCGAGGAGGTAGGCATCGGACTTGGCGGCCGTCTGGACGATGGCACCGACCATGATGAACAGAGAACCGGCCATCATACCCGCGCGACGGCCAAACTGGTCACAAATGAGACCGGTGAAGAGAGAGCCGATCATGTTACCGATGGTGTAAATCATGAAGATGCTATAAAGAGGGCCGTGTGAGATACAGCAGACGGAGGTTGGATGTTCGCAGAAAGACGATACTTACATTCCAGTGGAAGAGCCGAGCTCCGTGTGATGAAAGTAGTCCTGGTATTGAGTCATGGCGTTGATAGAGCTGAAGATGGACTGTTTTTGAACGGTCAGTCATTGTGTCTTGCCGACGACAATGCAAGAGTCTCTTTACTTACACCATCGAAACCAGATGATGTCGCGTTCAACGCCGCCACGAGGAGGATACAGTAGAGCTGAATGCTTGTCCACGACCAGGGATTCAGCGGCGCCGCAGAGACCGTCTCGTGGAAGTGCGTGTTGCCCTGGACCTCGGTGACGTTTCCAATGGCCGACTTGTCAATGTGATCGCCATTGATCGAGCCATGGTCGATGACCGGCTCTGGCCGCGACTCGTCCTTCTCCGCCATTTCTCTGATATCGCGCTTGTCGCTTCTCCTTGAATCTGTTGCTGTTGTTTCCCTGCGCGCTATTGCGAGTGAATAGCAGCGTTCGGATGTCGGCAAGGGAAAGGGAGGTGGTGGGAAAGGCTGGTGAAGAGAATGGATGTACGCGAGATTGACAGCGGGCCGAGATCTCTTTATGGGTTTCGCGCAGTCCAGCGATAGGTAACCAAGGCTACAACACTATGGCTATATCTTCCCCAGGCTCCCCGAAAGAGCCACGAGGCAAAGGCCCAATTTCGACAAGGGTATGTAACCAAGGCACGAGATGGAGGTTGCAATCCCTCGCCCACTTGGTTCCAAAGCGGCAGCAAAAGCCCTATCACCCTCCGTCCGCAATGTCTCAGTCCCTTGGAAGAGAAACCCCAAGGGCAAAAGCGCCACAACATGTGGCCCTCCGCAAGTCTTTTCCCCCATCTTTTGTTCCCCCACCGAGCGCCAGGGATCAATAAGCCCTCGAACCATTGAGCTGGGTCTAAGGCTAGCGGCGGCAAGACTTTTTGGAGACGCGGAGAGACGGGGTAAAAGCATCGTAAATGCATACGTACAAAGTGCCGTATATGGTTTAGCTGTGGTGAATGGGCAGCTCACCGGTGGATTAGCCTCCTCAACTGTGAGACTTTGGTCTGCTGTCCCACGAGGTTTCGTCCGCCACGCAAGGGGGGAAAGGGCTTCACAGAGGGATGATGCAGCAGACGTATGCGTGGGTGTATTACAACTTGAATGAGGCTCAACTGGTGTTTCATTATTGAACGGGAATCGAGCTGAAGTTACTCAGCCACGATCACCCTCAGGCACGGAAACCATACCGAGTACTCGTACATGTGCAGAGCATGTACAGGCTTGGGGCTTATCTTGATGCAGACTGGCGGCTGACCCCCAACAAGATGGCAATTCACCGAACCTGGCACAGAGAGAGAGAGAGAGAGAGAGAGAGAGAGATTGGAGTCTCGACATTCTCTCTCTGCCTCTCTCCTTGGGCAAACACCTACACTGTACTAAACAAAAGCCACCGTCCTATTCTGTACAGCACATGGCCTTGGTCTTTATAGCTATTCTCATACAGACACTGTGAGCCATCACATAATATTCCGGGGCTCGTGCATAAGCAGCGTGTGTATTCTCTGAATCCAAGTCGAGAGCAAACAAGAAACGAACAAAAAGAGGTGTGGCTCACTGCATGAACAAGGGACAAGGACAAGGCCATTCTTGCTCAATCCACGCACTGCCGTTGGTCAGTTTTTTCCCTCTCGAGTAGCTCCGACCTCCTCCTTCTAGATGCCTTTATCCGAATTGCTCGCTACTCCCTGATCGGCACTGCTCACGCGCCCACCCATCCCGTTATCTGCGTGCATTTCTTCGTGTTTTTTTCGAGATATCTAGCGAGGCCTTGTGTTCAAACACCTAACGCCGCCGGACAGACTTGCTCGCCGAATCCTCATTCCTCCCAGCACGCCGTATCGTATCTCGTCGTCAGCCCAGCGTCGACGCTCGACAGATGAAAACCCCACCAACCCAACCCCCCGTGTACCACCCCAACGTTGCGAGGCGTCTCTTGGCGCAGTCTTGCCTATCTATATTCATCGTCGGCGGTGACAGAGCTGTGCTGATCAGAACGTTTCATCAAGGCGAGGACTGGCGTAGGCTCGTCCCCCCACGGAAGCCCGTATGGGTCCCCAAAAGAGCTTGGGAGAGAGGTAGGGGGATCCCGCCTCGGGCCAGCAAAGCGAGATCATCAATACGTAGATATCTCTAGAGCTGTCAAATCTTGGAAACAAGTCTTGGGGAAATTCGATGTGGTCCCAGCTGCTGCAGATGTTACCTTGGAGCTCCACATAGAGCTATGGAGGATCCGGGACGAGAAACTAAAAGCTCACGACGCCCTTCACAAAGCTTCATCTCTGCTATGAAATACGTTCTTACTCCGGCTGCTATTTTGAGTCCTCCATGCGGGTTCCCCGCACGCGGCCGACGCTTGATGAAGCCCCCAGTATGAATTTAACCTGGCCGCGCCCTGCGGTTGGTCCCCCACAGAATGGGGTTGCATCTCTTGCACGAGACGAAGCTTCTCCAAGAAGACTGAAAAGAGAGTTGTGAGCATTCTGAACGTTGACAAATACGAGAGAATGACACGGGCGTAACTTTACTCGCCTTCTATTCCTCCTTTCTCTTGTTTCCCTTTTTCCATTTTTTGCATCGTGGGTCTAACGAAGAACGCTATTGAAAGCTTCAACATTTTGTATTGTTCTCGTGTGTGCCCTTTGTTTCCATTTTGCTTTAGACCCCCAATACCAGCATGGAGCTTTCAGCTAGATGACCGCCGTTGGACAACAGCGGAAACATGGAAGTGGCTTGACAATTTTGCGGCGGCGCCTGATGGAAGCGTCGTCCCGAATGGATAGTTCAAGTGCAGATAGACTTGTTGCAACGTGAGCCTGGTTCAGCTGGAGTTGCGAGGGGGTCAAGTGGTGAGATGTTGGTTTGGCGCATACTGTACTGATAAGGCAGAGCAGCAATCTATGCAGCATTATCTTACAATCAACTCGGCGTCGGTCTGTTATCTCTCCATCGTTGGAGGTTTATCAACTTCGGTTATGATATGCGTGCGACTATCAATCTGCGTCAATCGATACCATTCGAGGTGATATGGAGATACCCTCCGGAGTACCGAGTGCTTGTTCCAGACACTCGGCCGAGAGTACATGTATAATGGGCATCTACTCTGGTGGAACGTCGTCATTTTAAGCAGCCGGCGGTGAATGCACGTATAATACATGTATTCGAGAAGCCATCACATTGCCCTACCAATTACTCGGTGCCATGGCAAGCCATGCTTCATAACTCCAGCCGAATATAACCAGGTAAGGATACAGCACAAGCAACCAGGTTCATCGTCAGCGCGTTAGTCACAAGAACCGGCTAAACCCTCGATGTCCCGCAATACGCCGCTGGTCTTGGCTTTAGGCTCTCGCTCCGAGAGCCACTGATGACTCTGCAAGCTGAAGGAGAAGTCTTGAACTCGACCAAGACTCTTTAACAGCAGCCAAAAGGAAGATTCAATTGTTGGCTTCTTGCGTTTCCAACGTTGAGACTCTGGGTGTCAAGGTACCAGTTTTGGCATGATGCATTTTCCAGATGACGACTAGCAGAATCCTCTTTGCCAAGTCCCTGTCAACCTATGACTACAGGACATGAAGAAGCCGGCATTCAAGCCAATGCAGAGTACCTAGTACTATTGTGCTTGTATTCATATACTCCTGTGTCGCGTCTTCTTCACGTACAAGACTTTCAGACATTCTTAAGTAGTACTACGCGTACAAAGTCCGTAACGAGACATGCCTCGGCATCTCTGCCTCACTACCGGCTGCATTCATTTTTCAACATGGAAAACTAGCCGATCTGACACGGGAAGTGCGACGAGACCCGCCATCTTGTTTGAAAGGGCGTAGTACAGGGTTTTCAAGCTGCCGCATAGAGTAAGATGTCGCTCTGTCCGATGCAATGTTAAATTTTCTCCGCGAAAAAAAGAGAGACAAAAATAGTTGTGTGACTGTTTCGTTTGAGCCTTTGTTGCAATATATACATAGCAACCAGTCCAGCTGTTTACAAAATCGAATCTCAAGTTGATTTACACCCGCACCAATTCCCGTTCTCTTGAATCATTTTTTGCCAGTTTTTTTGTTCCGCAGCCAATACGAAGTACGACGCCACGAAACTAGAACTCATCCAATCGCCTACGAGACTTGGTTCCCCGAAAGCTACAGTTGTCTCAGCTGAATCCATCTTCTCTCGGCCAATCGAGTCATTGGGGGTCTACTGGCACCAACTTGCTAGCCTGAGCCGCGTCTACCAAGTTTACATTAGTTTCCAGCAGACAAGTCTCCAGGAACAAGAAAAAGAACAACAAGAAGTCATCAGAAAACACTCCCACAAAGCAACAAACAAACGAACAAACAATGCCTCTCATCTCCAGCATCGCCACCGGCGCCGTGGGCGCCATCCACGTCTACATCCTCACGCTCGAAATGTTCCTCTGGGACACTCCGCGCGGCCACAAGGCCTTCAAGCTGGCCCCGGACTTTGCCACCAAGACAAAGGTGCTAGCGGCCAACCAGGGCCTATACAACGGCTTCCTCGCCGCCGGGCTGTTCTGGGGGCTGGCCCATCCGGTGGAGGAGTTTGCGGCGCAGATCAGGCTCTTTTTCCTGGGTTGCGTGGGAGTGGCGGGCGTGTATGGCGCGGCGACGGCGAGCAAGAGGATTCTGTATGTGCAGGCCGTTCCAGCGGCGGTGTCTATCGCGGCCATGTTGCTTGGGTTCTGATGGAGTTGGAGAGGAATTGGTTAATTTCTTTGAGCGGATGACCATTTATACCATGTATTAAAAAGAATGACTACGAGTCAAGCCTTTGCCACCCACAATGGATAATGAAGCATCAAAACTACACATATAATTCACATGATGCCCAATTCATGGTGTTTTTACAATGCAAGCAAATGGGTGGTCCGTGCGCGTCGCGACTCAGATAACGATAAGCCAAGACGCGGTTCACCAGCTTCCTCTCACGGACGAGCAGAGACGAAATTCAGGCTTCAAAGCTGCCAATCGATAGCAAAGAAAGAATTCAATCATGCCTGCAACAAAACGCTCAAGACCGCCAGCGAGGGCATCTTCAGCAGCAAGCAAAAGAAGTTCATCTCGCTCCGCCTCTCAAGCAGCAAAGCCGCAAGATGCCTCGCCCTCAAGCAGCGATTCTGACTTTGAGGCCCACGTTGAAGATGAAGTTGACATGGAAGAAAACCCAGCTGGCAACAACGCAAAAAGACGAAAAGTAGCAGCTCCTGCATCACGTTCAGTCAAATTTGACGCTGCTCTCAGCAAGAGACTCTTTGCACAGGAGGCCAGAGAAGCGGCAAAGGAAGAGACGTGCTTCCCGCCTTTACGCCGGCATTCCGTCTTATACCACAGGCCCCTTCTCTTGGATGAACAAGTTGGATCTCAAGGCCGCAAGGCTTTGCTCTCGTGGTTTGACTCAGTCAGCCAATCGCGGTCTATGCCATGGCGGAAAGCCTGGGTTGACGCAAAGACGATGTCCGACCCAGCAGAGCTTCGAAAGACGCTCGAGAAGCGCGCATACGAGGTATGGATCAGCGAAATCATGCTGCAGCAGACTCGGGTGGCCGTCGTGATTGACTACTGGAGCCGCTGGATGGACAAGTGGCCAACGATCCACGACCTGGCAGCGGCAAAGTCAGAAGACGTGCTTGCTGCGTGGAGCGGACTCGGATACTACAGCCGTGCGACGAGAATCCACGAAGCAGCGAAGCTGGCAGTTGGCGACGCAGAGATGAAGGGCCTGTTGCCATCTTCGGCAAAGGAGCTCGAGGCAAAGATGCCTGGCGTTGGACGATATACCGCCGGTGCCATTTCATGCATCGTTTTCGGCCGCGCAGAGCCAATGGTCGACGGCAACGTGCTGCGAGTACTGAGCCGGCAGCTGGGGATACACGGCAACATCAAGACGGGCAAGGCTGTCATCGACTCCATTTGGGCCGCGGCAGATGCCATTGTCAAAGCCACGGCCGAGCAGGACAGCGACGACGGCAAGATAAGCTCAGAGCCCAACGATAGACCGGGACGATGGGGTCAGGCGCTGATGGAGCTGGGCAGTACAGTCTGCACGCCAAACCCGAACTGCTCTCAGTGTCCCATCACATCGACATGTCGCGTTTACAAGGAAGGCGAGCTCAAAGCCAACAAGTCAAAGGAAAAGTCTCCGAGCATCGTCGACATTGAAGACTTGTGCATCTTATGTGAAGACTTTGACGAAGCCGACGGCGACAGCGACCAAGACTCGACCCAGGATAAGAAAGGCAGCAACGCAAAGAAGACGGAAGCAAAGAAAAGCAAGCAGCCCACGCTGGCAGCATTTGCGTTTACCAGGAAAACTGTTGGCAACTCATCATCTCCTTCGCCCTCTCCGTCGACAACAGTCTCGGCCACTTCCAAGGCAACAATGGACACAATCACCAACTACGCTCGCAGATTCCCCGTCAAAGCCATCAAAAAGGCCGCCCGCGAAGAAGAAACACTCGTGTGCGCCATCCGCCGAAGTGACGGCCACTATCTCATCCACCGCCGACCTCTCAAGGGTCTACTCGCGGGGCTCTGGGAGTTCCCCAGCAAATTGCTCGAGCCGTCGACAAAGTCGGATAAAAAGAAGCGCGAGCGGCTGGCGCTTGAGTACGTGTCAGACTTGCTGAATGGCGGCAAGGGCCGTGGAAAGACAAAGATATCGTGCCAGGGCGAGTTGGGGAATGTGCCGTGGCTTTTCTCGCACATTAAGCTGACGATGCATGTGTACTTGTTTGAGGTGGAAGATGATGCCGCGGTGGTAGAGGATGAGGACCAGCCGAGACGGTGGGTGGCTGGAGGTGATGTTGATGATGAGAATATGGGGACGGGGATGAAGAAGTGTTGGGAGATGGTGAAGGGGGCAGTGGAAGAGTTGTGAAAATGGTGAGTGAATGGAGGAAGCGTGTTTTTTTTTTTTTTGGTTTGCCTATAAGATTGCGTTTAATTCACGGGGAATACGAGTTGGAAACTCTGTACAGGTAGACTATGAGATGGGATATAGGCGTTTGAATTCTGAGGCCACAAAGGGATACTGCCAGATGGACATTGAATGAGACGGGCAACTAGATTAAACAAAGACAAACATTGCACAATTACAAGAAGAAGTTGATAATATCGCCGGTATCAATACTATGGCCGCGTTCATTTTCCTCATCCAAATAACTACATTGTGCATCTGCAGGGACTGGCGATCATACAGCATGGATGTTGTGTCTTTTTGGTGTGGAGGGGAATTGCCGGGTTGCAGTGGAAGACATTACTGAGACAACGACACAAGGCGATGACAGTAATTCCATTGAGCTACCAATTCAAAAAAGAATGAAATAAAGTGCATTCTACTTGGTTCCAAAACAATTCTTTTTTTTTTTTAACATCACCTGGCAAGCGGGATTCTAGACTACAGATTCTACATCTTGGCCAAGTCTAGGGTAGGCGGCTGCATGTCCAGGTAATCGATAGCTGTTCGAAAGGGGGCTGTCGGTGGAGGCCGTGACCGACGATTCGTACATACTAAGCCAGATTTCTTCCCCGCCCTTTTGCTCTCCCAACCTTTGGAATACGCCCATCCGGCCAGTCTGCAAGGTAAGAGCGAGACATTGAACAATTGAGCAGAGAGAGAAGCAAAGCGGAAACAATGGCAATGGCAATGGCAATGCTAACTGGCCGTCTCTGGTCGCAGGTCCCGCACGTGCCCTCGACTCGATCTCCAACCCGAAGCTCCGAAGCCGATCTATCTTGAAATTCCCGGATCGGCGATTTCATCCTGTCTGCTGTGTCACTTGACTTGACCGGCCCCCGGCATTTACAGACGAGGCGAGAGCAAAAGCAAAAGCAAAAAGCAAAAGCAAAAGCAAACATGTCTGGCCTCGACGCCCCCGACATCGTGGCCGCGTACGACGACGTCCGCAACGACAAAAAGGACACCAACTGGATGCTCCTGTCGTACGCGGCGGCCGTGGGCAACAAGCTGACGCTGACCGCCTCGGGCACGGGCGGGCTGGGCGAGCTCGTGTCGGCGCTGGACGACGAGCAGGTGCAGTACGGCTACGTGCGGATCGAGTACGCCAACGACAAGGAGAGCACGCGGGTCAAGTTTGTGCTGGCGGTGTGGATCGGCAAGAACACGAGGGTGATGCGAAAAGCGCGGGTCAGCGTGGAGAGCGGCGACGTCAAGAAGGCGCTGGCGCACCACCACCTGGCGATTACGGCGGAGGAGCGGTCGGAGCTCAAGGAGGATGACCTTGTGAAGCTGCTGCGGAAGTCGGGGGGCGCTGATTACAACGGTGGACGGGGTTGATCTGGGGACACGGTATGAGGGGGGAGATGGGGGACGGAGTGAAGAGATGGGACGGAACAGGCCAGACAGGAACAGAGTTGGATAGATGGATAGAACGAGGGGAGCCCAAGAAGAAGAAAACAAGAATCTGGATATATCGATATAGAGCTACATATACGTGACTAGTACTTTTAGTTGATGGCATGACGATGACATGATACGCGAGCATATATAAACAAAGGGCAGAGGAGATGGAGCGAGAGAATGAGTAAGAGCCGACTAATAAAAAGAGCGAGAATAGCAAGAAAGAAACAAAGACATGATACACAAGCGAGCAATGGCTGTAGCTGTGCTTTGATGTGGACAGCTAGACGGGCCGAGAGGATGGCGGCAACATGTCCAGACCCCGATGGACCACGGCTCTCTAAGAAGGACAGTTGGGTGTGATGGCTACTATGAAACAGCGGTGTATATACAAGACGGCATGTGCTCGTAAATACCGAGGAGAGATGGATGATACCAAGATGGGAGATGGACGACTCCATCGCGTGTACTCCGTTCCTGGGGTTCAATATGCTGTTCTGTAGCCGACAATGTCCTTTCAGTCCAAGAGATGGTACTCCGTAGTCGCTTTAGATTAGATAAGATTCCGCATATCCGTATCCTCGTACCATTAGCCATTCGTATTTAGTAGCCGGCCGTAAGAAAGAACAGATAACAGACACAAACAGGCATTTGATCATATCACATCGAACCAGGGGCCAGACTCGAATTGTTGAATTTGCCGGCGGCCAGGCCATTTCCCTCTCGGCTTAGCGCGCTGGTGCAGTCGAGTCTTTCCTGAATGGCCCACAGAGGGTCACTTGGCCTGTGGGCATGGACATGGATTTGCATGTGCTTGCGGGTCTTTTCTTCTTCTGTTGATTTCTCTCATTCGATATTATGGGATAGATGCATGTTTGATATTCCTTGTATGTGAATTTACTAGTTTTATTTGCTTGTTTCCATTGACTTTTGCCATTCCGTTGGTTGGTTGGGAGGTCCCTCTGAACCACTGAAAACAAGGCCCCGTCCATCTCGCTGCAAGATCAAAGTCAATCTCAATCTGGGAAAAAAAATCTCCAGCAAAATACCTAGAATAACAAAAAGTCGCCGCCGCCGGTCAGCATTCTATGTAAAGCATCCCGCCATCACCACACCCTTTGTGCGTATTATAGCGCCCTTGGGTCTTCTAGAAAAACAAATCAAAAACCACCAGACCGTCATCCCTCCTTCGGCCAATTCCGCCAGCGTCCAAACGGCTTCTGACGTAGGTGGTCCAAGGTTCAACATCGTCCACTACAGTAAACCCACCACCCATGGATCAGGGCCCAGCGCTGGACCAACCACCAACGACGCCGCCTGGAGCCGCTACAAACAGCCACCAAGGGCCCCCATGAACCAAGATTGCCTTTAGGCCGCCTCCCCCCTGATGAATCCAGCCTAGGCCGGCTGCTAGCCTGGGGAAAAGGGCTCCAATGGGCGGCGCCATGATATCAACTCTCCATGGTGGGATTTTTTTTTATGGGAAATTTGGACCAGAGTCTCCACGGGCGGAAGTGGGAACAAGAGCCTGGGCTGTCTCTGGGGTTTGATGTGTGCCTGTAATGTACTGTAGTTTACAGGCTGTATCCAGTGAACTCTAGCCCTGTAGCCGCTGTAAATATATGTAAGGTATCCGTATGTACATCCTCAACTCCCCATGCTGATGATCCAAGACCGTCAAAGTCCCTGCATCTCAGCTGTACGACGATCCAGTACGATAAATAGCAATTGAAACATCACCCATCAAATCTCATCTTCTTCTCCTTCTTCTCCTTCTAGCGCCAAACCCGCCCGCACCGTCGATCAACGCCAAGTTTTTTTCCTTCTCGCTGCTGAAACTGGCCGAGGCGCCCCGCCGCCCAGAAAATTGAGAAAATTAGGTCGTGTACATACTTGTACATTCACGTCAACTTTTCAGGTACTTGAAGATCTTCGCTCTCTTTTTAGTTTTTACACTCTTCAACCTTGTTTTCTCCTTCTCACCTCTTCCTCCTCTTCATACGAGAGATTCTGCCACACTACATCAGTATACTTACACCGATATATACTTGGAGAATAGTTCTTTTTTTATTTATTTGTTCGTGGCAAGCAAATCTCCTTTTTCTTCTTCTCGTCTCCGCCCGCCTTCAGCCTCTTTTGGGTCCAAACCCCCGAAACGAAAAAGCACGCGACAATCTTCGGATGCGGCCTAGCCTCGCCATCTGGACCAAAACCGACCTGAACCGGCCTTCAGCTCCAACGAACCGAACCGAAGCCCTCGTTTAATGGCCATGACAGCATCCTGGTTGCACTGCTTACTTGCATGACCTTTGGGCGCCACAATCTCTCAACAATCAAAGATACGCGCCAAAAGTCTAGACCACTCCGGCCTCTCTTTTGCCTACTCTCTCTCTCCTCTCTCTTTAACCTCTTCTTCTCCTCTTCTCTCTTCTCTCTTTTCTTTTCTCTCTTCTCACCTCTTCTCCTCTCTCTCTCCCTCTCCCTCTCCCCCCTCGTGATACCTTTCCTTGGGCGGCCCTTCTTCTTCTTCCCCCCCGCTCGCCATGTCTTCCTCCTCCTCGGCCAACAAGCCGGCGGCAGGCAAGCCGGGCCTCGTCGACTCCAAGCTCGAATCCGCCCAGCAGCTCTCCACCGTCGAGGACTCGGCCGATCACCTCCTCGAGACGCTCGGCTACACCCCCGAGCTGTCGCGCAACCGATCCACCGCCCAGGTCGCCTTCATGTCCTTTGTCCTCGCCTCCATCCCCTACGGCCTCGCCACGACGCTATACTACCCGCTGGTCGGAGGCGGTCCCGTCGACATCATCTGGGGCTGGGTTCTCGTGTCGCTCATCATTGTCTGCGTCGCCGTGTCTCTGGGTGAAATCACCAGTGTCTACCCTACTGCCGGAGGTAAATCATCACATCACATCATCTAACCCATCCCGTCCCATCCCATCCCACTGTCGGACAAGAAAACAACAAGATCCGTATAATTCTTCTCTTCGTAATCGTAATGCGCAACGTGCTAATTCAAATCTTGTTGTTTTTTTTCCTCAGGTGTCTACTACCAAGCCTTTATGCTGGCCTCTCCCAAGTGGCGGCGCATCGCATCCTGGATCACCGGCTGGCTCTTTGTCGTTGGCAACATCACAATCACCCTGGCCGTAAACTTTGGCACCACGCTCTTCTTCGTCTCCTGCATCAATGTGTTTGAAAAGGAGCCCGGCGTTGGCGTCTTTGCCGGTGAAACCTGGCAGGTGTTTCTCATCTTCTTGGCCCTGACGCTCTTCTGCAATGCTGTGTCTGCTCTCGGCAACAAATGGCTTCCTTGGTTGGATGTGAGTCTTGTCCTGCTTTGCCCTCCTCTTTCCTCTCGATTCCTCGCAGAATCAAGGGAAATGGGGGTTTCTTTTGCTCCCGGATCTGTCCTGAACATGTGCTAATTTTGCTGCCCAGACTGCTGCCGTTTTCTGGACCTTTGCCGGTGTCATTGCCATTCTCATCACCATTCTCGTCCTCGCCAAACACGGCCGTCA